GAATGCAGATTGCAGATATCTAAATTTTGCCAAGTTCGAGCACGCAGAGTTTGATGTGAAACAATATTGAGTCTTAATATTGGATGTTTGTACTTATTTGTACAGTGTTAATTGCAAAGTGTAGTGGCAACCGGAAAGTTCTTGTGAACATTTGCATTATATTTACACATGAAAGCAGATCGACCCTACTCACATATTTATAAAAAGGGTTCTAAAGGATTGCCAAGAAATGAATTTTTTCCAATGTTAACGAAGATGCTAATGCCTGCGGATGGAAATATTCGTTGATTTATTGGTTAACCTTCAGTCTTGAGTGAAAATATAGGCATTTGCAACTTCAAATATGTGCCAACACAAAGTTTACAATTGAACGAGTAACTAACTAATCAGGTGGTTATGTTTTTAAACCTAAAACAACTAAATACACTGGTCATTGAAAAGTTCAAGTTTCGAGGCATTTATAAAGCATATCTTTGTTCAAAAAGGATCTCTGGAAAGCCTACTGGAAAAAGACATTCTTGGATTACCCAAACCACAGGAATCCGTTTTGCCGATTGACCATCCGGAAGATATTTTCTTGTCGGGTCATTGCAGGGGAGGAGGAGAAATTGCCAACGTTGTGGTTGACGGAATTATTGACGATACTTACTTGTGTTGGCCTATTTCTAATTTACGTAGGTTTTAGTACATTATATGATGGAATAAGGAGCGGGAGGGAAGTCGCAGGTCCCGACGGATTTTGCCAATGGGTAAATTTAATTGTGGGTAAATTTCAGTTATGAAAAAAAAATATTAGAGCGGCGCGAGCCTTCAAGGGGTCGGATGGTTAAACTATCTGGAGAATTTATCTCATTCCGTTTTGTTTTCTACAAAATAGCATGTGTTGGTAGTATATTTGATTCCAAATAGGATTTTGCTACTCAAATTGGGCGAACAAAATCCCGCGATCAAGTTATAACATGGATGGCGGCCAAAATTGAGATGTTATACCACCCGCCTAATAGCAGGCCCGATGTCAGTCATCTAGTCGCACAGTGAGTCAATTCACAAAACCATATATCTAGCACATATGATTCCTCACAGTCTTGAGAACGCGTTCATCCCATGGGAGGGCAGATAGCAAAAGCGAAGAAGGTTAATAAAATGCTTATTATACCCATTTGTGAGATTTTTGGGACTACATTGCAAGCATTGGCACAAATATTTTAATTACAACTGAGTGTGTGAGTGAATACTTTAGGAATACAGAGTTGTAAGGTAGCTCATTTTACGCCCAAACCCTTCTTTAAATTTGTAAAATTAATGAGAGGAGAACTTAATGATAATATTAAATAATTAGGTATTTGTTTATTTATCAGTAAACAGTTTTTATTTAAAAATATGTCTATTCTTCAGTTTAACCAAACCGCGAAAACTCAGCTCGACTCACAACTCTGTTTCGATAAGGTCTTGGAAGTAGTATTAGGATTAGGTAGTTATGTCAGTTTTCATAAGAAAGTAATATCTAAAACAAAATGTCGCACAACCTGAACCCTAATCTAGTCCACGACCTGAGTTCAGGTTGTGCGCATACTTCAGGAGGTCCAAATTGACCAATTAAAACCTACTATCGTTATTATTACACCAATACAACATATTCAATATAGCCCATTATAAAGCAAAATTTTTCTTCGATGAAATTTTTTCATTGCAATTTACGTAAAAATTTCAAAATATTGCCAAATTAATTCTCATAATTTTTGGGCGTCACGAATCAATCCTTTTATTGTTTATTTTGGACAAAAAAAGCAAGGCAACACAAAAACTTCATTTATGAATGTTTTTAAACAATCAAAACCCAGGATACAACATTTATTCATCAACAGTGTTTCGAACGACACGGTGTTTTATTCCTCGATGCTCATGACGAAACTGACGAGTTACTGGAAATGCTATTGTTTGAATAATATTCCTACTTTATTGTGAAATGTTTCTGTATTGACCAATTGATTCTTGAGATTTTTGTTTTTATATTCAGAATCTGACTATTTATAGAAACAACTCGTAGTAAGTAGTGTTGCTGTTGAAAACAAATGCTTTTTACCTACTATTGAATCAATCGCTCCCAAGTGGTTCAACATAAAATTGTCTATGACATCAATTTATTTTCTAATTCTTTTAGACTGTCTCATTCAAAGTTACTTGTTTTATTTCAAATTCGGTTAATTTCGAAGAGTTGTACCGACACGCGGTTTCGTCTATTACTTCGGGCGAGTTAACTCAATGAATGGTATATATATGATCACTTGTCGCTACTACCTTCGTGTCAAGCATTGTACTCTGTTTAATCGATGGAAGATTTTGCGGAAGTTTGATTGAAATATCACAAATAGAAACATTCATGATGCCTATAATATTATGCTCAAAACAATATAACATAATTTTCATCCGGGACGTTTTGCTTCCATCCGAACAAGGCTCTGTGTAAGCAGATATTAAGATGCAGGAGAAACTACTGAGCTTGGAAGGGCGGAATACCCACAGTTTGACTTTGCAAACAACATAGATTTCGCCCAACGTCAGGTATCAACTGCCGGATGAGATCTCGTACACGAGACGATACCAACGTGGCAGTTATAACGCCGTTATCATAGTACCATCGTTTCTATATACGATTGTATTCCAACTTTTTGTGTATTTGCTGCAGTGTTATTTCTGAACGATTTTGCAAATTTAAAACTTCGGTATGTATTACAATATATAATAATTTCGTTATGGAAGTAGTGATCAGTTCGTTAATAATATAATGTTCATTTTAATTATCCAGGTTGTTTTGTTCACCACAATCATTCGAATCGAAACCGGACAAAATATAGCTTTTATATATCACGTTAGAGATTGGTAGGTTAGCAGGTTTCGTATATGTTAACAGGTAAATATATGTGAATAAAAAGTATATATATATATATATATATATAGCATAGTCTGTTTTGTTAGTTCACGAGACGGAGAGATATGCGTAAAAGGTCCTTCAATCCAGTTCATTGCAATTAATCTATTTAGCGGCGGAGTGATGGCTACGTCATTGAGATTTGGAGTCCTATTTCTAAATTTGTTTTACGGACCCTCATTTCAATCCACTAAGTTAGGTAACTATTTATAGTTTATTTTGAAGAGCTTGGAAATGACGAGAAGATCATGCCTTGGTATGCGCAAGAACCGATGAAACATCACTCGCTAGAAACTAAGTTTCATTTTAAGTATTCCAGCAGCTGCAATTATTTCCAATTGCTTTCTTCATTTTTATTTGCATCACGATTCCAAATACTGAAACTGAATAGCATGACGTAGGATATTACATTAGATCCACATTAAACAATTCGATTCAACTATGCTAAATATATTCTTCATGGGGAGGTGGATTTGCTCTTTCTTTCTCATGATAGACCAAATCGACGAGCCAACATACCATTAGCCAATTCGGGTAGTTGGCATTCTCAGTCTGGGCCATTAGGCGACATGCCTGTCGGCACGCAAGAGACAATTCCCTCGAACCGTGTTCACAAGCGTACAAGCTTATTTTCATTACAATTAGCAGTAGCAAAAAACGAAACGAAACGAAACGAACGAAATGTTTACCCAAATACCCCTAACTTTTTGGCAATGACAATTCATGTGTCGTGTGCCAACGTGCCCACCATCAAGTTCATGCTTCTGAAACAAACAAACAAAAAACCTGGCTAACTAACCCTATATCCGAATAAGTCGCTTTTCTGGGCCCAAATTTTTGGCCTGATTTTTTTTTGGGGGGGGGAGGGGGGGTCGTCTTATCAAGCGAGTATGATAATTTCCATTTTTTTGGTGTCGCCTTATGTATCAGGTAATATTCTTTTATGGTGGACGCAATCGCGAGTTGAACACAATTAGATTAAAATTTAAAGATAGTCCGAATTCTCATAGTTATTATGGATTGAATATTACACTACGAGAAAACGTCATTATAGGCTATTTTAACCTAAAGTGACTATAAACCTAGTGAGGACATTCATTGGTAACGTTACAAGCCCTCGTATGACGTCACACCAGCCATTTTGTGTCCAGAATTCTATCGCTGTATGATCCCAACTAAGTAAAGTGATTTAAAACTGCGATCGTTAAACAGCTGAATAAAAAAAACGATGCTAAATAATTTGGACCGAACTTTCGCAGCGGCAAAACGAATGAACAATCTTCTAAAAAAGTAATTATCCGCAGATCTTTCTCGAATAACTCGGCTCGGCGGCATGGTCAGCATATACGAAGTTAAGGTTAAAATCATCCAACTTCACTCGATTAATCAACTCCCAATAAGACCTAAATATTAAACAAAAGATACACATTTTATGATGAAATTATTATGAAATTTCTGATGTAAGTATCGCTACTTGCACAAAACCTATTTTAACAAACTGACAGAACTACAATCGTAAGCAACAAGACAAATTATACTACAGAAACTCGCACTATTTTTGCGGTACATGTCATGATATTAAAATATGCGTATTGCACATTTTGAACAAGGTGTACATTGCCAAAATAATATTAAAAAAATATACTACATGCATGGAATGAAGGATAAAGGCGTATATCAAGTTTACAAGAACATTTAATAATCTGGAGTGTATAAAATAATATATTATCTATTTGACTCTGATTTGACTTGAGCTCTTCCCGCAGGTCTACTAGCATACCGTTTTTCAATAATTTTATTTGTCTCCTCTTTCGCGTGAATATTTAAATTTAAATTGAGAAAACGTTTCAAAGTTTTAAAAGCGATATTGTGGCAAGATTTATAGTCACTTTGTTTTAACCAATGCCCAAACGCGGCGACCGCTCAAATAGAATTGCATGGTAATTTGAGATCCCGATGTTGATGCGTTTTTACTACCCCGACTTATTGGCAGGTTTTATGCAAAAACCCGTTTTTCAGGCTTAAAAACGGGCCTCGTCTTATTCACCGGTTAGACTTGTTCGCCGGGAAATACGGTATATGATTTTTGAAGAACAAACACACATTATAATATGACCCTGCCTCCGCTCAAGCGAATCGCTGACCTCGTTGCCCTGGACACAAAACGCGTTCTAACAATCCTGCGTTTAGTGGACTTTCATGCTGCAGTGCCGTCCTTTATTCAAATTAAGTACAGTTCTGATGTTTCTTCCTTGAAATTTTTATTGAAGTGGACTATAACAGATACTCACAAAGAGTAATTTCGGCCCCCTTTTGTAGCTGTAGTGATCGAAAAAGCCAAAACCATGGCGGAAACCGCACTTCATCCGCGACCATCAATGCATACGATTCTCAGATCAGACAATAATGCTCAAGGCAATTTTATGGAATTAATTGAATATCACCGAGCACTGAGGCATACTAAGTTTCCAAGTATCAAAGGTCCAGGAGGACATTACGATTTTCCCAGCTTTCAGGTGGGTCCATACCTCACCTCTGTAGATTTAGGATAGGATAGGATTTACATATTTATCCCGGGGGAGAGGAAAGCCGATAGCCGGCTTATCCATATGGCGAACCACGGCCTCTCGTCCAGTTACCATTCCAAGTCGGGGATGGGATTAGTTATATTGTTTGTTTTTAGAAGCATGGACTTGGTGGTGGAGGAATCCGTAACCGACCAGCGGTTACGTGAACCACCCAACAACGGCGAGGAGTCCAGCAATCCTCTCGCACATAACCATCCCTGCATGGGATTTGAACCTGCGAAACCCACGCAGAGTAATTAGAGGTGCGGTGGCAACGTAGAAATATTCGAAATTTATATTTAGTTAATTTGTTTTAAACTCAATTCAACCAAGTTTCATTAGCACACAAAACTGTTTTCTGCCTTGGAATATATGCTATATTAAATTTTAATCTATATAGTGTATATTTTATGAAGTCATTTATATCATATGTCGTAAAGTATTAAATTTTATATGGATTCAACAGTCGCTCACATTTGGTAATAGATGGTAGAATAAAAAACAAATTATTAAGTACTTTATATTTCTTTACGTAAATATTCATTTTCAGTGCTTAGGTTCTATTCTATTGATTCAAACTATTTAACCAATGTTTAATTTTAAATTTCAATTGTGCTAAGAGTTAGGAATACGCTTACCTCTGATTACTCTGTGTGGGTTCGCAGGTTCGAATCCCATGCGGGGATAGTAATGTGCAAGAGGATTGCTGGACTTCTCGCCGCTGTAGGGTGGTTCACATATTCGCTGGTCGGTTACGGCTTCCTCCACCATAAAGTCCATGCTTCCGAAAAACAAATAACTAACTAATCCCATATACGACATGGAATGGTAACCGGACGAAAGGCCGTGGTTCACCATATGGTTAAGTCGTCTTATCGGCTTTCCTCTTTCCCCCAGGATGAATATGTAAATCCTATCTTTTTTTAATAAAACATGTTATCATAAGCATCTGAGTTATAATGCGTTATTGATTTAAATTTCTAGGCACGATACAAAGACAGTCCTGCATTTATAAAATGGAATAAACATGCAGTTGCACCACACTACGGTTATTCACTTGCTCCGCATCGAGATAATCATCCAATCATTGACCCTGCGTCAGGATTTATAAGTGCAGGAGCTGATAAAGATTTAGAAACAAATGTCAAAAAGTAAGTACATAGTCTAGTAGTCATACAAACTCAATAAAGTACTGAATCACCGGAGCAGGGTCGGGCCAAAAATTTTGCAGGTGATTTAAGTGTGACCTAAAAGGTTCCTTTCTATGCACAGTTTTTACAGTGTTACAAATGCAAAAGTGGAAAACAATAAGCTCGTGCCAAACATTTTACCTCTGTGTGGTCTTGCTTTTAGACAACTCATTCAAACTTAATTATCAGTTGGGATTGCGTAAAATCCTTTTCTTCCTCTTTGCCTTTCCTGAAGTGGATCCTTATGTGTATAATGCATGGATGCTGTAGCAGGAATAAAAATGACATCAAATAGAATAGATTATTCAGAATTCTTACGGTCAAATTATTCTAAGGAAAAATAAAAAATCATGTTGATTTTCACAAATCGATACGCATAGAAATGATGACATATCAAAGTTAAGTTAGTGTCATTATTTTTTTTGATAGTATACCATCAATGGCCCAATCCAGTGACAAAATTCAGCATGGCACTCCATCAACTAAACCTCCAGATAGTGCAAGACCCCAAACACCACCGAGTGATCCACTATATGATGAAATGACTCCTCAAGATAGAGAAGGTTTATGGAGTGCAAGAAAAGTATGACTTATTTTTTTTTTTAAAGCAGTGGTACTTGCTAATCCAAGAAAATATCAAGCATTCATTTATATAACTACGTCATTTTCTGTTGCTTATTTACCGACTTGACTAAAGAAGTAATATTATTAAAGAGGCTTTACCACGCCATATACATGAGTGCCAGTGGGTTTGACACCTTCACCCGCTGCTCTGAAAAAATGGTCAGGTTTTTTATCATTTTCATATAGGATGTCATCATTCTGTTTAATGCACCGAGAATTATATATGAATGAAATTCCTTGATAGTAGAACGAAATTCATCTCATTTGATTTCAAAATTTCATGATTATTTCATCGATCTTTAACTGATGTGTGCACGCTTATCAATGTAATTTGCCAGTTTTAATTTATATTGTATTACAGTTTTCGGTGAAATCAAGTGTGACAAATATCTGATATCTTTAATATATCAGGTATCATCTGCGATTGTTGTCTGATTTTCTCTCATTGAGAGGTCTTAGAACATTGCATTGACCATACGTGCATTTTAAAAAAGCATATTGATAAATTCATGTTATTTTCAGGTGACGGACATAAAATTAAGAGCTGAATGTGGGGGTTGGACAACTGATGAAAAAGCAATACCTAAACCTAGCAAAGAACATTCAAACCTAGCTGTTGGAACTTTCAATTTTTCTGATGAAAGTTGGAGAGATAAAGCTGCAAAAAAATATATGTTTACAAGTGGAACACAAAGGTATGCAAAAGACCTGTAATGAGTCTTTGATGGGAGAGAGAGTTTATTTTATTTGTCAGACCAAGAAAACACAATTTCTTCATACATATATAAATAGTGAATAAACAAAGGCTCGGTATATGACTGGAAAGCGACGATTCATTTTCGTTTCCTTTATTCATACACTATTTACATGTCTTTCCTATTTTCTTTTCTAAATATGAAAACACCCTTCATTAGCAGACCATGTATACAGTAGGTATTTCTAGTGTAATATTTTATGGTATTTCCTAGTATTCTGTAAAATGCATTATAACTTTGCTACACGATCTGCATTTATTTGTCTAGTATATTTAATAAATAATTTTTTAACATTTTCTAATTTTATTACTAGCTCATTTGATTATGTAAATTGGGACAGTAAACTACCCCCAAAAATTAAACCAAGACCAAGTACAATGGAAAAGATGGCAGATCCAATATCACAGAGATTTACAGATTGGATGAAAAGATATCGACCAACATCAGAACAATGCCAGGTGAGTTTGTATAGTGTTACGCCCCACAAATTTACTTTTCATAAGGTTGTTATTCGAATCTTCAGACCTGCAAATTTATCTCACCAGTTTAGTGATATGAAAATATTCCATGAATTGCATATACAACATTTGGCTCTCCTGAAATATACGTACCAAGATGGCGCACACCGGAACGTAGTATGTGTACCAGGTTGGGGTTAGGTCATAATTTTAGGTACAAATGCTACGGGAGACACTTGGCTAGTCCCCGAACTCGTAATAGGACTAAAATAAGGAAAATTGGATTAAAATTATGGTGTAACCTTAACCTGGTACACATACTACGTTCCGGTGTCCGCCTTGGTATCCGTATCTTGGTACGCATACTTCAGGAGTACCCCAACATTTTTGTATCCTGTTGCTCCTAACCAGGCTATGCACAAGCAAACCACTGTTAGGTACTATAGTTTGAAAAAACTGGAATCTTTCCAGGTTGGCATTGCCCACGCAATTCATTACATCTTGAGTGCTGTGGTAGACCCTAGATTTTTACTTGCAATGTCATCACTAGGCCACTGCGGGCACTTCTAGTCATATACTATAATGTCAATACGGAAAGCATTCCTAAGCTATGAAATTATTTTTATTTTATGTAATTCATAGTATAATCATGAACTTTTTTTTTGATGTTTATTGTAGCATTAGGTCCGCATAGTCAATGTACATTATGAAAACTTTCAGTTATTATTACTTGTCTTATGGTATACTATTTATCAAGTATGTAGTTTTCTCATATATATGTGAGTGACATGACTAAGTCATCAATATCCAAGTCGAGATTGAGTCAGATTCTATTAAGTTAAGGCAAAGTTTATTCCACCAGTTTATGATGTATGAAGCTGTGAGTCAGTGATTTGTGACTTCCAAGTTAGACAGATTTGTGTCAATTCTGAGTCAGGTTAAAGATCATACTATTTGACAGAAGCACTGTGAGGGAATCCAATTTCCTTTGCAGAATTTATTACTGGAATTAAGTCAAGTTAGTTCCTAATTTATAAACTCACCCAAGTCAGGTTGAAGCTCGTAAAAGTCTCGACTATGACCTACAATTAGCGAATCAGGTAGTGAGCAAAATAAATATTAAGGAAGATTAAAGCTTTTCATTATATTCTAGCAAGAGATAACAAATTTAGATTGGAGAATACAAGACTTCCATTTCGGAGGGAAAGCATCAGTTGTTGCGTAAACAGAATCAAATTTCAGTTTATTGTACTGTAAATGACGAAGATTTATAAGGTGACACTCTTTTACTAGTATAAGTAAGGTTGTATATAAGAAGATGTATGAGTCCAATATATAGCAGAGATACTGTAATGTTGTTGATAGATAAATAAGTAAATTGAATATGACAGACAGGCACAAACAGACCTGTGTGTCTTCCTGATTAAGCATGGTAGATACCACGGTTTCCCAAACTGGGGTTCGTTATGACTGCACAGGGGGTCAGCAGCGACATGAAAAATCAATCAAAAATTCGTTGCATTTTTAGTTGAGCGTTGCGGATATCCATTGTTGTCAGAAAAAGGCAAGTATGGTAAAATTTTATTGCCTTTTGCATCGACCTACATGTGTGAGGCTTGGGATGGTGTACCATCAAAACAAAAATTCACAAATGAGGGTCTGCACTGCAGCCCAAAAAGTTTGGGAAAGTCTGGTATATACAATAAATTACATCTTGGATAAAACCTGGGTCTGACATTGAAATGAGTGACCAGTGTTTTGACCTGAAATTTCTAACCCATGGGCAAATATAGTTCAGCAGTATCTGCCTAATGCGGACCTCAACTCAAAAGAATGAAGCTTGAAGAAGCTGTTTCGATAATATGAGGAGAAGCATATATTTTGATTTCTGAACTCCTCTAATTCTTTATCGAAACACTTTGGTTAATATGGCTTAACGTGTTGATTGAAAAAATATCTTTGAAATAATCTATTATTTTGTGATTTTATTAAATAATTTTTTTTTAAAATGTCAACATTTGCTCTCACCACTAGCCCAGTACGTGCACATAATATGACCTGATATAATGATAAAATCATATGACATCATAGAATCTTCTCTTGGAAACTTTTGATAGGGAATACATGGTTGTACTTGTATTTTGTTGTAATTTTGTACTATATATATTCACAGAGATTAGGAAGATCTTGGGATTGGTTTCAAGCAAGAAATGGATATTTGAGATCAAAAGACGTTGATTAGTATGTACATTTTATTTATCTCAATTAGGTAACTAAAAACGAATTATTGATGTATTGTGTTTCCGCTATATAGAACTCTAATTTAAATGACTTAGACCAGAATTAATTTTCCTATAATTTTATGGAATGGGCAAAAATTAATGAGTTTTGCCATTTGTTGCAGATTTTTTGGTACTCCCAAAGTATGTGAACCAAGATGGCGGATACCGCAATGTAGTATGTGTACCAGGTTAGGGTTAGGCTATAATTTCAGGTACAAATACTACGGGAGTCACTTGGCTAATCTCAGAACTTGTAATAGAACTAAAATAAGGAAAATTGAAATAAAATTATGGCCTAACCTTAACTTGGTACACATGCTACGTTCCGGTGTCTGCCATCTTGGTTCACATACTTCGGGAATCGGAGTACCGATTTTTTTTTACGAATAATGTAACATATTCTTACAAAAATATTCTCTTAAATGGTAGGAATTTTAAATATAGTTTTTTATTATCCAATTATATATTTTGCAGCACAAGTCATTATAGACAAAGTGGTCACATACCAAATTATGGGTGAGTGACACCAACATAATTTTTATTGTCAGCATCAAGAAGCTTTCAGCTTTTCTATTCTACGATAGACAAATATTTATTATCATTTATACAAGCCCAGAAAGATGAGGGATATTATTCCTCAGTTTAAATTAATTTAGAGAATTGCTGAATCATTGTTTCAAATGTTGCTGGTTAGTGATTGATTTTCTCACATTTACTTTCATAAATCTTGCTCAAAGCAATGTCTTGCATCCTTAACTAAATGGATAAAGTAATGATAGTAGGGTAAGCAGCAACATTGATACATTAAGAGATTAAGTACTATAGATTGGTCATACATGCGATAGAGAATCTAGTGGATAGTGGTTGACACAATACCCTAAACAAATCAGGTCTGTAATGTTAGGAAATCAGATAGGTGATCGGGAAGTCAATAAAGAATAAGTTTATGGAAGAAAATTTCAGTGGCCATGTTATAAAAATAATTACGAATCAAAAAAGGGATATCACACAATTTACATATTTGGAAAATAGACTCTTATGAATTATTTTCCGAATAATATTTCTATACAGAGGAAGTGTAGGAGCAGATAATTTTGAAGACAAAGACAATCCTGAAGCAGAGTACAATCCTTTCACAAGATTGCGAACTCCTCTTCCATGGTATACAGAAACTGCAAAGTTAGTAAAATTCAGTTTTAGTTTAATTAGGTGATAAAAGAGATTCTTGAAATCTTGGCATCCATGAACACTTAATAATGAAAGAGGTACAATTAGGTTGTATTTTACTTCGCAATTCATTTTACCTGTCGAGATGTTTTAATCTTCAGAAATTCTGTGCCAAATTCAACTTACCGGTAGTTTGATGAAATTTATCATATTTTGCTACAGATGCATGGACTTGGATGGTTGAGAGATTTATGTCAACCAGTGGTTATGCAACAATGAGGAATCCCCCCACACGCGTGCATTAGGATTCACCCACTTATCCCGGGGAGAGAAGGATAGGATAGGATTTACATATTTATCCCGGGGGAGAGGAAAGCCGATAAGACGGCTTATCCATATGGCGAACCACGGCCTCTCGTCCGGTTACCATTCCAAGTCGGGTATGGGATTAGTTAGTTATACTGTATTGTTTGTTTTCGGAACCATGGACTTGGTGGTGGAGAAAGCTGTAACCGACCAGCGGTTACGTGAACCACCCAACGACGGCGAGGAGTCCAGCAATCCTCTCGCACATAACCATCCCTGCATGGGATTCGAACCTGCGAACCCACGCAGAGTAATTAGAGGTGCGGTGGCGAGAGTATTCCTAACGCTTGAAAAGACGATGAGATGGCTGAATTAAATGGCGAACCACAGCCTCTCGTTCCGTTACCGGTCCATGTCGGCATGGAAATTGTCAGCCAGTCATTTGTTCCAGATGCATGGACTTGATGGTGGAGAAAGCCGTAACTGACAATCGCTTATGTGAACCACCTTACGACGGTAAAAAGTCCAGCAATCCTCTCGCACATAATTATCCCACACAGGATTCAAACCTGTGAACCCACGCAGGGTAATCAGAAGTGAGCGTCACTATGCACCAACCGTTCTTTTACTACTTAATTAAAAATGGTAAATTTGATAGAGAAAAAACAGCAGTTCTGAAGTTTAACACCATTATTTACATCTTCTACTACGTGAATCTTGGTCCCCATTGTATGATCATATTTCAATGGCTGAATTGATCAACTTAAACCAAATGAAAGTTAACTTTAACTCATTGTTCAGGCGACCAAATATCCCTGGATATGCTGGATCTACTCATTGGGTTGGTATCCATCCTGCACATAGTCAATTTCCAGCTCCTGAGCCACCGTCTACAGCATACGTTCATCGGTAAGTAATAAGATAAATAACCATATAGTAACTAGATAAGCAGGAATCAATTACATAGAGTTTCTTTTTTAAGTTTCAATAGTTATAAAATTTCAATTTTCTTGTAGAGGTAAAATATTTGTCAACCTGAAGTCGAACTTGTCATTTAAATGACGAGTTTAGAGTATATAATCTAGATTAGAGATGTACCGATACCACTTTTGTCGCCGATACCGATCCGATACCAGCTAAAAACGCCGATACCGATACGCCGATACTACAAAAAGGCCGATACTACGTAATTATTACTTAATTAGGTGTGCTGTGTAGGGCAGACGGGTTAAAACAATTATCCTTGAGCGTTGTTCACGGTACACATTATTTCAGATCGAAAATAAGATATATCACATAATATGGAATTGATGTTTGGTATCCAGATGCTTTAACTGATTAAGATGCATTGTACAGTGACAGTAGTAATCTCGGTGTTCAATTAGAAAACTCATAAGCCGGGATGTCCAATTAGAATTTAATGTTAATATCACGATTCACGACCTTCGAATATCGTTATCGCCCACACATTATTGCGCCTACGTTCAAATTAAAAGCATTTTACAAAAAATTTATTTTGTGGTTAATCATAATCTTCGCCGCAATAAATTAAAGCCAACATGAAAGAATATCAATCAGCACCGACAAGAAGAAGGCCCACCTATAATCGTCGAGGATGTTTTTTTACTTTACTATTTTATGATATTTTACAATTGCTATCATATATTTTGAGACAGTCTACTCTAGGCGGTCATGTCAAAATACCATCTATAAAGAAATTGTGTAGTTAAACAAAATTAAAATGTATACCTGCGTAAAGAGATGATTGTGTCAGAATTTATAGCCATGCCCAAAGTGCATGCGCCGTTAATAAGGACTCCAATACCACTGTATGATTCAAAACTGGGCGCCTAGTTGCTTTTTGTTATGTGCTGTGTTGATATATTTCTTCATAATTACTATGTAATATTAAAAATGTCAATATGAAAATTTGACAGCGAAAATAGCCAAATTAGTTGAGCTAGTCTGGATGATAAATAGCTCAAAACAGGTGAATCCTATTCCCTCGCGGGGGTGGGGACATGTATGGCTCATAGCACACAATCTCTTCAGACAAAAAATAAATTAAAAAGTAATATTTCAACTTATCTTTTAAAAACATTCTGGGCCATATCAAAAAGGTAAATAGATCGGAAATATCGGCCTTAATCTAACCGATACCGAAAAAATGGCCGATACCGATACATCGGTACATCTCTAAATTCGAGATATCTTAAGCTTTATATTCTACCATAAATTCGAGATCCATTTTTTGTTACAGTAGACCTAGTTTTTTAATAGTTTGTCAAAAACATTCTCTAGTTATTCGATACGTGAGAGGTTGCTCTCCTTGCTTGCAATTGATAACACAAAAGTATAAAAAAAGAATAATTCTATGTTTTGTTTTTCAGGCCTATGCCAACACCACCGAACACATCACCATGGGCAAAAAGAGCTCCGATGTCAAGAATGGTGACGACCGTTCCACCGAAGAATCCTTTCAATACTATTGATGACATTTCCGTTGCATAGAGTTTTCATTCATACTTCAGATCAGTTTAAACAAATCCCACTTTCAAGGATATTTTTGTTAATATTTTATAATTTTTGTGCCAAATTTGAGTTCGACTTTTTAAATCATGTTCAGCAATAATGAAATTCTAGCACATATTACCTACTATCCACTGATATTTGTATTATAAGTATCCTATGTTAAAAGCCATGTATTCTAACTTTGTATGGAAAGAAGCATATCCAAGTGCCACATGAAATTTAGAACTTCATTAGTGCCATTATCACTACAATATATTAGGATCTTTAAAAAATTCACTAAAATGACGATCCTTATTATTTTTATGTTCTTGTTATTTAAACTTGTTAGCGAGTACGTTTGCTATACTGTGTGTGAAGATTTATATTTTACTAAAGTTCTTTTGTGCATATTCCTTCTTTTGTTCAGTTGGAATTGCGTACTTGAAGGCCTAAGTTTTCAAGTTTGTGACCGGCTACTCGTGCTAAATGAAATAGAGAGAACAGGGCCGAATACCTGTTTCAGTCTCTCTGTTAGCAAATTAGGATGACAAGCGGTATTTCAGTTTATTTTTAGAAATCGTTCAGGTATCAAATATTGTAGCCTATATGCCCAAGAACACACCATTGGCAATATGATCATTTGTGATTAGGTGCATGAATCTCAATCTGTTCAGCTTAAAATTCTTGCCGCATATGTTTTGGACCTTTGTCTTCATAGGAATTCTCAAAAGCCTCAACGCATTCTACAATTGGAAGACTACATAAGGTAGAGTTGTAATTGCCAGCACACACAGCTAGACGGATCCATTGCAGTCTTCGAAAAAGCATAAGCGTCCTGTTGACAAGCAGAACCCGTATGGCCCACAGTAAATAGATACGCCTCCAAAGACCGAGACCTCTTACCTGTGATATTTTTCAACTTTACATTTTTCCGATTTTACTACATGGGCCTACATTCAAAACCATATTGACTGTCTTCATTGACCATATTGCCATCGAGGGTTATGCGAATGTTATATGTCTAAATATCGGTTTTAGTTCGGAAAATAGAAAGGAACGATACAAAATAATTCGAATACCGATTTTTTTATGTACAAGGAAGAAAGAATAATAAAATAGCCTACAGCACCGCAAGCCTAATTTAATAAAAGATTATGGGCTGTTTCACATCTGTTCACACCACTGCGTTATTCTTTAATTGTTTAAGTAAACGTGCGTTGTTGCGTTAACGCATAATATTTCCGCACTGCATCAACGCAACAAATTCGCGAAGCAGGTTGTCGCACCATCGACACCTTTAACAATGAGTCAAAAGGACCATTGTCACGCTGCAGATAGTAAACGCTCGGCTGAGCTTCTGGTCCGACACTTTTTTGTCGGCGAAAGCATAGGAATTAATGAATGAAAGGGGCAGCCATACTTTGTGAAAATGTAATGTCTTGGTGCACGACGTGAAATATTTAATAGTAATAGTTTGTAACTTCAGTTCAATGATCAAGCCAATGAAAGATCTTAATTAAAATATGTTTAGGCTACATCGTAAAAATCAGATAACTCTTGGGGAATGGATTCCTATGTAATTTCCGTATTCGAAGGCTGGCAGAATGCTTATTTTAGGCGCGATTAACTTGAATTTTGCATATATATTATTCCGATGAAAAAATATCATAGAGGAAGGTTCTATTTGACTTACGTTTCACTACATACTTTCAGTGGCATAGCCATGATTTTCAAAGAGAATGGTGAGGTCAGAATCCGAATTCAGAAATTTCCATGTAACATATTATTTTGAAACAACCGCCGCAATCACACCACTCGTGAAAAGGATTGAACATTTTACCGGATAATGATTTTTCTGCTGTGTAAAAATATTCAACCCACCCCGATGCAAGCATTTTAAGAGTCTTATCATATTAATTTAATTGTGATCATGGTATTTTACGTTTGCGTCGACTGACGACAAAATGAAAGCATAACTGCTCAAAAATACTGCAGGGTTTCAGAAAGAGTGGTAGAATGCCTGATTATACCAAATTTTGATAATATTGACTGCCACATGTGATTATTTTAAAGATATATATATCTCTGTTAGACAAATCCCAAGATCTACGGTAAAATCTCAAAGTGTGAAATTTATTTTGGTACAATTAATAGATTGCTTGACATTTTTACATTAATTAGGTGTATATAATCATAATCAGGCCGCAGACAGGATTTTCAAAGGGGGTTCGGAAATACATATTTATCGTCTCTAAATCTCCACGGAACGGCTTTTGAAACACTCGTCGCGATTACACCACTCGCTAAAGAGCCGAATTTTTTATCGGGTAAGGATTTTTCAATTGTGCGAAGGATTCACGACCAATACAAGACTATTTAAAATGTCTTGCTTTATTAATTTAATTGCGTCCAATGTAACCTGCGGTGTGCCGACTTACGTCAAAATACGAGCTTTACTATATAATATATATCACAGCAATCCTCAGCCGTAAGAAAACGTGGAAAATAGGCTTGCACGTAATTTACGGATTTACGGAATTACGTAATTATTTTGAGTTACGGAAGGGAAGTTACGAATTCCGTAAAGTCGTAATTATTGCATTGAAACGAGCTTTCTTCAAAGCAGTTAATTTCGTCGATTGCGAAAAATGAAAGCTCAACAAGTAGAAGTTAGAGTTCCGGTATTCGCAGCCGTTTTTCTCTCTCTTGTTACGTAGGTGAAGGAGGGCATGACGCGTTGCCATTCACTAACCTATTATCAACTTCTCTGGCATGGCCAATGTAAATTATTAACGTAGTTAAGGGGGAAGAACTGAGTAGGGCCGTTTGACGCCAACACACCTGGTTTTAACTTCTCCCGTAACTTAACCGTAGATAAGAGATAGAATTGCGTTGAGACCGATTGACGCTAACACACCTGGTTTTAACTCTCCCGTAACTTAACCGTAGATAGGGGATAGAATTGCGTTAAGACCGTTTGACGCCAACACACCTGGTTTTAACTTCTCCCGTAACTTAACCGTAGATAAGGGATAGAATTGCGTTAAGAACCGATTGACGCCAACACAACCTGGTTTCAACTTCTCTCGCATCTTATCTAGCATGGCCATGGCCAATGTACATAATAACCGTAGATAGGGGGAAGAATTGTGTTAAGACCGATGGACGCTAACACGCCCGGTTTCAACTTCTTCGGGTGAAATGACTAATGAACGCAGGAGATCAATCTTTCAAACATGGTCTATCAAACATTTGTATCCATTTTACTTTTTATTTATTATTACTTGTTCCAGTTTTCCGTTACTTATGGTATATATGTTCCGTTTCTATTTTATTTTATAGTCACGCGTTTAAATAGTGGGAATTCCCCACCAAGTGTGGATTAGCAATGCTTAACCATTCTTTAATGTTAATATCAACACTTGATATATGAACATGGAATATCATACTGTTTTTGGCTGTTTTATTTCATACTTAGGGTATAAACAGGAAAATATCCATAACCTTTCAACACGACGATTTTGTGAAATTTAACGAAGAGCTTTCGCGACGAATTGGAACCAAATAAGCCAAAAGAGCGATTGATCACTCGCGCCAATACCTCGCCGTGATAATTAATGTCGCGCTTATCAATTAGCAATATGACGACAAAAGAGAGATTGCGTAATGAACCAACGCAACTTCGTCTTCTCGGCATCGGTAAAGCGATTGAGACGGCAGAGAAACAGCAAAACGACGGATTCCTCGCGGACCGCAAAAAATTTAACTGCTATCATATATAATCAAATATGAGCCAGTGTGTTTATTCTGTGCGAGATCCATTTTCTATTTACAAAATCTTGATGTTCTGTTAACGGTTTTATCGTTATATATCAGTCCGGACTTGGCCTTGCGCATGATGTTTTTCACAATTCCTCTCAATATTTCGGCCATGTATGATTAACTGTCTTACCAAATGCGGCAACTTATTTTGATTTATCGTCTACTTGAATACCACCGGCACTCGACCAAACTTGTGTCAATCTTGGCCGATAGGATCGCCGACTTGAGTTAGCAAATTAATGTCGTGAGTGTAAAATAAATGTCACAAAATGCATTGTTTTGCGATATAACTTTTGTATTTTCGGAGAAGGCATATCATATAAGTTCGATATTTAAACTATACTCAAATAAATAATATTTAATCTAAATTTATCGCAAATAATGTTTTAAACATTCAGTCCGCGAAATGATTAAATGTAAAATGAAGCATGGTAATCGGAATATCGTCAATAAGTCGACATCAATAATTATTATTATAAAATGCTAACAAGGCAGTAATGTCGGATAATGCAGAAGACGCTGCAAAAACAAGTCTTCGTCGCGAGGAAATCGCAAGTATAATCAAATGAGTGAATACGCTCGTCGTCAACTTCAATGTCCCATTCGGAAAAGAAGTGGATTCAATTGGTTGTTATGATAGGTTTAAATGCGTGGAAAAATATCACAATTACGGGGTCATTACGTAATTGATTTTGCCGTAATTACGGAATTGATTTTTGTCAATTACGTGCAAGCCTAGTGGAAAACTGCCCGATTATATATATCTAGTTTTTATTCGTATCTTGATCTGTTCTTGCAACACTTACTCTACCACAACGCTGCCACTCCGATTATATTCAAGCTATCAACATTAGAAAAATCTCTGTGTCTTAGGTAAGGTATCAAAGACTACAATTTATTTTAGTACAATAAAAAATGATTGAATATGCATTACATTGATTATCTTATATATAATAATAACCAGGGTAAAAGTTGCGTGTAGCCTCTTCGATATATAAAAGGTATATCGGGTGCATATAATTCACTGTATGTTCAAAATCAGTGACTATGGTATAGTTTCTGGAGGCAATTTACCACAATATGTGCCTTGTTTTTTCGATTTACAATGTCTAAAAAAAACTTTTTTTAATCTGTCGACTCCGAAAATAACTAATAGTGTTTTCCGTTATATTTTAACGGAAAAAATGTCATGAAAAACCCCATTAAATATTCTTTCATACCGTACCAGAATGGTTACATACCAGTATGACCGAGCATGTCATGTTAGCTATCACTTTTTATTGTGTTTCAGAAAAGTTAATCCGTAGACTTTGCAAACCGATTCACTACGGTTGTTATGTATTAAAGTGATAATTTGAGGGGAAAATGGCAAGTGACGGTCCTCCAGTACACGACGCAAAGGTCCATCCAGCTCCCCCACCTCCACCCAGTTATGAATTCAACACTCAGTATTCGGAACCTATTTCAGGGGGTGCAGTTGTTGTCACCCAGCAACCTATGCTTGTGATTTCCAACTTCAATACTGCGAGTCCTGTACAGTGTCAATGCATGTACTGCAGAAATTACATTGTAACAAACGTGAGATACGAAGTTGGGTTGATCACTTGGTTTGCTGCAGGATTTATCTGCTTGATTGGATGTGGAATATTTGCTTGGATTCCTTGTCTCATCAACGACATGAAAAATGTTGTTCACACTTGTCCCAACTGCGGAAAAGTGAATGGTATCTACAACAGGGGTCTATAATGAGTTATTTATAAAAGATTTAAGATATGTGGTAGAAAATCTTCACTTTGCCTTTTTACTAAATACCTTTAGAATTATTATTGTGTTACCCTACCACACTATACGTGCCAAATACCTTCCGCCTAACTAGTATCAACTTCATATGATAATTCAATCTCAGTTTTTGCAAATTCTGCTTCAATTTGTATTTAATTCCACAAGCCAAAAATGAACTAAAGCAATGACCAGATAACAATCATTGGATAACAAACGAGTATGCAACCGTATTAATTGACGACTTTTTCAGATATACCATCAACCCTGTGAATTTTATGTTTCCTTCTTTTAATGCACTCATTTCTACTGAGAAGCAATTCTAATTTTAAACTATTGAGTATTCATAATTTGAAATACCATTTTTCAAATGTTTCAAGGTAAATGCCATTTTATTACATGGTGACTATTATTTTTTCACTCATTCTATGTAAGTGCTTGTAAGTCATAACACAGTCATAAGCTCTCACTCACTCATAACCGATCTTTAAGTGACTACTGAAACAATGATGAGCGACAAAAAATCACAATATTATGCTATCTGCTTCATATTACAGCAGTGCGACATATTTGAGTACACATTTGAACTGCTATGTAATAATGGTAATTGCAATGACAAGAATTTAAATAGTTTGTTTGGTCGGGTATGAAGTTTTGTTTGTTATTCAGAATATTTCATTACAACTTGAAGTGGCCTCAAACAATGAAGTGGACAATCTGCTCGGAATCTATTGTTCTAGAAAAAAGTTGCATCTGTATATATTTTTCTATAAATATTTTTTATCTCACCAAATTGCTCTCAGTTCGAAGAAAAAATGATATTGCGATATCTTCATTTTACTATCATTTTGTATTGCTTTGCACGTTTTTCTTACAGTCCAATGAACTTTTTATGTTCCATTCAAGAAGTAATTACTTTTTGATGTTGGGCTTCAGTTAAAACTAATTCTTATCCTCCATAAGTAGCACTGAAATATATTTATAATTAAGTCATCTCGAATGATATCTTTATATCAATCGGGGTTAGAGTAAGAAAATGTATTATGGAATTACGTCTGTTTTCTGTTTCACCAAAATAATTTTCAATCTTGCGAATCTGGTTGAGGTTCTGCGAGCAATGCCCAAATTTTCAACACTTTGATAGAAAGTCCCTACATAGTGTATATGTTGCCAAGTGTTGTGGGTTTAAAAACTTGGATTTTGGCAGAAATGTCGGTGGCATGTGATATTCCTATTTGCAGTAGTATCCTCTGGTGGTATATTATACTATTTTCTCTGTTCCGACAAATAGGAAAGAAAGGCAGCGCTCACTATGTCAATGTATCAGGAATTGCAGCTAATGGTTAATGATCATACAGCTCTTTGCTGATCTGCGGCTCCATGCCGTAATGTTTCTGATGTTCATTTTGATATCAATATAAAGTGAGCGAGTACCGCTGTATCAATTAGTAATTTTCATGCTTCAAATTAGGCCTATTCACAAAATTCTTCATAATACTCTACACCAGATTCTTGTCCCTAGGAGTTTATTGTCCGACGCTTTGTGTTGTATCCCCTTTGTTTATACCTCATTCTCGTGATACTGAATGGGCGCTTTGATATTTTATACGAAAACAAGAAGGCATACGTGCAGGGGTTTTGTCATTTGACAGGATGGTTTCGGTCTGTTCGAACTGAGGGTATATGTACCTATTCTCATGGTGATGTTCTTTACAAATCAAAGCAAATTTATTTATGTTGAAATACTATTTCTATTTTAATCACACCACGCCAATTTTAAAAGAAAAACCTGGACATCCATTGACATTCCCATTTCCTAATTAACGTATAAATAACATGATTATCTGGACTAAAATATACACAAGACGCATAATACACATCAAAAACATAGAGCTGGATTTTCATCGAACATTCCAATGCGAAATCTATTACATTATATCTGCATTTTAATTTGTTGGTCGTTTCCTGAAATTGCTTGAGGAATTATTTCAGTAATTGTAGTAGGATTAGAGGGAAAAAATAATATACAACTTCAAAATCTAGCTATCTTCATAATTCCCTGTCAATAAATGTATTAACTAATTGACCACGATGGTTCCTTTTTGGCTACGATTGGAGAAATTATTGTTGCGAGTGCAGAAGTAGTGATACACTCCAGCCTCTGACATTTTGGCTGCTCCGAAGTCGAAATAGGCATCAGCGTCGTTCAGTGTTTCGCCAGGTTTGCAGTATCCTCCAAAGGCGAGTTCCTTCATCCTGTTTTCTGTCTCTCCCCATAGGAAATTGTCGCCGATATCTCTCGGGTAATTTACACCAAGCGTCAGTTTTGTGCCAGTGTCGCCTTCGGCATACGGCTGCAAAAAGAGAATTGCGCAGTGGTGAACGTTTTGGCTTGAATTGGCGACTTATGAGTTATGACTATGCTGTCATAAGTATCACTCGGTTCATGAATCCGAGTTCACAGAAACTTTCTGTTCCAATAGACTCAAAATGTTTATGCAGGCTCTCCATTAGAACGACGACAATACTTCGCACATACCTAGATTTCAGTACGCAATTGTTTTTAGTAACAAGTTATTATTAAGTAACAACAGCAAAAGGATCCCATTTCGGTTTTGAACTATATATAACGTTAAATAAAATTAGCATACCCTCAGTCCAAGTTGCACTAAATTGTGTCTGTCTGTTCTTCTCGCACCTTGCCCAGCATTGTTTCCTGGGTTATTATCTGATCCAGTCCATTGAATGTGCACATGATCTCCTACATCTACATTCAATATGTTAGGCACAAAGTCATATTCGAATCCCGGGTAAACCTGTTAACGAGACAAAAATGCAGTGATCATCGTCGAAGATTCACATCTTCAAAACTCCCTAATTTCGTAACAGTTATTTTGGTTCAAGTAATCCACTTGAACGTAGATTCGCTGTTCATTCGTTGGTCTTTTAGTTCTTTAATATAATCACCTGTAACCGCTGTTATTTAGATATTTCGCTAAATTCATACATACTGTACTCACTCACTGTCAATGATAGTAATTTTGATACTCAAAAATTCACAATTTTCACTGCTTGTTTATTTGTTGGATATTATTGTCAAGCAAAAATGACGAACAAGAATAAACAAAAGGATCAAGTCATTGAAGAGGAGTTATGTGCCAAATGGTAAAAATAGATAGATGAAATAACACTGATTTACCAGAGAACTTGCTATTTCATGCCTGAAAATACCTATTTATTGTCAATATAAGCCCGTGATCCCAAACTGGCGTGCCGGTTTTACATATGCCAAAACAATTTTCACTGCTTGTTTATTTGTTGGATATTATTGTCAAGCAAAAATGACGAACAAGAATAAACAAAAGGATCAAGTCATTGAAGAGGAGTTATGTGCCAAATGGTAAAAATAGATAGATGAAATAACACTGATTTACCAGAGAACTTGCTATTTCATGCCTGAAAATACCTATTTATTGTCAATATAAGCCCGTGATCCCAAACTGGCGTGCCGGTTTTACATATGCCAAACCTTGCCTAAATGGAGACAATCATTAAAAACTTGCTCTTAGAAACTTGTCTAGAGGTAATTCAAGCTGAAAATAGAACAAATGTAAGACTTTGTTACCTGTGCAAGATTTCCTCTCTTTCCTCGCACATTAAGATTGTATATATTGGCATTAGTTAACGAAGCTGGCCTTTGCTTGATGGCGAAAGAATGTGACCTGTATTACAATACACAAAATTTGTTTATTGTCAATATTACAAAATTGCAATACCGAGTTCCACATTAAAATGTCAAATACAGTTATCAAAGTAACTTGAACATTGATTAGAAACTTAGTACGAAGCGCTTGCAAGAAATCTTTAAATCGATCTAACCGTTTCCTTTATTTACCATAAATATGTACGTGACTTATTTATAAACTTTTATCTACCCAGAGAAATATCTTTTTTATCTAGCAATGGCAGCAAACCTTTCACAAGACAACAACAAGGCAAGCTTTACATACTATTATCAGAGCTGGACATTTTCGAATACCTGATACTTTCAGAATCGAATCGGATATTTTTTTACTAATCGAATCGAATCTCGAATACTTGGGAGATATAAAATTGTATGCAACCGTCTTATTGTATTAGGTTCTCCAGACACATAAATCACTGAAAACATAGGATACATCACTCAGGCAGATTGCTGAGCGTTCGCACACAATAATAAGCACGTTTTTATCAATAACTCACTGCAGAAAAGAGTCATATATATATATATATATATATATATATGTCAGAATTGCGTTGGAAAAACATTGCTTCAATAAAAACAATTGAGAAATTTACCTTGACCATTGGCAGAAAGAAAAAAAACAAGATGGCGGCAATTTGAAATTTTGCTCTGAACCGATTCGAATAATTTACTATTCGATTCGAAATGCCCAGCCCTAACTATTATCAACATTCTTCAAATGTTGTGCGGTAAACACTCCCAGTTAGCATTCAATAAAACATTCCCATACTCATGGGAAATTATTTACTGTTTTTGAACAGTATTCGTGGGATGCATAGGGATATGTAGGAATGAATTAGCCACTCGGTAAGGCATTGCCCACACTTATACAAACCAAACTTAAGTCGTTGATGAAATTTCATTGTTCACTGTAAGTTCTACTCAAACTTGGATTTAATATTTTAAATTATGTGATTTTGTTACTTCCCCTGTTTTGAATGAATATAATTGATTAAATAAATAACGTATATATACCTGTCTTGGAAGGTTCTTCCGTATTGTGCAGTGTTCAAAGCAACACGAAGTTTGAACTTGTTCGCTCGTGTGCGCAAATCGAAAACGTCTACAATTGGATTATCTCGAAGGAAATAATGTCGCCTAGTAGCTTCAAGCTTTTTGTTACTTCTTGGGGATGTTTCGCCATTGAAAGCTGCAATACAAATACTACTAAAATCTGATATCTCTATCTGGAACGCACTTTCGTTTATCCACGAGTCAAGAATACTTTGGTGGGAGCAGCATATCACGAACTTTTAAATAAACAGCCTGATTATTAAATCGTCCACAACTACAATGAGGCGAATCTCACTTTATACTTCAAAGACGTAAACCGGGGGTCGGCAACCTACGGCCCGGGGGCCGGATCCGGCCCGCGGATAAATATAATCCGGCCCGCGACGCTTCGCTGAAGTATAGTAAGAAAACAGCTGTTTTGACGATTATATTCTTCACGTAACAGAATTTATTGTGAGACACGTGTCGACTAAATTATATTATAACCTAACAAGTATATAATTCACAATTACTTGTTTAATGAGCCTATAATTTAATTATAATTAGACAAATGGCAACAAAATGAACAAAAGTTGATGCTAAGTGTAAATGATTTAATGGAGCAAAAAATATCAAATGGTCAGTCTTCGCGCTCTGCTTAAAATTTAACTTTTGACCTGTGTGAAATAAATGTGATTCATCGGCCATCCGTTCGGTTTTTAACTTTCTAAAAATATGTGCGGTCCGTCACTGACTTGCAACATTTATTTTCGGCCCGCGAGTGACAAAAGGTTGCCGACCCCTGACGTAAAAAGTCAAACTCTAATATATTTTTTACAACAAAACATACTTAAGTAATTGTAGATTTCTTCCGGTCCCAAATTGCCATTTGCTCTGTCTAAATTCTTTGTATGGTCTGTGTCCCAGTATTTGAAATCATTTGTTGAAATATTATATCTGAAAAATTGTATTGAATAGAAAGACATTTATTTACATAATTATACAACTGATGGTAATTCTTGATAACGAATAGGGATATTTCTTGGGTACTCATGTAGTATGTGAAGATGGCGGACACCGGAACGTAGCATGTGTAGCAGGTTAGGGTAAGCCATACGAAGTGTTTCAGAGAGGTCGTTTCGTTCCGTGGAATGCGCGAAGCATTAAAATCGCAGTATTTTCGCTTGTTAATATATTGAAATCAAACCTCATTCTTAGAGTGCAATGTTCCTCGTTGATATCAGGGATTGTCCAGATATACGATAATAGTTCTCCTCCATATGTGTTGCCTTGATGGTTATCTATAGACCATGGTGCTTCAAGACATTCTGGTGCGGCAATGCCGTGAGATGGGAACTCTCGCCATTCTGCGTTATACTACAAAAAAAATTTTCATTCTCAATTGTTCAAAGTGGCTACTATACAACAAAATGAGAATTGTAGAAGGAAACGACAACGAGGAAATTACAAATAGAAAAATAGGGGCTCCCGAAGTATGAGAACCGAGATGGCGGACATCGGAATGTAATATGTGTGCTAGGTTAGGGTTAGGCCATAATTTTAGGTATAAATACTACGGGAGGCTCTTGGCTAGTCTTCAAACTGATAATAGGACTAAAATAAGGAAAATTGGAAAAAAATTATCGCCTAACTCTAACCTGTTACCCATGTTACGTTCCGATGTCGCCATCTTGGTTCGCATACTTCGGGAGCACCGAAAAATAAATATAGAATATATATGAATGAAAAAATTACAAATTTTGTACTTACAACAGTTCCATCTTCTAAAGTTACTTGAACCTGCTCGCAAGAAGCTTGGTCGTTATACAAAGTAATTTCTGGCGCTTCGTCATCTTCTAACAATTGGCCCTGCAATTAAATATGGAATTTACATTAATGCTAATATATATATGCCAAAATGTTATCTTTAGAGCGTTGATACCGAACCGGTTCGATTAAAATAAATTGCCGATTTGTGTGTCAAACCCAGCAAATTATCGATATTTCCAGCTAGAACCGCAATTTGCTCTAAATTATAACAAATAATCTTATGTCATATGTAATCTAATCTATATTGGTTATATTTTAGTCGACTTAAAACCAAGTTTCTCTGGCTTCTTATTTAATGAAACTTTTTCAAACAACTATCAAACTCATACAGTTAAGCTTTTAATCCTAATTTTCACTTGTCACCATGTACTAACTTTAACACTCTCCCAGTATTCGTCAGGAAGACTACAAGCCCATTTCGACTTTTCGTTTTGACTTTCGGCATGGTAAAGAGCACACTTTGAGGTATCGGACGTGAGAATGGCGATGTCCTGTTGAATAAAATTAACTGAACAACTTGTACGAAACTAGTTAATCATTTGTTATCATGTATTTTTTTCTTAATTCGTTGCCGGTTTCTGCCCCTTTCACTCGCAACCTTATTTGAATCAGAAGACATATTGCATCTTTATACCTCCTAATTGGGCAAATTGAGCAAAATCAGGGTTAGTGGAATATATATATCGTTTCAACTTTTCATTGTACCGTAACAAAGTAACTAATGTACACATTGTAATAGATATTAATAGAGTTCGCAGGCAAGAACAACAACCGGGCACAAATTAAGTAGTGGGTATGTGCACATAACATATCTTTCTTGAAAAGGGCGCGACCAAAGAACCCCACTGATTGGATGGTTCAGAAAGAATAAAATTATACTGTAAACATAACATCGAAGCATTACAAACGACATAGTTTTTGCATAAAACGTTGATTGGCAGTACATGTCTTGTGTAGCTGCTCACTGTCTTTATGACACCCGATAAGATAGTATTTCAACAGGGAGGCTTTAAATGGCGAATGTCCTTACTCCTAACTTACTTTCCATGGTGTTGGTCCAAAATAGGGATAATAATCTCTTTCCTCTGGGCATTCAAATCCGTGTCTATTACCGTTGTTGTTTTGTCGTGTAGATTGAGCAGAATCACCCATTCTACCTGCCTGTGTAATAAAAGAATGTAATAGTGGAGCTTAGTAGAATAACTACGTCAAAAATTCTAAATTATTATGAAATAATTCTATTTCAACGCCTTTACTCCAAACGCCTGCGTTGCACAGACAGAATATTGTTTGCAGTGCTGAAGTGAAACATTTCATTTTTCATAGGAGACATTTATTTGATAATAGGGCTGGCATTTTCGATACCGGATGATTTTGGATTGGGAATCGAATCGAATACTTATTAAAACTTTCCATATACGCAATTTTGCATATAGATACTCCTCTGCTAATGATTAGGACTAACTAACTTCCTTGGAACAGTTTTGTTTGAAAAAAATATGGTATGATATATACAATGACTTACTCTGTTGGCGACGAAAAGACCCTTATTTCTTTCGCGGCTTGCACATTGCTCGTAATAAGTTAAAGACTCGTGATGGCCATATTCTGGATTGGTATCACAGTCTCCATCACATTCCGTTGGTGCCTCGTCTGTGTTCGTACCGTCTCTCAAGTTTTCATCGCACATGTATTGGATGACTACATTACAATTATTGTTTTCATCATTACACGAGTGCTGATTTGCCCTGAAATCAAATTGTATGAGAAGTGTAACGTAACAAAATGAAATGAATTATTAAGTGAGAAATTTTCGAACTCTAACCGACGTAATGGTTAAAAATCGTTGCTTGTGTTCATCGTTTTTTTGAGACTTGTGAAGAAATGTTAAATAATATATATAAATACAATTAGCAAAATAGTTTATAATGAAATTCAACATACTAACCATTGGATTTCGAGTTTTGATCCAGCGTAGTAATACATTTTCCCAGGAAAACTGCCAACATTGTGTCCTCCTCTGTCGTTATTCTGAGAGTCAAACAATCTATTGGCGTTCCTACGTCCACGAGAAGCTTCGTCACAACGATTGTTGCTGCCTCTATAACAGAACATATCATACTGAGATCTCGTGAGGTAAAATTATTTTTAGGTCATTACTTCACGGCGGTATTGTATAATGATGAACTGTTTTCTTTTCTGCCTTGCTGACGGGCGCATCAGGTAGGTAATCGAATTGCGTTTGGAGTGGTGAAATTGAACAAATGTTGCCTCTTAGGACCTAATAGGCCACAGGTTGTCGAAACAATGTTTACAAAATATTGTTTAGTACGATAAAAGTAAATACAAACGGAAAGGGTGCCAATAGCGTAAAATTAAGAAATAATACACAGCAAAATATTACCAAAAATACATGCACAGATGATTTATCTATTACCTTGGAATTGATTCGGCGTGCTGATAAATTGTAAAATCGTCATGTAGCTTAAAATAGCTGTCTTGGTGTTAGTTGGATATTTCATTAAAATTAAAATATGTTACCCGTAACGCCAAGCAGGAGATCTTACCAGAAGGAATCGTAAGTTATCAAGCAGAGCACAAATGTCTAATTTAAAAATATCAGTTCATAATAATTATAAAAAAAATTGAACTATTCCACAGGTTTTGGATAATTAAAATGAAACAGAGACCTCTATTATAATTGACATGCATACCTCGGATTTCCCATATTGATATCACATCTTACGATGGTTATTCCAACGATCAGATTGAATAATACAAGTAATTTCATTGCGTAATCTTTCTCTGTGTTAAATGGACCTTTAATAATATATATACAGATGATTATTAAGTATAGAAATTTTTTGTTTTGTGTGTAATAAAGTGGCTGTGACTATAGTACCATGGAATTCAGTGAAAAATTTGGGAGACCGGAGAAGAGAATCGAATAACTACATATTCAAATAATTATCTTGAATGTTGAAAAAAGATGGGGATGGGTATACCAGCATGATTTGCAGTCTAACCAAGGTAACATCAAATCGTTCGCAATTCCATATTAAATTTTACTGAATAAATGCACACGCGATTCAACGTGTTTTCAAGTGCATCAAAGTAAACAACAAGATCTACGAGAACATAGGCCATTTCAAGACTCCTTCTCTTGGACTCCACTATCTCTAATTTATAATTCTAACGGGAATACTTTTTGCAAATCCTTATATGAAATAAAAGTCCTATTTTTATTATTTAAAAGTATTTATCTCCAATGTCGATCAAAACGAATATACAACAATATCGTTCAAATAGCATCTTGGCAGAGTGAGTAGTATCGCACAAAATCGTTGTAACTGGATTACGTTCGTAACAATTTATTTATTTTTACACCTAAAATTCCAGTATGACTCGAGATTGTACATGTTCGTAACAATTTATTCATTTTTACACTTAAAATTCCAGTATGACTCGAGATTGTACATGTTCGTAACAATTTATTCATTTTTACACTTAAAATTCCAGTATGACTCGAGATTGTACATGTTCGTAACAATTTATTCATTTTTACACTTAAAATTCCAGTATGACTCGAGATTGTACATGTTCGTAACAATTTATTCATTTTTACACTTAAAATTCCAGTATGACTCGAGATTGTACATGTTCGTAACAATTTATTCATTTTTACACTTAAAATTCCAGTATGACTCGAGATTGTACATGTTCGTAACAATTTATTCATTTTTACACTTAAAATTCGAATCTGACTCGAGATTGTACAAAGGTCCCTATACTCACGACTAAAACGCTTGGTTCGTATGTCGCCTAAGAACGACATCCCTGACTGCAAATTATTCCTTGGTGACAAGGCGTATAAGTTGCAAATAGCGATATATTACGTAACGGAGTCCAATTTATTTTCAAACAAATGTATTCAATATTATGACAAATATGATTTAATAATAACAGAGTCGCAATAGCACTAATTATCCACATTATATATTTGCAGATATGAAAATACAAAAGACGGAAATTTTGTAAGATATCGGCGGGATGAGTAATGTCCATAATTATATAAGCCCGTTAAAATAACACTATGCGATGGAATATATTTATATATAACTTAATAATCTATATTTTAATACAACTGAAATTTTAATAAGGCGGATGTAGTCAATTCCGACTATTCATAACGAGAATAATGAGGATGAGGAATACAAACATTCGCATTTACAATCTAATGACATACTGAACGCTGTAATTACATAACTTTATACAAAATTGAGATGCTGTATTCAATGCAGTGTTACATAGAATTAACTAGCGAGTTTGTACGCATTTTAAATTAAAATACGTGAATTTTACTTGTATTAACAAAACTCGGAATGATATTTGACTTTCTTCGATTTTCTTGGTTGGTCAATTTTTTCAAATTAACAAACTGCTATAAAATGATCAGATCAATTTTCAATTTTAATATCCAAGAAAAGTACTTTGCTCAAATATAGCATATTATTCGTGGTTGCTAACAGAATACAAACACAGCAACTGCATTCTATGATGGTATGTGGTGTATGTACCATCAGATGTAGTGTACCATCATCCCTTTACAATTTCAATTTTGTAATGAAGTCAGTTCTCAATGTATCTTAACCAGGTTTGCTGTTTTTAATCAGTAAATGTATTTTTATTTCTATTTAGTACATCCGTGGGGCCAAATATATGGTACCGATAAATTCCTCTTTGCAATTTAAATTTTTTTTAATACTTTATGGACACATTATATTTATGTTTGTTATACTAAACTAAAGCAACGCCTCTTGTGCAGTATATGGTTATGTGTGGATATGGAGGGGCAGTTATTTACGCTGGTCTTTTTAACGATCAGGTTGATTAATATGGAAAGTAATTGCATTGTGTGATCTTTATTAAGGGATTTTCAATAGTATCCAAATTCATACCTAAGCACTTTAAAATAACATTATGCGATGAAAATTAGCGATATATATATATATGCTATAATCGCTGTAATAACGCTATAATCTATTCTTTATTTATTATAACTGGAATTTTTTAAAGGGCGGATATAGCGGATTCCGACTATTCATAATGAGAATAAAACACATAATGTTGATGAGGAATACACACATTTGCATTTATAAACTTCGAGATATTGAAATAATGGCATATTGAATGCTATAATAACATAACTAGCTACTGCATTCATTGCAGTGTTACCCAGAATAAACTAGCATCAATTTTGAATCAAAATACGTGAATTCTATTTCATTCAACAAAACTCGGAATGATAATTGATGTTTTGCAGTTTACTTAGTCAATCAAGGTTTCAACAAATTGTTATAAAAACAGACAGATTACATATCAATTCGAGATAAGCACTTTGCTTCAATCGTAAATATATACTACTACGCTTCAATATATGATATATTATTCGTGGTTGTTATCAAAATATAAACACATGATCTCCAGTCTATGATGATATGGCGCAGTGATGTAGTATGAATGATTTTTCGTGTTTATGGGTTTTAGACACTTGTTTATGCGTTCTACAGCAGCTTCAGTTATGAACTGTCATCGTTCCATATTGATAAATTGGTGCTCCCGAAGTATGCGAACCAAGATGGCGGACATCGGAACGTAACATGTGTAACAGGTTAGGGGATAATTCTTTTTCAATTTTCCCTATTATTAGTTCGAAGACTAGCCAAGAGTCTCCCGTAGCATTTATACCTAAAATTATGGCCTAACCCTAACCTAGTACACAAATTACATTCCGATGTCCGCCATCTTGGTTCGCATACTTCGGGAGCCCCGATCAATTTTCGTTGGCGTGTTTGTTGCGCTAGTTCTTCTTGTATATTCCTGTTTGTAAACTAATCGGCATGCGTCAAATGACTGCGATATATTTCTGATTGTAAACCTTGTTCTTATATAATATATATGATATCTCTTTTGTTCGTCTCTTTACTTTTTGTGTTGCTTTGATTTATGTCAGAGAACCGAAATAAAATGATTGATTGAATTCACTGACAGGCCATGTATATAAGTAGGTTTATTTGCCTCAAAAATATAACAGTATCTGCATAATAATTAAACAGTAAAACACAGACGGGAATACATGTTCAAGACCTTACTGGCCTAAGACACAGATGTGCGACATCCACCCCTACTAACAATTATAACAGCAGTTTAGGACTGCTGCGTTATAAAAGGACAACAGACATACATGTTATATAAGCATATATACATGTTATAGAAGCAGGTTTCCAAATAATCGATGTCTTTAAGATCCTACAAAGACAGGTATGAATAATTCTGTGTTAAGAACTCATTTACAATGAACTAGAAATACCGTGTATTAAGTAGAATATATTCTTGAAAAATGAGAGGGTTCTCTAATTCTTATGATGTCACAAGTTTCCAACCTTTTCCGGGTTAGGCCATAATTTATTTCTGAATTTTCTTATTCAGTTCTATTGCGAGTTCGGGAACTGTTCGTGTTAGCCAAGTGAATATACTCCCTGTCCATAAGCTTCCGTCACTTTACACAATTTGATGTGAAGTAGGCGAACAAAATTAGTTACCTCCATATCAGTACATATACTTCTGAAGCGCCTAGAATTGTTTCCGTTATTTCTTCAATCTTTAAAAGACCCTCGTTTATTATGGCTTTTCCAAATTTATGCTGTTGCATTAATATCCGTTACTATAATACCAGTAAAACTACACCATATACAAAGTTGTATTTCCTCCCCGAAAACAGCAAAATTCCTACCTGGTTGTGAACCCCTGCTTAATATGCCTTGTTACTCTAAAAATCTTGAAGTGTCCTTTTTCAAAATCATTTCAACATCAGAATCTAGAGAAACAGACAATTTATTGCAATATTAAAAAAAAAACTACAATAGGGAGGCGGGGGGGCTCCTGGTTCGGCAACTCAGTCACTGAAAACAATCGATGGATCTAACATCTGAGCACATTATACTTGCAATTTTCCACGCTTGGAAGCAATGTTGGAAGACATTACTCGGAAGTTCATTATAATCTGTGCTTTATGTGCAAATCTAAATTTCCAATCAAATAATGCTACATCAAAGCTAAGTTTTCATATCAAGCTCAGTCCTTCGTCCAGTTTTCTTTTCTTATTACAAAGTTCTTGTTTCAACATTCTTATTCTATCATCAATTTCTTGCAATGTGAAATCCCTTTGATCAGTTTTTCCATGTCTCGCCAACATATTTTCAGAAACTGTCGTAGAATCTTGCTTGGCGTCAACAAAATATTCCGGTGATGCACCTTCAATTGCGAGAACTCTATTTTCCAGGTTTTTCAATCTCCCATATATATCAGATGACTGGCCTGTTATAAGGTTAAATTTGTGAAATATTACCAAGAGATCAAGACTAGAAAAGGTTTTCTAAATTACCTGAAAGGATCGAGTGTTGTATCAGTGCATTTCATAATTTTAAATTCTGCATTTCCTCTTGTGAGGTTTTGACGGCAACTGATTTCTTTCTGTGTACTTTACAAGGAAAAACGTGGGGCAAGTACCCTAGTGGTAGAAGCGTTTGACTCAACAATGATGGTATCGAATGTTAAAATCTCATATCCACTGGCCACTACCTTACCCAGGGTGTACTAGATTGGGTAGGATTCCGGTCCTTTCGAACTTTGGTAGCTACTTGCCTAGCAAGGCAGATCGAAGGGCATATCGAATATATGAAAAAGTGCACTAAATATAAGAAACTGCAGCAAATATTCTCAATCCTGTAAACTGATACACAAATGTAGCTAAACATTCAATAAATATGTGAGATATATCCACTAGACTCACCAGAATCCACCTGTAAATGAGATTCTAAATTTTCTAATCTTTCTGCTACAGGTTGAGGTATATTCAATGTTTGTGGTTTTCTTGGGATTGGTTTATTTGTCGTTGGTTCTCTCCATAAGCCTTGTGATGTTATACGAAGTTGTGGACCTTCTGTATTCATTGCTTTACTCACTGAATAAAACAAAGCAGATATAAAAACTATAATGCTTAGAAGGTATATTCTAAACTGATATGGGTAAATTTTAAGGATGATCAATGTTGCTGTTAGCTAGTGTCATTTCCTGACACTGTTGGATATGGAAATGCCATTAGATATTGGTTCATGCTAATAATAAATTTATTTCGACTCCACAATCAGCATGACAATAAAATGATTGATGAAAACAAATAAATTAAAACTGATTATGAAATTGAGAGAGCAAACAAAACCTTAAACAAGGTTTAAAACGTACAGAATGTATATAATATGGAAGATTTTGCCACGAAGAAGTGGTACGTGTTCACTCACCTAAAAGGCTAAGACTTAAAGCAGGTTATAGTGGGTGTTAGACCTAACTATGTATGGTGGGTGGCATTGTGGGTTAATATCACAGGTTCAAATTCCGTACCCATCACCTCACCGGTGTAATAAACTGGGTAGTCAAAAAGGTTGCTGTCCTTCCGAGCTATAGTAGATTCTTACCAGGCACCGGTTGCTTGTACAGAGGCTTATTAATCCATCGTATAAAAGCATTAGGGTTAAAGCAGTCAATATGTTGAGGTTGCATTTTGCTGGTAGGAGTAATTTTGAACACAAGATCCTGAGAAAACCTCACTCTAATAAAGTTCATACAATGGCAGATAACTCATTACTCATATTCATTTGGCTGGTAGCGGTTACAGCATAAGATTGTGGAAGAACTCCACATCTAATAAAGTTAACACAATCGCAGACGGCATTTAATAATCTACGAGCACTCGATAAATTCCAATTGACAGATGGGATTCTAAAAAACCAAGGGTGTGATAACAGGAATATTCCTGATCTAGGCCTTGATTACTAAATTGATTGCAATAACAGATAGCGTGAATATTACCTTGCATGTGTGATGAATGAAAACTTCTGGGTTTGTAGCATGCATTTGTCCTTGCACATCCTGCATTTGTGCTAAAAATATATGGCAAGACCTATTAAATTATACACATGATAACAAAGAATACTGTATCATTAGTAATGAAAGTGCATTGTATACCTTGCAGAACCGACATCACAAAATTCTTTTACATTCTGTTCATCGACTACATTTTGTGCATGTGACATGAAAGCACGGATTCTTTCATTCAGCTGCAAAACATTTTTGAATGTTGAATATATTGTACAAAAAATTGATTAATATGTTTATGCTTGTGGGGTGAATTTGTACTATGCATAAAAAGGCAAACGATGAGTTTAGAAGGGTAACAAGGAGGCAAAAGCATCCACTTCAACCATACGATTTTCATATTTATCATTGGGGACGGAAGCCCATAAGACAGAGTAATCGTACCACAGCCACTCGTCCATGACAGGTATGGAATTAATTAGTCAGGTTTTTGGACTTGATGATGGAAGAAGTCGCAACTGAACAGTGGGTATGTGAACCGTTCTACGGCGGTGAAGAATCCAGCAATCCTTTTACGCATAATTATTGCCATGGGATTTGAACCCATGCAGAGAAATCATAGCCGCGATGATAAGTAATTCCTAATACTTAACACTCTCATCCCAATCTGGCTATGTTTCTTTGTAGTAACTATCGAATAACTGACGAAACTACTAACGAGCAGCCAAATTATAAGTTTATATATTACCTGTTGGTTACTTGCAGTAATTTGCACAACAGCAGAATCTACTTTTCTAAGTGCCTCTTCTTTTTTCTTTTGCTCAGCAGCTAAAGTCTACAACACAGAGGTAAACTCATTGAAAATACATATATAGATATGCAATTGAAAATCGCTTGATATTGGATTAAAGCGCTACCGGTATGTTATGTTCAATTTTTAAATTTGAAAATCAAGCTTGCCTATAAAACACTGAAATCAAATCTGTAGCTTATATGAACTTACTGAAAGACATTCTGACAATCGTAATAGAGATTCTGTAACGGCCTTCGAATCTTCATTACAGTTTGTTTTGTCATATTCAACTCTGGATATTTTGTGCTGTCGATAAAATATAAAACTTCATGTTAAACATATCCAAACAATTTAGTAAACATTTAAAGTAAAATAGTCATTCTTGATATCTTTTGGTCTCTCTCTTTTTTCAGTACCTCTGTTAAAAATGTGTTGATGTGCATCAAAGCCCTGTCAATTATGTCACATTGGTCTGACTCCATTTCCATTCAACTGTTCAACAGATGTTTGTAACCTTTACAGTATTAGAAAAATATAGCAAGCATCAATCATGTACTATTTGAAAATTTATCCCAATTAAATCTTCTGTGCAAATTAAGAGAAAACTATAATTGGAAAATGTTTCAAAAAACCTTCAAAGTAAGTTTGCATGCTGTACTATGAACTCTAAACCGAAACGGGTTTTTAAACCAGTTATTATACTCTTTCCATTTTCCATCTTAATTTTCATGGAAATAAATTTGATTAATAGTCTACAAATATCTGAATATATACATGCAGTCTATGCCTCAACAGTTTGTTTCCATTTTAGTCAGCACCGCAATACTGCATGCAATTTACTTTTTGTGAAAAAAAAATGAAACAAAATTCAATAATAAATAAATGTAAATTCAAACATTCATTAAGTAGGCTACCTCCATTAATCCTTTATCCTATATCACACATACATACGGTATTTTTGAAAGTGTGATTAAATCCCAATAAAGAAATACATCAATATTATAAAAATTCGCGTGAAATATTTAGAATCTCCAATTTTTCGAATGGGTAATTTTCCGCTACTCACCTCGTTTGGATGCACGTGATACTTTTGTACGTCACGTGAAGTAAACACACAATAATTTGAAACGTCAAAATCTGACACAGAATATTCCCCTTTTCTTATGTACTTGTTATTGAGAAACAATTCGATTGCCTTTTTCCTTTCTCGCATCAAAACAACGAAGTAACAGGAACTTTGGTCACATGATCGAAACTTTGTCGAGAGCGACGCGTGGGCCCGATTTAGTGCGGAAACAATTGCCTGAACGATTCGTGGTGCTTTAACTTGGCTAATTCCATCTTGTCACTATAGTTTAATTCCAGTTTAACGTTATATATTGATGTCAGAGATCTCCATCTTTCTAGCATGAAATTGGCAAGTCCACTTTCATTCCTGTGAATCCACAAAGTGATTTATAGTCACTTTGTGAATCCCCAGAGCATACCGGTAATACTGCAGTAGTAAACTGTCCAACTTGTGGGGAAAATTTTGAATCTATCCAACAGGAAGTTAGCGAAACTAGTTTGATGTAATTCCATCAAGGCACAGTATAGTGAGTCGCTTGTTCGGATAATCCTATTGTAACTCACTGATAGTTTTGGTAAATTACCATAGTATTAGAATTTCGAATATTTCATTTTTACCACATGAAGGTAGTGAGTTTATAGACTATTTATATTCCTGTATTTAAGGTCAAGAGTGTTGGTTAATACTGCTGTACTGTGTTAAGAATAAGTTCTAAAGTTTGTGATATAGGCATACAGACATAACTGTTATATTCGTACTTGGGTACTTTTATTGTGCACAGAAGTAAAACTAAGCGAACTTGAGCTAAATATATATCGTTAAACATAGCCCACTAGCAGAAGTTTATAGCTTAGTTTTTAATATTTTACTTTCGGTTTCTTGGAAGAGAATAAAGACTTCAAGTTGTAGTGCTGTTGTGGTTACTGCAGTGCGAACAGTTTCCCATTTTCTGCTTTGAAGAGATATGTTCTTCAAGCAACTCTATCTATTGTTATGGAAAAACTTTACTATTCGTCGAAGACATCTCGTGAGTACTTCTGATTCATTGATCACAGTATAGCAATATGCAAATACAACTGTCTGACTGTAAGTGTTGAAATAATTTGACTGCATGATTAAATTGTATCATTGTGTGAAATCATCCTCTGCTCTCAAGGATGGGAACAGATAATGAAAAAAATGAAGTGTGAACATCATTGTGAAATGCTTAAAAGTATACTGAAGTTGCTCCCCATGAATGTTTCGGACCTGTGCAGGCTCGAGTGTCGAGATACGCTTATCACCGAGCACAGTTATTACTTTAATAGAACATAAGGATCGATTGCGAAATATTACAATATTACTCTGGTTAAACATAATTTAATCATAGATTTCATGGCCCTAAAAGTGATGTGTTTTTGAGGGAAATATCCGGCATCCGACGAGTATAGCTAGGTTTTGTACCGATTGCACCACATGTACATATGCTAGTAAACAAGACATCCATGACCAGAAACGTCTGTAAGCCAGTTAAATATTTATTTCTCATCTATTGTACGATGTTATTACAATGTTTGAACCTTATATATCGTCTCATTAGCTATTATGCTTATGAACTCAATGCAGTTTCAGTACTTTAATTCCTTTTTTAAAAGCAATCCTGAATATGTCGACTTAAATTTTACTATACCTCTCACTGTTTCAGGTTCGAACTATCATTGAAATACTATGGCCAATACTACTATTCTCAATTTTGATTGCTGTCAGATTAACTCAACCAGCAGAAAGATTACAAGAATGTATGTAATGTTATCTGTGCATTCCCTGTTTTATGTGATTGTTATTACCATAATATTTGTTAATGATAGTTTTTTATGAATTAAATGCAGGTAAAAGTACCTAATGTTCTTGAAACAGATTTCGTAACCGAAAACCTTTAATTTATGGTTGAAACGTTTATTATGGTAGACTACAAATAAGAGGTGAATGGGCAGACATCTAATTAGGAGCCATGCATGTATCCAGTTCAATTCACTACAGTTTTTTTCATGCCCTTTTCTCCGAAGAAGGTCTTGAACAAATGCCCACTGATATCTAACCATATTATGTAAGGAACTACTATTTTTGCAAAGACTTTGGGTTGGAATTTTTTTTTAGTTCCGCTTCGCTTATCCAATTTATTTCACCCTGGGTAAGGGGGTAAGCAAAGGATTCATGGATTTGAACCCAAGATGTGCAACCTGCCATGCCAAGACAGTTAGTTAAGCAACGCTTCAAACGCTAGGCCACCGCACCATAGTTGAAAATAAGCAAGAATTTTTCCGATTTTCAAATGTTTGTTATAAAAAATGTAATATATACAGGTAATTATTCGAAGCTGAAATTAATCATCTAATTCATTAATTGTATTGTTTTTATTTTAAGGTCACTATCCAGCAAGAGCACTACCGTCAGCTGGTGTTTTTCCTTGGATACAAACTATGTTTTGCAATCTTGATAATCCATGCTTCCATGTTCCTGTAGCATCAGAAACACCAGGACAAATTAATGAACCATTCAACAGCACCACAGGGTAAGTCCAGAAATCTGTCAACTCTGAATACCTAGATTCCTTGTTTAATTCTTGAATTTTTTTGGACATTTTTGCCCGATCGAATGTTGTTAAGTATTGCTTCTCACCTAATTCATGACGATTACATTCTTTGTTGTCTTGTGACAAACTGGAAGCATTTTAGATACAATATTTCTAGTATTCTTGATTATTTCGGGAGACTTTATATGTAAAATGTTGAACAACTTTCCAAAATTCACCTGTATTCTATGATGGTAAATATTTACTTTTCCAGCCTCACAGGGGGATTAAGCAATGTTTTAACAACAATAGAAGAGGAAACAACAATATTCACTAATCCTGATGCTTTTGTCCAGGATATAACAATTTTACAAACAATGATAAATGAAATTGCTAGAGAGGATTCTGAAATCAAAGGTGAAAATGGGTCGTTTATTTATAAGAGAAACCACAAATGGTAGCCATTTTACATATTGTTAGATATCAGTTGTTCTATGCGGACACTGTGAATTAACATGGTATTCAATTCAATTCGTTTATTACTCCATACCGCTGTGGTCCATATAAAAACAACACAACAAATAAACATAAGCAAAACAAAAATAACGCAATAAATACATAAAATAACTGATATGACAAATAGATTCACAGTAAGTCTCAAAAAAGAGTTATAATATAGCAATTCAAAAGACCAAAAGTGAGGTATAGAATCTAAGGTAGCCCGTGACAAACAGTATCTGGGAATCAAATAATGATTGTAATAGAATGTTATTGGAGTTCCTGTATCTCGTCATGAACAACCACAGATTTTTTCTATGGAGTGCTTCGAAAGAGGGAATGTTCCCAGATACCATTTTGTGACGGACGAAACATAAGTCAATACAGAATTACAAAGTTTGATATCAGGCAAATTATTCAGCCTAAACTTTTTATTCTGGATACACATACAAACAGATTTTTTCGAGTTGTACAAGATGTCATGTTCAATAGAGTATTTATCGCATATGTTAAGTAAACGTTGAAGACCTTTGGCTGAAGGTGAAATGCAACACATGTCATCAGCATAAAAAATATGATTGATAATATTGTTATTTGCTACACATCCAATGGTCTCTTGATTCAACTTTTTCTAAATGAATATTTATTTTTGTGATATTTCTCTTCTTACAGCAACTATATCAAGTTTAATGGGAGATAGTGGAGCGACCAAAACTGCATTGATAAATATTGGATTGAGCAATGATCTTGCAGATACAATATTGCAAAGTAAATTGAACATGTACCAGGTAATATCTCTTCACTTTTAGTAAATATTCTAAGATTGGATATTTATACCATTTATGTGGTATTAGTTATTTAGTTTCCCATATGAATATTGCAGTATTTACAATCTGAAAGTCTGTAAATAAAACGGATTTTTTGCTTTTTGTTTAGGTCGCTCAATTAAACAGTAATTCGGATAAAAAGTCATTGGTCTGTAATGTTACTGAACTTTCTGCTGCAATAACTATACCTGACACAGCTCCATTGACTGTTAATGAGACTTCAGCACAACTCTGTGCTCTCAACAGCTCACAGCAAGATGCAATGTGGAATGAACTACAAAGTGGGGTCGATTTGAACAAGTTTTATGAGGCTGAGGTATGTTCACTACTCACTTTCCAATTTTTTATAGTAATGTATATATTCTTTTTAAATGTTTTAGTATTTTTTTAAAAAGCTGTTGTTTTGGTGCTCTATGTTAGATTGAGGAATATTTTGAATGTGCACTTGTATTACAGTCTAGCAAATAATGAATTATTTTCAAATAAACTACCAGTACCACACTGGCTGTATCTCTTTGCTGTATTGTTTTGGTGCTACCATTGTCATGGTTTTCTCGACATTTTAGTTTTTATGTCACCATTATAATCTGGGATATTTTTAGTTTGTGTATTCCTATTACCTTGTTGTGTGTAACAACCGTTAGTCATGCTGTATGTTTGTCATTACTTTTCGATTACTTATACTTATCGAAACCGCAGTTTCGATCGATAAGTCTTCGGCCTCCGACCAATATTCTCGTTTTGTAGTTTGTTAACTTTAAAATAAAGTCAGGTTTTCATAATTGATTGAATTCTTTATTTAAAAGAATTTATAATAAGACAATGGGTGTTGTTATTTATGAATAGTTGTATAGTTAAATCAGTGAAGACATGGGTCATATAAATATTGCTGATGTAAATTTCTAAAAAAACATGATGTTAAGAATACGAAAAATACAAATCATGGAAATTTTAGATAAATTTATACATGAAAAGATTAATTTATTAGATTCAGATTTGATAATTTTATTACTGAAATGGTCACTGTTTTGAATCCACAGTTTCATGTGTTATTTATTCTAGATGATTTTTAAAAAATTAATAATTCAGATGAAAAATATGGAAATATTAACTAAATATTAAATAAAATCTAAACAATTTAACTACTTGGATATATTTGATGTGGACAATTTCGTATAATATGTGAACCACGATTAAATAATAACTAACACTTGTAAAGCGAAATACCTTAATAGCCTACTTCTTATAAATATTCCATGACCATAAGTAAACAATTTTTCCCATAATTATAGAATTTTGCTATAATCGAAATATATAAAATGTTCATCAAGTTAATTACTATTTCAATTTTGTTATGAAGTCAATTTTCGGTATATCTTCACCGGGTTTGTTTTATTTTAATCAGTGTTTATTTAAGCTTTTTTGTAAACTGGAAGGGTCATTCTATTTGCAAAATTGCAATGTTTAAAAATTTGAGACTTCAGAAACAACTTGTGTTTGTGTATAAATATATTAATCTATTGATTTATTTTTAACAAAGGGTCAAGATCTTCTGATACAAGCAGGTACTGGCAGTGGTTTAAACACGGCAGATCTTGCCATTTTCGTTGCTTTACGTCTACCTCAATTAAATCAAGAGTTACAGAAAGTTCTTGCAGCTATGACCGACCTAATGTCTTCATTAAGTCCAGATGGCAGTGGTAATATATTCACTTCGGCTATTGGATATGATTTAGCATCAAGACAAGGATTTGCGGTTCGTTCATTTGTTTGTATAAATTGCTTATATTATGAAGGGTTACAATTACAATTGTTGACTCCAATCATGGCTTTGTGCGGGGATTTTAGTTTCACAATAAACTGTTTAAATGGGAAAAAGACATCTAGACAGAGGAAGACAATATACTTGACTTTAAAAGTATGTTCATGACTAGACACTCAACTGTTTGAGCCTAGTTAATATGTGAAGTTGTGTTAAAAATTGGTTAAAAGCAAAATATCAAAATTTTTTGAATTATCTTCATAAATCAGCTATTTCATATTATCATATTCCATGAATATTTTTTCCTCTTTCATTTCACCATAAAGTTAACTTCGAAAAAACTTCTAACAGTTTCGGCCACTAGACTAATATAATCATTTTCCATCTAGAAAATTAGAATTGATTTCAAAATTTTATTTCTCTTATCGCTAAATTTATGAAATAAGATTTTCTAATCTACAGGATTTCTGTGGCCATCCGTACCCCAAAGAGTCATTTGGTCAAGCAGCTTTGGGAGGAATATCTGAACTTGTGTTGAGATTGAATGATAATTCGTGAGTTTCAATATTTTTTATGAATTATTGTATTTTTATTTAATGTTTTTATCAGATATTGGTGCATTTAAACTTTTCAAGGTATATATTTATAAAAATGAAAGAGCTTTGAGCCCCCGATGTTCACTGTCGGTATACCTACCGACAAAAAAAATTTTTATTTCCAAAATTTTTTAAAAAAAAATTTCAGTTATGTAGAATTCACTACTTTATAGCTGTTTTTTCTGATTTCATTGAGATAAACTTCTCTAACTCTGGTATCATTTGGTATTTACTAACTAGCAATTCTACACTATAATGATTTATAGTCTAAGTAGCTATTGGCATTTTAGTGGTCGCTTGTATGCAGTAACTTTGCCCAGAGTTCAACCTTTTATATGTCTGAAGGAGTACCTGTGACCTTGCATTGAGCAAATCTTCTTATAAAAAAAATGTACGTCTGATTTAAGTCCCCAAGGGAGCTACTTGTAAATATGATTATCTGAACAATGAAGATGTATTATTATCTTATCTCTAGTTTGATTTGAAATAAATACCCAGAGCAATTATGAAAACAGTATTTGGATAATATTTGATAATTACAATTTACAACTACTTTCTTTTTCCAGTTCTAGTTCAGACTTCTGCACTAATTTAATCACAACTTTTGAGTCAAATGAAGAACTTGGGTTTGCTTGGTCCGTTTTAAAACCTGTTCTTTTTGGTGAGTGCATTTTTCACTTGTGTACCAAATTTTATTAATGCTTTTTATTTATTGTTGCAAGTCAAAATTATCGTATTTGTAGTCAAATCGCATTTTGATCACTCTTTATTTTCACTCACTGCGACTTCATTTTGGAAAAATCAAAATCATCTCAATCAAAATGGTTTAACCTGCTTTGTCATCAAAGTTAAGCATTCAAGTATTATTTTCAGGCAAAATTCCTTTTTCTCCTGATACCAATATTACAAGGGATATCATGAGTCGAGCCAACGGAACATTTGGTGCAATCGCTAACCTTGACTCTCTTACTCTACAATGGATCGAAAAAACTGGACCTGAGTTATATGATTATTTACAAAATGATCCAACAGTTGCTCTGTTTCGGGTAGGTAATGCTATTCTTGTTAGCAACCTAATATATCATTAGGAATTAACCATAATACTAAGTGGAGCCAAATTGAATAATTTAGAATATCCATTTGTAGGTAAAATTGCCAATCAGTTGTCGTTGAAATTTTCATTTTAAAATAGTATTTTAATATCCACTCTGTGGAGTTCTCTCCCATCTGTTTTTCGACAAGTGCGGTTCTCTTATTTTCATAACTCGCTTCTAAAGAGTGTCATCACTTGTGGCACCCTAGTTTTACAATTAACGCTCCTTTCAAAAGGTATTATATGCACCATGTTCAAAAATAAGAAAGCCAATAAATGTGTTACGGTCATAGCATGAAACGACTCGCATGTTTATGACCATGTTCTTGTAAACCCGCATGACCAAAATTAAAAATAAATTAGAGAGAATCACATCTATTGAGAAACAAACATTCTGTTCCATCCTTTATGAATTTACATGTCTTGTGGTCTATGTGTGTAGTTCGTCTGACTGTTCACCCACTTTCAGGTTACGCCAACTTGACTATCAATAAGTTACTATTTATACAACATTTGTTTATTCACCGATAACACTACAGTATATCTATCCAATAGAAGACCATTTATATTTACTTGTGTTAAACGATTTATAAACAGACCATCCTCGATGCGGACTTGGGTTCAACTGGTGTTATTGACATATCAGAATCTCAACTCACGTTTTTACGAGCTTTTCTATCAAACAATGAAACATCAAATGTTAACGGCACAGTCACATGGAAACAACTTTACAATCAACTCAACGTCGGCATTCTCTTAGTTCATAAGGTTTGTTTATAACTTGATGTTTTTCATTTTTATAAACAAGGTGACCGGAAAAAATCAAACCATAAATTTCTTGATCACTTCTACGCCAATCGAGTGAATTACGGTATTTAATTTTGCCTACACTTTAACTCCTTTTTAAGAATGATTGTACCCAAAAGTTTCTGTAATTTAGGACTCCTTGCACTAAAGCTATGTTTGAAATATGTTGAAACAATGAACAAATCTGATATACGGTAGTTTGCCAAAATCTTGGCTAATATTTTTAAAGTTTGTACTTTTCTCATCACACCTTAAATCATGAGTTTTACTAACTATTTATAGTGTACGTTGTTAATATAATATTCAGAACGAAGACGACAAAGTAATCTCAAACCATTGTTTGTACTAGTTGCTATTTGGTTCGGGTGTCCAAACCTTTATTTGCTTATTACGTACAAAGTTTGTCTTGTGACTTAGCGTTTTTTAACACTTATCCTAAAACTGAAATCAAATAATATTATTCCATTTATGTAATCTTATTGCGCTGTAAATTTGATGAACAAAAGACTATTATGAAGGTCTATTATGAAATCATTGAAATATTAAGATAGGTTATTCCAGTATTTTGACCGAGAGTAACCTTTTTAGTGGTCTCGCTGATATTTGGCATTCGTATCAATATCTAAGTGGCGACCTTTGTCACTTGATTGATCAATACGTTTTTTGAATAGTGATACTAAAATATCACTTCTGATCAGTAAGAAATTCCATTTCCCCTTTTTTAGATCTTTTTGGTACTGAATACTGGTTTTGATATTGCAAAATCTAGCACAATGATCTCATATATGGCGTTAGTTTTGCTAAAATCTCCTGTTATTAGAGAATTGATATGTTTATACATTGAACAGGTTTCACTTTATTGTTAATAAATAAAAAAAATTATGCCTCAGGCTAGAATAATACCTGTAGCAAGTATTACATGAATTTACGTCTTTTGAATCTGTATATAGAATATTACAAAATGAAAATGTTCAATAAATCATTCAGTCTTGTTATTTTTACAACGAATCACTTGAAAAATATGAAACAAACAAAAGAATATTTTGGATTTACAATTAGTGTATGCTCTTTCATTAGTGCAAGAAACAAAGCCGGTCCAATAGTTTATTTCTATCATAGATACTCGATGAAATATTCTTGAGTATAAAATGGAATCAAATACTTTTTCAAACCCAACTAAATATACAAGGTGTTTATAAAGTCCTGTTGGCCATTCCAATTATTATTATTACTTATCGATCTTAAGATCGGTAAGTATATTGATAGGTATTTGTCTGTATGTCTGTCTGTCTGTCTGTGTGTCTGTTAGATGCACGCGATATCTCACGAAAGCGAGATTGAATCTGCTCCAGATTTTGCATGTGCATTCATCTTATCTCGGACCAGAAGCCTATTGATTATGGGCAAATTATGTCGTATAATTAGCGAGTTATCAATCAATTATTGATATAGTGATCTAGATTTTTGTAAAGCGAGAGAATTTTGAAACCCGCCGAGTGTGTGTGTGTGCGATGCGCAGTGCGCAAGTTATAAGAGCGGATGAATCGAAACTGCAGTTTCTGTTTTGGGGGATCCCCTAACTATCGATCGATAAGTCTTCGGTTTCCAACCGATATTCTCGTTATTTTATTATTAAGTTATTTCGTAATACAATATATCTTTCTTCACCTGATTTGTTTTATTTTAATCAGTGTATATTCAAGTTTTAAATTTTTCTATTACCCCTGTAACAAACCAACAAACTATATATTATGTAGTATCATGTTGTTCCCTTTGCAGTTTAGAAAATTCCAAAACTTGAACACACAAGTTCGTGCTTCTGAAACTAATGACTGGTTAAATATCTCTTAACCGATATGGACTCATTGGACTGGTATTCGAATGAGACTCTGTGGTTACTACAAACAAAAAAAACTTTTCAAATTGTCATCTTCAATCGAATTTTATTGGTTTTCTGCAATCCAATATTCATGATTACTTTTCTACAAGTGTAATGGAAAAAACATCAGAACTTGTCATGGAAAAATGAAACGCAATATGTATTCACAGTTGTCCTAATTTACTGATGCAAAACATTGCATACAAATGCTTCAAATAAAGCATGATTTGGTTGGCAACAGCCATGGTATACAGCAGGGATGGCGAACCTTTTTCACTGAATGGGTCAAAAATTATATTTTTATCGCGGAACAGAAGAGAGTGGGTCACAGATATTTAATCAATGTTTGTATCTATAAAAACTTCTGAAACAAATCATGATACAGCAGTTGTTGATGTTGGTGTAATTTAGCGGTTGGTAATGTTGGTGTAGTTTAGGGCTTTACTTATACAGCACTTGTATCATGGACTTTTATGGCACTCGAATTTATGAAATTAGAGTACGCATATGAATTACGTTTAGGATGATGCGGCAAATTATTTCAAGGTTCCAAAGAGTTTGGAGGGAATTCCACTCTGATAGTGTTATATTTTTCTATCAGCTTTCCTTTAACCATATTAAAAGCAATTTTACACTGCCCCATTGTTATCTAGATTTTTACTTCAAGTCTGAAAGATTTTGTATTCTCAACTGCATTGTAGGCGAGAAACTAATAAAATGCAAAGTAGCATCTAGTTCTCGTATATCCCCTAAAACTGTCGGCAGATGCACTCCTGAAAGAGACAAGACGTTGCGAGAAATGAACATCAATTGCATTGTTATGTCATAAACGATGTCAGAGCCAATAGCTGAATAACGGCACGCATCGGTGCAGACATGCGTCCAAGATTATGGGTTTTGAAAATTAACATACCAAAAAATTAACAATTTGAATATAAGCGATCGCAGTCCTGACTGCCCAACTAACGGTACATTATAATAGTTTAGTTATTGTTAGATTAATTTGAGGCCGGTTTTATCACTGATATGTTAGCATTTCATTCGTGCCTTAGCGGGTCACGAATAAAACGCGATGGGTCACTTTGTGACCCGCGGGTCAGTGGTTCGCCATCCCCGGTATATAGTAATCCAAGGTGAAAATTGCCAGTAGGAGCAATTGTTTCAGAGTTTCAATGTTTCTTCTGTCCATAATTATGATTTGATAAAAGCTACAACCTAGCCTGTACATACTATTACTATTGTCTTTCATTAACTTAGCCCCTGGGCAATATATTGCAAAGGGTCATAATGTTAATATGATGTTTAATTGGGTTACCATGCATAATTGATAAAAATTCTGTAGATTACACAATGATTCTACATTCAAATTTTAAACTAAAACGTTGAAAATGATTTTAAATTAAAATTAAAAATCAAATGCACTTTTTTTTTTTGCCCGATGAAAAAATTGCTTCCTATTTATATAAGTTGATAGTTTATAACAGAACAACTCCACTATTTTCAACAAAAATACATATTCAAAATTATGTGGTCCTGTCTTTCGAGAAATTATATTTTGACATCCTTGAAGCTCTTTTTCGGCTGGCTAGTGATTATTTTCAAATCAAGATAGCGCTATTAGCATTGTTTATTATTGCATTTAATATAAGGAAACCTCCACATATCCAAATTGGGACCAATTATCCAAAATAAATAATCGTGATGGTCCATACCAAATACTCAAAATGTCCGGATTCCGTCTGCGGTCCGCTATTTAGCCCTGGTTCATAACAATGCCTGGTTACTTTTTTTGTGACGCTTATTCACACCTTTTGGCAAGCTGATATGTAGGCTACTATTTTTGTACATAATACTTCTTGTATGGAATTGCCTGCCCAATTTATAACCATTTTCTCATCATTTTTTCATCTTTCAGTTGTTGAGTTGTATGAATCTTGATAAATTTGAAGGATATCCTGATGAACCAGCACTGGAAGCCAGATCACTCGATTTATTGGAAAATAATTCATTTTGGGCAGGTCAGTGCGTATAAATTGAGTGTTGCTTTATTGTTGCCATAAAGTCGGTCATAAATTTGCCACTTAACAAGCGACAAACAGGCCTCGTAATGTAAACAGTCTGGAAAGCATGATATTTTCATAACTGTTCAATATCGTTAACTGACGACCTAATTTGCTAATTGTTTACAGTTAACATTGTAATTTACCATGGGACTAACACCCATCAATTTTGCCTTTTATTTTCTTGGTGTTCACATGTCGAGATAAAAAAGCATAGATGTTTTGGAGTCAGAAAAAGGTTGAGAAATGCTTATCTAGAAGACTTTTTTGCACAAAATTAATGAATTACACGTTTTTTACTACTTTGACAAAATTTTCTATTACAGGCATAGTTTTCCAGTCTCCTACTGCGGAAGACACAGAATTACCGAAACATATTAAGTATAAAATTAGGCAAGATGTTGATGATGTTATGCGAACAGATTTTATTAAGATGTAGTAAGTTTATTTATTTCTTGGATGAACTGTTTCGTGTCATATTTATTAAGGATTGGGTATTTCTTTCTATAATAAAAACCTATTTTTTTACTAATTCATTCTCTTAATCATGATGGTGGATACAATTTTTTCTATAAACCAACAAATATGATTTTATTTTAATTTAATGGTGATCCAAAAAAACAGAATCTTTTAATTTCTTAATTACTTCTATGAAAATTAAGAAAATTTATTCAACACTTTAACTTCTGTTTGTGTGTGATTGTATCCAAAAGTTTTGGTAATCTAAGATGTTTTGTACAAAATTTGGTTTTCTCTAAATGACCAGGTTCTGTTTTCTTGGGTCACCTTTCAATAGATGTGTGTGAAATATGACAATGATTCATGCACAATGATTTAATTCAGATGTTTCCATAACTGGCTAACTAATCCCATACCCAACATAGACTGGTAATCTGACGAGAGGCTGTGATTCGCCTTATGATTAAGCTGTCCTATCAGCTTTCATCTACCCTGTAATAAATATGTAAATCCTATCCTATCCATCTTGCATTAGAAAGAAAATCTTGCTTCATTAAAAACATGTAAATTCATATATGTACAATGCACACACACAATGTCACATGCAACAAATGAGCTTGTTTTGAGCAGACAAACAACAATAAATATTGACTGAATGTCCGATATATCCAGTCGTACATCTCTCTCAATATTAATTTCTAAAGATTTATTCTATTTATGTCAAGTTCTAAACACAAGCAAAGCAAATTCTTATTCAAAGCAATTGATAAAACATGATGTACAATTTGGAAGCACTGATTCAATCAATTCATTAATAAAAAGCTTCACAATTGTTTTCAAAATGCACACCACTATTTCCTACCCTATCTTTGCCATTATAGCTATTGAGACTAACTTTATTTTTCTGTACTCTTAGTCGAATTTCAATTTGTATGGTTAAGTATTGTCCGAGATAATTACTATGATAATTTTGTGTGATTAATCTAAGTCAATTTCATAAACAATAATTTTTACAAAATTGAAATATTTAAATATTCCTTCAGATTACTGCATGACTACCATTATGGTTTGTTTTATATGACATCAAAGAACAATCAAGATTTCTTTCCCAAAAATTTCGAATATTTCGCGTCTTACAGCAAACACAACACTGATAGATGAAATAATTTAAATACAATACAAACTCTTAATTGTTTACGATCATTATTAGCCATTCTGTAATTTATTGAAAGTGTATCAAATGTGTGTTTTTTCGTAATTTAAATTTTATTTTTTCATCATTCTTGCTTTACTAATTCCTTCATTTTAATCAGCTTTTGGGAGCCTGGTCCTATGACTGGACCACTATACATTAGCTATTTGGTAAATGGGTTTGCTGACATGCAAGATATTATGGAACAAGGCATTACGAAAGCTACAGCAGATGTTTATGGTGACACTGCAGCCACAACAATAACATTAGATTATGGAAGAGTTCCCAAACTTGGGTACTATTTGCAGCAAATGCCGTACCCTTGTTATGTTAGCGATAAGTAAGTACCACTTTTACCTAACTTCCATTTTTTCCATTTCAGATGGTATTTTCACATTTTTTGGGTTTTGTTCAGGTTACAAGACATTATTTATTTGAAATCAATAATGTTTTCATTGACAGTGTACTGCTTTCATCACGAAGGTGCATTCTCAGATTCACGTCTCCTTATATAGTTCTCAAGAATGTTGCGAAGAAATTTTTTCACTCTTTTGGATGTTTCGAAATACCAAATTCGAAGTGGTTTAAATTTCCAAATTTTTTTTCGGAAAGACGACAATGGTACATCATTGGCTGCAATTCCATTTTCGACTATTATTGTTACATAAACAAATCATATTTGTGATGAAGATACGCAAGTACAATCAGCGAAAACATTATTGAGTTTCAAATGGGAAAATAGATCATTTTCCTATAAAAAAAAAATTCCAAAATATCAGTTACTGGTCTCCTGGAGCAAATGGAAATTATACTTCGTTTCCGTTCTATTACTACACTGGTGGGTTTCTCTTCATTCAAGACATGATTGAGAGAGGAATTGCGTCTTTGGAGGCCAATTCGACTGTCGATTCTGAATATGGATATGGGCCTTGGGACTATTATGTTGGAGTATATCTGCAAGAATTCCCATATCCATGTTACAAGTCCGATTTGTGAGTTAATACAACACAGAGTGAAAAATGAGGGTTCTGTAATTAAAAGTCTGTGATTATTCCGACTTGTAATTCTGTGCCAGATTCATTTTTTCTCTCAATAATTACTGGGTGTGCAATATACATAGATTATGTAATTTAGTTTAAGAGTTTTACTTAATATTAGAAGGGGCTTACGAAATTGGGCCTAACTCTTCCCTGGTACACACACTTAGAGCCCATCTAATTTCTTAATTATTCCTATGAAAAGGAAGAAAATTTATTCAACAAATGAACACTTTGTGTATGATTGTATCTAAAAGTCTCAAATTTTTAATTTTTCTCCCGAATATGTTCCAAATGTCCTGGGTTCTGTTTTTTAACTTTGTATGTTGAAGTCGCAGGGGAAAATCTGGGCATGTTTATAGCAAACCAATGAACGTAAAAAAATAAAATCATCACAATCAAAGAATTAAACAAAAAACACTTCACCTTAAATAGAATATGTGTAAGATTGAATGCAAAGCTAAAACGTATCGGATACTTCAAAAGGTTTCTGAAAATTGTGTAAAAGGGGTCAGAGTGCGCTTTTGAAAAACTGATTTAAACTGTGAAACTGCATTTTTCAATTGTATGTATCTTATGACATAAAATCTCTATGTATTTTTATGACAATTCTAAATCATAACAATATGTGTGTGGAAATATTATTTTATCATAATTCTGTGTAACTAATTTTGACTTACCGCAGTTGTGATAAAATTGCAATTAATTTTGTTTTTAAATTGCAATGTATAAATTGTCAATTTTTTGACTGGAAGTTTTCTATTTCAATTCAAGTATATTAGCATGAATGTAACCTTTTAATAAAGTCAATTTTATATGTTATATTTTTCTGTGTACCATCTTTTCTTGCAATATAAATGGTAGAATATACCTCTGCAATGAACTCCATGAAATAGTTTTGCATTAGGAAAGCTTGCCTTTGATTTTATTCCCAACACCCAGAGGTAATTGGCCTTTTCCCCAACTCGCCCTTTTTCGATCTGTAGTAATTTTAATAAGAATATTAAATCATCTTTTCGGAGTTTTTCGGATCGGATATGAATTTATCCCTAGTTTAGTGAACTTCGCAACAAAAACGTGAACAGGCATGACTGTTACTATATTTTGACGGCACACTAGGGTTAAGAACCAACCAGAGTAAATACTTATTTTTTTTATATACCTATTAATTGGGTATTTCTTCTGCTACTATGCAGATACCATTACTTTTGCTCTCAATTCAATTGCCTATTATGACAAAGCCTTAGTTTGCTTGCAAATGCCTTACTTCAATTAATGGAAATAATAATAGAATAGTTTGTAAATGTCATCATAAATATCCATGCATCAGGAGGCTTAATTGGTAATGTTCTCATGCCTAAAATGGTCTGGTAAAATGATTGGAGCATCTGTATGCACATAAAATCTGTTGTTTGTATTCTCCCTATTTCATATATTATTTTTTCAGATTTCTGGAGTATTTGAGCAGTATGATGTCGTTGTTGATGACGCTGGCTTGGATTTATTCCGTTTGTATCATTATTAAAAATATTGTTTATGAAAAAGAAGAAAGGCTGAAAGAGGTAAGATTTAGATTTCATGGGTTTCTTCACAATTATAACCATGTTTATTTTGGTCTGTCCAGTTGTCCTTAACATTTTCCATATATTACTACCTTTTTTTAATTTCTCCATTCCTTATTCAATATGCATAAAAACTCTATTTTTGTTATTTGCTCATCTTGAATAATTAAACAAAACCATAGGCTAGTAATATTTCTGTATTTTTTCCAGAGAACAACAAAAAAATTTTTGCGTTTTTTTATTATATTTTTTATTTGTTTTTAGTTCATGAAGATGATGGGTCTGAGTAATGGAGTGCATTGGCTTGCTTGGTTTATTAATTCATTTTATCTGATGACGCTTTCAAGTATTCTTCTCATTGTCGTGTTAAGGGTAAGTGTATCCACACTCGGCGCATTCAATATGTTATTATCTGTATAACTACTAGCTTGTTTTTAGCGTTGTTCGCCAATGTGTACTATATTTAAAATTTGTTTTGTAAGGTTCAATTTTAGGACTTTAAATTCGTGGCTTTATATAGTGTCTGTTTCTGTAACGATAACGAAATAATGGATTATTTCAATTTGATTTAAATTTGTCTTATTGCAGCTCTGATATAAGGCATTGTAAATGTATAGTGGGCGCAGTGACCTAGTGGTAATAAAGCAGTGGTTTTTATCCTTTTTGTTGGAGCAGAACCGTGATGAAACATTCTAGAGGCCCTCATGCAATAGTTAAATTGTCTTTTATTGACTGAATTGTATAGACTATATAAGTATTTATAAAAGTACACCTAATACTGGTAAAAAATGACGCCTAAAGTCTTTATCAAGTTTATTAATAGTGGCAAACCTATTATTGAAATTTGAGGTATTCGATTTTATTTAAACAATATACATAATCTATTACCTCTTGGATACGAATAGGAACTTGCAGAACGCCTGGACTGTCCCGGGGAAATCCTAAGGTGCTGTGGTACCGGTCCCGGTTGAAAACCACTGGTTAAATCATTAGACCTAACTATGATGACATTGCAAGTTAAAATCTAGTGTTCAAAACTCATGTCCCCCACCTCACGAGTGGTAGTAAATATGCCATATAAAGAATCCCCATTACCTATCGTAAAGATTGTTTTTTCTTATGCATTTTAGGCTGGAATGATTCTTCCATACAGCAACCCATTCATTCTACTGATCTGGTTGTTATCGTTCTGTCTTGCAACTATAGGACAATGTTTTCTGATTAGTTGTTTCTTTACAAAGTAAGTTATATGTTTTTCAGATTAGAATTTAGTTTTATTTCCAAGAACTTCAGTTACAGTTTGTGGAATTCGCTACTTCATAGCTGTTTTCCTGATTGTATTGACGTGTATCACTTCAAATAAATCTTGTGACAACCGATATTTATTACTAGTATGCAATTCTACACTATAATTTCTTAGTCTCAGTACTTCTTGGCATGTTAGTGGTCACTCTTTGCGCCGAGATCAATCCCTTTAATTTGAGTGTGACTGCTGCTCGTGACGTTGCTTTCCAGAATGAGAAATCAGGTTCATGGGGTTTGAACTTTCATGATCTGACCCCGTTCTAAGGACACTTACCTTATGTGACCTTCTTCCAAGGACACTTGTGCCGTGCCCCGCATGCTTTGAAATAAAATAAAAGAAGTTTTGCTTCAAATGAATTTTTTTTATGCTTCAATACCGGTATTGAACGGACAACATACCACCTCAAAGAGAAATAAATAAAATCATAGTTAATTTGCTTTGAATTAGTTAAGGTAATCATCTAGTAGGAATGTACTCTGTTCTCCGCAATAATTTTTTTCATATACTTAGCAAATGTCAAACAATTCTAGGCAGCTAACTATTTTACTTCCAATCCAATTGAAACATACTTTTATATTTTCAAGAGCAAACTTGGCTGCAGCGTGTGGAGGAATCATATATTTTATGCTTTATATTCCGTATAATTTTGCTATCACTTGGGAAGATGAACTGACTTATGGAGGAAAAATTGGACTTGTAAGTGAAATTGTTTTCTAAGTGAAAGTGTTTCTAAAATTGGAAATTTGTTTTATTGTTGATTATTCTATTAAACCAGAGAGCTATGCTCAAATATATGTACACAAATGTCGAATGGCTAATAGCATACCTAAAATTAGCGATTTCCTGTTTAACTACTGTAGCAATTTGGTACTGATGAATACTGGGTTTGCAGGAACATCAACAAATTAACTCGACACAATGCAATGCTTTAGTGCAGGAATCGACAAAATACGGCCTGCCAAACAATTTGTACTGCTCGCTTCTCTTCAAGAAAGTTGTGAAAATTTCTTAAACCTGCATACAAAATTTAGATTTTTTTTTCAAAACTTTAGTTAAAATATCTACCGGTGGCGGTAAACTGAGATTTGTATAATAAAATTAATATTTTTTTTACAGTTTCTGGTTCAAAAATGTTGGCCACTAATAAATTCAAATTCGACACTATCATAGTGAATGAAAATATTAAGTGTCAATTTCTCAATACGGACGGCTCTTTGCAAAAAGATTTTCTGGGTGCGATCCTCACGATAAAAATCTTCTCCGCCCCTGCTTTAATGTAATATACTCAAAATCGATAAAATCTAGGTAAAATATCCCCATAGGTGTCTAGCAACCTCTGCCATCTTCAAGTTTTGAATTTTAAAAATCGATTGATTAATTAGTTCCGGAGAAAAGTGTTTTTTTATAGCATCAACAGCCCCGCAACAAAAACGGTTTTTCGGTCCAGAGTGTGCGTCTATAAACAATTTTTACGCTCCTATTTTACTGATCCATACATAAAATTTAAGTTTCTAATCCTTCGATCACACTCATGTGCCTTAATAATTTCACTATAAAAATGAATGCATATAGAAAATCCATTATGCCAACCTCACATTTTCAAGCTTCTATATAAATAAACATTCTTTTCATCATACTAACAATATATTTCAGTCACTTTTTTCTACTGTTGCTTTCGGATATGGAGCTGGTTTTGTGTCGAGTTATGAAATGACTGGAAAAGGAATTCAATTTAGTAATTGGGATAAAAGCCCAGTTCCTGAAGAACAATATACCTTCGTTACATCTATCATTATGATGCTTGTTGATGCTGCGATATATTTTGTATTAACATGGTATGTTCAAATATTAAGTTCTTTATTAATGTAAAAGATAGGATTCTACCAATTGATTTGTAATATAATTCTAAATATTACCGGTACATATGTTTGTAACGCGCAGCAGAATAAACCGAGCCGTTCTATTATCTAAGAGCTGGGAGCTAGATTCACATTTAAATCTGGATTATTGCTTTATTGGTAATCGGATTTGGAATGTTATTACTGAAATAAAATTAGATTTACAGATGCTAAATTCATGAAGTCCGAATTATGTTATCACTAATTGGAGCCATGGTTCCAATAAATTTTACGACTAAAGATATCATTATTACTCATCAGCTTCGTACTCTCCAGAGTCTGATCTTTTATAGGTATAGGTAGAAATCATAGTCAAACTTATTCACAAACTTTTCTGCACACTTTTATACAAAACCCATTTTAAACGCAGGTATGTTGAAAATGTTTACCCTGGGAAATATGGAATTCCGAGACCTCCATATTTTATGTTCACAAAGTCATATTGGTGTGGAGTATCTCCCACTCCATCTGAGAGAGATCAGAGTGCTTTTCTCAATCCGGCCTACGCATCAAATGGTACTCAAGCATCTTTGGAAGCAGAACCAGAGCACCTTCCACTCGGTGTCTCAATCCACAATTTAACAAAAATATATAGGTGAGCGAAAATTGAAAGAAAATTTATTTTTCTCATTTCGAAGTAGGATTTTAAACAAGTAAGAGAATGAAACGGAGATGGAGAAAAGTGTCTTAAACTATATGACCCATTTGTTAATATGTTAATCAATCTGATAACTTCACTCGATTTTTTGTCTATACAATGTATTTATATGTCATTCGCTCCAATCAAGATGCTGCTCAATCTGCTACTGCTAGTTAGAAGCTACTTAATTTGGAAGGACTGATATCACCACCTCACCCAGGGTGCAATAAATTAGATAGCCAATGATGAACCTGAAAAATTCTAGTCCTTTTGAAAGTAGCAGCTTCCATCAACAATAGATATCAGTCAAGTGGACGCTTTACAGTGCTCTATTTGGTGCGAGACGCACTAAAATATGGGGTATAAAAAACTTTTACTTTTTTTTCTATCAGTTTCTGATTTGATGAACATTTTCTATTTCTCTTTCAAACAGCAATGGAAACAAACTTGCTGTTGACAACTTGACATTGAATTTTTATGAAGGACAAATTACATCATTTCTTGGACACAACGGAGCTGGAAAGACAACGACTATGTCAATATTGTGTGGTTTATTCACTCCAACACGTGGAACTGCTTACATTCACGACCATGATATCAGAACTGACATGGATTTCATTCGAACAAGTTTAGGATTCTGTCCGCAGCATAACGTTCTCTTTAGAGAGTAAGTGAAATTTGTTTTTCTCTCTTAAAGCAGTGGTGTGCAACCTTTATTACAAGAGGGCGAGATAGAAATAACTGGGTGAAACTGCAGGTCGGACCTTTATTTAACATAGGCTATCATCTAGTAGTTGCATGCACAAAAATTTGGGGAATTGATCTTGTGACATGCGTTGTTGTTGCGCATATTCAAAATTGGTACTCCTCTGCGAGCCACTCAAATTTTCCTTGAGAGCCTCATTTGGCCCGCGGGCCGCTGGCTGTATACCCCTGTCTTAAAATACTGACAGCAAGTTTCAGCCATCGTAAAACCAATCTTTTTTTTTCTATATTCAATAATTGTTGTCTGCAACTAAACAAAAACGCCTCATAATGCAAAAGGACATTTGAAATATTTATTTTGTACCTAAATTTTAGAAACACAAGTTACTGTTAACTGTCTACTGATTGGTCATTGTTAGGGAAATAAACGAGGAGGTCAACGATTTGGTCTGATTTGATATTTGTTTCAATTCTAGTTTAACAGTGAAAGAACATCTTGAGTTTTACGCTGGACTCCGTGGGCAATCAAAATCTACAATTCGTGAAGACACAAAACGCATGTTAGCTGACGTCAACTTGATTCATAAAAAAAATGAAGTTGTCTCAAATTTATCTGGTGGAATGAAAAGAAAATTATCGGTCGCCGTTGCATTCACAGGAAACTCAAAAACAGTCATATTGGATGAACCTACTGCTGGTATGTTGATTTCTCTCTCAATTATCTATTTCAATGACTAATTTTTCATTTGGACTCAAATTAGGATAGGATTTTCATAGTTACTCCGAGAAAAGGAAGGCCTTACGACAGTGAGGAGTCCAGCAATCCTCTCACACATAATTATCCACCACAGAATTTGTAAGTCCGCAGGGTAAACCATGTTGTGATGGCAAGTGTTTTCCTATTGACATATAGTATGTCGTAGTATGATGACTTTTATGTCTTGCTTTGGGATGTTTCACAATGAGAAGCCACTTTAACTTTTACTGATGCTACTGTATGGTAACTTATCTGAATAATTGAATCAGTGTTCTGTGATCAATCATACAATATTTTATTATACGGTAATCTAAAATTTGAACAGCAGTATCTCCATTTTTTGCTAGGTTTCTGTTTTTGTTTCAATTGAAAATATATAACAATCCTCATTTCAGGTGTTGATCCATATGCAAGAAGAGGAATTTGGGATTTGTTGATAAAATACAGACAAGGAAGAACAATCATTTTATCTACTCATCATATGGATGAAGCTGATTTATTGGGAGATAGAATAGCCATTATTTCCCAAGTAAGTATCATCTTAGTTATTTTCACACATAACTTAATCTGCATCTGGCTTTCTGAATGGAAATATTGAGGATTGTAATTTACACAAAAGAGTAATGGACACAAGGGTCACGCATCTGTACGTTTAAGACTTGGCAGCATCCAGTTTGCTTCAAAGATAAATATGAGAAAGTGGTACTCCCATATTATGTGTACCAGGTTAGGGTTAAGCCCTCATTTTATTCCGATTTTCCTTATTTTAGTTCTATTATGATTTCGGGAACTGTCTGTGTTAGCCAAGTGAATATATGCATAGGCTTCCGTTTCTTTACCCAATTTGATGTAAAGTAGGCGAACAAAATTAGTTACCTTCATATTGGTCACATACTTTGGGGAAAAGCAGTATGGAGACTGTTGATCATTGTGGGTTGAAAGTGTACACCTTCAATTAAAATGAAATACCAAAATTTGTGGTTAAATATTGGATCACATAGTTACTATTACAATTTTTAGTAACAAAATCACGATATAAACCCATTTTTACTGTGTATAATTTAGCAACATTATTTCACTAATAATATGGGGTTTTGTAGAGAATTTTAATTTTTAATATCTTGATCTTTCAAAATAGATATTTCTTAAATAGTATTTATATAAAAATTTCGTTATAACTAAATTTTCCATTTTTATGTAATGCCTATTTTCCCCATCTTTATTTTCGAACAAGGCCACACTGTACTGTCTACCACTGATATGTAAGGATGCCAACGCAATTAAGCATAACGCTCAAACTACATTTCTCAACAAATGTCATATTCTTGTTTTCAGGGGAGTCTCAAGTGTTGTGGATCATCTTTGTTTCTTAAAAGTACATACGGAGTTGGATATTATCTTACACTCGTCAAACAGAAGAATATTGCTAAGCCAATTAATAATGAACCAGCTGTATTGGACGTTTCTCCAGAAGATGATGCAGAATCTGTGAGTGTTCTAATTGGGTTCAAATTTTTCATATTCAATATTTGAAACTTTTGAATAATAATTCACAATAATTTCATTCAAAAATTTATCATTTTGAGCCATTACGTCCAAAATTTGTGAAAGTGTGATGCTACCCCTTTGTACCATTCAATATAGCTGTTTTTGATTCTTGCCATCTTTTAGTTGGGCATACGGATCTACTAGAAACAAAGGTAGAGAGAAAGGAGCAAATATTCAGGCATTTGTTAGTTCAATCAACCAATTATTGTCATTGATTTAAATTTAGGATGTTGCTTCAGAAGATGAAGGTTTTGCAAGCAAGGCCGCAAGTTCAAAATCTTCTATTGCAGGAGAGAAAATGTCACCCACAGAAAAAGAATTAGACCCAACATTGTTGAATAAGAAAGGTATTTTAAGTCTATTTACTTTGTTGCTTTAAAACTTTAATCAATGTAATGACCAACATCTCTTGATGCACGAATGCTGGTTGACAAAAAATTCAGGTCCAGTGTTTGACTCAAGATTATTGAACTCCATATCGCAATTTTAAAATTAAATTTTGACTACAAAAGTTTTGACATACGCAAGCCTCAAATAAATGTTGAGAGTGTGTAGTACTAGTCAACTTAATAATTCCCCACTACTTGCAATTACAACTATTAGACGTCTGACTTGGGAGAATTCAAAATTTTTACTTCATCCCTGTTTCTGCTGATTTTCCGCAAGTTTATAAAGTATGATTCTGGCAATGACTCCAATATCACTAAAAACAGGCCGAAATCAATCAATGAAATTGAAAAGTTTTATTTTGTAAATTAATTTGAATATTTGTAATAATTTACTATGAAACAGAATTACTATGTGATATTATATTTCATGGAATTGTATTTTAAAATACCTAAAAGCATGATGGGAGATTTCATATAATGTTTTTTTGACTTTCATTTTTAGAGGCAGAAAATTTGATTCAGGATATCGTACCAAGTGCCAAATTATATGAAGAGAACAGAGGAGAGATAACATTTATTTTGCCGTACAGTGCTCTTGAAGAGGGAAAGTATGAAAACTTATTCAAAGCTTATATCAAAAGTTAACAATAATGATTGTAATTTAATGATTCAAATAAGCACAACCATTATACGAACAGTAAAGCATATGTTGATGAATTTATATAATCGTTTTTACATACAAATGTTCCGAACAAGATTTAGTACTAGTTACAAATGAATGCAAAAAGTTGCCAAGTTCGACATGATCAATTTCACATAGCCTGCCTAAATTCTAACATATTGGGTAATATAGGGAAATTGAAATCTGTATTGGTCGCTTTGCTGAAAGTAAGGTCAATCACACAAGCTCGGAAATTTAGGAGCTTGATGTCTGAGTGAAGTTATTAGCGTGCACTAAAATTTCTATAGCTATGAAGACTATAAGGAATTGTAGTGTTGAATTAAGCATTAGTGAACTCTGATTGACGCAACACTTCAGTAGTTCATGTCAATAGGAAGTATAAGATAGTAAATTTAAAAGATATCTCAATTTCTATGTTTTTCCACGTCCCTTTTTCCCATGGTTGAATTCCCCGGTCTATCTGTAACGTGCAGATCTACTACCAATAGTTATTCACAATATATTTTCATATGGTAACTCCCGTAGTCTATTGTATGTATCAGGTTAGGGTCAGTCCATAATTTTTTTTCTGATTTTACTTTTTTTAGTTCTATTAGGGGTTCTTGGATTGTTTGTGTTAAACAAGTAAATATACCCCCTGCCCATAGTTTTCAGTCCCTTAATACAACTTGATGTAAAGTAGGCGAACAAAATTAGTTATCTCCATATTGGTAAACACACTTCTGGAGCGCCTACATATATATGCACATCACACTTTGACTAAAAAAGTTTTTGAATTGGGCAAGTTGGGAAAACCTGTTTCTGTGCTTTAGGTATGCTGGATTGTTTCAATCTCTCGATGACAACAATATAAGTTATGGGTTAACTGACACAAGTTTGGAAGAAATCTTTTTATCTGTTGCTGATCATTTGGATGAAACATCAAAGCCAGATCAATCATGTATGTTTATTATATACTATAATTGCTGTGATTCAAAAAGTGTTAAAAAAATGGTAAATCAGGACTTCTGATACTTAATAAGATGAAGGTATAAAAGAGTGAATATTTTGGTGTGCATTCGTTTGAATATTATCATATTATTTTTGAAAAGTAATACTGAATGCTTCAATTTAAAATTTCAATAACCTCTCTAAGTATTCTTAGCACTTAGCATGATGCGCCAACTGTTGTGTCATTATGATTTAATATTGTATTAGTGTTTTGCTTTTTTAGTGTTCTATGTAAATATGGAGTTTTATTTTCAGGTTTTTCATGTTTCACAAGAAAGCGAACACACAGTACGTCCTCAATCTCTCCTGAACCAAGTCCAAAGAATTCTAACGATAACGCAAATAGAAATGAACCCATTCAACTTGTTAAAGGTAATTCATTCAATCTATTAAAATGCTCAGTTGTATACAAATTAAATTGACCATAATATTACTTGTGATGAAATTTTTTACACCTGGACCACCATCTTAATTATAATTATTGATCCAGTAATTTTAAAGCATCAATCTGATAAAAACAACATTTGAAGCTAAATCGGTTCAAGACTTAATTTTCCTGATAGAAAGAATAAACAAGGTGACCGAAAAAACAAGACCTATAAGTTTCTTAATTTCTTCTATAATAATAAAGCAAATTTATTTAACACTTGAACTTCTGTTCGTGTATGATTTGAACCCAAAAGTTTGAGTAACCTGGGACGCTTTGCGAACAAGTTATGTTTTCTCAAGTATATTTTCTGATTATTGAACATATCCACACTTTGGTAGTATCACACTCATGGTATTGTATATCCATTCATGTTTCAAGATTTGAAAAAATACTATTTTAAAAAAGATTTTTATTCCTGATTTAATTACAGTTACAAGAAAAGACAGTTTGACGCAAAGTGAAGGTGAGTTTTAATTATTCTTACACTAAAGCTAAATTTTTATATAAATTTTATTAAGATATCTACATTTTCAGCAAAAAACAATTGGTTGAATTTAAAAAATGATGTTGAATGTTTTTTTGCGTATCGTGATTTTTTTATGCTAAGTGTTTATGTGGGTGAGCCCAGTAGGAGCAGGCACTGAGTTGTAAGGAGCTACTTAATTTGGAGGTACAGGAATATGTTCGGTTTGATATTGCCTGGGTGAGGGGTACCTGCGATATGATCGTAGTTAAATCTAACGCTTCAAATCACTACAAATCATATTAAAACCTTTTATCGCAGAACCAGAAAATCAATCACCGAAATCCGCTGCAGTTCAACTTGAGCCTGTCCAAGAGGAAGATGAAGAAGATATTGAAGAACTTGACGATTCTAATGGAAAAGGATCCTATCAAATTACTGGAGGAAAACTAATTGGACAACAATTTACTGCATTGTTGATTAAAAGATGGATTCATGCAAGGTTTGACATTTTATATGATTTGTAGTTGATATACTTAGGTTGCATCCGTAGTATAGCAGGTGTTTATAAACTCTTTTTACAATATAAATCTTTAAGCTCTATATATCTTGCAGTCATTAAACATTTTACATGTTGTTGTTTGTTTAGGAAGTTTTTCACTTTTTATTAACTTAAATGATGGTTCTTAAACTTTCGTGATCAGTGGCTTCTTTCAAAAACTCTTGACTAGTGGGACCCCTGAAATTTGCTTTTAAAGCTATTTATTCAGTAATTTCATGCGTCACGTCTATTAATAAAAGCCGAATAATGATCACGTTACAGTCAAAGAATTGAACAAATCAGTCAATTTACTTTAAATTAATGAGGTTATTGCAAATGGAATGTAAAGGATGCGGTTGTTCGTAGCTGCAGAGAACCGCTTTGTCCCTAGAGAACTAAAACATCCATGTCTTGGTTAATAATGAAGCACAGGTATATGGATTATATAAATAAAATGGTTCATAAAATCGATTGATGATAATCGTTTTTCCATTTTCTCGATAGGCGAAATCGGAAAGGAATTTTTGCTCAAATTATCTTACCATCTGCATTTGTACTCATCGCTCTATGTCTCACTCTGATTTTACCTCCTTATGATGGTCAACCCTCCCTCGAATTACAACCATGGATGTATGGGGACAATCAGTACACTTTCTTCAGGTACATTTAACCTTTAATTTCTACTTATATTTGTGAAGAAGTTTGTTATTACACTGAAAATTTACTTAAATCTAATAACATTTTTGCCAAGTGTTACACTACCTTTGAAAATACTCAAAAAAGGTATTCATCTCCGTATTGGCTGGCACTTATACTGTTAGTTCCTCTTATAACAATTAGCCCAGTGAGTCAAGTCTCAATTTCAGATTTGGATGTAAGTCCTCAAAACCTCAGGCTTGAGCCAAGTCGAATTATGGGCCATCTAAGTCTCGAGTCTAATCCAACGTCGATCATTGAATTAGGTCTCACTGGCTATGAGTTGATAATGAATTTGAGTCATTTCATTTAGTTGACTCATTTTGCTCAGAGGTGGTTCATTTTTACTTCGGAGTGAAGGCACATGATCTTGCTTTGAGTCAATTTTCTTCTCATGCAAACATCACTTTTTGATCTGTTGGTATCAAAATCCAGCTTACATCGTGTGTGTGTCAAAAGATGCAAACTGGATTTTCAAAGTTGATATCATGTTTACCCTTTTTTGTTTCCAGCAATGATAATCCAAACAACACAGACTCGTCATCCATATCTGATGCATTGATTGATTCTCCTGGTTACGGCACCAGATGTGTTGATGGATATAATATAATGAATTATGGAGATTATTTACTCGACTGCATACCATCAGGAGGTAATTTTAATAAAAAGTTACGGGGAACATTTTGTCATACAGGGTAACCCCCCCTCCAAAAAACACGTTATACTATACAAATACGTTATACTTTAGTGAAATTTCTCTGTGAATCTAGATTGCAGCTTGCATCATTTCTTTGAAAATTATGCAGACTTGCAGCCCTGTTATTTTAAATGAGAGTTCATTGTTTGATTACTGCCTATCTTTACAGTTGATGAATGGAAAGTTGACAATGAAACAAAATCACGAAGCCAAATGGTGGATTCTAAGAACTTAACAGAATGTATTTGTTCAACTACTGATGAAAGAGTTCTACTTGCGGGTAAGCTATTGAGTTAACAAAAATTTGCATAAAATGTAGATTTTTTGATATTGGAGTATTAGGTTGTATTAAGATATTAAAAATTTTACAAACTATTTTTTTTAATTTTACTGTATACAAATAATTAAGGATAACCTCTGCTAGTTTACTAGTTTATTCAAGAGCTAATAGATTCGCGCTCAAATTCCAATTACTTTGCTTATTAATAGCATTATACGGAGCATGCATATTTTTATGTATTTTTGTAGACATTGGAGTATTTGGTTGTATTAAGATAGAAAATTGATCGAATGAAGATAATGTATGAAATACGATGTTTGTTGACATTGGAGTATTTGGTTGTATTAAGATAGAAAATTGATCAAATGAAGATAGTATGTGAAATACGTATGTTTGTTGACATTGAAGTGTTTGGTTGTATTAAGATAGAAAATTGATCAAATGAAGATAGTATGTGAAATACGTATGTTTGTTGACATTGGAGTGTTTGGTTGTATTAAGATGGAAAATTGATCGGATGAAGATATTGTATGAAAAGTGTCCCACTGGGGTATGGAACTGCACAAAATCTATGTCCATTACATTTTATAAATTTATTGCACTATCATTTTTAAATTATGTATTATAAATTTTTAAGCATATAGTCTTTTGAAATTTGCAGAGTGCCCACTTGGTGCTGGAGGATCCGAAACTCCATATTTGAAAACAAACACAACAGACACTGTGTACAATATGACTGAAAGAAATGTTGCTGATTGGTTAGTAAAGACAACTGACAGGTAAAATACTCATATCTTGGTTTGCTATTTTAAGCCAATAGATGGATGAATTGTCATTTCAGTCTCTTTTAATATTGAATTTCCAACGTCAATTGCATCTCAATGAATAGTATGAATAAAGGAGCGATTATTCAAATATATGGATACAGAGGTCAAAAAGACGAATATGGCCACTGAAATGTCTGAAAAATTCCAGCAAAATGTTGAAAGAATTTTACCGAATGTCATATGAAAGTGTGCCCATGAATTATAAAAATCAGCAAAGTATGCGGTGAAATATCAGGCCTGTAGGACTTAGAGAAAATTTGAAGGACTTTTACAGATTTCCATCTATCTTTTAATATTGAAATCAATCAGTTGTTTATTTGTGTATAAAAAGATTTTTCTTACAATAACCCTAACAATAACAATTTTGCAAAACTATTCATGATTCATTCAGTGTACAAAAAGTCACACCATGGTATTTTACCAAATAATAATTAATGTTATTAAGTACCTCTTCAAACTCTTTATTACGTTATTCAAATTCTTCATTCTTAATTCTAGATTTATTGAAAGAAGGTATGGTGGACTGTCAGTGGGAGAGAAATACAATGCTTGGTTTGAGCAAAGTACTATCGACAATCTTGTAGATTTACTCGCTAGGCTAAATCAGACAACACCAGATAATAAAGAGCTTCTAATTTTTTTGGAAAATATGTGGCGAACAGAGAATGGACAGGTTCGATTTTAACCTTTTTCCAACACATTGATAGAGAACATCCCTTTATAAATGTATTTGAAAAACTTTGGAATTTTGATCCGTAATTTTTTTTAAGGAAATATTCTCAAAGCAAGGTCACACTCACTCACTCGAAAATATAGAATTTTGATATCTGAAAGAGGTAGCGGGGATCACTAATGTGCCAATTGGTGCTCAGACTATAAATTACTATTGTGCAGAATTGAGCATTAGTAAATACTGTTCGACGCGTGACAATATGACAACATATCAAGTACAAGCACTGATGTATAACGATATAAAATGATAATGTTTTGGAAAGATTTGGATTTTTTTGCAGGTTTGGTTTGATAACAATGGATTTCATGCTATGCCTGCTTATCTGAACATAATGAGCAATGGACTACTAAGATCTAAACTTCCTGCTGGAGCAAACCCTTCTGAATATGCAATCACCGTTTATAATCATCCTATGAATTATACAAAGCAACAAGTCAGCCAGGCTGCATTGTGAGTTTTCTTTTTATCAAATGCTTCAAATTTTCTATGACCCTAGTTTAAAAGCTGATCTTTTTATTTACAGGGCACAAACAGCGATTGATACGGCAATTGCAATTGTAGTTGTGTTTGCATTGTCATTTGTACCTGCTAGTTTTGTCATCTTCCTAATTGACGAGCGAATTACGAAAGCAAAACATCTGCAGTTTATAAGTAGTGTTGACAGACTCATTTACTGGATTGCTAACTTTGTTTGGGACATGGTATGTCGGATAGACATGAAATTTTAAATTGTATGTAAAAATTGTGTTTTTTCACCGACTTTTTCATGTTACAATAGGAACAACTGAAGCAAAGCGGACAATATAGTTTAACCAATGTTTCAAATGTTTATGCAAACACTTAAACTAGGCACTGAATAGAAAATATAGGCCACTGTATATACGTATAACTGGATGGAAGTTATTCATATCATCGACATCTATCTACAATCGTCACAACACAAGGAATTATTTAGATCACATTCATACATTTTGTGGGCATTTTTGAATACCATGTCTGACACCTCATTCAGGGTGTAATAAATTGGGTTGGCAATGCTGAACCGATAAGATTTTGGTCCCTCTTACAATAGTTGCTCCTTACATATCGTTAGATACATTGGCTGCTTGTAAAGGCCTAATATGGAGAAAAAAGCACAAATAGAGTATTGCATATAAAAACATAAGTTTTAAATTTTAACATGATTACTTCTTTAAAATTATAATTCATTGTTTTCAGATCAACTACTTGATTCCAATGATCATTGTTGTCATCATATTTGTATGTTTTCAAACAAAAGCTTACGTCTCTCCTCAGAACTTACCGTGTCTTATATTGTTGATGCTGTTATATGGATGGTCTGTAACTCCAATGATGTATCCATTCAGCTTTGTATTTGATGTAAGTGAAAACAATTTTTTTCTATGGGGAATTTATAAATTTACCATGTGCTTGAGATTTACACGCAGTGCTGAAGAATCGGTGAAAATTTATATATAATTTGAAAACTTCTCTGACTGCTAGGCCTAAAATTTTGACTTTTGGCTTTCCCTAGACTCCAGGTTGAAGATTTTGACTTGGCCTCCAGCTCTAAGCCTTGAGTAATGTCTATTTAGTATTCCTAGTCAAGTTGAGTTTTGACGGGAGGTCTGAAAGTCCTAGAGTCCTATTGGACTCTACTTTGAATAAGGGGAGTTTAAAAATATGACTCAGACCCAAATATTAATGCGAACATTTTCAACTCCAAAGCCTTCTTTGCGTGAGCTTTATCTTAACATTGGTCTCCGCTTTTTTTTCATTGAGGCCTGTTCAATACAACATCATGAACATTTTTGAGAAAAAACTGACACATAACCAGTCCTGAGTAACTTGAATTCACTCAAGCATTCATCTGATATAAAAACTTATTCCAAAGGGACTACAAGCCAATACTAATATTCTAAGGTTTGGCTAGTGCAAAGCTTTTGGTAATGGTATCAGTCAAAGATATTTTCATCAAACTATAACCTCAAATATACTAATTTTGTTCAACGATATGATTCAACTGTTGTCATTAGAAATATATAAACAAAAAAAGTAATTTCACCTCTTCTAAGAAAATCATAGAAAAGCTTCACCATCGATCTTCACCATCAAAATTTTTCAGCTAATGTTGTTGAAATATTATTTTTCTTTTATTTATAGGTTTCAAGTACAGCATACGTTGTTCTAACTTGCGTTAATTTGTTTATTGGAATCAACACGAGCATTGCTACATTGATTCTCGATGTAAGTTCGTTTTTATACTTTTGAAAATATTCAAGTGTAAAAGTGAATAGCTTAATTGCTTTTAATTATGGATTTCTCCATTCCCACCACTGTTAAAGGTATATTTATTGCATAAATTTGTCAGTTGGTTAGGAATTGGAAATGATTGATGTAAAATTGGTTCTTCTAGCTATTTTGGAAATTTTATTTTTTACATCACAGCTCCTTGAAGGTGATGAGAATCTGCAAAGAGTGAATGACATCCTACAGAAAGTTTTCTTGATATTTCCACATTATTGCATGGGACGTGGACTCATTGATATGGCAGTGAATCAAGCCACTGCTGATGCTTATGCCAGATTTGGTAAGTTTTGTTGAAAGTTGTAGTGAGTACGATAAAAAAATTTTCCCTGCGCCAGACTCTTCTACCAATCCTCGTTTTTTTGGAAGAATAATCAGCGTTTCATTGTTTCTAATTCTTTCTTTCGTAATTAAAATATGAAAAAATATCCACATTAACATTCTATTTTAGGATCAGGCCTGTTTGCTTATTTTCAAAATATTTTATCCGATGTAGGATCAAACGTGAAGTCAGTTGCTCTCATCTATATAAGAATAATTGAATAATTTAGGCCTAATGCTTTCGTAGGCATGATGACCTAGCGGTTAGTGTTAGCATCGCAGGTTCAAATCCTGTGCTCACCGCTTCTCTTGAAGTGCAATAAATTGGGTAGGCAATACAGAACCAAAAAGATTCTTGTTCTAAAAATAATGGCTCTCTGGATATCAGTGGTTATTTGTGCAGGGCCTTGTTCAAAGAGAAATGCATGAAATAGCTTCAAAAAAAAAAAAAAATTACATTTTTCAATCCACAACAATGTCCAATTTTTTGTCTTTTTTTTATACAGGTATCAATTCATTTGTTGATCCACTCAGTTGGGATCTTGCTGGAAAAAATCTTGCTGCTATGGCTATTACTGGTGTGGTTTTCTTTGGAATTAACTTACTAATACAATATAGGTAATTTTAAAGTTATTTAGATATTTGATGATGTTTCACTTGAGCTATGCTGTTTACTCCTCCAGATATATAACAATGTGATAGCAAAAGTATTTTGTGTGTATTTTTGCCTCTGAAATTGGTCTATTGGCATAAATTTCCTACATTGATGAGTAAACGTGAGTTTTGCCAATACATACATATCAGAATTACACTTGAACATTACACCTAAATATAAAATAGGGTATTCTAGCATAAGCTCTTAAATAAGTAATTTATGTCACCTGTACTTAAAAAATACATTATACCAGCATTTCCCAATCTTGGAGGGATTTCTTCCATTAGCAGACTTTTGTTGTTCTCGGAGGGGAAATACAAATTTCCATGTAAATTTGGCAAAGGGTGGAATATATCGAGAGAAGGTTGAGAACTACTGCATTAAATCTTCTTGCTTTGTTTCTGTAGATTCTTTATTCGTCCTACTGTTAATGAAATCCCTGAACCAGCGTTTAATGAGACAATGGAAGAAGATGTCATCAATGAAAAAACTCGAATCTTAAATCATCAAAATCCTAATGACATTTTGCATGTCGAAAATCTATCGAAAGTTTATGAGAAATTTCCCATGAGAAAGGGATTACTCGCTGTTGATAGGTAGGTATTTTATACCAGTGTCTTAATCCTGTAATAGTGTTTAATTCTGTGAGTATTGGTATATGATGGTTACTTCGTGTCTATTTTACTCAAAATTTTCTAGTCTATTTAACTTTTTTTTATACATTTTTCAACTTATTTCGATCATTATTGGGGTGGGGGGTAATGCCTAAAAATTTGCCTGAAACTTCATAGTTTGTTTGTTGATTGGGGCGAGATTGCCCTCTGTAATTTGGGTTGGTGGCCTAAGGATTGAATTTTCAGTTTTAACTATGATGGTATTACGAGTAAAATCTTGGTTCAAATCCCACTCCCACTACCTCACCCAAGTGTAATAAATTGGGTAGGCAATTCCGATCGGAAAGATTTCTTACCTAAGAGTGACTGCTTATGAAGAGCCTTGTTCAGAGCAAAAGGATAATTTTAAGGATTGTTACTGTCAGAGTCATTATTCTCTGGCATATGCGTATGCTCAGCAGTGAAAGCTTATGTTATTCTCATCATCTTTTATTATTAATAGAATGTGTGTTGGAGTGGGCGGGGGAGAGTGTTTTGGATTGCTTGGAGTGAATGGTGCCGGTAAAACTACAACTTTCAAAATGCTTACTGGAGATGAGATGGCAACAGCCGGTGATGCAAAAATATGTGGAATGAGTATTAACCAAAATATTCGAGAAGTTCAACAAAACTCTGGATATTGTCCTCAGTTTGATGCACTGAATTCACACCTGACTGGTTAGTTCAGTTTAATGATGAATTATAGAGGGTGTAACATGTAATATTATTTCATTTTGTCTTCTTATAAAAAGTATGGTATTCATTTTTGCTCATGGTTAGAGTATTTATAGTGTTTTTCACAAATGTGCCTTACAATTGCATTGAATTGGTATGTGCTACATACTGATTTGTAACTCACCGAAGTGAGGAGATTTTAATTTACGAGTTGTTCGTCAGTGTGTAGGGCAGTGTTAATTTACCGAGCATCTTCGTTCAGAGTGAAAGGAGTATAAATATGACATGTAAAAAGTTTGGCTTGGTTTTTAATGCCGATAGATACCAATTATACTTAAATTTCAATCCCAAGTTTTCTAATCTACTGTGGAAAATACATAGGCCACCTTCTCACAGCTCAGTTCGGAAAAATGAGTAAATATCATTTTTTTAGGTTTCGAGCATTTGCAACTGTATGCACGTCTACGGGGTGTCCCACCTGAAGAAGTTGATGTCGTGGCTAACTGGGGAGTCAACAAACTCGGATTGAAACAATATGCTCATAAACCCGCTGGTACATACAGTGGAGGAAATAAAAGAAAATTATCGGCTGCTATCGCGTTCATCGGATGTCCTCCCGTTATTTTCTTGGTTAGAAATAAAAAAATTTATCAACTTATTGCACGCACATTTATAGAGTTTACAGATGACACTTTTGTGCCATGCTGTTATTGACATTTGCGACTTAATTTTTATTTTACTTGGCTTTATTAGGGAATAATCACCATTTGGCGTACAATGCGCAACTACAAAGGGCAATAAAGATGTCAATTAATATAATTTGCGGTTACTTATTTTTTCAAAAATTCTTTTTTAGTTAACTTTTCAACCCGGAAGTCAGAAGCATCGAAATGCATTTAGCTGCACTTTGTAATATATTTACTGAAAAGACCAGACCCCAATAATTAGGAAGTTTTGCATATGGGTCTTTGGTGAAAAAAGTAAACACTACAAACAAAGCCTAACCAGACTGATTCATTCCTTCATATGAAAGTTATTATTTTGTCTTCCTAGGATGAACCAACTGCTGGAATGGATCCAGGTGCCAGGAGATTTTTATGGAAAAGAATTTCTGAAGTTATTAAAGTTGGAGATTACAATACTGATGGCCATAATAGATGTATTGTACTTACGTCGCATAGTATGGAAGAATGTGAGGCGTTATGTACTCGTCTTGCTATCATGGTCAATGGAAAATTTCAATGTATAGGAACTCCACAACATCTTAAAAATAAGTGAGTCTAGCAAGTTGAGGGTATATAAGTTCTGTTACAAGAAATAGCAAGGTGGTGATAGAGAATATTGTGGGCAAGGCAATTTGTATAATAAGATATGATGTTCATGCATTTATCCTGGGGAGGGAAAACCCAAAAAGTCGACTTTAGCATATGACACTATCTTGTCGGAAACATCCAATTGTTCTGTTTGAGATTGTTTCAATCTGGGAATGTATGTTTATTTATTCAGACATCATGTACTTTGTGCAGATGTCCTGTTAATATTTTTAATTTAGTGAAAAAAATTTACCTCTGTTAAAATTTGTATGCTTACAATTTTCTTATTCTTCACAGATATGGGAAAGGATATACCGTGTCAGTACGTGTTGGTGGTGAAGAATCTGATTTAAACAAAGTTTTAAGTTTTCTTCTTGATGGTTTCCCAGGAGCTGTTTTGAAGGAAAGACATCATAATATGATTGTGGTGAGAAACACTTTTCTATATATCAAAACACCCCATAACATGGTAAACAGAATCATGTTTCATGCCTTGCTGGCAAGTACATTGAAATTACCATTTCACAACAAAAATGAGAGACGCGAAGCGAAATCTATCTTTGTGTTGAATGTGTTGAATATTTATCTCGGAGCAGCAAGATGATATATTTCCAAACGCTGTGTGAGGAGCTGTTTAGTGACAGCCAACCAAAGGGCCGTGTGCTTAGGAAAAACAACAGTAATGCGTGCAAATGTACTTAAAGTATATATCTTTTGACAGTTACAACTTCCACTTGAAGTAGTCAAACTTGCTGAAGTCTTCAAACTAATTGAAATAAATAAAACAAATCTTCATATTGAAGATTATTCTGTCAGTCAAACAACACTGGACGAGGTATGGACAGCCTTTTTTCTTTATTTTGGCTTCATTCTTCTATTAATTGTACAATATATAGAGTACAGGGATACTGTGTATCAACTCGTGATCTCTCTTACCTTGTCTACTTTCTGTCTCGGATCTGTATGTGTCCATTTCCACAAGGATACTTGAATAGGATAGTATTAAAATGAAAATTAAGAATATAATCTCATAATCTCTTTTCACGAAATAGCAAATAATATTAGTGAACTTTCGCTAGATAAACCAAATTGATTCATACCTTCCTTTTTTTGAATTTTATTATAGTAACTTGAGAGAACGCAAGTCATTTGGATTATGTTTTTCAGAGCACATAACTTTTGTGCGTAGCTTCCCAGATTACTGAAGCTTTTGGGCACAATCCGATTCAAACAGAAGTTCAAATGTTCAAGAGTTAAATTTGCTCACGCACACATACCAATTACAATTTATCTTATATTCAGGTATTTGTTAGTTTTGCAAAACATCAGACTGATGGTGAAGACCAGCCTGTGATGATAGCTACAAATTCACAAAACAGCGACAACAACTATGAAATGAGTGAAACAATGAAACAAGATGTGATTGCATAAATTTCAACTTGTTTTCATGTTTTTGTAATGCATTACCGTAATTTATATTTTTCTATGCAGCACAATTTCTAGTTGTAGTTTATTCAAATTATTATTATATTATAACTTTTTATATAATCAAGTGCCGAAATGAAATTTTCCTGTGAATATGTGATAGTTACTTGTTGAAATAAGTCTCGTTTGTATTTACTGAAAAGACCAAAATACTGAAGTTGAATAAGGTAGTTTTGTTTTTGCAGGGGAAATTTAAGGACGTTTTATGATGACCACCCCACATGTTTTTCAAACGGTATATATCTCTCATTTATGTGTTTACTATTGCATATTGCCAAATAATAGTTTGTACTTGTATGCTTTGCTTACAGCAATTTAATTATCTTTATTTCTATATGTTCCTTAGTGCAGCATGATCATGAGTACCATCCTTAAAACTGGCTAATAATTTTCTATTAGTGTCACTATCAGCTACTGGCTGAATCTCCTCTACAACTATGTGCAATTTGAATTCAGTTTTGATGTTTTTATGTTGTTCAATTGAATGCAAATGCACTACAAAACTTTCATTAATGCAGTATTTGTGATTGCTCCCGGCTACTTTACTCCTTGTTTCAAAATTCCGTTTTTGAATGAATCAACCATTTGCTTATTGTGTTTAGTTTGAAACTCTTAAAATAATGATTTCAATGGTTTTGAATATTGTATTAATATAGTTTGAACATTTATCTACCAATTTTTAGTGTAGAATAGAGTAGTGTATAAAAACCTAAATAGTATTTGATATTATTTTTTCCATGTCTAGTTACTTCAATTGCAATCAATGCAAATTGTGATGCAACAATGCAATGTTTTTTTGTATATAATCATAATTTGATCATCTATCAACATCATTTTTTTATTTTTGCTATGAATTAGCAAGTGATTAGTTACTGAACTTAAACTTATACCTGTCGTAATTGATCACCAATAATAAATAATATTAGAATTACCTAATTTGGGGCAGAATATTATTACCTTCTTGCTTGAGTTCAAATTTATCTATCAAATTGTGGATTTTAATACCTGTTGAAGTTTGGGGGTTTCGAACTACCGGTACCTTTTTTATGGAATAAATTGCATAGATTGAATGAGAACTTGGTATAGACGTCGTTCGTTCCAATAACTTTGTATAACTAATCACAAGAGTTAATTTAATGTATGTTTTATGTTAATTAAGTAATTATGTAAACATAACGCAAAATACCATCTTCAGCTATTCTATGCGAAAATGTGGAATAGCAAACCTTAATAAAATGGACCATATTCTGAAATTTTGTCCCAGTTTCGACAAAAAATTCTGATATCCTTTTATGTCTTTTAATTAGATGCATGGAATTTGTATTTCATTGGTACTAATTGTAAGTACTAATTGTAGATTCAGAAAATAATTTTTATTTTTACATGCATTTGCACTATTATTGTTTCATATTCTGTATATTGATAATCATGTTACGTTTACAGTACAGTGAATGTAATCTGCAGCATGTAAAATAAATGAAATATTTTGACTTTCTTGCGTTCGTTTTTATGCCCCAACTGGATGGGATGGATTTCGTGTTAGAGCTCTTTGTCGCTTTCGAGTGAGAAGCATGGTTGATCGAGGTCCAATATCAGAGTTTTAAGGGTTCGAGATGAAAATTACTGTTTCATTTTTTATGCCATCAAAGTACACATTGCAGTTACAGTTATCGCCCATAGCCTACTCCTCGAAACGCGGTGGTGTGGCTCAACGGGCTAAGCGTTAGGAATACGCTCGCCACCGCACCTCTAACTTGGCACCTCTAACTACTCTGCGTGGGTTCGCAGGTTCGAATCCCATGCAGGGATGGTTATGTGCGAGAGGATTGCTGGACTCCTCGCTGTCGTTGGGTGGTTCACGTAACCGCTGGTCGGTTACGGCTTCCTCCACCACCAAGTCCATGCTTCCGAAAACAAACAATACAGTAAATCTAATCCCATACCCGACTTGGAATGGTAACCGCACGAGAGGCCGTGGTTCGCCATATGGATAAGCCGTCTTATCGACTTTCCTCTCCCCGGAATAAATATGTAAATCCTATCCTAACTGGCCTTTAAGAATGTATAAGCATAGTTTTGCGGCTCATTTGCCGACACTAAAAGCGGTATCTGCTTATACTGTACGATGATAAAAAGCAAGGTGTGAGTTAGTTTCAAATTTCATCATTTATTTCTGTGAAGTTCATACTGTAAATGAAACTAATCAATTGAAAGTTTTGAAAGAAGCACCGTATCAGGTGGTGCGAAATATTTACAAAAATATTCGTACAAATATGGATTTACATATTTATCCTGGGGGAGAGGAAAGCCGATAAGACGGCTTATCCATATGGCGAACCACGGCCACTCGTCCAGATTGTTTGTTTTCGGAAGCATGGACTTGGTGGTGGAGGAAGCCGTAACCGACCAGCTGTTACGTGAACCACCCAACGACGGCGAGGAGTCCAGCAATCCTCTCGCACATAACCATCCCTGCATGGGATTCGAACCTGCGAACCCACACAGAGTAATTAAAGGTGCGGTGGCGAGCGTATTCCTAACGCTTAGCCCGTTGAGCCACACCGCCGCGCCAGACTTGACTTGTCAAATATTCCCATACCCGACATTGACAAGTGGCCATTATTTGTCATATCAGTGAGCTGTCCTATTGGCTTTCTTCTCCCCCGAAATAAATATGAAATTCATTTCCATTACCGAATTCTGACGATTTAAAGAAGGGAAGTGGCCGGTCAGTGTTGATGTCATAAACATGGACTATCAACGGCTGCTCTCTCTTCGCTGCAGCGATGTTGTGGTTCGTCATTTTTGCCGGTAGATTCAACTCGCCTTTGTCTATTTGTTCACTTGTTCGATCTGTCGATTTGCTTCAGATTGACTGAATTCTGGAGCCTAGTGCAGAATTTATGTTATTAGAGTCAGAATATGTACAATATTTTATGATATATCCGTTTTGGATAAAGTAATTCAGTGATCCGAATTCCAAGATTAGAAGTGACATTCAGACATTGCAAAGTATGAAAGCAATGCAGTAATGAGTGAATACAGAAATAAGTCGGCAATTTAAAAGTTAGTAAAGGCAATTTAAATCTTTAGCTGTCATGTGGCGTTTTGAAGCATGCCCAAAGTAGGAATTATAACAATCATAAGAAGAGTTTGCAACTTGCATACTTCTGAACTTATGTTCTATTAATTAATTCAGTACGGTAATTGTTGAAATATTCTACAGGAAGTCATTCAGCCATTAGACGCGGAGGATTTACAATTCAAACTAAAATGGTCTTGTTACTAAATTCTAAAATGAAATATCGTATCTATAGAAACAAGAAAATAATATCATCACAGATTCGGATAAAGAGTATGCTGTATGATGTAAAAGGATCATTAGTCTAGATCACCTTAATTCAGTAATTAGTATGTCTGTATGTAGTACTGAATTAAGTTCTTACTTACTCTTGGATTTGAAGTTCGTCAATACGGTATCTCATATTACATTCCGACATTACTGTATTAATCCATATCTACTGTATCTATGTTTATTTGCAAATTGAAAATTTGCTTAATGTTTAATATATCACTGTATCGGTAAAATATTGAGAGAGATTGAGTGGACATTTTATAAGATAAAAGATAAAATGTTATATGATTTACAGTTTTTGTTGTAATGAATTATAGATAACTTACTTCTGTACTTGTTGTAAATATCGCAAACATCACATACTTGTTTAGTTATTTTGTGAAATGATTTATCTCTGAAATCTCTTAAACAACAAAATGCCGAGGAGGAAAGCTCTTAAAGTTGTTGTAGAAGTAGAGTTTCATGCGGTATGTGCATTCCTTTGTTATTCTGATAAACTTTATTTACTCTCCCTCGTAAAACATTGAAAGGATTTGCTCTAAGTAATAATTGCAAACTTATCGTATTATCGTTGGTTCTCAAACTTTCATGATTAATGGTCCCCTTCAAAAGCCTACCAACTAATGTGGCTGCTTGCTCTTCTATTGAATTAGCTAGTTGTGCTTTTAATGCGTTTTATCAGTTTAAAAAGTTTATGTGCTTCGTTTAAAAAAAAGCTATTTAATTTAATGTAGTCAATGAGAATGGTGGCTAGGGGAGGCCTTTGCTAGTGGGCCCCCAGAGAACTGCTTCGTGGCTTCTTATGGGGATCAAAGCCCCAGTCTTAGAAACTCTGTAATGGATGAAAATGTTCTACTCAGTGTTGGCAAGGTTATGGTAACATTATTATTCATGATGGGATGGGAAATACATTCAGGCATGGCTCAAGTATGATATTTTGTAACTGTGATGAATTGGTTATATATATATTTTTTTCATTTTTCAGGTCACATGTCCAGGAGTATTTCTTCCTGCCAGAGAAGAGGTTTTCTTAAATGTTGAAATATTTGGTCAATTAAAAAGAACTCAATATCATCCACCCGTTTTTCCTTTTTTATTTCATGAGAGAGTGAGAATACTTTTTTTTATATCAAGAATTATGAAGTGTATTTTAGTTGTGATTTCATCTCTTCATATTTTATTATCTAGTATATTCTGAACTGAACTGTTGGATAAATTTATATATTCTTCTTGAGTCTGGTATATATATTGAAATAAATTGTGCCGATATTTTAAATTATCATAGTAGATCTTATTGAAGTATACCATCATTTGTCAGTACTTTGCTCTGTTATTACCCTAATATATTAAGAGTTCAATTTTGAGTCATTTTACATTCTTATTTTCTTTAATTTTCAATTTATATTTAAGATACGATTCGAGAAAGTGTTTTGCCAAGCTACTGATCCTATTCAAGTTGCTCAAGAATTATGCTCTGAATCTGTTAATATGGAACTGATTCAACTTAGTTATCCAGGTAGGTAATAGACCTATTTTTATTTTGTGTGATATGAATTACAGGTATGGACCATATATCCTCGCATTTAGCCGAGTTTAAAACTAACAAAAAATTTGCCAAAGTAAGGGGTCGTGTCATATGCGCGTAACTCTGATCGCACTTGAAATAAACGACATTAAGCTAACTTAATTTCAACAGCTATAACTCGACCATGTTAAGTGCACACGGTAATATCGTTGGTTGTCAATTGTCATACAAAGGATCACTTGCGTGTTTTGTAGGATCAGCTGATATGCGAATTTTTATGAATTCACCGATCCAAGGCGGTCGGCTTATATGCGAGATCGGCTGGTATGTGGGGATATGCGTATCATTTATTAGTTCTCCTCTAATTAGAAAGCATCACACACAAATGTGATTGAAATTAGACAAATATAGTTATTTTACAAACCATATTCCAGGTGGAGAACTTCTTGGAACATACACAGATAATGCAAGAGATTTTTTATTTCCAACCCCCAAAGTTAGTCCAACCTATCCTGGTGTAGATAGAGAAGTTTTATTTCAAAGAACTGCCTCATTTCCAGGTAAATTTATACTATATCTATACAATAGGTATATTATTTAGTCGTGAAGTTTGTTCCCATGGATAGCAAGGCAAAGTTAACACGCTATAGGTTTTCTTTTGAGCTACAAGAAATAGATTTCTATGAAGTGCAAAGAAGCTAGGTAACTAACTCATATTAAATTAATGTCTCTCTGCTCTTTATATTTTTCTAGAAATCATGTTTCAAATTATACTTGATATGTATGAAGTTCTGAAACATTCCCGACTCACCAAACAATTCATTTATCTTCTAAAATTTCACTGGTAATTTAAAAAGTTATTGAAGCCTAGTTTTTTTACTCCTATCAAGGGATTGCACCAAAACTTGAATTTTCATCACGAACAATAATAAAAGAGGTGACATCATCTGGTAAATCTTTGGGAGACAAAAAACGAAAAGAACGTCATTTATCAGCACCTCAGCCACTTCTTGCAAACGGTGGCACAATACCGACACATAAGGTTTGCACATATTTATATATTTGTATTTTTTCATATTTATATCCAGGTCGCCTTACATTAAACTCATCCCTATTTCTAGGTAGTCTAGATAAATCATTGATCTCAAAGTGGGCAATATTGCCCACAATCAGGTCTGGGGAGATGGAGCCATGGAGCTGTGACATTTTGGTGAAGCCAAGCTACCAAAACTTATAGTGGCTTCAGCTCCTAACCATATGATTATTATTTCACATTTGTAAGTTTTTTGTAACCCTCATTGTTTTGGGTCCCGCTTCCATGAAACTGCATTTGGGCTGATGTTTAATGTCAGTGGTAACACCTAAAAATGTCAATATGAGTATGAAGCTGCACCCGGAGCCCCTGTGATTTTAAACCAGCTCCCCAGCACTCCCCACGATGGAGAGCAAAAAACAGGAGGGCCGATGGCACGATCTCGGAAAGTCAACTAAAATGTCTATGAATACTAAGATAACTCGTTGAATATCACCTCATCCACAACATTAGAAAAACACCATGTACTTTAATTACCGGTAGTATACAGTGTATACTTATCAATTGATTTGTAATAAATTTGTTTTTAAATTAACGTCCATTTGTATTGCTTTTGGGGAGGGGGTAATAATGATGTATAACGCGCTATGAAAGTTTTAGAATCACTGGTCTAGATCGTTCAGCCATCTGGCATCCCATTGACTACAACCCTGTACAAGGATTATACAATATTATCAGACCAATTTGAAATCATCGCAACTCTTTGTCATCTGCTATTTAAAAGTGTTTCAATTGGGCCATTATTTTTCTTAGCTTCACTTTTCGTCTTCAGAATATCAGACTGCTGGAAGCCTGGAAATGTATATTGTTTCACTTTAATAGTAAAATTTGAGCGTAGTTATTACCTTTTATATCCATTGATTGTAGACAAAAACGAGTAGTGGTATCCGCACTAAAACTTCACCTCAGAAACAGAGAAGTCCTGTTAAAAAAGGCAAAACGAAAAAAAACAATTCAACAGAAATTGGAAGAGGAAGAACAAATCAACGATCAAAGAGTGCCAACCGAGGTTTGTTAGATTTGTTCGGAAAATTTATGTGTTTAATTTGTTTCTCCAGTACCGGTACAGTTTGCAAGTTTTGTCGATGACGAACAGAGGGCCGCTGAGTACTTGGAAGAGGGCCACGGATCAAGAAAGTTTGAGGACCACTGTCTTTTTATTATGATTTATCTTATACAATTTATGAAACCATGGATGAATTTCTGACCAGGGCTTGAACCCTTAATCTCTAATCCGTATCAGAGTTTCCGGCTGTGTTATTCCCTCTTCGTTATTCCTCTCTGAATACCGCAAATATTTTTCATAAATATCTACTTCATCTGCTTCACCTCATTCAATTATATTAAGTAGTACCTGATGAGATATAATCAATATTTTTTTGTTTCAAATGCCCACTCTGTATTGCATTCTGTGATGTTCTGTCATCTATCAGGCTATCCTGTGTAGTTTTATTGTACGTTAGAAAAGTTTTTTATGTTCGAGGATAGCATTTAACACTGATATTTTATAGCTTTGATATCTAAATACACAGGCATGAATAAGAACTAAGCCTTGATGTACCTTGGGCTTTAGATTTACTTTTGTATTGCAGTCTTACTTCAGTTTAGCATTAAAGGTGAAACTGTTTACTTGAAAATATGCTTGTTTCCAACAATAATCGGCATTTGCTGTTGACGTTTATTTCATGCCTTCCGCTCTAAATAAATCTGTGGGTTCTCATGTCCACTAATGGTGTTGAACATTGAGTGGGCAATGCCGAACAGAAAAGATTCTGGTACCAAACTAGGCTTGCACGTAATTGACAAAAATCAATTCCGTAATTACGGCAAAATCAATTACGTAATGACCCCGTAATTGCGATATTTTTCCACGCATTTAAACCTATCGTAACAACCAATTGAATCCACTTTTTTTCCGAATGGGACATTGAAGTTGGGTTTTCCTATTCTTGGCAGTACTACACGCCGGCGGCAGATGTTAAAGACAACTATCAAGGAGTGAATTCAAATTAATTTTATTCTGATTTTTATCTTTTGTGTTAGCTTTGGTTTTTCTTTATCACCTTCGCAAATTAACCGTCCCATTTTTATGCGATCAATTTTATTTATCATTACCGACACTGGTATACGGATATTTATGGAAACGATAGTTTTTTAAAACCACCTGAGTACTGAATAAAAATTACGGGTTTCTAATTTATTAACCAACAACGATTTCCTCGCGACGAAGACTTGTTTTTGCAGCGTTTTCTGCATTATCCGACATTACTGCCTTGTTAGCATTTTTATAATAATAATTATTGATGTCGACTTATTGACGATATTCCTATTACCATGCTTCATTTTACATTCAATCATTTCGCGGACTGAATGTTTATAACATTATTTGCGATAAATTTAGATTAAATATTATTTATTTGCGTATAATTTAAATACCGAACTTATATGACATGCCTTCTCCGAAAATACAAAGTTATATCGCAAAACAATGCATTTTGTGACATTTATTTTACACTCACAACATTTATTTGCTAACTCAAGTCGGCGATCCTATCGGCCAAGATTGACAAAAGTTTGGTCGAGTGCCGGTGGTATTCAAGTCGACGATAAATCAAAATAAGTTGCCGCATTTGGTAAGACAGTTAATCATATATGGCCGAAATATTGAGAGGAATTGTGAAAAACATCATGAGCAAGGCCAAGTCCGGACTGATATATAACGATAAAACCGTTAACAGAACATCAAGATTTTGTAATAGAAAATGGATCTCGCACAGAATAAATACACAGGCTCATATTTATTTATATATGATAGCAGTTAAATTTTCAACGGTCCGCGAGGAATCCGTCGTTTTGGTTCATTACGCAATCTCTCTTTTGTCGTCATATTGCTATTTGATAAGCGCGACATTAATTATCATGGCGAGGTATTGGCGCGAGTGATCAATCGCTCTTTTCGCTTATTTGGTTCCAATTCGTCGCGAAAGCTCTTCGTTAAATTTCACAAGATAGTCGTGTTGAAAGGTTATGGATATTTTCCTGTTTATACCCCAAGTCTGAAATGAAACAGCCAAAAATAATATGATATTCCATGTTCATATATCAAGTGTTGATATTAACAATAAAGAATGGTTAAGCATTGCTAATCCACACTTGGTGGGGAATTCCCACTATTCAAACGCGTGACTATAAAATAGAATAAAATAGAAACGGAACATATATACCATAAGTAACGGAAAACTGGAACAAGTAAATAATAAATAAAAGTAAAATGGATACAAATGTTTGATAGACCATGTTTGATAGATTGATCTCCTGCGTTCATTAGTCATTTCACCCGAAGAAGTTGAAACCGGGCGTGTTAGCGTCCATCTGTTTTAACACAATTCTTCCCCCTATCTACGGTTATATGTACATTGGCCATGGCCATGCTAGATAAGATGCGAGAGAAGTTGAAACCAGGTGTGTTGGCGTCAATCGGTCTCAACGCAATTCTATCCCTTATCTACGGTTAAGTTGCGGGAGAAGTTAAAACCAAGTGTGTTGGCGTCAAACGGCCCTACTCAGTTCTTGCCCCATTAACTACGTTAATAATTTACATTGGCCACGCCAGATAAATTGATAATAGGTTAGTAAATGGCAACGCGTCATGCCTTCCTTCACCTACGTAACAAGAGAGAGAAAAACGGCTGCGAATACCGGAACTCTAACTTCTTCTCCTTGTTGAGCTTTCATTTTCGCAATCGACGAAATTGACTGCTTTGAAGAAAGCTCGTTTCAATGCAATAATTACGACTTTACGTAATTCGTAACTTCCCTTCCGTAACTCCAAATAATTACGTAATTCCGTAAATCCGTAAATTACGTGCAAGCCTATTAACCAAACTATAGTAGCTTTCCTATGAATGCTTGTGCAGAGCCTTATTTGGAGTAAAATACATCATATTATTCTACCTACAGCAACAACAATGTGGGGTTATGAACAACCAACTATTGCATCCCGTGCTCGATCTCCATCACCATATACAAGAAGAAGAATGGCAGAGTTGTCAATCAACGATCCATTTGAATCCGCAACCCGTGCAAAACCATTCAAGACTGAGGTTGATAGTAGACCAGAATTCGTTGTTCGAAAGGTACAGGGTCTAATTTGTGTAATAATATTGGATGACTTATCATATTTACTTTATTTCATTACATGTTACTTGAGTTTACTTTACCTGGTCATCAACAGGGATGGCTCAAACATTCCACAAGTCATTGAAAATACCAATAAGTATATTTGGTATCACAGAATAATTGAGATATATTGCTTTATAAATTTTCAATTGTTTTAATATTCAGAAGTAAAATTAAGTTTATCTTTTGTCTGACCAGATTATGTTGTATGTTAAAAAACTAAACGAATAAAAATCTAAATTATTCCAAAAATTAAGAATTTGCTATATTCAATATTAGCAACTATGAATGCATGCTAATGTTCTTTTCACTTTGAATAACAATGGTCGCTGACCAGTATTTCACATGGCATTTCCTCTGTAACCTATATTTTTCATACTCTTTAATTATCGATGGAAAATGCTAGGTGCCAGAAGATGCATTATCGTTAGAGCGAACTCCACCACCTCCAAGATCACCGTCATGTGAACGTAGGACACCCCAGTCGCGGAGTTATACACCGACTAGAAAATTGAATTTATGTGAGTAGTATTTAGGTATAAAGTATGGGCAGGGAGGGCCTAACTGAATATTTTGTTATTTCGTATACATTCTGAAATAATATTTTTAAATATGAAATATTGGATACGTCAGTGTACATAACGATCGTTTCAATATTATGTTGTTGTTGTTCTTATTATCCTTCTCCTTTGTCATGATGAAATCGCTTTTCTCTTCGAATACTGGACCAATTGCTTTGAAATTTTCAGTGGTTGAAGATTGTTTTTTTGCCAGGAGACTATTTTTTTTACTTATTTCGAAAATTTCTGTGGACTTCAAGAGATTCGTTTTTTATGTGTCAGAATAAAAAATAGCGGCACCTCGTCGTGACGTGTCCATGTGTCCTCTCTTGTTTAAGATCGTATCATGTTCAACAAAGCACGCAAGTTGAGTGCAGAAATTCGTATTCAATGATTTTGGATTTGAAAATTGGGAATGTTGCAGTAAACAGTGATTTGATTGGTGTTTTAATTTTACAATTTTTGGAAATGAAATAGCATATTTTTGTGTGATACTACAATTGCTAAAAATGATAATATTGGACTTAATAGATTGTGTAGGCACTGCCAACTGAAGAGACTCTGGTTTTTCCAAAAATAGCAGATTTTTTACATATTTTTAGATATCAGTAGCTGCTTGTGCGGGCCTTGTTCAGAGCCAAAGATGAATATGTATAAAAATTCTAGTTCACATAACTCTTTTTTCTAAATGGAATTCCATGCAAATAGTCCTATAAAGATATCGTTGTATTTGAAATGTGTTGATTTATTAAGTTTGTTATATTTGAAATATGGTATTAAATTTTCGTTCTGGGGTATTTCAGCAAATGGTATTATTTGAAAAATCATTATTTGATATTCAAGCTAATATACCAATTCTTTAACTTGTGTACAGCAAATTTGAACAAGTTTTATTTTCAATTTCCCAAATTTATTGAAATATTTATTTGTGCAAATTTGTCTCAACATTTTTTTTTAAACTTATTCATATGTCTTTTACTTCGAACAGGATTCTGTACTCCCATAGTATGTGTACCAGGTTAGGGTTAGGCCATAGTTTTATTCCGATTTTCCTTATTTAGATTTAGGGCACTGTTTGTGTTAGCCAAGTGAATATACCCCCTGTTCATAGGTTTCAGTCCCTTCACACAACTTGATGTGAAGTAGGCATACCAAATTAGTTACCTCCATATTTTTTATACATACTTGTGGAGCGCCCAGGACTCTGCATGAGCAGCCATTGTTAAGTCAGGAGCTACAATAGTTTGGAAAAACAGGGATCTTTCAAGCATTGCCTACCCAAATATTGCTATATAATCATTAATATATTATTAATAGGTTGTATTCAGAATCGAGAAATATTTAATTTTGTTTATGACTTGAGCATTGATCTACAGGTTCTGTAACTTTCAATGTCATATGCATCTATTTTGCCCAAGATCCTATCTTAACAGTAACTTTACATTCCACGTATGTGGCTAGGGAGTAACACGCTACGCTACAATGAAATACATTTTAAATACAAAACAAACAAACGAGTAATAGTAAACAAAGAAAGTTGAGATGAGTCGTTCGTACGTTAGTACTGGCCTTTAAAAACAACTGTCGTACTGTTAACAATGGAAAAGCTACTCATTGAATAAGTTGTTGAATACCGGCAGTTAAGTATTTAAGTACTCGATGATCGTACAGTATAAATACCCTTTATTGTAAAATGTGTCCACATTAACTATGGGCCGTACATTTGTTATAGTTCTTGTCCTCTATTGTCTATGTTCCAATGAAAGTTGTTTTGTGAGTGAATTCAAGATAAGCTTTATATCTTTGTGTATCATTGTTACGTACTTTACCTATGTTCTTCAGGTTAAATATTTCTACTGATTTAAGTTGTAATATAATTCAACATAAATTTGACAATTGATCATAACAGTTATATTATTTCTTAAATTTGATCCAATGTCCTTTCAAAATATCAATTACTAATTTCTTTATTTAAAACATTTTTATGCCTGTTGCCTATTGGTTTCGTAATGATTCTATTTTGAGACTTTGGAAATCTTGTTAACTTGTTTTTTATGTGTCTCATTTATATTTACCTAATAATAATATTCAATTTTATTATTTTTTTCCAGCTCCGAGACAAAATGGTATGACATCTCCTAGAAATGGATATGGTATTCAACTCAGTAACAGCAGTGATGGTATGAAGAATTTCTAACCGTTTTTATTCTCTTTGGGAAATTTAAAGATCTCAGAATATTTTTATATTGCTAAATGAAAGCATCACCGAAGCACACTAGTTTTTTTATATCCAAGGATGCAAATGCAATACTGCTCTTTTTTTTTGCATGCAAGCTCTTTTTGCTGAATTTTTTTTAAAATGCAATTTACGAAATGAAAAACGAAGCCAATCAAATTGGCTATTATAGTTAAGGAGAATGAGCCTTTTTATATTTTGATACGACAAAGATATTTTATAAGCGAGCAGGGCGTAATACTATCCCAATGTTGGGCAATGTTTCCGATCTAACCTATCGTTATATGGCCTGGTTGCACTTGCACCCTGTCTATATTCTAAAAAGATGGCATTGCAGTACAGTATTGTTATCAAGAACAGAAAAAAGACAATGTACTATTCCTTAATTTTCTATCATTTTATTCAGATACCGACAGCATATCATCAGAGTATTCAGATATAGCAAGATCGAATTATGTGGAGAGTTATAGAACAGGATACTTAGAAAAACCAAAGCCATACAGACCATGGCAGAGATCTCCTAGTCCTTTTCATTCATATACGCGATACTTATCTACAAAGCAGGACGCTCGCTTTCCAGAAGGCAGATGTGAGGCATTTATCCCTATCGGAGTACATAGTCCGAGAACTAGAAGACAATCAACTCCAAGGACATCGCGTTTTAGTGAAGCTAGTCCTATAACATGCAGCGACTGTCCTTCTCCCTCTAAACCTAGATTAAAGTCATGTTTAGTGTCTCGGAGTGCACCGCCAACAACTAGATCATTTTCTAAGTATAGTTCTGCTCGTGAACGCCGTAGAACGGCAGAAAGAATCACTACATGTCTTGAGGATCTTCTCAGTGAAGTAAGAAGATCTGATAAAGGAAAGGATAGCTTCGATAATTATAAACATAATACGAGGAAGAAATCAGGACTAGTCAGATTTAAAGGTGTTTTCATTATACATAAATTTTTTTCGATTGAAAAAAGAGATGACGACGTCTCGTACTCAACTAACCAGCAGTGATACTCAGATTGTTCGAGGCTCAGATGATACATGACTTGACTCACGACTCATACTCAACTCGACTTGGCTCACGGCTCACGTTCAGGAAATTTTACACGACATTGCATCAATCAACTGAAAAATCATAGTAGTACTATAGTCTTGTTTCATTGATAAAAAAAATCTAACATGGCACAATTTGGTAAAAAATGGATAATATTTATTTGAGCATTTAATTTGGATTGATTTGTGTGCATAAAAATGCACATCTACATTGGCACAAAAATATAACATATGTATACATACTAAACCTTTGAAGACCAACATAAACATAATTTCTTTATTTGACACAACACACTTGCATGTCATATACCACCTAAGTACCATGATTTGTTGATGCAGATTGTGGATTCTTGTGGTGCATTGTATTCTGATTTTGTTTTATTACAGATGGTTCTGGCAGTGACCTACACACTTCAATGAGATGTGGTCGAGGAACCCCTACTGGCAGTAGATTGTCATCGGCTCGTTCTAATCCTTCACCCCAAGAACCAAGGTTTTCACTTGCTGATCTATGTACAGCCCCTACATCAACTTATGGAAGGTAAGTTACTTTCAGTTACGTCACTTTTTGGATGATTGGTTTTCATGATTACTTTTTTCTTCGGTTTGAGAAAAAGTGTACATTGACTCTGTATTAGATGGAGGTTTTTGTTTCTGTTAAATTTTCTATTTGTTATATTTCACCTAAAAGCTGGAATGAAGTATTGTTTCTGAAAGCCTATTTCTAATCATGGGTGGAGAGTGCTTGATGTTTCTTTCACATGACGCTCATTGACAGGCAGCCACTGATATCAAACAATTTGTAATTTGGAAGGACCTAACATTGCCTACCCAATTTATTATACACTCTGGGTGATCTGGTGAGAATGGGATTTGAACCTGAAGTTTGATAACCTTTATGTTATTCAAAGATTATGCAACTGTGCATTACTTTTCAGAGAGTCTTCAACGGTAACTCCAAGTTCAATATTACATCGCACACCTCTTGAACAAAGAATGAGAGGACATTCTTCTCCTTATGAAAAAATCAGAGATAGAGTTCGAGCTTTATTGTCTTCACCAAGAGCGACACAAATAGCAGTAAGAAAAGTACATTTGTAAAAACTAAATACAGCAACCAAATTTTAACTTGATAATAATAATAAATAATGTCATTTTCGCATCACAGTACTGATGGGCAATGTTTGTGTCCATGCATTTTTGCATTATGTATCAATCATGATCAAAGTTATTTTCATTAGAGTGGATGTCATAAGCATGTTTTAAGTACATCAAGTTCATAAATTTCTAAACTTCTACTACTTTGGATTGTGCGTCTTCCAAGTTGTCCCAAGAATTAGACTCATTTTTTATAAGACATATTTATATGTCTGTAGCTCCTAAGTTGCTTATTTTGACTATCTTTATTCCTCCTCACTGTTTTCTGTTCATTTTTTTGAATCCTTAAAGGATCTTTGGCTAGTGTTGCGTGAAACTTGCACTCTGACTTCAAAACCGTTTAAATAATTTCATTATAATGTATAATACATAAATATGTATGATGTATCACAATAATGATAAATAAATTGAATAATAATAATAATAATAATAAGACTACAAGGAATACAAAGAAATATTTCCCAAAAATTCAGAATTAATGTCAGGAGAGGAATTCCTCACTGGCTGGAAACATTGTGACAACATATCTCTTCATATTTCGACCTAATATATTCTTTTAGGAAAATGCAATGCAAGAAGGTCAAGAAAGATATCGACAAAGAATGAGTAGAAGTAGGAGTCCATCACCACCAAGGTATTAAATATTTCAGGTAAACAAAAGGTAGAAATGTGTGCTGTGGTAGTGTATGTTGCCTAATTGCATCATTATGTAAAAATATTTCTTGGAATTTCACCTGTTATCAAAAATACTTAAAAATTTCTATATTTTGACCACAAAAAATACATCCGTAAAATCGCAGGAATGGCCTAGCATTACTGTTAGTAAGTGGAGATCTGAAGTTGTTGCCAGATTCGGATTTTCATCATGCAAGAATCGGTGTACGAATTAATTTAAGATTAAATAAAGGCAAGAAAATAATGAAGAGATATTACATTATGAGAAAAAATTATACATGCGGTCCATAGCTCAAATAACTAATGTAATTGCTGTATATTTAATATCTTGCAAATGCAGTAAAAAATATGGAACTATGTAAATCTGATTTTAGCTAAAATAACAAAATGACGAGAATATAGCGTACTATACAAAAGTTTTGACATTGAAATAATGCTAAATTTGTAGACCAATAATGTTTTGTCATGAATGAACCTGAAAATTGTCTCTTTTTAGAGTGTCAGTTCGTCTCAATGATAACGAATACTGGAATGAAATGGCATCAGTGTTTACCGGAAGATCACATCGTGCAGTTTTTGAAAATAACTTGGATAAAATTTACGATGACATTTATACTAATCTAAAGAACAGCAAATGAAAAGCTTGCTGACAGGCTATTTTAGCAATTATATTGTAAACGTATTCACAAGTTTGTTTATTTTACGAAAATATGCCATCTCTGCAAGTACAGATATACTGCGAGACTCATATTATATTTCTAGTGGTTTGATCATTTCCATCTAGCATTCCATGATTCAAATGTGTTTCAAAGAGAGAAGAAGTATAATCAGTACATTTAGGATTGAAATAAAATTAACAATATTCAAAAAAGGTATATCTTTAAGAACCCACGACAGTATTTTAGTGGGGTATGCTCATTACTTTTGCAGTTAAATCATGATTTATGTCTGATGTTACTTTCATTTGTGATGAAAAATAGAGTAGTTGGGAATGTGTCGAATAGAAATAAATGGCAAGTTAGAAGTTTTGGTTTTCAAAGACATATTCATGTGTATTTGTTTAGATTGACTGCCTAAGACTTAGCAGCTTTAGGTTACCCAAGTAAAGTGCTTCATTTGCAAAACAACTCTGATCTTTATAATTATTTTTCATTAGTCTTTGACTAGGACTTTTGAATAGCCTCCCAATTCATTTAATCCATTTCATGATTTTTATAGTATCCGAATGCAGTTATCAATAACATCATCAAATTATTCCGCTCGACATAGATGAGCACCATTTTAATTGAGGTGAAACTAAAGATCGTCAATATCTTGTTCCACTCAGAATTTACCTGTCAGTCCTAGAAAATGTCCAATTTATCCTAAATAGCTTACTCAATTTTATTTATCTTTTGTTAAACATTCAGCTTTTCTCATTCGATTCATTTATCATTTTATCTTATGCTTGTAGTAACACTGATATACGGTAGGTATTCAATTACCTTAAATTTTTTTTATTCTGTGGAAATTTTTTTCAAAATTAGACAATTTTATAACAGTAACATCTTACACTGTGCCCAAAACTAGACCGAATTATTCTATATTTGTATAATTGTTGTGTGTATTGTAATTTTGTACAAAGTCAACGAAACTAAATTCAATGTTAGCTCTTGCTTTTATATCAGCGATGGCAAAACAAAATAATCAATCTACTGGTAGTACACAAACAATATTTCTAAATTCTGATGGGGGGAAGTTGAAATAGCCAGTGATTTGATTGATTGATTTGATATTTAACAGGTTCCAGAAATCAAATGAAGGCTTTTTCTTCATGCTGCAATGAAAATCTTTCCGATATAACTCTCAATTAATATAAATCTAAATTATTCAAGGAATCAAGAATTTGAAAAGAATTGAATGGTATTAATTTCAAGTCAATTCAAATGTTTAATTGGGCATGTCTGCACAATTATGTTTCGTACCATTTTCACAGATATGGGGTCTTAGATGAGTGGTGTAACGGTTGTTGGTCATGGTGACAATTCTTATATGTGATTACTGTTATTTATCTTAAGTTGTAGTTTTAGTTAGAGTCGTATGAAATCCAAATCAAATGCTTAAATTTGCTGCCAAGAAGTGAGTTCAAAAGTTAAAATTTCAGAATATTTTTCAAATATTGAGAATTCACTTTTTCTTGAAAAAATACCAACATATGTTATGTTGATGCTACCCTGGAATCCTAAAAAAAAAAATCTTACTCAAAAAATGACTCCAGCTTCGACTTCTGACTCACATTTATAAAACTTTAGGACTCGGGCTCCTGTCTCCATGTTCAAAAATATAATTTCATCCCTTGACTATGAAAAAACAGATTGCAATCTCATAGGTTTTTACTTTACTATGGCTCTTACAAATGTGATTACAGATGGGATTTAATTAACTAGTCTTAAACCAGAGCGAATAAAATTTGTAATTATTTTGTAACTAATGTAACTATTTTGTAATTAGTGTCTCACCAACAGTAATTGCCTTTGCTTATTTTGTTGGAGTGCTTGCTATTAGAGTAATTGTAGGATGTTTTTGTCATTTGTTATTATTTTAAAAAATGGTTTATATTTTTGTGTTATTTTATAACTTCATAGATTTATCAATGTTTTATACTTATGGCTGTCAGTCATTGTCATTCGTATGTACAAAGTCTTAGATTTGAATATTTTTTATGTTTCAAATAAGGTTGGATTTTATCTAGTTTTTTACTCATAAAGTGATAATCAATTTACCAAACGATTTATCGACTCATATTTGATAACCAGCTTCTGATTATGGATAATTCGAGCAAGCCGTTTCAATGTCCATTTTAATAAATAATTAACTCAAAATTCATTTTTGTAACCAGCAAATTTAGTACATCTATACGTAATAAATGGTGAAGGACTGAAAGCAGAGCTGATAGTTGATAATCATATCTAATTTTTACACATTGTATAAAAAATAGTTTATTCACAACTCCTATTATGGAGTATATTGAAGTACGTACTAACAAAAAATTTTACTATAATGCAAGTTGATAACCATAAAAAAATACTACCTGTTGAATGCGTATGAGAAGAAAAAATGCTAGTCAACCTTTTTCAAGTATTGACTATCACCTCATTCAGGGTGTATTGAATTCGGTAGGCATGTCAAGGCAGAAAAATTCTCCTTTCCAAAGTTGCTATCTCCCTTTCATTACAATGGATCTTGTTAGGAGTCCTGGAAAAGTGTCGCATAAAAATAACCAGAAATTGTCCACTAACTACCACAAACTGTTTTTAACTACTAATACTAATTGTAAAAAATTGATAGAAATATTTTGGTGGCAAGTTTATTTTCATCTGCTTAAAATGTAGTTTATTTTTTTTATTTGAGTTTGAACCAAATATCGATGTTTACATCCACGTTTATGTTCCTATATTTTTGTATTGAGACTATTGTACTGTATTATTTATACCGTTATACTATTCACAAGATGTAGGATTTTTTGATAATAAAATTTGATACCTTTGAAGACCTGCCATCATTTATTATGTCTCCGTTGAATGGATTTGTTAGATTGGGTGACAAATAACTGGCTGACTACCGTAATCCCATACCCGACATGGATTGTTAACCGGACGAGAGGCCGTGGTTCGCCATATGATTAAGCCGTCTTATCGGCTTTACTTTCCCCGGGATAAATATGTGAATTCTATCCTACATGTGAGCTACAATTGTGCCTGGAGGATTGTTGGACTCCTCGCCGCCATGGGGTGGTTTACGTTACCGTTGGTCTGTTGCAGAATACAGGTGAGATAGGTATTCACATGTCTCCTATGAAGTCGGTCGAAGTCCAGAGACTGGTTACTCATATGCTTATATCGTCTTTTCAGGTTTGCTCTTCCGCGGGATAAATACTGCGCCCACGTTTAGAGAAATGAAGCTTTGTTCTGTAACAATCCGCACTGACGTAACCTCGTCGTCGCCTTCACCAGTGATTCTCGAAGTGGGCGAAAAAGATAAAACACGGAGTGAGCGATTGCGCATTTTCGAAAAGTCCGAATTATCGCGAAACTTGTTTATGTATCAACGGAGAGTATTCATCTCACTGGCGCTTCCGTCGGAGGGAGAGCATAGCGACAAAAGTCAACTTAGCAAGATGTGATGATTGTATTGCGTGTTTTATATCCGGAAGTAATTCAAAAAGGTGGTGCAAACACTTCTGTGAGTTGTTCACCCACAGTTACAAAACTGGTAAGTTTAGTAGGGTTTAAGACGAGGGTGATGCGTACCCACTTATAATAGCAACGCGCCCTAGTCTAATTTTGTGCTTAAGCTCAGTTATTTATTAATCGCGTGTCATTTTGTCATATTCAAGATTTCCCCTTGTTACGTAGACTGCAAGCGTAATGGGAAGCAAATGAATATTTGACACGAAGACGAACAACTTGAAAGTTGTTCGCATATACATAACCTACTACTACTACTAACCTATGGTTTATTAAAGTATGGGTTGCGCTAAAGTTATTCAAATCTGTCAAAAATTTCGAATTCCATTACGATTGAATTACGCAGTATATCGTCACGCTAATAACCGAATTGCGTAAGTCATTTTTAGCAGTTTTGAGAAAAACGTAAAAAACTTCCTAATGATATTGTTATGCCATTGAGAGTCAATAATTTGCCATGGTTCAATTTTTCGATCGTAGCCGGATTTAAGTTAATTTGTATGACGCAGTTAAGTGACGTCATAATGGCGCACTGTGACTTAGGCAGAAATGTGTCTATGACTTGGGGACTTACGCAATTTTGCAACTTTACTATATGCACCAGTCCTGAAAACTAAACATTCCAAAAACGAATGTAATTCTCAGTATCTGCAATGTCTAATCCCCAAAATAGCTAATCAGTTTCAATTACATTATTTTTTATGTTTAAAAATATATATATCATCAATATAACATGTTCTGAACACCCAGCAAAATAAGACTAAGATTAAATATAAAGAATAAAACAGCAATGTACCTAATATAAAAGCCAACCAAGGTGAATTGGACTCGGACAGTGAATATCACAAGTGCACGTCTCCCTATACTGTAGTATAAATTCAAATTAATACGCGCTAAGCTAGAATCCGAGATGCAAAAACGCGAAAATACTTAGTCGAGGTTATTTTGCCATTGTGACGTCACAATAGTCCTGCGGTAACAATGATAATTCATTATGACGAAACAATTGCACAAATGTGCATGTCATACTAAATCTTCATTTTTATTGGTTTCGAAATTCTTAAAATAAAATCTGAGTTAACAGACAGGTGCGCAGCATTACATAAATACCTATTTTATAAAAAACTCAAAATCGCCAAAAATGACTTACGCAATTCGGTTATTAGCGTGACGATATGCATTTCATTTGGCCTCATTTTAAGAATGGATTATTGAATCATGAGTAGTGTTCCGAGAGTTTTAATTGTTAGAATTCGTGATCACGGATGAGTGGGCCCAACTTTACCAAACTGAAAGCTGGTGGCGTCGTTGCAGCGCTCATATGTGGCTAGGTGTGGTTTCTTGATCCGGGCTTCTGGAGCAGATACAGTACATTGGACGATTTATGACATGCTCAACACAAGTACACGCTGTCGGAGATGGGGGTACCTCGGAGGCAATTAGTGGGTCGGCGGATTCGGTTTCTTATCGCGAATTAGACGCTAGAGGCCTGCGCAATAGTCCGAAGTTCCATATATCGGTTGATGGGCCAGCAACTGTTATCCGTGTTGGTAGAATTGGACATTTCAACACGAGGAACACAGGGTTACGCGGCACCCCAGGGCTCCGCCTGTACAGTTCATCAGAATTTCCGCAAGTTTGCATTCAAATACCATCTATCATTTTGTTTTGCCATTATCAGGTTTGCTACCATTTACACTCACAGTTTATACAATTCTGGTGATAAAACTATTTCCATGCTCTTAATAGATTGAAAAAAATGAATCATCACTCAATCATAAGTTGACGGGAATGTTATTCCCATAACTTGTGGAACAAAACATCTTAATGCTACGTAGAAGTCGAGTGTTTCGACCTTCAAAGTAAATACGAAACATTCGTTCTGTGCAAAAACCGACACCAAAGCATTCCTTATTTCCATCTATTTCGAAATCTTACTCATCGAGAGATTTACAAGTCCAAGGGGTCCGAGAGTTCCCCTTAATTGCCCGAAGCACTCCCAACGCCAAATTCCGGCGGGTTTTACACCCAACAAAAGTCACGCGATCTTTACCACGATTCGCGTGCGCGTACTTTGAAAATTGCGTACCAGTGACTTTGGGCGACTCGTGAACCTTATCATTCTGGTCTTCAGAGTCCTTATCTTTCTGAATCCACCTGAATTCTCATTTTGTCCGTACAAAATATCAATTGATCAAATTTACCACGCCACCACACGACTAAAAGAATTGTCAGAATTTCTTTTAATTTTACCGCGCAATTAGCAAACTTTTGACAGAGTAATCACACCCTGACAGTTCGAGAAAAGGTTGGCCTGGTAATCTCTGTCATGGCAAACCAGTAATTTTGACAGAAGCGAGAATTTTTTTCGCTTCTTTTTAATGAAGAAATCTTTTGCATCCGTGTGAAACGACCCATGAAAACAAAGGTCACGTGCTTTGTCAACCAATAAACGGTTTTTGACATGAAAATTTGACGATGTCTGAAACCATAACTTTGAAGAACCGGCGCTTTCGTCATCGCTTTATTGCTATTTAATTTTAGAAAGAGGGAAATTACCATAAGCACCAATTGCTTTTATTATTCTTATGCTTTTTTAAGCCCAAACACATTTATTTGCGTGGGGAAAGCAATACCACAACAAACCTCGCAGCGATGCATTTGGGAACATTTGTTTATTGGGTTGAATTTGTAAAAAATCTGGTTAGAGTTCTTCAAATGCTTTTAAATTGTTTATTATTATCGTACTTGAATCCTAAACATTACGTAGAATTTATATTTACTATTGGTCTTCACAAAACTTCAGCTTTTTTGAAATTGAGCCCATTCAAAGTAGTTTGGCGCAATCTTGTCAATTTTGAACTGTACTGAAAAATCAAACTTATCATTGCAGCTTAGCATGACGAAAATGTAAACCGGAATCTTTTAAATCACCAACAACGATGTCACCAAATTATTTTCAAATTTTTTTTTTATTTCGATTTTTTTCGATGAATCGATGGATAGGTGAACACGAACTAGTAAATTCTATTTTTGGAAAACGCCTATAAATTTAGTACGTTATTTTATGTGGTGTACAATTTGTCATACCACTTTATGCTTAATTTGCATTGGTATTTGGGTTGTCAAGTAAATATCCAGGTAAGGTGTCAGGATAACATTTACTGAAAAAACATTACATGAAAACAATGTAATTGAAGTCCATCCTTTGTTTGTCGAAAAAATCATCACTTTTGAGCAAGCGTGTCAATGTGGCTCATGTAGCAAGCATGTAGTCCATCATCCGTGGATGCTCATACAGCGTATGATGGAATATAATAAAACGTTTGGATGTATAATCGAGGGAATTATCGCAGAATTAAATTCATTAAATATTTCGGCTTACTTATTTCCCACCGAATCAGGAATTTAGTGCTATAAAACTATAGATTATTCGCTGACTTGAAGCGCACTCAGAAAATACTCTATTCAAAAGAATGAGTAATTGCTTCGGTCGCTTCACTGAACTTAACTTTATTGGCATCCTGGGTTGAAAATCTCGGCTTCAAATCTCATGTCCATAGCCTCACCCAAATTTTAAACAAATAGGACGGCAATGCCGAACCCGAGAGATCCTCATCCTTTCAAATCAGAGTAACTTCTTTACCTCGCCGTGGATAGCGTTGCAAAGCCCGTAAACATTGTGCAACATACCATACAATGTCTATATGACTGAAAAATGGCTATTGATGCGAGTGTAATTGTTCCTTATTTAATTATATAAATCGCGGGTGGAACCTGTGTTGAGAAAGCTTTTTTTATAAAGATTGCTGTGTTAAGATAAATGAGGTCACAAATGACATTAAAAACGACAAGAACTTCGTAAAATTTGCGTAGGTTCTCTGATATATATTTTTTTTTTTAAATTACGTGAAAATTTCAAATCAACATTTATTTTTATATTCACTTAAAATCGCCAAGAACGAATGACTACGATATACCTACTCAACTCAGTATCATAATGTTCTCATTCCCAGTTCCCACGCCGGTAAAATATGAAATACTGACAACCGCATAATTCAGTCTCGCGTCTAGTCAACTGAATCAAGTGATTGACGCACAAAATACGCCATATTTCAACTTAAAATGCCACAACACAACCGTGTCGTGCCTTGGCATGATTGATTTGCGCTTCGAAATATGACATAATTTGCGTGTAAAACTATTACTGCATTTGGATAATGTTTCCATCGCTACTTCTGAGTGGCGCGGTGTCTTTTCGTCGTCGTGGTGTTGGGTGTCTCCTGAACTTTACTAGACGCTCTCGCGCAACAAAAATGGCGTAAGTAATGGATCAACACAAGGTAGCATGACTTTTTTACAGGTTAGCGGCATCTTTGATGTCGCCTTCTTGAGGCGCTACCGTGTATCGAGTGTCATTTGATTCGATATTAAGTGAACGCTAGTTGCGAAGTTCGAACGCCTACACCAGCGAAATATCTATGTAATATTTCCTAAATAAATGTTCGACTAATCTTACAACAAGAATGGCCCAAATGCTGGCAGTAATCGGAGTTCCGCTTCATTCATGACCAAATCACTCAACAATACATCGATGACGTCATAATGCAATACTTTCGAAAGGAGAAGATAAAACAAATACATGCATATTTCAGACAATATGTACCTTTGTAGTTAACCTGGTATACGAATCTTCTAGCCTGGCCATCAGGCCCATCTCTTTCTACAGTCCTATCCTCTTTCTGACTCGTTGTGCTCTGCCATTATATATTCTCTATCTAGGCTTACCTAACTCTAAAATCGAACTTGATATTCGCGTTCGCGCTTATTCTTTGAGAACACAGGAAATCTGACCCATTTAGCCTTTTCCATATGGGGTTAATGTATGGTGGTATAACAGACATATAAATCCATATTCGCGGCCACAAAGAGTGTCATCTGTCCATTAAAAGGTTGGTGGGAGGAAACATAGCTTACTTCTGAAATAGCATTCCGAAAATTGTCGCGGCACGATTTTATACACTAGATTGATTTCTCTTTTATTCAATCTCTTGCTATACATAATGCCAATTTAAGCATCCATTGACGTAAGCGAATATCCACATTCAGTGATTCGCTAAAAACTCGGGCGAACCATTTCCGGATTAAAAAAGTAGATCATCTTATTGGTATAAATTTATTTTACATCTTAGTTTCTTCATCCAATCCATGTTGAAACTTTGTGTTTTACTCACCCGCAAAAGCTCTCAGACGACAGTATAGCAACGAAACTAGATTTAAAAATACTATATACGATATATATTGATAATGAAGTACGAGACCAGACGCCCCGTTTTCCCTTACATCGAAATATTCACCAAAAAGGTTGATATAAATGAAGTGAGCTCCAGAGTATTCTTCCAAAATAAATGTTTCCTGTTCCCAATGGAGGTTAGACGCATCACTTATAGGATAGCTGATGACAAGAATTTAGCAAATTTCTACCGGAATGAAATTGGAAGTTTGTTCAGAATACAGCTAGGTATCGAATTTAACGCCGAATGGCTTGAAGTTTACGACTTTACCAGAACACTCTAAAAACTCTTTCCGATATCGTAGATACCAGTCGGGTATGAACAAGGGATAATTTTAGACAAGGTACCCTCGGTTTACCTTCGATCCATTCTTGAAAACGAATAATAAGTTTTGGGACTGTATAGGTAGGTATAGATAGGTTTATTGCACGAAAAAGTAAACATATGTCCGGAGAACAATTAAATAGTGGCGACATAAAAGATGTTATTACACGAAGATGGTTTGTCGGACGTTTTTGAAGAAAAATGTTTTCGCATTCATTGTGGCTATTACTGGATTGGTAAGCAATATGATTGCCATAGCTGATATAAGCATATTGTTGAGTTTGTTTGTAAGTATTTCGGTGTAGTTAATTTTTTAGCCGTGGTTTTGATTTTGATTATTTCAGTTGCACGATATCAGCTATTTCTAGCGCCAATTTAATTATTCATTCAATCTTTCATTTCGGCCATATGTTCTGTTTATATATACTTATACATGCACAATAAAATGTCAAGAAAGGAAGGCCTACAAGCCGACTTTATAGTATAATGGGCACATCTTTCCGCCCGATTACCAGGTTGAGGTCCGGCATTGGATTAGCTAGTCAGTTCAATTTATTTCAAAGCGGTATGCGGTGATTCACTTTCGATCCCCGAATGACTTCTAAACATCGAAAATATGGCGAGTCAAAATAATAGATTTACACTAATACGTAGCATCATAATTTTGATATAGAATCAGTACGAAATTATGATGTTATTTGATGATTTAAATTCAGACAGCCTGTCTTGTTGGGGCATTCCTAAAAAACATATTCAAAATGGTGCCTTTTCAAAACTTTAAAAGGAAAAAGTTCATATTTAAATGAAGCGATGAAAAAATGATAGTTTTGTTCTGGTTGGTCAAAAACACTATGTCGCGACGACAACGTCGCTTATACTGATGAAAGGGGCTTCGGTAACGCGTGTCAATTTTACACTAAATGGGACCGTTTTAGAGCAATTTTCTATGTTTTTATTCGAGAGATTACTACACTTTCAAAAATTGATCAATTTAGGAATGAAACTCGTTTATTCATGTCAACGAGGTGAAGAACAATGATTATGCCGAGATAATGTTAATCAAAATATCTAATTCAATCTCAGAAAAAGCATTTCAAAATTAATTTATATATATATATATTTATATATATATATAGTATTTTGTCAAAATATTCAGAAGTTAGGTCCAGTCTATAGCAGTTTATGTTAGCTCTAGAATACCTGTTTAAATAAAATAATGATACTAATTGCAAATTTATACATTGTTACCTGTATAGCGTATTCGTAAGAGGGTCATTGATTGAACGTAATTCGGACAGTCGGCAATAGCATTTTACACTTTCCGGGGATTACTAAATGTACTAATCTCGCTCTGAATAGAGACGTATGATTAAATAGTGACATCATAAAATTGATGACATCATCTTCACCATGTGGCATCGTGGGAATAGTGACTGGTGGAGTAATACGACAAATGTTCAACACTCACATCATATTGATGATATTCCATTGAAAGGACATAAATGTGGAATACGACTCAGGACGCTTGTAGCGAATAATCAGAACAGTGTGTTAAAAACTACCAACGAAATGAAAAAGGCGGTAACCCCTATACAAAGACAAACTTCAGGATACTGTATTCGGAGAACTCTCCTGAAAAAAAGATTTTATACATCTATGCCACTGTTTTTTTGCTATCATTTAATCCTTAATTTAGTATTACTGCCGGCGATATTAACTTTATTGAGCTCGACCGATGGGTCATTTTCGACTATCCGCCTAGCGAATGCTTGTCACCCCCGGGGTCGTTACCGTTTAGGCCGACATATCCCAACAAAAATTGTTCCTATGGTTTGTGGACAACATATACCTAATGTATCCGAAAATACGATCGGTGCGAGTGGCCCATCTGAAGGGAAAATCACCAGAGATTCTAAAAGATACAGAGATGAATTAAAAAGCAATTGGAATCCCAATATTTTCTTCAGGGATGAAGAAGGGACGATGGCTGATCATATGATGACAGAGGTAATGACATTCAATGTTTCATTAATTCTCTTCTTGAATACTCTGAATTTACGCGATTGTCAATACGTTACGCGGCTGCATAATAATGCTATACAGGTAGATTTGACGAGAATTAGATGTAATCGTTTTCCTGAATTAAGGCAATTTTCAAATTGAATGACATACGAGACGCGGAATACTTTTCCGCCAAATCATCCACTTTCTATCCTAAACACCTGTATTTATATTAAAATTTTCAAAGGATGGTTATATTGGGTGCAGTACATGAAGTCCTGTCTTAAATTAGGGAAAACCACGTTAATGTGCCTCATGCGACTAATGGTTGGCATATAAAGTTAGATTGAATGAACTAAAAATTTTAACACTGATAATAGTAACCGGATTATGAGATATTGAAAACCGATTTGAATTTGAGATTGTAACAGGACTTTATGAGCGCCCTGTATATTCTTGGAAGCATGTAAATGTATATATCGTCACGCTAATAACCGAATTGCGTAAGTCATTTTTAGCAGTTTTGAGAAAAACAAAAATTAATATTTGCAACCTCATCAAATAATTATATCAAATTAAAGATAGAGAGTTAGAGTATTACATGCCTACCAATTTCCGAATATAAGAGGAACTTTTTAACTTGAAATAAATAGAATATAATGCGTATTGTGCAAATTCACGTATTTCGACTCTCCCACGTTGTCAGGCTCAAAGGTTAAAACGCGCACAAGGGTATCGAATGACATAACAATTCTACACAATCTCGCTGGTTAGAATTCTGGGTAAAATACTGAGTTTCATTACATCTTACATGGTTGATTCATAAGCTAGGTTAATAGCGATAATCGATGAATGATCTATCTTTGAACTAACAATGTTTCTAAGTAATTTTGAATCTATTATTAGCCGATTAGCAAAAGTTAGAAATGGGTCATGAACCCGGATATTTCAAGTTTATGCGGTAGGATTTGTTTAGAGGGTTCGCAAGTAAACACGTTCAAGGGATGTATTGTTTGCCTAGGATCAAAGTTTAATGCGGTTGTTACCACGGGGTCCTCATCTTAAATGCCACGTTCGTTTCATTAAATGTGACGAAATTTCTGTTATGAAAAATTGAAATCCAACATAGATAAAAAGATCAATTTTTGAACCTAATTAAGATTTCTGAAATAGTAGCAATGAAAACGAAGTTGTAGTTCAGATTTATTTGTAGTATCATGAGTAAACATTAAGAATATTTAATATTCAAAGAACCTGAATTAAAAATCAAAATAAAGGCGTTTTTGTGTCTTTACTATTTTCGTTCAGTTTCTATGATAATATAATGATATTACAATATTTAGTTGTCAAATGTTTTTGTTTTTGTGTTATGTTTTTTTTTTAACATTCAATCGAAGCAGGGTCCAAAAAAATTGGAGTATTTCAAAAAAATCTGGTTAACTCCGTACGCATGAGTGAATGCCCTACGAGGACTGAGTATAGGTTGAGATTGTGGAACACTTAATAAAAATACCAAATACTTTCAGATGTAAAACCATATAAAGATGAAAAGAAAATATCGCTCAAAAAATAATACTTTTGTATTATTTGCTTTCTTCATACACCATTACATTACAAAGTTGACAAATTGTGTCTATCATTGTATTATTATGTAGGTGTTGTCTTAGGTAAATCGGTAACTTGGTACGACAAAATTGACTACAGTCGCTGTCTGTTCTAATGACACCTTATCTACTCCCTTAATACACTACCTTATAATAACAACGTCCATCGTAACATATTGTAGAATTAAAATTGGCCGTGTGCGACGCGATACGTTATAATGCTTGGTTGTTCATCGTCTTTTGTCAAATCAATACATGTAGATCCAAAACATTTCAAGTTTTAAAAATTCTGGGTCACTCGGGATTGACTGGCGCATCCCTTTGATGTTATGATTAAAGGCAAAAATATCACCTTCATATAATATGTAATAATGGCTTCAGTAACGTACCTGACAAGTGAAATGGCACGTTGCGACGGGGATCAAATGTATGAAATGTTTTGATAATCGCCATATTTCAACACATTTTGTGGCTTTTGAAATTTTATGATTGAGTTGTGAGAAAAATGCTTTTAGGGAATCGAATATATGTCATGTCAGAACGGTAGCCTGTAGCGATTATTGTTTGGTTTGGCCCAATGTCGTCCAGTGACCGATAACGGTATTAAGCCAGTGTTCAGCAGAACTAGTTAAAAGATTTGAAAGTAAAAACAGCCGCTCAGACGGCCTCCCGCTCCTCCGTTAGCAATGACTGCCGACGGAACACTCCTCAATGTCCGCTTTAGAAGCTTGCACTTCGAAGGCGAACAAGTTTCACGCTCAGAGCAGGTGGCTACGTCGCATCATCGCAGTTGCGAAACCGTCAGGTCATGGACGTAACGGTCAAGATACACACTATAGAAATGATCCCTAAAAGTATGATCTTAGCTTCTTTCTTCAAACCTACGAACCAGATCTGGATATTTATGCTACCATTTGTGGTAAAATTATATATACTTCAAATTGAACGCTGCGTTACACGTGACACATACTTCATGCAGGAAGTATTTTACTCGTTCAGCTATGTTTAATTAGGACTCATATGCACGCATGTTGTAACCAATTATGATATGCCATGCTTTATCGGAATAGTTTGCCGGAATAACTACGTACCATGCACGTCTCATGTATTGACGCAGAACATCAAATATTTCTACTCGGCAATGCAGAGTTAGAAATGTAATTACGTAGTCACAAAAAGCATGCTTTGCGTACAAAGGATCATTTGATCAAAATCTTCGCTTTGTTCAACTCAAAGTTGTAGTATACACATACACAAGGACAATTCTATCCACATTTGGATTCTGGTAAAACACAATTTGAAACGCTTCATTTATCCAAAAGTAACAATTTGCTCTATTCTAAAGATCAATCGCCGACGTCATTGCGATGCGAGAATGGACTGAAACAAGTAACGATACTAATTTTGTAAATTGTTAATGGATGACATACAACCGCAGAACCGTGTCGCTTTCTCCGTCACGGGTCACCGCGCTCGCTTCATACGTATCCGCTGTGCGCAATTATAAAGTTTACACGTGGATAGCGTAATCTTATTGTATATATATATATATATGGAATCAAAACATTATACAATGACTAACATACAGAGATGATACCCGCTGGCCATTCGTATTTCAATTGTTGACCAAACAATAGGTAAATAACATCTAAATGGTAAATACGAAGAGCGTCATCATCATCATCATCATCATCACAAAACTGCCGGTAAGTTGAGAGATTTGTTGCGTCAGAATGACAGGCCAAAGAAAATAATGCAAACTCACTTGCAATTACACAACTTTTTTGGTGAAAATTGATATGTTCGTAATCGTTATATAGAGCTACATTGTACTTGTTATTGCAGGGTCGTGTCGTTTGCCTCTTCCTACCAACTTTTGATTTCATTGTCCGAGTAAACAAATGGCGCATTTAATTACGTCCTTAGACGCTCATACAAAGTTGTAATAGAATGATACACATGCCTCGAATATTTTTTCATCAATTCATTTCACGGGCATACCATTTTCACCTGATCTAAATCACTACCGTGATGATACAGTAACATCAATTTGAGGATTGATCATAGATAAATTTACTGAGAAAAGCTCAATTTCAACCTGCATACGTAAGAACTCTTTTGGATAATTCGCGGACCGAAGTTGAGTGTTTTAGACCGAAACCTTGGGCGTTGTCGGACCCATTAATCGAACGGTGCCTCAAACTGCTCTTTGAAGTTAATCGAGCAAGAAGTTAGGTACTTTGTAAGCAATTTCCGATGAAGCGTGCCAGCAAATAATCCTCCCAGCAGATGGACAAACAAATTGTACAAAACTCGTAATCGTGTTTCGGATTGTGCGCCATTTTTAGTCCGTACATTTTTGGATGAAAAACGGTTTACACCTTACCGGATATTTACTCGGGATTTATCTGAAATAAAAAGAATTTGGAAAATAAACACAAAACTGCTAATAAAACAGTAAGAAATTCCTTTTCAACATTTTCAAAAATCAGTTGAACAACAAATATTCAATTAATGCCATGGATTTGTAGAATCCTTGTTACATCATTGTAAATTGCGCTTGAACGAAATTCTCCGTGATAACTTAATTAATCTAAAGACACATCTTCATCATCTACAACGTTTGAAAACTTATCCAAACGATTGTAACCAAACTTATAAAAAATGAAAACATTTTTCTTGATAGGATGGTCTTTGCCAGATTCCAGTCCGAACCAAACGTTTCTCAAACTAAGTAATATAGCACTTTCGATCACTTCGACTTCAAGTGTAAAAGTTTCATTTAGTGTGCAAAACTGCTTGTAATATTGAAACATTTAGTTCATAGATTATACTTCAATTGAAAATGGTTCAATCCCATTAGTGAATATCACGCTTGCCGCGAAGCGTGGAAGTTAAAGCATGGCCAACCGACACAACGGAAATGGAAGCATTAGCCTCCTCCTGTCCGGATTCCACTTGAAGTATTGTGTAAACTTTTTAAACGTAAATCATTATTTGTTTTCTTCGCCATTTGTCAATTGTTTCGAAAATGGTTAAAAGCAATATTTCAACTATGATACCAAAAAAGAGTTGCCGTTTTTCTATTTTGTTTTATAAAACATTCACTCCCAATGCCTGTAAAACGTTTGAAACAAAGAAACTTGAAGGTATACTTCGATATCGAAGTGCGACGGACATTGGTCATTGCCCATAACCCCAAGTACGTTGAATACGCATACGTTCCTATAAAAAATAAAAAAAATTATTGTAGTCAATATTGTTAGCGATACATTTACGGTAAGTGTACGGTTATCTGTAAGTTTCATGAAAAATCCGTCGTTTGTATTAATGCAACATTTTATAAACGGCATTAGATACCGTTGTTTCCAAGAGCAATACTGTTTAGCGTTTTGTTTGTAAAATATTACGCAATTTGAAAAAAAAACTCTTTGTTTTCGTTAATTAACTCAAACTGAATATTACTTCATAATATATGAATAATTATTACGAAATTTGATCTTAAATCAGGGTTACGTAACACATTTTAGTAATGATTTAAAACTCCAGCCGCAAATAACATGCATTCTTGTGAAAAACGAAATGTGGGTGGTCCTATTTCTTGATTGTAAATTTACACTGTGTTCATATTGTCGCGACGAATGCGTGTAATCTGTTGAAAACGATACTTTCCCAAACCACATATTCTAATTAACACCCTTTCAGATGTGTTTCAAAAATATTAAGTGACGTTGTACACCATTTTCATGTATTTTAATTAAAAAGAAGGTATTTGTATAGGTCTGTATCATACAAGTCGTGTATTATAAATAACAAAAAAGCAACAACTCTTTTTATAAGAGTGACAAATTGCGAGGTAATTTGAATCAGAGAAAAACCCCAAATGTAATTATCGTGTTATATCCGTATCCGGTTGTCGCTATTATTGCAAATTCCACACATTGATGGAAAATACAATAAACAGTTCGTATTTTGTGTTGTGTGCAACGTTTTTTGTTTAACATCACCCTGATAGCAATTTTTAATCAAAAAAATGTCAATAAAGTCAAGCAAATTTATGCCCTATAGAAGTCGGGTTTATAAATGTTCTGTTTAGATCTGAAGTTATTAAACCCTATATAGCTCTTGATAATATCTAAGAAAACCCAATCAAACAAATGTAAAGCGAAAACCAAATTAAAAAATTTATAAGTCCTAGTTCCGGGTTGTAGTATATACATATACATATGCCTTGAAATAGAGAATCGATAGAATATTATCATTCTACGAAGCCGTTTTTCTGGCACACATATTTGCTGTAACACTTCTGTTTTTGGCAGAATATATGTTATTAAAATAATGCCCTCTCCTAAAATAAACTAACATAACCACACCTACAGAAATTTATTGAATTTATGGGTTGTTTTGTGCAACACATCTTAAACGGAATCGGTTCATCGAAAACGGCAACTTAATGGAAAAAGGTTATATAAACCCAAACATATTTTTATTGTGAATTGTTACCTCACTATAAAAACTTCACCTTTGAAAAATTGACTTAAAACAAATAGCACGTAATGACAATGCAATGGAAAAAAAACAAGTCAAGCATGGGGTACTAGTTTTAAATCTATGGTATGTATATGATTTGGTACGTAAGTAATTCCTCTGTTGTAGGCCGCAAATAAGTGATGAACCAAATGTTTATAAAAATATAGTGTTTCAATTATTTTCTCAAAACTCTTTATTCGATGACCCGTGGCGTGACGGATATGTCACGCGGTATTTGATGACATGCCGTTCCTAAAAATACACAAACATGAAAACGATCTTTTCCACTTTTCTTTTTATTTACGCCGACTGTATATTATCCAAAGGAACTTATGATTTCATTATAAAAATAGTAATAAAACTTGGATTCGGTGTAAATTATACTCTCATCAGGATGAACTATACATGAATTCCTATTATAGTTTGATTGGAAGCATTTGCCTAATCCTGCTCAAATTTGCAAAGCGCCGTAACAATTTACGTGCAAACAGTTAGATTGACAATCATGTACTCTTATGAGTTCTTGACAATGAAAAATTTTGTGTTCAATATATATATATATTTAAAGCATAAACTGTATTTAAATGAAATGAAAGTTGCATTCCCCAGGTAGATTACCTTCATCACCGAACATTTGATCGCCAGCTTTAGTTTGGCGTTCGATAATTGGAAATTGAATTGTCCACAATAAATATTGGTAACCGTTTGATCGAATCGCTCCGTTTCGCTAATCGTTTCCAAAAACAATTCAAGTATTGAATTTTATTTGGTAAAGCAGCAACCAACAAGATATAGTTGCGATGGATAAATGAAAACACATTAGTCTTGCAATCGGTAACCCGATAAAATCAACCTACATGAAAATGAAATTTTGTTCGAAGTATTTCTCGTAACAAAGTTTCCGAACGATTTTTAGGCGTATAGAACATTGCAGCTTGCTAAATATAATTCAAAATAACTTATTTTCATTTATATGAAAGCGGTAATAAGTGTTGATTTGTTATCCCTACCATCCGTATTATAATAGTATATGAAAAATGCATACCCTACAACCATTTGATAAATAGATTTAGAAGAATACAGGCTAGTTTGAAAATGAGAAAGACCTTCTTTTGTTCTCACACACTGACGATATTTTATGGATTTAATATTTGGAGCCAAAAATGACAGCCTGTAGTTTGAAAAATCACGACTGTCCATATGTTTTCAAGGTATTTGCTGTTGTTATAGTCGATCTTAACCTTGTCATGAACTTTTTGGACAAGGGACATGTCTTATTGTGTTCAAACAATTCGCTATTACTATAAAAATGTTGATTTGAATATCTAAGATTACCGCTGTCATTTTGAAATGATAATAACATGCTTGAACATCAAATTGTCCGACAGTTGAAACTTCGTAATACCCGACTACCGAAGAATGAGATTTTGTGATATTTTACTTTAACTTCAAACATCTGTCGGTAAGCCCTTTTAGGCTTTGTTACCATTTGCAAGAATTTAATCTGGTTGCTGTTTTTACAGCCCCGGGTAAAGAAAAAAGATTTTTTAACGTAAACAACATACATTTTGATTGAAAAAGGGTAACGAAAAGCATTAGTATTTATATCTAGTGTCTTCACATACTTGGTGATACATCTATATAGCGGAGAAGGGAGATGAAACCGACAACGCCATTTAAGAAAATTAAGAGGAAAATATTTGTTAATTTAAATAATGTAGTAATTAAGAACTGTCTCTCATTTTGGAGTCCTCTTGATCTCATTATATTAAAAGATACCCTTATAAAATAAAGTCTTGTGTAAGCTATTGTTAAATGGTACACATTTTAAAACCTGAGGTATAAATCTTTTAAATAGAACACAAACGTGTCCGCATACTAAAAAATTCAGCTGCCGCAAAGTTGACCCGCGACAGAAGCGCGCAGGCTCAATGCCCCATAGAGACTGATTACGGGTTTGAAGGAGCCGTACCCACTTTGAGTGCTTGTAAATAGGTGGGTACGAAGCGGTATGTTGAGATTAGCAAATTGCTACCTTTCTAAAATCTAAATGTTTGTCTTCACACCTAATGAAAGGCAAAACATCAAAGAATCACGTACGCAAGTTTGCTCCTATCATAACACCGGAAATTTATTGAAATTTGAGAAACTGCAGTTTTCGTTTGCGTAAAAAGTTCATCGTTTTCGTGGCATTTTCAGTGGTTTGATATAATGTTCCTTCTTCAATACTAGTTCCCATTACTAATCCATTTATAGATTAAACATCGAATGTTGAGTTCTTAGATTAAATAATTGGACTTGTATAATTATACATTTATTCATCCCCTCTTGGCCTTTCAATGTTTATGATAAGATAAACCCAAAATATTTATAGTCGAAGGACAATAATGAAGTCGGAGGAGTCGACAGAAACCAACAATATGATATTCGAGGGCACTGTGCCATTTCATCAATTTAGAAAGGGTTAAAATTAATAAACAATAAAATCGTGCTCAATCTCAGTGAACTTGTATAGTGAAATGAGGCAGTTTGATTTCACAAAATGAGAAAACAATCTTGACTCGAGAAGGAGTAGTTGCAAGAACAAACAAGTCACGTCACAAGAATCTATGAAAATGAAGGATTTGCATTGAAACAAACTTTTCAAAACCCCCACGCACTGTAGTATAGCCCCAGTTATGGTGTGTCAATTGCTAATTATTCGTGACAGGGGCGTAGCCAGGGGGGGGGGGGGGGGGGTTGCGAGTCGATCCCCCCCTAGCTCCTCCTTTTGGAATGTGTAAAAAACGTTTGTTTTGTTCACGACGACGCCTGAAAATCTGACTGAGCGAGAAAAGTGTCTGAGCGGATGCGAAACTACGTCACTCTTTGCATCTTGCTGATTGGCCAATGTCACAAAGTAAACAAGGAAGTCGATGCTCGGGAAAACATCCATTCCGTCCGCAATTTTCATTTGAAACCCTCGTTCCTGGCAAATCCTGACATATTCTGTTTCGATTTCTAAAAACATTCTGTACCACACATAGCAATTTTTAGAAGATCAGTTCTCTTAGTTAGAAACTCGCGTTTTGCGGCCTCCGGCCAGACCACTGTTACATTCAAACTTGGCAATTACAAATTTCGGCGCTCCGGGAGTATGTGTGCCAAGATGACGCACAACCTGAACCATATCCTGGTACACATACTATGTTCAGGTTGTGCGCCATTTAGTACACATACTTCGGGAGCATCTAAATTTCAGACCCACCTTCCTTTGAAAATTCCTGGCTACGCCTCTGATTCGTGCATTAGATACATGTTTATGCAGACGTTATTGATAGTCTGTGCTGTAGTGATCGTAACATTAATTGGCCGTGATAATATTTCATTGTCGTAATTTGTTTCATATAAGTTAAGCATTAACAACGTTCAATTGAGGCGTTTAATCATAATGTGTTTTTTACCACGAAAACACATAGATTCGGCATCATGGGGCATTTATTTTGATCGTTAGCAAGTGTATGAAAAATATTAACATGCATGAGTCTTTGAATTTCATGGAATGAGAATAGATATATTTGTGTTTATGTCAAGAAATATATATAATTCAAGTATATTGGTGGCACGAGTCATGTTTGGATTGATAAGTATGAGTAAGTATGGACGAGAATGGGTTTTTTATCTCATCGTCGTGAACAAATAATTATAATAAAATCAAACGATGCATATTGACAATGACAACGGTGAAAAATGAATTGATGAAATTTTCAAAATTAGTATTTCATCCTTGTTTTTAAATATATGTTTGTATATAGAATTCAAATCATATTATTTAACATTTTCCAGAGATGTCGCGATTGCCTCAATCGTCTTGCAATTATGGTTGCAGAAAAATGGAAGAATAAAGTGATTCTTCGGGTGGTTGAAGCCTGGGATGAAGACGGTGCTCACGAACCTAATTCTTTGCATTATGAAGGTAATTTATTCCCTATATATATTACCTATAATGCAGATTCCCTGATTCGCGGAATTACGAATAAAATTGACTGTAGAAAATTATTCAAAATTCTCTCGTTTACTTTAAATCGTTTTAAAAGTGTGAAGCCCAAAATGCAGCAAAATAACACATATTATTGGAAATTTTCCCCAATAATATTTTGAATATCTCAAATACTGTTTTTTTTCGGGATTTTAGATATGTTTCCATAAAATAACAGGAGTAAATATTTCATTTTTAGGACGAGCAGTTGATATTACAACTAACGATACAGACCGTTCAAAGTATGGAATATTGGCAAGACTCGCTGTCGAAGCTGGATTTGATTGGGTTTATTATCAATCTAAGTTCCATGTTCATTGTTCAGTGAAATCAGGTAAATTAAGTGAAAACGCTTTCCAATATCTTTTATTTAATCCATGTGAAATTCTTTTATTCAAATCGAAATGTCACCGATGAATCGTTCCAGCTGCCTCGTGTAAAATAACTAACTAATAATAATATATTCGAACAAAATGGATATGGCCCCTACTGAAAAAAGATCGCGAAGCACGTGATTCATATAATTATAAATTATATTTTTGTGTGTTGGCAAATAAACATTTTATTTTGGGGAGAACGGCAGAAAATCAACAATAAACTTGATTCAATGCGATAACAATTTCTAGCGTTTTTTTCTCGAAGCTTAATATACCCAAAGGTTATTGACTATATTATGAGAAACTTCAGATTCTATTTTGTCAACGACATTTTACCACGGGCGGCCTTTATGCATAATGTTGCCATTGCAAGCACTTGACAGGCCGTTTTAACCTACGCGTGTTCAAAAAGGCCCCCTTGACATTGTTATGACACACTTGTATTCTTATGCAGCGTGAAGAATAATTTGCCATACCGTCATCGTGTCATTGGCCTCTCATAACCTTCTTTAAACCGTAAGAGTAAGCCAAATAAACTCGAGTGATTTTTTGCAGGATTTCTGCCAATATTTAAATTGGTGTCTCTTCGGCCCTTGAACTTTTTAATCGCAATGCTCCTACGCAAACCATGCGGTCAAGTGTGTTGGAGGGATTCGTGGCACTAAGTAAAGACAATATTGACACGATATTTCACATATTTTCGTCCATTTGTAACAATTTTCCCATGCCGACTATCGTTAACTTTCCCGCGACCCCACTGCGCTACTGTGAATAAAGTTCCTCCGGTGGTTTGGCACACCTGACCAATTAGTTACTTCGGGAGGACTAATATTTTCTCAAGTGGGAAGTTTATCGCACCATTACCTAAATCTGACATCAGCAACCTCCTTTCACGACGAAGTGAAAACAAATACGGCATTGATCACGTCACGGCTAAAATCAGTCCTCTCTAATGCACCGCAATCGACGTTTGATTTATTTTCTGTGTTTGTCACATTGGTGCGAATTACTGACATGTCATCGAGATTGAACTGCAGTACACTATCGCTTTGGTTGCGCTGCATGGACATCCATTGAGGTCCATTATTTTGCTTAGTTACAATATTCAATATTCTTGTGTTAGATAGAAATTAAATCAAATCATCAAAATGATATCATAAACCTATAAAATGAAGGCGTCAGGTAGAAATTAAATTATTTTCTACACATCTCTCAAACAATATTAAACGTCGCCATGTTTCAGATTATAGTTACAATTGAATCATTAATTATCTCCCTGGAAAAAATGCGTCTAGAGAATTTTTGTCCAAATCGAGGTAGTAGAGATGAATCATACATTCATTCCCATGATGACAACAAAACAATTTCACCAAAAGTGAGGTTGACACATATAAAACATATTTGATGAATTTTTAATTCAATTCTCATAAACGGAACATATGATCAGGTTTTCGACGCCTAATTCAGATTTAATCCACCGTGACTGCAGAAGCCATTTGGCAACAATTCTAAGACTTTTACGCCCATATTTCTATTTCGGTATTGATAGAAAGCGTCCATTTTGATTTGGAAATTATCGTCCTGTATAACTTTTTTTTTTCAAAACTGTAGAAGAAGCTTTCTATATCCATTGCTCTCTTCATTGCACACAAATTAGACCTACAAATTGTTTTGCTAGATTGTCATCATCTGTGTTGTTGTAGTTGGACCAAAAATATCTTTCAAACTGGAGAACCAATCTTTTAAACTGTCAGCAGTCCTGATTGGCGAGCGCTTACCAGGGAACTGTGGTGTGCGTTAGAGATGTCCAATTCAGAACAGTTCTTCAGTTTCTACCAAATCGTTTTTGTGCTAAATTTTCAATTTCATGATTTGGTGCACTAATTATACTACTCCATTTATCTTTCCTGCCTGTGAGTCCCACATTAGAACCATATGCCGATAGGCAGTATGATAACGTTAGAGGACAGATCTGTGATTACTCTTCTAGCCTAGGATTGTTACTTATCGATTTTAATCGGTAAGTATGTTGATAGGTATTTCTCTGTATGTCTGTCTGTTTGTCTGTCTGTTAGATGCACGCGATATCTCACGAAAACGAGATTGAATCTGCTCCAGATTTTTCATGTGCATTCATCATATCTCGGACCAGAAGCCTATTGATTTTGGGCGAATTAGGTCGTATAATCAGCGAGTTATTAATTAATTAGTGATGGGACACAAGGTGTCACTATGGAGTAAGAGCGCTGTTTTGGGGATCCCCTAACTTTCGATCGATAAGTCTTCGGTCTCTGACCGATATTCTCGTTTGTTTGTTTGTTTGTCTGTTAGATGTACGCGATATCTCACGAATCTCACATAGCTCGGATCAGAAGCCTATTGATTTTGGATGGATTATGTCGTATAATTAGCGAGTTATTAATTAATTAGTGATGGGACACACGGTGTCGCCATTGAGTAAGACCACTGTTTTGGGGGATCCCCTAACTTTCTTTCGATCGATAAGTCTTCGGTTTCCAACCGAATTCTAGTTTTATTACTTATCGATTTTGATCGGTGAGTATGTTGATAGGTATTTGTCTTTCTGTCTGTATGTCTGTTAGATGCACGCGATATCTCACGAAAGCGAGATTGAATCTGTCATGTGCATTCATCTTATCTCGGACCAGAAGCCTATTGATTTTGGGCGAATTAGGTCGTTAATGTTCCTCTGTCACATGTATCGTTCCAATATTTTATATATGCACTATCGTTAATTAGTAGTGTATTTAAAAGCTTAGATTTGCTCTTTTTTTGAGAGCGAGATTTTCTTGCACATTCGTTGGGACTTCTTGTAATCATTGTTTTATGCCAAATTTTACTGGCTTAAAAATTACGACATTACATGATTTTTTCTTTTATTATTTTTGCTAACCAAATGAAAAACCCATGTTCAAGCGAATGTTACCAAACCACGAATTGTTATGACACAATAATAAGAATCGTCAATCGGTATTCAATCCAATTCGTTAATTGCACGAGACCGTTGTGGTATATATATTGAATAACACAAATAAATTAAAGAACACATGTAGATACATTAACAAAAAATAGCACTGTAAATATAAATGGCACAGTAACATACCAAAATAACAGCTAATATGAATTAAATACTTAGATATCACAATGAACCGAATAGTCGAAAAAACCATCAAAATTGCCGGATCTAATAACAATACCGACCCCATATTGTGTGCTGTTTTTCAAAAAGTCCTATTCGATTAGGTATTTGTTATTCTATGGTGGTTTCCAGCCGTAGACTAGTTGAAGCATTTGATATTTTGGACTTCGCCTTGCCTTATTATATTTGTGTGAACATTAAGATATAATTGTCAGTGAATATTGTTTAACTGTATAATGTCGCTCATTGCCTATTGACCAATTTATTCGCTGATAACATCGACTGCTCATGGGGATCCGCACCTATGGAATTAAAGTGCTTCTGAACAGAGCCCTTAAAATCGTTCATAGTTTATCCGCTCGTTTAATCCTCAACATAATATATATCAAACCCACTATTCTGATTTTTCGATTTATATTTTGATGAAATCTTTCTTCTAACAATTTCTTTATTACATTCGTTCAGATAAATCGGACGCGGCAAGGTATGGAGGATGCTTTGCTGGAGACTCCGTCGCATATCGACCCGATGGCACTGCAGTTCAAATGTCGCAACTTCTTCCAGGAGATCCAATTTTATCGGTGGACTGGAGAGGAAGAGTAGTCGTGGATAAAATCATATCTTTTATGGATAGGATACCACCTTCAAAAAAGAAAGACATTCAGAGTTCAATGAAATTTCTTCAGATATCAACAGAAAACGGAAATGTCTTGAAGTTAACGAGAAATCATCTCCTATACGCCATCAAGTCACAAGATCCTGATTCAGACATCGATACAGGTCAAGACAGACTTAATTCCGCAAAATTCATATACGCTGAATCCGTAGAAGTCGGAGACTACGTGCTTGAAACACACGCTTCCTCGAATAAAACTAATTTCCTACATCGAAAAACTAAGCTATCGCGAGTTGGCAGTGTCACGGCGGTAACGTCCGACAACGGCGCTTATGCGCCGCTTACGGAGCAAGGCACGATTCTAGTAAACGGAGTCGCTGCTTCGTGCTATGCTGTTTTTAACAGTCACAAAATTGCTCACTGGACAATGGCACCCTTGCGTTTATATAATAAATTGCATGACTGGCGTGTCGAGCAACCACTTTGGAGAGACATTCCTATTGGTGTACCGTGGTATCCCAGATTTTTATATAAATTGGGATCCGCATTTTTTTCTGAATATATGTATCAAATATAGATATATGTTTAATTTTATTTTCTACGTTGCGCTTATTACCTATGTTAACTTATTTCCATTTTTTATTACATTTCAAAACACGAAAGTGTTTTTTTACATAGAATAAAACTTTTCATAAGTTCGTTTGTAATTTGACATCTTCCCATAGGCGTAATATATAGAAAAGCATCAAAAGAAAAGTTCACTTCTGATATAGGCTATACAGTATATATATCGTTTTCATATGATTATCCTTGTTTCCATACTACAATCTCTTATTCTTTTCATTTAAATTATTACTATATGTTCGAAAGTCTGACAGTCCATTTCCGTTCATATATATATATATATATTTTTCTGCTGATAAATGGGCTATTTTCCCCTAAAAATAACAAAACATTTTAATATTTGTTGTTCATAATCATCTCTGTACTTTTCATTATTGATATTATTTTGTTGATTATTAATTTTTCATATTTTGATCTTCCGAATCTTATATAAATGAGAAAAATTGAGTTCAAACAACTAGTCTTTCAGTTAGGCTGCGGATCGTGGAAAAAATTGTAAGATATATATGAATAATTTTGTAATTTTAGACATGATTGCCATTCGCCTAACAAAATGCTGGTCCGTTTGATGGATTTGAGCAAGGTGAGAGAGACTTTGAGATAATTCAGAATAATGATTTTAATATAATACTGAGCGGAGGTATTGTACATCAGTAAACAAGTCAGTTAAGAAATAGCGATGCTCCCGATCAAGGGCGTGTCAAACTTACTGCTGCCCGGGGCGAATTTCTCATAATGATGCCCCTTATATCTAACTTTGGGGGATAAACGGATTATAAATGTTGTTATACATGAGAATAAATAAATTATAGGTCAAGTAAGATAGAAACGTTTGTTTTATTAAATAACTAATCAAACTCACATGTATAACATCGAATTCATTTATCAACAAAAAGCACTTGTTTCCACGTCCAATCGCTACTTTGCTTGCAACAACTGTCTGGACGACAGCCTCTTTCACCTCACTCGTCAGGAATTTCTCTTCGGTAATCAAAGATAAACTTGACAGGCGCTAACTTGACATCGAATAGCGTACCTCAAATATATATGTTTTTATCTGTTTCAACTTTGAAAAAATTCGTTCGCAATTAGCAATTGAGTAGCCGATTGTGAATAATAAACAATATAAAATGCACAAAGTTGTAAAAACATGCCATGCTCAACCAAAGAAGCAAAAATTTTTTTAGCATTTCTTGGGAAATCTCTGTTTCCAATTCGGAAAATCGACGTAGCAGTAGACGTTTTAGCAGTCGCACGGACAGATTTGCTTAATGAATTCCCAACCTTAAGATAAGCAATGATTTTATTAATCTTCGTGTGTTATATTCATTTGCATGTTCTACTCTGGTATTTGTTTTTAAATTAAATAGCTCCTAGATAATGGGCGAATCTTCCAGTCAGTTCGCAAATAATGTATATATATATATATGAATCGTATGTACAAAGCCCCTACCAACGCTATCCAGTTAGGGGTTGGAATGCAGATTGCGCTTGAATTCAAATCATTCCAAACTCAAACTGGATAATTACTAATTTGCTATTTTAAAACGTGGCGGGTGTGCTTTTCACAAATCTTGCATTAGTGGCGAAGGCTTTGTACAAGAGCATGATTGAAACAAAAAATCTGCAGATTCAGATAAAAAGTTTGTTTATTTTTGCCAGAATAAATCGGTCTAAATCGGCGCTGAACAATGTCTATCAGAACCGTTTCAACATGTCAGTAAGTTATTTCAATTTCATCGGGGATACATATGTACGGGAGGATTGCTGGTTTCCTCGCCGCCCTATGGTGGTTCAATGCAATCGCTGGTCGGTTACGGTCTCCTACCTACACTATGAAGTCCACGCACCTGGAAGCTCGGCTCGGCGGTGTGGTGCATCGTGCTAAGCATTATGAATACGCTCGCCACAGCATCTCTGATCACCCTGCATTGGTTCGAATCCCGCGCGGGATAATTATGCGCGAACAGGATTGCCGGACTCCTCGTCGTCGTAGGGTGGTTCACGTAACCGCTGTTATGTTACGGCTTCCCTCGCCATCAAGTCCATGCATCTGGAACAAATAACTGTCTAACTAACCCAATACATGCCTTGGGGGTGGTAACCGGACAGGAGGGTTTGCCATATCAGTAAACTATGGTAATATCGACTTTCCTGTCCCCCGGGACAAATATGTCAATCCCATACTGAAAGCAAATAAATGGCGACTAATCCCAATCCTGGTAACCGGACGAATTGCCATATAATTTTCCTCTTTCACGGGATAGATAAGAAAATGAGCGACTCTTATTTCCACACACGACATGCAGCGTTCGCATTGACTTTCCTCTTCCAGAATAATTGCGAAAATCATCAACCTATTTCTTGACATCGATAAGCTTTATTTTGGGGTATTAACGCAACAAGCTAAGAAAAATTCCCTTTTTTTAGTACAACGTTAGTCGACGAGCTAAATTGTTATTCGCATTAATTCTGGAAAATTCTCAAAATGAGACTAAAGTCTAGTTTTCCTGTCGGTTAGCAGATTCCGACTATTTTGTTTAAAAGTGTCTTCCAAGATGCGATTAGATTAGAGCAACTCGTGTTTCCCGAGTCCGCATAGCGTTTGAATGAGTCCTCAACGAGCAACACCGTTTTAGACAAGCCGGTAGGCGCCCAGGATCTCCGCTTAAACGCACAGTACTAGGGTGACAGGACACAGTAATTCACGTGTAAAATTTCATCAAGATCGGTCCGGCCGTTAAGACGCCAGAGCTGGAAACACAGACAGACAGAACGACCGATAATAAGGGTCTCCTACAGCGGAGATTCAATAGTTATGTAGTAGTATATTTCATGTAGGTCACTGACGTTTTTTGTGTCGCGAAATTCATTGCGGGGCAAAAACGTTTTTACCAGACTTAGGTACCAGCCAAGTTATGATTCACGTAAGTATTTACATAAAAAGCAAGTTTATTCACATAAAATTAATAGAGTCAATAATTAGCAAGCAGGGCTGGTTAAAATAGCAAACGTGCTGAATCAAACGATTGGATTGCACAACGCACTTGCGGATTTCTGACAAAAACACAACTTTACACCTACCTTTCGCTTACGTTAAAATTGATCGTTAATTTTTATTTTAAATATTTGTTTTCTGTATTTCCATTGCTCCAATTTCAAATGATCGTATTGTGCGCCAATGTCGCATGAGTTTCACATCTTTTAGTTGGTAATTTGATAAAATTCGAATCACTAATACAAATCACAAAAAAATTACATTTTAAAATTTTTCGAGCGGATATGCTAATTTGAATATGAAATACAATTAAGAATTCTATCAGCTTTCAACGGATACGCAGAAACAACATTTTAGAGGTTTTGAGGCAGAAACAACATAGACTGGGTAGAGAAATACAAACAGAAAAAAGACAGCGAATCCATGAGCCAGCCATAAAGATATTGTTATATTTTTTTAATTTTACGAAGGCGATAAAGACAATCAAAGCCGACACGACAGATAATAATCAGAATAAATTTATTAGGAAATTTTAGCCGCACATTCCTTCCTATTATTTTCCCCGGCGATCGCATAATATCTTCCGAGTTTATCAGAGCGAGCAGTTCTCGATGTCTCAATGATAGAGCACCCTCGCTATGGTTCCCATTGGAATTTGTAAATGTGGATTATAAACCGACTTCGTTAACATTCTGTTGTTTTGGATTTTGTTGCTTCTTCACACAAAGGTCGGGTTTACAATTAACGCACAATGAGTCCGCAAAGATTTTCCCTGGTAAGAAAAAAGTCAGCGACCAAAAAAGGTTGGGAAACACTGGATTAGAGACAATATCCAGTCATCCCAAAACTTCTTCATATGAACAGCGAACAGGTGCAAAATGCATTTTCAAACAAATCAATTATTAATTCAACATGCAGAAATAATCGACGAGTAAACAAAATCAACAAGAAAAAACTTTGTTCAAAAAGGGATGCCTGTATCTGTAGTACACTTACGTAAATAAGAACCGGTAATTTAAAACTGTAATCAGTGCGATTTTAGCCTCAATATTGAGCAAGCGGAAAACTAGCGAGAGAAAAACAGGGACATTCCCCCTACATGATCCCAGTTCATGCTTTTTCTTGGTTTTAATATTTTATAACCAAGGAGATGATTTAGGGCTATAGATTGCTTATACATGGTTACACTTTTCAAAAATAGTGACGATGGAATAGAGTAATGAAAGACAAGCATCACACTTTAACAACTACAAATAACAGCAATATTCTCATTCAAAAATAGACATTTCAATAAAATATATAGGCCGAAGAAAATTTTGAAGTACGGTAATATTTTTTACATATAGAAAGTGTAGTAAACAGCAGCTAAGTAAAGCAGAATTGCATTTAAAAATTGAGCTCTTTTAAAATATGTAAAGCAAATTTCTGATCATTGACTACCGGGTCCCAAACACAATCGAAAAAAATTTATCATTCAATACCAACAACATAACAAGAAAGTAAAGACAATCATATTGATGTAATAATATAAAGCAATGTGAAATTGCAATTTTACCTGGTTAATTTATTTTGAAAATTACTTTGTGTAAGTGAGTTCGATTTCAGTTTAATCAAATTGATACACTTATTTAATAGGATATGGTTGACCTAGTGACAAGTAAAGAGAATATCAACAAAGTTTGAGGTTTTTTGGCACACTCGCCAATTGCATAAAAAAAATGCCCTGCTAACTTTTAGTCATGGAAGGGGGGGTTCAAATATTTATACTTTATTTGCATGTCTCCTGATTTGCTTCCAAACTATGCCTTTGATGAATTTGAATGCGGAAGATGCAACAATGATCAAAAAATAGGATATTACATACATACATAGAACAGAAAAAAAAATTGTAACCCAGAAAGTATGATTCAAATATGGCACTTATGGCAGATATCATGATGAAAGGATTGCTAGAAATATCAACACGACATGAAACTATCTCGCTTAATATTTTTATACCGGTATTCCCTCGGTCAATTCTTGAACCACTTCTACTAGTAAATCCTCGTATCTAAGAGATCCACCAGCAGAAAACCACATACCGGTAGTTGAAAAATACTTTTGCATGTAATCCTAATTGAAGACAATCACCAATAAAATATGTTTGTCAGATAACAAATGGAATACCAGTAAATTAATTGTTGTGAATGTTAATTTGTTCAAACTCTTTTGAATAAATTCTTTTTTTTTCAATAGCCTATTTGAATTATGCCTAGCAAACCATGAGTTAAATAAAAGCAGTTAGTTGATAGTGTTCACAGAAATGCATCAGACCATTCCTTCAAACATGATGCACAATTAATAGCATCTCTATCTCTCATTTTAATTTCAGTTAGCAACCAATCTCTGAACATTTCTTCATCTTTCTTGAGCAACAAAAACTGTCCAAGAAGTACATATGCCTGTATTAAAAAGTATAAATCATTTTAAAATGGAATGAAAAAGATCAAGTCACAATCCTGATAATAAAACAGAAATTTACCTCTTTATGACAACAAGACAAAATATATCCAAATATGAAAATAACTTTCGAAAAAATATTAAAAGATCATTATTATATGCCAAGTATTTGGGGAGGAAACACTGGAAAGCCAGGAAGTTCGAACTTTTCAAACAAGCATTTAGAGAATATAAACACCTTGATTACTAATATTTTAAATAAAAACTGTTTTCAAAAATATGTACTATAATAATAAGAGTTCAAGAAAATAACTCATATTTACCAGGGGGGCCAAAAATGTACCTTGTTTATGGATAACAAGCAAAAACAGTAATAGAGGCACAGCAAGTTATTTAACAACACTTACTTTATCAAAACCTTTGTCACAAAGTTTTTGACCATATACTTTACCAATTCCAGCTACATCTGTAACACATTTGTCACCCATGGGCTCACCAACAAAATTTCTGTGCTTTTGAGAAGTTGAACTCATCGTGTTTCAATACCCCTGCCTAGCTTAGGGTCAATAATTAATTGAAATGTTGACTGAAATATGAAAATAATGTGAGTTATAGACTCTTGATCAGAATCAAAATAAAGTCAGCAATGTCTCCATAATTCTGCAAAAAACAAAAATATAAATAATTTCCCAAATACACTATTGTAAAATTTTTGAGATAATTATTCATTTCATTTAAAATATCACTACTGGAAAAAGATAACTTATTTCAAAATGCAAAAACCAGTTCAAGAATATTACTGATAATTCCAATACCCAGTTTGCGATCAACTTCGTTTCGGGTGCTATGAAAACACTACACCAACAATTTTTATCGAGTAGATTTAGACAAAAAATCCAAAAATTTCCTTACATTATGAACCTAAAAATAAATTTGCCACGGTAAGGATTGATCACTCAAATGCCAAGTGCAGTTTTAAGTATTCTGTGGCGTCTGCAGCTGCCGCAAAACCATGGCGGTATTTCCATACCATGGCTGCTACGGCCAAACCTATGGCAACTGACTTTTTAGCCGCCACAAACCAATGATGAGTTGCCGTTACCGCGGCAGCAAATTGAAAACCCATGGCAGGTAAAATTTGCTGCTGTAACCACGGCAGGTGGGCCGTAAAGACAGGGCTGTCCCTCATGGTGACAAATATCGGGTAAGTTGGAACGTTTTTCTTATGAATACAGTTTCGATGGATTTGGGGTTAGGGTTAGGATTTGAGTAGATATAATTTCGCATGATCAATTAAAATCTGGTACATTAATTTGTGAATATACAGTATAGTGGTGTAGCCAGTCTGCGGACGATTTCATTCAAACCGCTATAAAACAAAAACCAATATTTCTAACCCGTTAATTTTTTCACCGTAGGTGCATTGGCATTTATTCTACACGCTAAACTTCGAATTAACTTTCTACGACCAGGGGTTAAAGCTATACAAACCACAAAAGTACGACACTCTGAAGACGTATTTGCGACCGAACGACCAGTGTGCGACCACGGATTTCAAGCCTTGAACATCGTTTCTGCTGCGTCGAGACTAGGGCATACGCAGCCATGCGTGAAAAAATGGGCTTCTAATTGCATTTCTGACCGTCATATATTTTAAGAACACGATTATTTCAAACAAAATTCTTCAAATTATAAACAAAGCACCGCATCACAGCAATCAAACAGACAAAAACACGGTGGTCGCAAATTAGTTGACAAAGATATTATTGACGTATTGGAAATGCGCACCCCCCTACTCCCCCTCCTTTGAAGATAGAAACGCGAAACTTTAAAGATGGGTAAAAGAAACACAACTCTACCCACCTGCCAAGTTTCATCTCTTTATCTCTTATATTTGTATGGATTTCAAGCTTTTTTGAAGGAACAATGGGTAGTTGGCGACATGGTAAAATGGTCCGTTTTTTTTCTTCGGTCAGGTTTTCGGTCATAACTTTTTTATTTGTGGCCGCATTTTAGTGTAATTTCGTAGAGCTACGAGGGATAAGTGGACGATAACGCGTGAGAAATATCGGCGCGTTTCGTTAATTTTTTCGGCATTAATTTAATCGATGAAGTTGATGGTCGCAGATAGGTCATGGCCGCAAAGTGGGTAAGCCACCCTAAATACTGATTACTGAATAGCGCTATAAAACCATGGCAAGAGCTGCCGCGGTTCGTTCGTGGCAGGAGCTGCCATGAAGTGGTAAGAACTGCGCCTCTCAAATGCAACAGTAAAAAAAATATTCCTTCTGTAAATTGGATACTTTCTTTCAGAAGAATCCAATGGCAGAATGGTAACGTTATTAGATTGCGATTTCTTTTTAGTTTATTGCACAGTGCCGGTTTGCCAATATCATGCAATATGAAGGCCCAGACTGTCTCGTACACTGGTACGGTACAGGAGGATCTGCACTCGATGATATGGGCTAATTGATGTCTTTTGATTTGGGGCTATTCATGAAATAACAGAAATGTCTGAATGTGCCTCGATACCGGTCATACCTGGTACCGGTATACAATACAACTTTATTCCGACGTTTTTTGTCTATACCACCATAACACAAATTGAATAAACAATACAGAAAAACAACACTACCAGACTAGGTACCGGTACCGGTACAGGTAATGCTGCAATTTTCCAGTTTGTTCGACTGGACAACATGTTCCCCACCTAAACACACAAAGCTGATTTTCACCAATGTTTTACTACTGTAATAGGTTAGGGCCTGGCATTTCTCTTCGCACAACTCATTTCAGTACCGTATTTATTTCACAATTTACAATTTGGCCACTTCTGCGCTAAACAAAGTAAAAGTTTGGCGCGGCAACCTTTCCCTTTCAGTCATTCGATCGCCCTCCAATGGCGTATATGAATACTAAAAATTGATTTTACCTGTGGTTTCCTCGTTGGACACGAACCTACCTATGGATCGTTTTTGAACACGAAATATACGGCGACAGCACATTTGCACTTGTAAACTGCACTTGTAAACATTTGGACTTGCGTATTATTTCTGTCGTAATTTATGATTGTTATATTTTTAACTGGTTAGAAAAAATAAACTTGACTTGACACCCACATTTGCACTCTTACATTTCCACCCACAGAGTTTAGCACCCGCAAATAGATTGCTCACGCTTACATTTGCACCCACGGACATTTGCACCCAAGTACATTTGCACCCACGTACATTTTCACTCACGTGCGCTACATTTGCAGCCACAGACATTTGCATTTTGCACCCACGTAAATTTGCAACAATGTACATTTGCACAGAAATTTGCACCCACGTAAATTTGCATTCGTATACGTTTGCATCCATGTATATTTTCACCACAACGAAGCTTCTTTTACTTCAAAGACTGGTGTCCAGTCTAGTGTGGTGTAATATTCATGGGTGCAAATATCTGTCGGTGTAAATGCCCGTGGCTGCAAATGTACGTGATTGCCAATTTTTGCGGTTGCAATGTCTGCGATTGTAAATGTGCGTGAGTGCGAATGTGCGTGGTGCAAATTTACTTGTGTGCAAATGTTCATGGATGCAATCTGTATGTAGGTGCAAGTGTATGGGTTTCTCGTAAGTGTAAGTGATCGAGCAATACGAAATGAAAATGCTTCTTTTGAATTTAAATATAAGAAGAGCAGCTTCTATGTAAAATATCGTATCTCATAGCAACAAAGGAGAATAAAAAATGTTATAGCCTTCTACAGACTTCTTCCAGAGGTGCAGTAATACAAACAACATCCATTTGCAATCATTATTCGATTTCCAGATATATAGCCTACTTGCTACTTGAAATTGCTCAGAATCTATAATTTTAGCCTACGACGCGTTTATTTCAAAAGAAGGAATGATAGTATTGTTAGTACCAGCAATTAGCTCATGCTTCCCCGCCTAGAAACGGGTATTATGACTAACGAGTTTTCGAATTATATCTATGCAATCTGCCCCCTGAGCATGTTGCTCTGTACAATAAATGTAGAGCCACTTGCACGATCAATCTTGAAAAATGAAAGGATCCACGGCGTTATCCTGGAAAAAACGAACAAAAACTAGAACAATATGCGGGCGATACGAGCTTTACTATAAGATCTCCGGCTCGACATAGGATAAACCATATATTTTAGGAATTGAATAACGCCACCAGAAAGCATTTGAAACCACTCCCCACCCTGAATACCACCGTGACACGTCAAAACACCTGGATTATATTACATAGCAGACGCACCGAAGAAAAAATCTGTAAAATAAATAGCATCCCGATTACGGCAAAAAGTTTGTGCATTATATCTGACGTTAGCCTATGTATAAATGTTCAAGCAGGCATCGTATTTGTTCCAAAGATTATAAAAATTGTTGAGTGGAGGAAAAAGTAGGAAACGCGTTCACATCTGCTAGCATCACAAGTAGTAATCAGTAATTTATTTTATCACCAAGAAATACACACTGTACATACAGAACGAGATAAGAAAAGAGAGGAAAATAATGCATTTCAGGGTGAAAGGGGACGCGATAAACCAGCATTGGTTATCGAGCAACGACACCTATGAATAGTCTAACATTGGGTTATACAAGAACAAAAATCGAACTAAATACAGTACTAAAGTGAGTACTGTACATCACAAGTAGCAACAGGTTTATCCGAAGTGTTATACCGTTACAACTCGGATATGAAGTATTAATTTAATATGGATCCGAGAAAGTACTCTTACTAAAATGAAAGTGACTCGAAGCTGAAACACGTAGGGGGGAGTCCATATAATGGCAAAACTTCTTTTCAATCGACTTGTATTTAATCATGGCTCTTTAATAATCACTTTTGCATTTTGGTGGCTTTTGCACAGTAGCAATACGGTCATCAAACTAGCACCGAACTTGCGTCCTGCCTAAATACAATTTTAAAACATTTTGGGCAACAGTTTCATCTATATTAATCAATATATAGATATTCGTCATTTTTACAACTAGTGATGATATGATTATAATAGCACTTACAGGCTTGGTATGTCCTTATAAAACTAAATCAATCGGAATGAGTAAATGAAGTATTTGGATTCTGTGCAATTTTCAACTGGCAACACTTCCGAGACCCTGATCCCCCTTGATTTTTGTCCAGTTTATGGAGCAAGGAATGTGATCCTCTATTTATACCTCTGGAAACACAGTTATGGCAAATTTCAGCACTACTTTAGATGTAATTGCATATATGTTATCACAATATCGAAGAGGGAGTTTTTATTGTACAATGGAGACAGATTTAGGATTACGCAACCATATCCGATTAGTAGCTTAATTCGAAAAAAATATTCAATTTTGGACAGCTCTATTGCAAATTTAAAAGTTTTTATACAACTTCCTGATCGTGCCGCTTAAAAAAGCATTCCTGGCAAATAAATAACCTCGAATTGCTGAAGCAATTTGTAGGTATTAAGATTAGTGTTGATTGTAGAAATATTTTGATTACGTTACAAAAAATTACAACTTAAGTTCATGCCTCAATCATGGCTGTGGGGTAGTATTTTCAAATTGGGATCTGGAATATCAGACGGTTTCCAACCGTAAAATAGGAGGCAAAATTTTCTGTAGTGAATAAAAAGAATTTGCCAAACCCTTTTCTCGACAGTAAATTAAGATGCCTGCATCTGCAAAAAAAATTTTTTTTTTTTAAATATATTTTCAAAAATTGATCGTGTCAGACGCACAGGAAATGGGCTAGTTCCTAATGCCTCATAAAATGCCCAACTGTTTAGCGACCCCTTTAGTATACCTGCTTGCGATACAGCATCATCATGTACAAGTTAGACTATATTCATCACAACTAACAGAAACTCAATTTTGTGCTATTTTATATATCGTCATTCCACATAAAATAGATATTTTGCAATGAAATAACGGACGAATTATGTAAGAGTGAACCCCAAAAATCAGACAAAAATTTAACAACAAAGTCAGGAACAAAGAATACTATTAATAAACCAACACTATTCGGAGGAGGTGTATTTCCCAATAAAGCACATACACCTGCCACAATTGACAATAACAAATTTTTTTTTTTTTAAATAAATTGGAACATCCAGGCTAGTTTTCCATATATGCAATCTTATCATTTAAGAAATAAAATAAATCATCACAGTTCCAGGGGTTCAAAATTCATTAGACAATATTCAACTTGGTAAAATTTGTACATGTCATAATAGTGTAGTTCACTAGAAATTAAAAATAAAGAATGGATATCTTTACCAATTTCGATACTCAAAAACAGTGTAACTATATTGCGGACAAGTTCGTAATACTAGAAGTTTTCCTCCTTCCTGCAATTGATATGCCGATTAATTAATAATGTTTCACTTAAGAAGCATTCCAAAACAAATATCAATTAACAATATTAAAAACCTCCTGAAAAACAATTTGCAAACCATGTTCAACAGAGTATAATAATTTGATATAACCGGCATATTCTAATTAATAAAAAGCATGAAGAAGTGAGTGCGCAGTGAAGTGAACTTTGGTGTGGCAAAGTATAAAACACGGCAGGTACCCCTAACCTAGGATGACAAAATACTGTACTACCAGTACAGTAACCATTCCAGTCAGTGATAGAAAAATAGTATGCATAAAACTTTTTCTACTGCAACGAGTCCAACAACCTTAAATACAATAATTGGATGGATGAAACTGATGACAGTCAACATGTAATATTTTACAGAATCTTGCTGAAACTCTCTTTATTCTAGTCAGGTGCATTCACTTACAAGCAGAAAGCTTATTTTTAAGTGCAAAATTATCACAACTATTATGATTTGCATACAATACAGAACAGAAAACCTTATGGAATAAATATCGATATAGGAAATATTTTTTTAAAAAATTTCAATGTTGAATGAAAAACAAGCCTAAACTAATTAGCTGATACACTTTCACATACAAAATTTACAATTGTTTTGTTTACAGGATCCATCGTTTCAAAATTAAAAAATCCAGTATTGAGGTCTTTGTTTTACCATTTTTAATACAGAGGATCAGACTACTAGAAGCAACCAAACAAAAATGTGTGCTGTCAAAATCCCATGTAAAATCATTTTCTTATACTACTTTGTGTGCATGAATAATATGAATCTCAGGTAATAAATGGTCAGTATTGAATTTTAAAGGTATTGCACATGGATGTATAAATCGACAACTAGAAGTATCAGGAGGTCAAAGAGAATTTTTAATTTTATGTATTATTCCATGCATATATATGCTGCAATAAAATATTCTTGTTCAATAGGGCTACAACTTTAAAAGGTAAAACTAATTATATTTAGCAGGCAAAAACATAAAAATCAAAGCTCAAAAAATGCAATATATTATTTGGTATGCAATTATCTTTCAAAAAACAAAACGAAAAATTGAGATACTAATAAGTGCATGTGATATGCATTAATTAGGCATTAAAATCTTTTAACAAAATAAACAGTTTTATGAAGTTTTTTATTGGTCAGTTGTTTCACGTTGACGACGAGCAAAACTAAGGAATACTTGTTCGAGTGTCGTTTGTGAGACAGAATAATCTCTCAGGTTGATTTCAGCTTTTGTTTCTTCCATACGACTAAATATCTAAAATTAAAAACAACAATATACGTTAGGGTTAGGGGGGATGTTAGAAAAACCTGAGGCTGCGCCTGGTCGCGCACAACAAGCGTTCGAGGCGAAAGAAAGAGGTTTTAAAAGCATGCCGTCGAATCGAGTGAGCGAGGAAATGTACCATAAAATTTTATTTGCGTCCCCATAACATGAAAGTCTGTGGCAATCTAAAATAAAACTCACATGAACTACAATCATAATTTAACAGCATATTGCACCATACTGATTTCAATAACAGTAGAATTGGGTTAAAAGCTGAAATTTATGGCAGCATCAGGCTGGCCAGGTTGAATCAACCAACAGGCTGTAGTTTGCCCATGTCTGATCAAACTTTAAACAAAGCCTGCGTTATGTTACACTACAATATAACGACTTCAACGATTTACTTACGGTAGCTAAAGATAGGTCTTCTCCTGAGGGTTTGATCTTCGGTACTTGGAATGCAACTAGTCCTTGATGTTCATCTTTGATAATAGTTCCTGAAACAAAACACTCAGACTAAGTAATGTTATCATTTTTGCACTGATTGAAGAAGTAATGAATCTAATAACATCATTACTGTAAATATGAGAAATGAATTTAGATAAATCAGAGTTGTGTGAATCACTGGCACAATTATTTTCAGATACAAGTTGCTTGGGTGTTGGAAAAATTCTAAACACAAAAATTCTGAAACAACTCTAGGAAGATTGGTAAAGATATTAGGACGGTATTTTTCTGGGTAGAATACGCTAGGACTTCCCAAACTTTTAAGCCTGCGAGCTGCGACCCAATATATTAAAATTTCTCGCTACCACTGTTAAGTCGGTATTGTTATGCAAGTGCACCGCTTCTCTGATCCTATGTATTCTCTCAAAATCGTGAGATTTATGTTTTGCACTAGTTCTAATCATTGTGTTTCAAATCAGAAGTCTAAAAAAGTACAATAGATATAATATATTCCTTTGTGTGGAATTGGTGTACGTTTTGAGACCCCTATAGCCTGCGCCCCCCGCTTTAGCCCTGGAATACACAATGGAGGAAATTTTTATAAGTGGAACCTTTCAAGGGAAATATTTTTGGGCTGGAATAGTTTGGACAAAATAAAAAAATTAATAGCGTTTAATTACTGTTTACATACCTGGGAAGTGGGACTGCATATATGCCTTAATTGGCTCTGGATTGCTGTTATTACTTTCCAATTTGACTTCAACAGAATAACCCTGTCCAAATTTGTTTTTAAGATGCTGTGGTCCACCCAGGCATCTCATTTGTCCATTCACCATGATAGCTAGTCTTGTACATAATGCTTCACATTCTTCCATACTGATAATGAAGAGAGATAATATAACAAACATTAAAGCGTTGATGTGAAGAAAAATAACATGGAATGGCCCAGTAGATATGGATATTTCCCCGAGCATCGATTTCCTTGTTTTTTTTGTAACAATTTCAAATCAGCAATAAGTTAACAATGACGTAACAATTGGGAATTTTTGCCGGCGCTCAAGACACTTATTTCTGTAACTGCTATAAGTATTGTATTAAACGGCATTCGTTAATGCGTAATGTAGCACTATGAATTCACATAATATTAGTAATGTTTTGCATTTCAGAAGACACCCATAACTTCGCTTGTAGATGAGTATCGTGTACCTTTGAGTGAGAGCGTATGACATGCTTTGAGCAAATCGCAAATTTAATGAAAACCATGGAAATAGAGCCCAACTGGCCTCGGGTAAAGCGTTAAACTTACCGTAAATGTCTTGGTACATCGGATTACATCCCATGCCATGCCCCCCACCCCAACCAGGTATAATAAATTGGGTCGCCAATGCCGAAGCGTAAAGAAGGTTTTGGTTCTTCCAAATATTAGCTGCTTATGTATAGTTGATATCAGTGGCTGCTTGTACACAGTCTTGTTCAGAGCAAAAAGTGTGAATGAGCTTTATATAAAAACTCGAGCATCATTCTTTCAAAACTTCATTCTTACCTATGAGAAGTGATGATGATGCATCTCTTGTCAGTACAAATCTGAGTTATCGTATCCCACAGTTTACGTCTAGCTCCAGGATCTAATCCTGTACTTGGTTCATCCAACAGAACAACAGAAGGTCCACCAACCAGAGCAATTGCAGTACTCAGCTTTCGTTTATTACCACCACTGCAGCAAAGAAATCGAAGGATATTATTAAGATTAAAAAAAGATGTCATCCATGGCAACAGAAACTTGGAAATCATATAAATAATCTAAAATCCAAAAATCCTATCGTTTTTCTCCTTTGAAGCGTTGAACTAGTTTATTTTGAAGGTATTTACTTCATAAATTCTTGTGATTCGAATATCATCAGTGATGCTCAAACGATGCACGCGCCCTACAAGGGGGAAAGTAGACAATTTTTTGAGGGGGGCATTAGGCTAATTAAAAACAATAATATTTGATAGATTCGATTTTGCCTGCCCTTTTTTGGATATTTACATTTTAAAAGTTTACATTTATTTCATTATTTACATTCCATCCACGTATTTTCAACATGTTTTTTGAAAAAAACATACTTTCGCCCTACTATCTGTTATTTGTAGCTTATTGTTAGCTAGGTATTTTTAAGGTGGGACGCGATACTTGACAAATTCTAAAAAGGGGCACGGCTTTAAAAGTGAGAACAACTGCACTATCAAATATAATCCTTGCAATCTAAAGAGCAGTAAATGCTTTACCTGTATGTACCACATTCTTTGTCAATATGTTCTTTGAAGTGCAATAATTTAGCAAGTTTTTCAACAATATCCTGAATATATTTTTCTTTCACACCACGAAGTCGAGCATACATCACTAGAGTTTCCCGTCCTGTCATTTGTTGAATTAAACCATCAAATTGGGGGCAATATCCAATTTTTTGTTGTGCCTGAAATTGAACAAAAAAATTTAGTTGTATATATACACATGCACTGATGTATGTGAAATATTTTGCAATAGGTGACACAAAAGTTGAACTGCCTTGATAATGTTCAAACCCAAATAAAAGTAACTCTTTACATATTGTGAGATATCAGTGGCTGTTTGTATAGTATTGTTCGAAGTGAAGGGTGAATGAGCGTCAAATAAAAAAAACATCAATGAAAATTTGAGGGAAATACTAGTGTCTATAGCTGGATTATTTAGCGTTTCAATATTCTATCTTGCGATTATTTAAAATTTGATTATGAGTTAATTAACTAGTAAATAGTAATTTCATTGAAAAAATGTCAAAGATTTTGGTCAAATACCTTCATTTTTCAAATGCACCAACCCTTAATAGTTGGAAATTCGCTAGAACTCCCTATACAGGGTGTCCCAAATAAAATACAACCCACTAATTTGTTTACCAATTTTGAGGGTTTCATTTATCCTGGGATACCCTATATTTTTAAAGAATGAATATTCAAATATACCATGTCATACTTAGATTATGGACCTCCTGAAGTATGCGTACCAATATGGCGCACAACCTGAACTCAGGTTGTGTACCAGGTTAGGGTTCTGGTTGTGCGACATCTTGGTGCGCATACGTCAGGAGTACCTAAATTATTCGTACAAGCTGACAAAGATCCTGATTTATTTCTTGCTGAAAGTATAACGATTATGAAAAGTAACAGAGATTTTTAATACATAAATTGAATAAGCTTTTTTGAACAGTTATTTAAAATTTAAACCTTTTTTTCTTTGAAAATTCTTAACTATATGAGAAAGAAGGTATCGAGTAATCAACAGAATAAATATTAATTAAATCAGCATCGAGTAGTAGCATTTTATCTAACCTGTTTTCTATTAGAAATGATATCATGCCCGTTTACATATGCTGTACCAGCTGTTGGTCGAACATCACCGGTTAGCATTTTGAAAGTTGTTGTTTTCCCTGCTCCATTGATGCCCAATAATCCAAAACATTCTCCTTTTGGAACTCCGAGATTAAGATTGTCTACAGCAATAATTCGAGAAACACCTCCACCTTTCTTTCCAGCATAAACCTGTTGAAGACCAATACATTTACTCAATAACATGATTTACTACAGACAGAGAATCGTGAGGTAACTTGAGTTTTAAGCTGATTTGTGGAGAAACAAGACAATATGGAAAAAATTTAATTCAAAATTTTATTCAAGCATCAGTCAATATTGGAATATAGTTTTAAATTATATGCATTGAAAATATCACAGAGCTTTTCAGTCGAAACATACAAAATTAAAATCCAAATGATAACTTTGGATTAAAATATAGGTAATCCCGAACCAGGAACCAAGATGGCGGACACTGGAACGTAGTATGTGTACAAGGTTAGGGTTAGTGCATAATTTTATTCCAATTTTCCTTATTTTAGTGCTATTACGAGTTCGGGGACTAGCCAAGTGACTCCTTAAGTATTTGTACCTGAAATTATGGCCTAACCCTAACCTGGTACACATACTACGTTCTAGTGTCCGCCATCTTGGTTTGCATACTTCGGGAGTACCAAAATATATGATATCTTGATTGGGGTTTTCGAAAATTCAGTTGATCACAAAATATTTTTTTTTGGTAAAATTTGCAATTTTTTGTAATGAAAAATATAGCGAAAAAATAGCAAAATTACCCTTCTTAAATTCTTTGCAAATATCAATTCAGATTTCTTGAGTTCTGGAAGTAGAGTATCATTGATTCGATTTTGTTCATTTGAAACGTCATCATCCAGAATAGTGCTTTCAGTTCCGTACATGATGGCAGCCTGAATTAGGAGAGCGGTACAATTATTTTATTGTCTATTGATACAAAATGCTAAACACTTTGAACCTAATAAAATGAAAAATTCATCAAGTAGAGAATTTTTATATTTATCACTAAGGAGAAAAAAGATGGTGGAAAACCTCCAAGGACTTTGCGGCCCCTGGCGTTCAATAAAACAAAATAGTTTTGTGTTTGCCACATTTGAAAATAAAAAATAGATTACAGTCAGAGAATTTATAGTGGGACAAGTGGGGGATAATTGCCAGTTTGAGAAACCTTGGCTTGTACAGCAAGAGTACACTAAGAGGCATGCTTAGGACCACAAGCAAAGGCCGTCACTTGGCACACAGTTGCGTAAAATACAGCAATTTAAGCAAATTACAGTCTAGATTGAGATATTGAAAAATTATGATGAATTAAATAGACTATCATTTATCGTAATGGTGAACATGGTACAAAATGTTATTTACGGTCACTTTTTTACGGAGAGATCTTGAGAGTCTCAAAAACACTCCTTCAATGTCATATTCTATTGCAAATAAGATGCCAAAAAAGAGGAGTCCTTCTAAAAACATGAAGACCACAAATCGACCGACACCATATCGTTCCCATGCCAAGAAATTCGTCTGAAAAGTGATTCCTGAAATAGAAAATTAAACTATACTTTTGCTACAAGTGGTCAATCGTCTGATAATATACAATTTCACATTTATCAAAAGAGAGAGGATTACTGATAAAAGATATCCTAATCATACTAATAAACACATATTATCGTGCAAGTTCGAATTGTTCCAATACCTGAAAATAGTAAGTGAAAAATGTCTAAACTGACCGAACGAGAATATCGGTCAGAGACTGAAGACTTATCGATCGAAAGTTAGGGGATCCCCCAAAACAGCGCTCTTACCACATAGTGACACCTTGTGTCCCATCACTAATTAATTTATAACTCGCTAATTATACGACATAATTCGCCCAAAATCCAGAACAAGAAGGGACATAATGCTGAGTACAATACGCCCCATTATTAATTAATCAATTAAACTTCAAAAATGACATTACTAATCATTGCAAGTGAAGTAGTTTCATATATTGGATATCCGCTATAGGATACCCTTATTCATTATGTCTGTTTGTCGAAGCTCTAGCGTCTTAACGACTGGACCGATCAGGATGAAATTTCACGTGGGTTATCCTGTCACCCTAGTAATAAGCGTTTCATAGAAAGTCCTGATTGAAGTTTCCATGGCAACAACGAAAAACAGGCGGATCATTATGAAATTTATAATTTTTTTACATTGTATTGTTGCTTTCTTATCAACCAAGTCAAAAATTGAACTTGCAAGAACGCTACCGGTACTGCTGAAGAAAATACTCCTTCAAAATCGTCTTTTGTCTCTATACTCCATAAACTGGGGAAGCCTTAGTGATTTTAGTGAACTCTATTTAAATTATTAGCAACGGTATATCACTCACGCGAGAATGTCTACGAAACGCGCAGTGCTCAAAATGAACTTACAGTTTCAGTTACATTTAATCACGCTGCCATTATAGAAACGCAAGTTTCTATAGATGGTTGACCGGTTGCTTGAGCGCGGGCCTCAACTATCGACGGAGATCGTGGATGCCTATTGCCTACTAACTTGTTTTGATGACTTCTCACCAATAAAATCCATATATAAATGGAAGATTAGTGTAAGCGCTTTGGAAATCTTTAATACAACAGTACTATTACATACCATATTCCTCACAAATTGCTTCCATCATGGCATCCGTGGTACAAACATTCACCATCTTATCATTGGTGTATAAATCAGCCAGACCTTGTCCAATGGAATATTGTGGCAGAATTAAAAACACCCAATCCAGTATTTTTGCAACATCTCTTGTATTGTCATCTGTAACCATAAAATAAGAATTTTCATATCTACAACGAGATGTTTTTGATACACATTCATCAGACAATATGGTAATTAAGCGGTATATATATCTAATTTATTACTGCTGTAAGATGATTATCATAAATTTTGGTCGGTTACATTTGTTACACAAACCACCATTGGTACAAACCAATGTCAAACTGATGCTGGTAGCCGAAAATATAGCTCATTATATAAATGGGCTGTTTAGTTCAGCTCCCATAGTAAAACTATGATATCCACTCTTTTTTAAACCTTTTCAATGTTTCGTTTGATGCTGCAGCTTGCACATTGTTACATAATACTTGAAATTTATATAAAAGTAATACATTATAAAAAAAATGCCGCTATGAGCAAACTAGCTTATGGCTTGATGACAATTCAAATGACGTACCAATAAGCATTAAAACATTGATTGTAATAATGGTTGCAAGCCCCATGATATCTCCAAATATGGTGATGGTAACCAGTGCAGTTGTTGGCAGGGAGAATAGCAGAGACATCAAATAAGTCAATGGTAAAGCAGCCCAGCAATAGAGAGCAAAAAGCAGGAGTGTGATTGCAAATTGACCGTTGTGTAAAAATTCTTCGACTCCAAAAATGGCAAAGACAATCTAAAGAATAAGGGATTTCAAATATCAGATCCAACTTTAAATTGAATGAAAAATGATTGGTCGCGAAATGCATTTAAAAAAGCGAACAGTCAATGGATTATGGACTGTTGGTCAATCAAACATTCAAATTTCAAGAAAAGTCATTATCATTTATCTTTTTATAGAGTTTACATTAGTCTCAGACCATGAGGTGGCACAAGAGTTTGCTTTTCAGCCAGTTAATTAATAAATATTAGGTTTACGAATATATGTGGATTTATAAGAGGACATTTGGGCACCAACAATTATTAGGCATACATAACCCTAATCTTACACCCAAAACTCCCCATATGCCAACGAGTCTGAGGTCCGAGAATTCTGCTGCATACCCCTTTTTTCAATAAAATTTCTTAATACCCAGAGCAAATGAGCCATTTAACAAAAATTGAATAAAATGATGGTCACTCACCATACAAATCAAACAGGGAATCAGAAAGTTGATGAAGTCCCATAGAAAACCAGAAAGCCAAAAGCAAATAGGGTCGACACCCGCTAGTGTTTGAAGTAACGATGCTCGATCTGTTCGCTCTCTCACAATGAAAATAGAGAATGAAGCAGCAAGGAAAGAAAAGCCAAGAACAACGTTGAATGCAATCATGAATCCAGCAATTGACCTAGAAGAAGATAAGTATGTTTAAGCCTCATGAGAATATTTTAATAGCAAACTTAAAAAAAAGGTAGGCTATATTGCTCAGAATATCCAAATCGAAATAGTTTGAGAAGAACACTTTTTGAATATTCTGAATATATTAATTTTGCGACACAAGAATTTACTTTAAAAAATATTGTCATGGCTCATGTTAAAAATACCATTATGTGCAAGAAACAAAAAACAATCATTAAATTCCTTTTTTTTTTAAATATTTTTACATCATCAATTTGAAAATTCAATGGCACTTCCCTACTACAGAGTGAATTGTCACATTAGCTTAGATTGGGAACTCAAGAATAGTTACGAAATCTGATTTATGAAAACGACGTGAAAACAAATTTATTAAAATGTAAAGCACAAACTGTTTAGAATTTAATCACAAACCCGACGAGTTGTTCCTGTACTCTAGCAGATGAATTCCTCGGCAATGGATGGTTTGAAACATCCAGATCAAATCCAGTGTTGTTGAGTTTCCATCTTATATAGGCCTGATCAGCGTACAAAAGTGTGTTTGCCGATGAATGCCATCCCTGAGCATTAAACCAAGCAATGGTGGAATTTGAAGGACCTGAAATACAGTAAATGAAATAAAATCAATCATCTATATCAAGATTTTAAAACAAAAATTTTTTCTCGGACCAGGTTTTTACTCAGCAATGAGAACCTTGAGCTTGTTTTGCACAACCAGACAGAATTATGGAATTCAAATGACACATGCAATATGTCTGTTATGCCCAGCGTTGTCTCTTAAATGAATCGTTGCCATTGGCAACCTCCGATTTAAATAAATGCATATATCATAATTTTATTACAACATTTATATTTGCATTAGTTTTACTGCATTCATCTTGCTTTAAAGAAAATGCTAATAATTTCTACTAACCAAATTCTTCCTAAAAGGATTTCCATTTTAAAAATTAAACATTAGTTGTCCCATTAATTAAATTGAGAATTAAGATTATCATAAAGAAAATATTTACGTTATTCAAAATAGTGAAACAGTATTTCAGAACATTCAACAGCCTTGCATAAGCATAAAAATTAGAAAAAGTTTTCATACTTTTATTATCTCTCACGGTTCCACTGATAATATTTTTATTGTTGAAGCTACCTCCTTGTTTTTTGTATTCATTAGACAAATGCATTTCTAGATCTCCTGGAATGTCCACGGCATCTGCAAGATCTGACAAAAAAAAGACCAATTTATAAGGTAAAGAAACAACAAGAATCGAGTTTCAAAAACAAGGATCTCCATTGTTCATGGATGGTATTAGTAATATCAACAATAATAATGATAGAATAAAATTGATGTTTTGGAAGATTAAACCTTATCAATATTTCAAAATGGTAGAAAAGTTGATACGAGCGGATTAAAACATGCTGGAGGGGAGATAAAGTAAATAACCTTTAATCTGTTATTAATGCAATGAATTGTAAAATGTTTCATACATGGATATATATATACCGTAGATTTCTATGTTACTATATATATACACTCTTTGAAGTATTGTCAATATTGGGAAAATGGAAACTGCCATTTTCAAATTTCGAAATATTTCAATTGCTATTGAAAAATCATGGCAAGATTAAATCCATACTGATAATAATATAACAGGGATTTATCCATAAAAATCTTGAAATATTATTACTTATCTTCTTTGCCTACACATTCACAAACCTGTAAACTGTTGTGCATAGATATCAGTGAGTTTTTGAATATCAGTGCTCCCATTGTAAGATACTGTGGTGTTCCCATAGCCAAATAGACTAAGATCTGGAATGTGGAAAATCATACAAAATAATAAACTATGACGGTAATGCATATTGACACTAAATAGATATATGCCGGTCTGGCAATTTTCTTAATTTAGATTTTCGTATCTTGTATAAGAATTATAATTTTCAGGGATTATGGTTTAAATTTCAATGTTCGCAGGGGCGAAAATTTAATACTTGTATAACAAAAAGTACTGACGAGAGATAGCTTACTAACATTCAGGGTTTTCGCCGCCGAAAATATCACACTGACTAAAAACAGTCAGCGATTATGACAAAATCAGAATTTTTATCGAATTTTTCGTCATTCAAATAATTTTTCAACCCTCAATTGCGTTGCTTCGAATCGAGTAAGAGAATATATCTATCCATCATTCAAACATTTGATATTAAAATATCAATAAAATTATTCGATTTTCTCCACTTCTAATTATGAGACGATTACACTGATGAATTGTCTTTTAATAATTTTATGATCGAGACTAAAATCCTTTTCTTTTTTTCTGCTGGACCAAATAATTTTAAATTTTAGCAGTCAAAAAATTGGTTTAATTCAAATTTAATAATGAGCAGTCATCATTTTCTATGAAAAATCCAATTCAAAAGTATTCAAGTAAGAAAGTAAATACCGAGTTCTTTGTTGGTTTCGAGGAATGGAGCATATTTTGCATTGATGATCGCAAGAATGACAAAAACAACAGGAACCAATAATTGTGATATCAGAACCTAAAATGCAAAGAAAAAAACATTTAGAAAATTTCAATGCAATTGAAACTGAAAAATAAGCTATTCTGAATATACAATATTCCCAAACATGAAATATTTGATAATTTCCAAAATATGAGATCTTCAGCAAAAAAATGGAAACACCAATTTATATTGGTAAAGCAGTTGGCGCATCATGTTTAGCATCAGGAATACGCGCAAAGTGTTCCATACAGAGCCCAATGGCTTCACAAGAGAAAACAAGGGGCACCACGAGGGCGTGAGCTATTCGTTTACTTGTTAAAATACTGACTTGGCTAATTTTGTAACTGTCCAAAGCCTTAGAAAAATACTTAATGTGTGAGGATGGGCAAAATGAAACGATTCCCAAAACCAATTACAAACCTTAAGATGTCTTCTCGAATGCAGAATTCTTTTGACGAGTAATCCATGGAATTGTTGGAACCATAATGCTGTTCCTGTATTTGGTACATCAGGTGGCTGCAATATATCTGTTAAATAAAATAAAGGATTTCCATCACCTATGAAAAAACAGTAAAATGCTTATCAAACTAAAAATCAAAGTCAATCACACTGGTTGCAAGTGCTATTTTAATCATCCAATGCATTGCTATAGTTTGTGAATGTGTAGGCAATGACTATAAGCAGGCATGTCCAAAATGAATAAAGTTTAATTAATTATATTGTTAAATTTTTGATTTTAGAAATAATTTAAAACGATCATTCGAAAATTACATGAACTATACAAGATAGAGAACCAATGAACTTTCATGTATTTTTAATTCAAACTCATTGTATGTATATTGGCTTTCATAGAATGTTGTCCAATGTAAAGTATATTTGATATCACACATATGGAAATATTACTTTAAAATATATTCAGAATAGTGAAATATTGAATTTTATCCATTTCTGACTATAAGTAATAATTATAATATGATGACGAATACTTTTAGTAAGACAGATGCTGGTGTGTCTACGGCCTTACTCTAACTGAGATAGGCCGACTCGTGACAGTATTCAAACAAGCTATTTATATCGCTTCTATTAGAGTATTTGTTGTTACCTGCGGAGCTCATTGTTGGAGAAGCAGGTGTCTTATGATCTTCATCTGCTCCTGTTAACGATAATCTTCTGCTTGCAACAGCTACTGGCTGTGCTACGTCTTCGGTGACACTATAAAAAAATTAAGTTGATATCAAACGAATTTAGTGGGGGATTGACAGAGGGTTTGAAAGTTGAAGTACACTCCTGATGTAATAAATTTGAAAATTTATGCTAAATCGACATTATTCTGCTGATTTGGAAGGCATATTAGACTCCTATGTATAAGTAGCTGCTTTGTTCTGGATAAACAATAAAGTCCCTGTCCCTCATAAAACTAATCTAAAAAATGTCTTTCTGTTAATGCAAAAGCAACTTTGATTTCAACCTGAACTACCATTCAGATAAAGAAGATTGAATGCTGAATTCAAGAACTAATTTCCATCACCAATTTCACCAATTTCCTAAGTACAAAAAAAATTTCTCTTTTTGCTGCAAAATTGATCTACTTAGATTACCGTACTTGAAATGGGAATTACTTAATAGTAGGATAATAAAAATAAAACTAGGATAATAATGGAATAAAATTAGGAGAATAGGACTCTTCTCAAATATTAGCCTCGAATATACACAGAGGCTAGCAACACCTGATCAGGTAATGTCGCCTAACAAAATTCAAAACAAACATTCTTACCAGAGAAATACTTCTTCCAATGTTGTAATTGATGCCCCATAGCTTAGAACTCCAAGTTCATTCATTGCTTTATCAAGTTCAGTAAATAATGTTGGAAACAGACTACTCGATTCAAATGGTAAAAGAAAAGAAGCTTCCGCTCCTGCTGTTCTCTCCATTCTGCTGTCAGGTACATGACTTTGAAAAAAGTCAGAGACCTTCAAAAGAAACATGAAAAAGTTGGACTAATGCAGGGGTGCTCAAACTAAAACCCTTGGTGTTACGGAGCCTGTAAAGAGATTAACTATTATTTAAGGAGCACTACAACAAATTGATAGAAATAAAAACAAAAACAAATTGCTATTGAAAGATTAAAATCACTTTATTTATTGACTCAAATGTATTTTCTGGTTTTTTATTAGAAAAATATTCAGTATTTTAAATTAAACCAATAGCCTGTGAAGCCCATAGGTTTCTCTCGCGAAGCCTTTCGGGAACTTATGTATACATTCAAAATTATTCATGGCCTATTCAATATAGTTAATTCTTGATTTGAAAATTATTTAGAATCTTTTAATGTTAAATTGTCAATATGATCTATTCACGCTTGATTATGAATAAGATTCACATAAATTACACCGTATAACGAAAAAAAAATTTTCTTTCGTTCCCAGTTTTTTACCAATATTTCCTGTTAGCTTTTGATATGTGCATTTAAAAAATCACATAATTTCTTTTCAAATTTGGGTTTTGTGAAAAGGGGGGACAACATATGGAGACTTATTCACAAAATCGACTTGTGCTATAGTTGCAAATCTAAAAAATAGCATTTTATTTTTGATTATTTTTAGGTCCTTTTGGTTTAAAAAATATAGTTAACATTTGTTTCTATTAATTTTTCCAAGATTTCTTACAGAGAATAAAAGAAATAAAGTTTACCTTCTCCACTTGACATTCCGGTGTTTTGTTCAATACAACATGATATCCGACACCAAATTTATTTTTCAAGAATACAGCAGAACCTGAAAACATAATGAAATGATTTTTGAATGAGTCGAAATTACTGAAAACTTCACAAAATTAAAAATAGCTTTGTTATACATACCGGTAAGTTCAGATTTTCAAATATGAATATGTACCAGTACTAAAGCTCGTTACTCAAAACAATCATTAATTTAATTTTGACAAATCAATTACCATTAATTCATAATAAGAGATATTTGAATATATTCTTTTATGAATAATATATACTCAGATGTTCGAGAACATTACGAGAACTTTTCCAATATATTCATTATTCATATGACTGTAATAGTGACTATTTCTAGTGTAGTAAATATATGTCATCTGCAGAACACAATAATAAAAGCAATTTAGATACCCTAAATCCGCGGTCCGCAACCTTTTGTCGCTCGTGGGCCAAAATTAAGATTGCAAGCATTGCATGCAAGTCATTGGCGGGCCGCACATCTTTTCAGAAAATTGAAAAACCGAAAGAATGGTACTTTTTATAATAAAAATCAAGCAGTGATACATCTCTCGAATAGAACATAGATTTATTTCCTCATTGCATCTCATAAAATTTCATTTGAATATTTTCAGCGCCATTGAACCCTTTGCACTTAGCATCAACTTTTCTGCGTTTTGTTGCCATTTGCTTAATTATAATTAAATTATATGCTCATTAAACGAGTAATTGTGAAATATATAATTGTTAGGTTATAATATAATTTAGTCTGAAGAATATATTCGTCACGGATGTTTTGTTACTATAATTTAGTGAAGCGTCGCGGGCTGGATTATAGTGCTCCAGATCCGGCCCGCGGGCCGTAGGTTGCCAACCCCTGCCCTAAATAATTGTTGGCGAATACTTTACAAATATACAAATTTTCCACCAACATTTTATATAAAAAAGTGCTATAATTTGCGCTATCATTAATATGATTTTTTTTAACAAATAACCAATTGTATTCATCACAATCATTGCCTGAAAACAAAACATTACAGACATATACCGGAAAAGAATTTTTAATTCAAATGACCTGCACAACGAATTCTTCCTTCAGCCATGATAGCGATTCTATCTCCTAGTAAATCAGCTTCATCCATGAAATGAGTAGACAAAAGCATTGAACATTGGTCTCGATATTTTTGTATAACGTCCCATATAGCTCTTCTTGCTGCGGGATCCATGCCAGCAGTAGGTTCATCAAGGACAATAAACTTTAAAAAATAAAAAGTTTTTTGACGAGTTTGCACATCTACACTCTGAACAAAGCTCTACATAAGCGGTCAGTCATATATATTAAGTTACTAGTATTAACAATACCGCAGGTTAAACACAAGGATCTTCAAAATGCAATATTCACATGTGAGGTACGGTGCCCTAACCCAGGGGGCAAAACGGCGGAAGATTCAACGCAGTGACGAGAGCAAAAATCATTACGTATTTTTATTGATGCGAGTGCCTTTTTAAACATAAATTTTCGAATTTAGGATTTTACGCTTGATGGATAAAAATCTAAATGTTGACAAGGGCCACACTAAATCGCTTGGCGGGCCATTTGAAGGCCACGGACAGCCTGTTGCACAGCCCTGCTCTAACCAGAACTGGAAATATCCGACTATTTGACCACAGACATAGATACAATTTAGAGTTTATAGAATAGGACTAGAACACAAATTGCAAGGTAGCAAGTAAAAAAACATGAACAATGTTCTTATTAATAGTCACCTTCGATCCAGCACAGAGAGCGATTCCGACAGATAATTTTCTTTTCATTCCACCAGATAAAGTGCATGATCTTGCCTCACGTTTATCCATTAATTCTAATACTTCAGCCATTTTGTCACATTCTTTTTTTGCCTCTTCGCTACTCAATCCTTTAATCTGTCCAAGAGAAATCAAAATCAGTATGTAAAAAATATAATTCGATTATATTTATATGCATAATTCTATGGAATATCCACATAATGACAAATCTATAATTACAGGTTGATGGCCGCATGTACCAAAAGAAATAAAAAACATAAATGAACAATGATCATATCAAAATAAAACAAACTTGATTACAATTTATTGAGAACAGTCTTCATAACAAAATTTAAATGGTAACAAGACTTTATGAACACTATATATATGATGTACATAATTATAGGTTACAAATGACACAAAATTTCTTTGAAAAAAAAAATGTTTTATTATCATACCCGTATTTATTAACATTTCTTTCCAAATAGCTTCAAATTATAATTTCTGTTTTAATTACTTTTTAAGCATAACAAAATTAAAATCATACAATAAGCAACATTAACAAATTACTTTGCAAAGTATTCTTTTGCTAAAATGTGTCCACTTACCATTGAGAAGAAGTAAATATGCTCATCAACAGTCAGTTCATCGAACAAAATGTCGTGTTGTGGACAGAGTCCCATTGAAGTTCTTGCCAATTCAATATCTGTAGTTATATCATGACCAAGAACAACAGCATTTCCAGATGATGGGGGGAAGAGTCCTAAACAATATAGTGATTTTGTCATGTTTTTTCGAATTAATTCAAAGAGATTTGAACCCTCAAGCCTGGGCATATGAAGTGATCTTTCTGAAATGGAATATCAATTGATGCAACTGGTTTCATTACATTTGAACCCACGTACATTTGAACCCACGACGATTGCACCTGCATACCATTACACCTATGGTATTTTTTTTGTTTTCACGAATATTTGAACCCATACTAACCCTAACCCATTGGTTTTAGCACCCGCATATAGATTGAACCCGCGGATATACGCATGGGTTCAAATGTACGTGGGTTCAAATGTACGGTCACCGATGCAACTACTGTCAGATTCAAATGTTCCATTACGTTATTTCTAAATTCATGCATATAATTATAAATACATATACAGTTCATAATATACAGTGATACCTCGGTAGTTGAATGACTCGATACTTGAACAATTCGGTAGTCACCCAAGAAATTCAAGTTAAAAATGCGGTGCTCGAAATTTTTTTTATATTTTCATCTTTATTATGTACACATTTAAAAAATTATTGTAGTTTAGGTACATGTTTTGTTAATATTTTGGATATCTTGGAATGCGCAAGAACGAATTAAAATAATTACGATGGTTCCTTATGAAAAAAAAAGTTTCGATACTCGAACAAATCCGTAGTCGCACACCAATCCTGAACAAATTATGTTTGACTACCACTACTGAAATATTACTGTATATGCAACACTATTGCCATAACCTATAGATACTAAAACATTGTGACAGTGTATTATATAACAAAGTAAGTAATAAGTAACAATGGGCAATATGATGAAAATATAAAATGCAATGTGGGGCTGATGACACCCCAAAATTGAAGGAAAAATGACTTCATTTATTCTAAATATTGGTTTTGCGAAATTAGGGCGAATTCCCCCAATGGACAATAGTATGAAGAAAATATAAAATGCAATGTGGGGCTAGAACATGTTTGATATGGGCAAAACATCTTAAGCCAATAAATATTTGCAAACATACCTCGAACACCTATGAAATATCCTATAAAACAGAGAACAACTCAATTATAAAACCTTCAGAACAAACAAATCAGAAGAAATACCTGTTAGCATAGACATGGTTGTAGTTTTTCCAGCACCATTGTGTCCAAGCAACACTGTAATCTGTCCTTCATACATTGTTAAATTCAAACCATGTACAGCTATCTTCTCTTTTGGTTGGCCAGCATTAAATACCTATGTTGTTAAATCAGATGAAAATAATATTACAATAGAAAGCATATATGTTAGGGTTATAATCAATATGAAACACGAGAATATCTATCAGAAACCGAAAACGTATCGATCGAAAGATAGGGGATCCCCAAAAAGAGCGCTCTTACTCCATAGTGACACCTTGTGTCCCATCACTAATTAATTAATAACTCGCTAATTATTCGACATAATTCGCCCAAAATCAATAGGCTTCTGGTCTGAGATATGATGAATGCACATGCAAAATCTGAAGCAGATTTAATAATCCCGCTTTCGTGAGATATCGCGTGCATCTAACAGACAGACAGACATACAGACAAATACCTATCAACATACTTACCAATTAAAATCGATAAGTAATAAGGCTTTCCATCAAATTCATAGTTTTAATAGCAGAGGATAGGATTTACATATTCATCCAGGTGGAGAGGAAAGTTGATAAGACAGGTTGGGTATGGGATTATTAGCATGTTATTTGTTCCAGATGCATGGAATGATGGTGGGGAAGCCACCCACCAGTAATTACGTGAACCACCACTGGAGTACAGCAATCTTCTCATGCACAATTAATTTCTCTACCCAGGCGCAAAGTAATCAGAGGTGCGATAGCAAGCATATTCAATGCGCTTAGCATGATATCGCATAATACAGCCGAGCTTACTTTTGATTTTAAAGTGAACTTTAAGATGAGTATGAGAACAAGTATTTTGTTGGATGACTTATAGAAGAAATTGGAATTCACTTGTTTACTTTACAATCAGGGATGGCCATTTCCGAATACTAAACTATTCCGAATGCATTCTAAAATCGAAAATAACACATTTTTGTTTTAGTTTATTAAAACCTAATAAATTAGGAAATAAACTTCAATAGAAACATCAGAATGAAGCCACAAACCAACAGTATATGTACACAAAGTAATTGATAGTTAATTGCTATCAATAAAAAATAATAGCAACTTGGGACACAGTCAGTTTGTTAAAATTATTCACATTGTACAAATGACCACATGAAAAGATCTTTCTTTCATTAATCTTTCTTTCATTTGTTTCTTTCTATCATTGGTACCATGATATTTCGATAATAGTCAAGTCTATTGACAAAAATACTACTTGTATTCAGATAATTGTGTATATTTTTTGAGAGTAATAAAATTCATTGGCAATACAGGAAACTGAAACAAGCAACAACAATCGAAAATCCATTATGCCTTTAAAAATTCTAATATTTAAGCCCAGAGTATTCTACTACCTACCAGTATATTTGTATATTAATTTATGTGAACCATATTGTTATTATGTGTAAGATATTGTTGTGTTTGAAATTAGAAATAAATTAGTAGAGGATAGATGACCACCACTGCCAGCCGCGCAGTCAGGATTTTCGAAATCGGAAACTCCCATTGCCGCCTGTAACACCCACCGCCATTCCGCGCTCGTTAAAAGAGCCGTCTTTTCAGCGTATAATGATCATCCTGTTACGTAAAATATTCAACTCATGACAACTACGAGATTCTAAAATATCTTTATATATTAATTCAATGTGTCCAACGTAACTCGTGGTTGCTTCTTTTCATGTCAAAAAATAACATTACTATTCGGTCCACGGCGATATGTGACCAAAAAGTACGAGATAAACTGCCTGATGTATTTAATTTTAATACGTATTTTTGCAATCTTGCCAACTCTTATCGACGTTGAAAAATCTCAAATAATGATATAAAATCCTGTTAAGTGTAGAGTATAATTCATTTCATACAATGAATATACATATAAAGTTCAGCAGTAAATTAAAAATACATATTCATTGCCGCGATCATGCCACCTGTTAAAAGAGTCGACTTTTACAACAAATAATATAACAACGAATATATATTTTTCTGTTGTGCAAAGTGATGAATTCGTGACCGATATGGGCATATTTGAAATGTCTTGCTTTATTAATTTAATTGTCTTCAATTTAACCTGCGGTTGCGTCGACAAAATGAAATTCTCACCACTCTTATATACCATTGCCATCCGCGATCATAAAAATAAAAACTTGTAGTAAACTGCCCGATTAAATAATGTTTTGATCCGTATTTTGCGAATTCGGCAAATAATTAGATGTACTTGTTAACAGTGACTCCGCTCAATCGAAATGCATCTCAGAGTAAAATTTATTTCATCACAATAAAATTGATTGAATATACTTTAGATTACCGTAATTATATTATATACATCCTCACAGCCCGGGAAAAAGTCGCGTTTCAAATCTTGTATAATGTTAACACGAAAATATTCGACGGCAATTTGAAGTAATGGATAATTAGGCAAATCCCGCCCTCAATTAGTGACGATATGTTTATAAACGCCGACCGAACATAATGTGTGCCAGAGGCACACGAAATTTTGCGATTTTCACTGCCTAGAAACGCGTTTTTTAAATTTTCGCTGGCCTCAATAAAACTTATATTGTTTACGGTTTTATTTTCAGTATTTTAAATTGCCGCTTTTCAATCAAAAAGTTGCGTTGTCTTTAGAAACTCGCCGCCGATGAACGTATTTACCAGATTCACAATTCTGTGCGCGTACAAAAATAAAATAATTGTTATCGTTATCTTGGAACAAATTTGTGGAAAATTTTGGTTTTAGAGAAAATAACACAAACGTAAAGGCGTTTGCGGACTAAATAACACGTTACGCTGATGAGTGTTGAAAACAATCACGCGCAAGTTTCTATCGAGAATGTTTTCATTCAACGAAAACGCCTTGAAAGCGGCGTCGAAAATGTGTGACGTCACACAAATATCCGATATTCTTATGAACGCTAATTCCGATATTCGAATAACGAGATATTCGAATACATTCGAATACTTTATTCAAATTGGCCATCCCTGTTTACAATGTTACATAATGTAAATATTCTATAGTGATATTTATGAGCGTAGATACACCTCCTCATGTGTTTAGAATCAAAAACACAAAACCTCCCGAACTATATTAAACTGCTATAAAATATTAAATTGTGATATCAAATTAAATAGTCATTTCATTTCTTTCCTTTTCATATTATATAATTCATTTTATTCCTGGTGCCGTAAGTAAATAGAGCAAAAGTCTTGAAGTAAAAAAATCTATTCTATTCAATATCTTAGTGGATTTGATCCTAAGTTAGACCTAGGGCTCAATGTAAAAAATTAAAATAAAATTAACTTACTTTTCGAAGATTAAAAATCTGGACAATATGTCTTTGATCTGGTGCTTCTGGTTCAAAGTATTCATCATCAGCATCTCCTTTCTCAATACCATTTATACCATTAGATGGTTGAAGAACTTGACTGCTACCTCCACCTGCCACTGCTTCATAGACATTTACCTTCTTTGGGGGACCACACCAGTAAGATTTCTAAAGTGAGTAAATGTTATTGATACTGATAGTGACAGAACGCTGATATTAGGGTGATTAGTAAATCTACTGATTATCTCAATATATTTTTAGTATTGACATTAGAGCAATGAACATGTGAAAGGTGACCAAAAAAGCGGAACCCGTACATTTCTCAATAACTTCTACGAAAAAAAAGAAAATTTATTTAACAAATTTAAATGAACTGAATTATGTTTTTTTGGATCACCTTGAATATGAGCATAGAGGTGTTGATAAAACTAAGTAGCAAAATATGGGGATTATACAACTACCCTAGTGATTCTGCGAATTGGTAAATGATGAAGATTTCAGTTCTTACACAAAAATTTATTGGTGTTGGTGAAATGCATCCCAAATCAAAAGACACTAACCTCAACTGAGATAAAAATATCCCAAATTAAGGAAACATGGTTGTCTATTATATTGTTTAATAATTGTAGTCCTATTTATCATACTCACAGTAAATGGAAAATTCCACTTTTTTGGTATTCCATATTCACCGGGCCGTACACCTTCGACATACCATGCTATTGTCATGTACAGAATTGCATCAATTATCAGAAAAAACATTGCCTGCAAAAGAGACTCAAAATATAAACCTTTTTTCGATTTTCCAGCAAAGTCGGGGCAGAATTGAATGCAGTAGTTAGAGTGTTAAACTTAGAAATGTCGTCATCATAAGATGAAGATCTCGGTTTAAAAACCCATGCCAACCCTCCTCTCACCCTAAGGGTCAAAAATCGGGTAACAATGCCGAATAATAAAGATTCATTTAAAAATATTATGTCATTATATATCAGCGATAACTTGTGAAAAGCTTGGTGAAAAAACGCCTCATACAAAATCTCTGTCACAATCCTTGAATATTCCAAGCATAATGTTATTTTAAAGCTTCCTAATATTACCAATACCTGTAGGAATGTAAAATTGTCATCAACTGTCACAGTGTCTGCGATGTTCGACCATTGCACACCAGTTCCTAAAATTAAGCAAGTTGAAATAATAACAATGAAAGATAAAAAACCTAATTCAAATTATTTCAAGCTATTCTATTTCTATATACCATATTTTACGGACCACAAGCGGCAATTCAAATCCTATTTTCCCCAAACGATTGCGCGCCTTATTAAAAACCGGTGCACTTAGTGTGTGGATCAGGTAGTGCTTTATGCTTGATTTACTACAAAAATTTGTTCCATCGTAAATTGGGTCGCAGGTTGCACACCCCTGGTTTAGAATATTTTCAATTGACTTTCACACAAGTTTTGCACATCTTGCTTGTAAGAAAAAATGCATTGAATTTGCCCTTGAATATGACTGGATTAAGAATATAGTAAAATATATTCGATATAGTAAATGTATCAGGGCCACCCATCCTCTGATGTTATCTCTCGCTGAGGAAAATGAATTATACAAACCTTTGCCTTCATACATGCTAAGAATTGTTGCTCCATTTGCCATGGCAATGTTGGATAACAAACTTGATAGAGATTTTTGAGTGAAAGTCATTTGTTCGTATCTAGGAGCGATAAACAGATATGGCATGTACGAGAGACCAAAGAGAACTCCTCCAGCAGCTGCAGCTACATTCGCTGAAAATTCAAATAAAATGTTTTTTTACAAACTCAAACTTTTGGGCACAATCATACACAAACAGAAGTATTTTCATAGAAATATTTAAAAATTTACGAGTTTTTATCACCCTGTTTATACTAAATACCATAACATGTGCACTATCTATCATGTTCAATGAAATCTCACATCCTTATTTTCATCAATACCAGAACAAACCTTTGGAAAAGAAGACAGAAATCATAAAGCAGAAGCAGATGGTCGCAGCACAGTAACAAACCAAGAACACAAATAAAACTGTTCCATCAGTGTAGGTGAAGACTTTGCCATTTGGAGTCTGGAAAAGGAAATTGTATTATTCAATTAATTAACTATACGCAACTGTCACATATCGAGAAAATGTAGTGTTTCCGATGAGGAGTTTGTAAAACATAGAACGGAGCGCAAAATCGCCAGTCTAGGCTAGTCTCTATATATGCTATATATGCTAATGTATTTATATAAGTTAATATTGAAAAATAATTTACCAATAATGCATTTCTTATCGTTAGTTAATTTCATGGCCTTACATAAAGACCAAGATAGGATGTCTCAATGACAAAAATGTTCTCTTATTAATGAGGAAAAATTCAAAAATTCTATTATCCAAAAAAAGCAAATCAAAGGATTTACTGATGACAATCAGAAATAAACACTAACAAAATTAAACCTCAATATTATAAAGCAAATTATTTATATGAACTGAGTAGTCGCTCCAGGGCAAGATTATAAAATAAGACAATGAATGATTATCACCAAGAAAATTGGAAAGTACAAAAATAAAACCTACATTTATTTTGAACAATATGGTGAAGAACATGCAGGATATGGTAAGAAAAACCAGATATTTAATAAACCAAGCCAACCAATGTAACCAGTTTGGTAGACCAGTCATCATCAGGTATTCCTGAAAAATAAGAATTAGATGCATTTATAATTAATGAAAACATTGTAAACATGTACACTGTTTGTTTGCATTTTAATTTATGACATCATTTTTCATGAATATGATATAAATTGGGTTATGTTTAACAAAGAACACATAGTAGCATATATCTATTCTAATGAGTAAAAAGTTATTCGATTATCTTCAAATTTTCACAATTTTTAGAAAATAAAAAAATGCTTATTCGGTGATACTGTAAAACTTCAATTGACAATATGATAGAACTATTCTAAACTATTCCCAAAATCAAAAATGAATTTAAAATATCGTATATGATTAATTTCGAATCGCAAGTTCGATTCATTTTGAAAATTCCTTACTATTATTATTGAAGTTGCACCTATGATTTTCATCTTAGAGATAAGAATAAGTCTACAAAAATTGATACCTTCAATTTTGACTCTTTTTCATGCACAACACTTTTGACGATGGTCAGAGCAGTGTAAAGAAAACTGAGCATGATGAGCAAGGGCAACAAACGAGATATTGCAACTGAAATTTAAAACAAAAATAAAAGTAAAAAACAACCAATTTAGTTATAATTAAGCTCATGAGATATTCCATCATATTGATTTTTACATACGTATATTATATTTACGCCATATATGTTATTATTATGAAATATTTATTCCTTACACCTAAAAAATGATATAAACTTCCGATAGGGATAGCCATCGTTGAAAATATACTTTCATATTAGAAAATTTTATACTTAAGCATACAATGCACGGAAAAACTGTATAAAGGTCACATCCTGCCATTGAGTGTAGGTTACGGTTAATTAAAATATTGTAATAGTTATACAGTTTAATGTATAACACTATTACCTATCATGTCATTTGGCTGACAACTTATGATGGAAATTTGAACAATTCAGCCATTTTTGTAGGGATGGGCAATGTAGAATAATTTACTATTCTAGAATATTCTAGAATAGTTAAATTGAATCCAGAATACCGAATCCTATTCTATTTTCATACTTATTCAAATAGAGGAAATTTTCCTGATTGCTTGATTTAGATGTCAAAAAATTATAAATGTATTACTATAAATTCATTATTTATTTGGAAATGTCCTTAACATTGTATTTGATTTGATACTAAACAGGCATTTCCCAGGACAATGAAATCAAAGAATATTACAATATTTTTGCTTTCAATTGTTCCAAATGTATGTAATCTCTAAATACTTATATGCTAAATTACGCTTCAAACGCTTTAATAGTAAGCGGTTAAATACAAAAATAGATATGAAACGGCATTAAATCATTATTAATGTTATAGAGTGTCGAGTGTACTAAAACACACCCGCTGAGAATTAATTAGATGCAGGACCAGCGTGTGGCCACTGCAACCTATGCGACCGGTGTAAAATATTAAATTTAACCACTATCAGTTAAAATCAACTTATTATTCTGTGCGATCAAGACGTACAAAACAAGGTTCCCGTAAACGCGATTTCGTAGTTAGTTATTAGTTAACATCATCTAAAGACGAATTCAATTTCTATTATATCACATATCATTATCTACCCAGACTTGGGCCTACTCAAGCTCAATACGTAACTATTTTCGCCAGATGTGGCATCTTTTTTTTAAGTTTATCGGCGAATAAAATTACTACAGACACTCGATCAAACGTGCGTCTATCTTGAACGATAGAAACGGACCGAAAGATATGTAATCTTTTGGGAGTGAAATTTAAATGCGACAGATCGTCGTGTTATGCGATATAACTTTGTATTTCGGAAACTGGTGTAATAAAAGTAATAAAATTATTCCAAAATAATATTTGATTTAAATTAATCGCAAGTGATGTCATAACATTTTACGCCTGGCTTTTGATTTACATGCATCATTTTCTGGGGAAAACTCGCCGGTCGCGGAAAATCATTTACAGTAATGTAAAATAAAGCAAGGCACGCCTGTAAACAACTGAAGATTGTTGCAATCAAATTATCGGAATATCGCCAGTAAGTCGGCACAAATAATTATTATTATTAAACCCTCGCTAGATAGCAAAGCAGGAAAACGCAAAAAATGGTGCAATAACGAGTCTTCGTCGTAAGGTGTACTTCACGACTTCTTGTCCAGAATACGCCGATTGAGATTACTGTGTTTGATGTTTACCGATTTTACGGGTTCTTTGCGATTAGGCAAGTTTAATTAAACGAGAGAAATTTCCACGCGAGAAAGAACGCTCGTCTTTAATTGTTAAATTAGAAATCCGAAATACAAAAATTGACGCCCGGCGAAAACGCAAAAATGGTGCAATAACGAGTCTTCGCCATGAGATGTACTTCGCCGACTTCCTGTCCGGAATACGCCGATTGAGATTACAGTGTTTGAAGTTTACCGATTTTACGGGTTCTTTCCGAGCAGACGCAAGTCTAGCTAAACGAGAGAGATTTCCACGCGAGAAAAACGCTCGTCTTTAATTGATATTTAGAAACCCGAAATGCAAAAATCGACGCATGGCGCCGGAGAGGCGGAAACCGAATCCTGTTATCGGATCCTGTTGGATTCGAATACTTTGGGATTCGAATCCTCCGGATTCGGTATTCTATATTGCCCATCCCTACATTTTTGAATGTGAATTTTATGAATATGAAAATGCCAATTTGATGTTGCATATTTTTAGTTATCGCTGATTATCTTTCAATCTTGTTAATGTTGTCCCTATGAGTTTTAGTAGACAGATGGACTAACAAAATTATGATGAAGATACAACAGGCTTTTTCTTTTCTACAATTAAACATAGCTCATGACTGACATAAAAAGATGAGCTTACAGGTAGAACATAGATATTTTATCATATTACCCAAAAAATTATCTTCAACGTAGGGTGGATATGGAAATCTCTTCATTCGAAAATTACCATCAGCCAAGTCAACTATATTCTCATCACCAACTGTTGCCAGGATTGCCATATCAACAGCATGCATAAGGGAAAGGAAACCTAAAAATAGATAAGTGAATTACACAAACTTCAGCGAAGCCATTGAATTGTGAAAAAGGCAATATTTACAATCACAACATTAGGTATCTGTTGAGGGCAAATTTAAGAAAAAATGAACCATTATGTCAGATATGAACTCAAATTTTCCCCTCAAGAAAGCCATGTTATTACTCAATTCTAAACCAATACCAATTTCTTTTTTTGTTTGATTTGATTGTGAAATGTTATGAAAAGAATAATATTATATTCTACAATTAATTAATGATTGAGGAATAAACCGATAAGTTGATAAATGATAACCACAGTGACGTCCATGATTACATAATATCTATTTACCATCGGAAAGACGTTAAATAAACACAAATCGAAAATAAAAGATTGCTTTTTTTATTGCTAATCTAAAATAGAATGACACGTTTCACCCACTCAGTTATTCAGTACCGACATATAACACACAATATTTTGATTTGTATAATAAATGGATTTTCAATGCTTTTCACAACAACATTCTCAAGCATGTAAATCATGCAGGTTAAGCCTGATATTTTATTATTTCAATTAGGTTATCGTTAGACGTTGAATTAGAGTCTGACATCAATCCGCATTTTGGGTAACTATTGATACAATTAATTCATCATGACCGGGTGGTGGCCGAAGTGAATCGAAATTGATTCAAAACTAATTACTTTATATTATATTTTTATTTAAGTATAATTTAGACGTTTCATTAGATAATTTATCATTTCGAAAAATTGAAATATCAAAAGCCTTCATTTATTTCCAATGATAGTTAAGTGAAGATCCAATCGAATCAATGTTCATTTAAACTTTTCTTATCTCCAAATTTAAACGTTTGAATATACAATGTTATATGACATTTCATACTTAAAAATGTCATTGAAGAATACGCCGAAATCTGTAATAATAAATTATTGGGTTTTCGAGTATTTATATTCTATATTAAACATGTGTTTTCTTATTGCTAGAAATCATGTGCATAGCATGCATATTCTATATATCTTCCATTTTATAATTCTATGTCTTGAGTCTCAATTACTTTACGCAGATGGAAGTTTTGCCTGATAAAACTAAGGCCTTGTTAAAAGTTTAAACAGAATAACACGAGAATCTAACTAGATTTGACAATATAAATCCTTTTGTTCATACTGTTCAATCATGTTATTCATCAGAAAACAATGCCATACCTTCTTTATAATAACCAGGTTTCCCACCATACCTATCATTGCCATCTCTTGGACCAGGTTGCTGAAATCCAGGAAAAAGTTGAGTTGTTCTCCAAGTATCAGGACTAGTGAAAAATACGTAATAGATTGTTATGTTAAGAAATTGCGCATTTTCTATTCTATTGTGTGAATGTTCATCACAAACAAGTGTCAGATTTAATTGTAAAATAGCTAGTCGAATGAAAGGAATACGAAATTGGTGGACTGGTAAATGAATGTTCATATTCGATTGGTTTGGCCTGAATTTCAGTATATATCAATGCTAAGTTTTGTGAAAATTGATAAAATCCATCATCCTAACTTTGATTGTCCAAATTTTCTGAAAGCAATGGATATCTAATTCAATTTTCATTATTTGCTTGATTGCACCTTCAGAAAAAAAAAACCTACTCTTTCATAAGAACCAATTGACTTGTTAAAAATATTTTCTGATATATTAATTCGCAACAACATACTTTCCTGTGATTCTTGAATCATCTCCAGGTCCTACGTTCACAGGATCAGAATGTAGTCGTATTTTATAACTAAACTTTGGAGTTGATGTGTTTTCAGATTTTGTAAATATAATTCCACCAAGAGTTCCAGCCAAATTTGTGTCATTCGTAACATACTCCATGAAACTTGCTTCATCTTCAAAACCCATAACTAAATATAAAAAGGAAATTCATTTAAATAAGGTTTCTAAATTCAAGCATAATATTTGTAAGATTTTGTTTTGTAGTACAACTTTCAGTATTAATAAATCAAATGTCGAATACAATCAAAGTAATATTCAACGAAACAAATTCAAACATAATTTCCAAATGTGGCTTCAGTCATGTTTGGTGAACTGCTTACAACAAGACATGATTCGACAGTAAAACACAAATAAGTATACATTCATACAAATGATATTGGCTGTGAAATTTTATGGTCCATTCAAATAGCTCTTATGTTATTAATATATATATTTCCCATAAAATTTACCTAACAGATTTTGAATGAGATTGTACAAGTGTTTCCATTCTAACTTCTATTTTCAACAAATACTAAAATATAGCAATGCCAAGTTTTAGGGATATGAATGAAAACATAGGCCAGTCCAGGGATCAGTCATTTTGGTACTCCCGTAGAATGTGTACCAGGTTAGGGTTAGGTCATAATTTTATTTTGTTTTATTACGAGGTCGAGGACTGTTTGTGTTAGCCAAGTGAATATCCCCCTGTCCATAGGTTTCAGTACCTTCACACAACTTGATGTGAAATAGGCGAACAAAGTTACCTCCATATTTGTACACACACTTCTGGAGCGCAGTCATTTTTTACATTTTGATTATAATCATATGCTTCTCATAATCAATGAATATACAAAATATCAAAGAAAATTGATTCTTGAAACTGGTGCTTTCCTTGTCATTACATACTTATTCATAACTTAAATGAGTAGTATAATATCATATAATTAGTGTATCAGGGTATATGATTAAGCAATAAAATATTATATACACAAGTACAACGTATGGTAATAATATGAATATGCACGGATATCCAAGATTCAACTCCATCTAATCATCAGTATGGAACTTTTTTTCAAATTTGTATAATGCTGCCTGTTGTAATACATATGAGACATATTTGTTTTTTAGTATTTTATTGTTTTTTAGTATTCATAATGGCAAATTGTAATTTATAAAATGTAAGTATTTATTTCGACTTTTATTCTAGATTCACAAAATCATAATGATAAGATTTTGGTGTGATAGAGAGTGGAAAAATTCAAAAAAGACTCACTAAAAACAACTACAGGTTAAGACTCCTGAAATTGATATTAATTATCCACTCAGAGATGACATAATTGCCTTACCATATGCAATATTTTGATTTCTACATAGGTACTCATTATCATAATAATAGTGAATAAAATTAGATTTTGTAAATACAGAAATTAGTTAAAAGGATAATATCATAACTTCAAGTTTAATTTGAAATACTAAAATAGAAACGGAAAACCCTGTGATATGAGATAGCATTTATATGAAGCAGCATTTGAATATCTCAAGATAATAAAATTTTGACTCGAATTTTATTACTTCCAAACTATTAAAAAAACAAAATATGTAAATTGATTTAGCTATATGTGGAGAACAACCAGTGATATATTAAAATTGATGATGCCGAACCCAAAATATAGGTGAAATGTAAAGCTAATAAGGAAATTGTTGAGTCAGTATGACCAACATATTAACCACGCATGGCCCACGGATAATAAAAAAATAGTAAACCATTATTAATAATTCATATAGATCACAAACAGCTTGTTACCACATTTCCATGTAATGAGAAACAATACCAATATAAATGAATAAAAAATAACATAAGTGACTAAATAAGTAACCCTATAAAATTGGCTAGAGTACCTACTGTAATATTTATAACAAGTACTTTCCCATAAGGATTATCCATATTCATATAGAACACAAACAGCTTGTTACCACATTTCTATGTAATGAGAAACATAATAAAAATATAAATAAATAAAAAATAATGAAAGTGGCTGAATAAAATAACCATATACATCTGGTTAGAGTACTATAATATTTATAACAAGCACTAGCTCTGCCGTAAGCAATATGAAAATTTCATCTTAATCCATTTATACTTAGGTCCAAGACGTAAATGACCAAACCCTAATAATCCCTGACTCATCAGCGAGCATGCAATAGAATTAGAATTTTAAACATTGTTCTGATCGGTATACTAGATTTTTCATTTCATTTCATTTCATTCAAAGTTAATTATATTACTGTTAGATATCAAATATCAAATATCCAAATTGATAACGTGATACTTGAAATTCTATTTCAAGACTTCCATATATGGCAATTGGTAACCATCATGTCTAACGCCATGGTATGCCACTAAGATTTTAAAAGATATAACATAATATATAAGTCATTCCCATCAAGAAAAAAATGGTCCAAATAACAGGAACCAAACAAATAAAATCAAACTTCAGAAGCATGCCCTTTTTAAATCTTTATAATACCAATAATACCAATATGAAGGTAACTAATTTTGTTCGACTACTTTACATCAAGTTGTGTAAACGAACTGAAACCTATGGGCAGGGGTATATTCACTTGGCTAACACAGACAATCTCAAACTTGTAATAGAACTAAAATAAAGAAAATCAGAAAAAAATTATGCCCTATCCCTAACCTGTTACACATACTGCAGGAGTGCATGATTGTGCAGCTTTGGCAACAATGATAAGACAGTGGAATTGCATTTTTTTTTTAGAATTTTTACTACTTATATTGTGAAATATACCTTTAATCTTGGGAATTGCCCCTATAGCTGCCATCATTCCACTGGATGAATTTCCTTGTCTTTTTTCAGTTGAGTTATCTGAAGATCCATCCGTATCTAATGATGATACATTAGATTTATTTTCTTCAAAAAATTCTCTGAAGCGGGGATCAAGTTCATCAAAAACACATTCTGAATACAAAAACATAATTTCAACAAATATTCAACATGGCCTTTAATAAGAATGGAACAAATAAAATTGACTGAAATAAAAACTGTGCCACTGAACAATTAACACACAATAATAGCAAAATTGAGAGTGAGTTCGGCTAAGCGTTAAATTGATAAAATTCCTAATAACAATCCCTAAGGAATATATTTGATTCAACAACCCATCTATCAATACTATACTGCAAATGAACTTTTGTTTGTAAATGATCTCTATTTTTTATTTATATCATTTTATTACTGAAAAAAAAAGCTTGGTTATAGAAATTTGTCATGTTTTATTATTATCAGTTAATATATTTAAATCTGGATACTTGAGTGTTTTTTAGAAAGTGTTTATTTGGAGGTGTTAAAGTTCACCCGTGCATCTCTAATTCTCACCCATTGTTTTGTTTAGGAGTTCTTCTGTTACATCCTTCATAAATTCTTCCGGTCCTAACTCAACAAGCATATCAGAAACATATTCGATATTTTCTTTCCCTTCATCAGCTGCTCGTTCAATTATAATATCTTTCATAATTTGAGGGATGTTTTGATAAAACATTGGAGCTGTTAAAATAAAGTTGGAAATTAAAAAATCAATTTTAAAAAAAGATCAGCCTCATGATAATTTATTATATGTTATTTTAGGCACCAGTCAGAGTGTCAACAAAACTTGAGGCTTCACTTGTTAAATCCACTTTTTTTAAAGCAAATAAAATGTCTGACTGTGGATCTTCAGCAGTACTACTTAGTAAACAATTATAACCACATAATAAATAAAATATCAATAGAACTAACATTGTAGACGCAATAAACAGTGGTTTATTTTTCATCGTTCTGAAAATACACTTAGTACGTTCAGAGTATAGAGAATAATGTAGAAATGGCATTTCAAGTTTCAACAACATTGATTTATCGGTCAGCGACACACATGACAAAGTCTAACAGCAATCATTACAGAAGTAAAAAAAAATTGAACATAAGATACTAAAAAGTATACGCCAAGTGCCTGATCTGTTACAAACAAAAAGAGACTCCAAGCACCAGAAAGTAAGGGAACCATGAAAGCAGTAGTTTCATAAATTTTTGCCATCTTCAAAATTAGCTATTATAAACAAAGCATTGTATTTTATAATATTTGGAAAGATACCTGCTATAGCAGACATAGATCTGGTCATAGTTCCTCCTCCTACAGCACTCGTAAACATGGAAAATGCAGCTCTTGCACCAGTTAAGTCTCCTGCTCCACCTAGACCTGCACCTGGTGGTGGTCCTCCCATCCCAGATCCTACATCTGCATCTTCATCAGGTGATCCCATATTTTTAATAAAAGAGAGACCTAAGAGATTTGAATGAAAGTATTTATATACATTATAGCAAACAATGTATGTTAGGTAATATATAATTTTCCACAAATTAGTAAGCAATGCCATGAGAATAAGTTGTATTATTCTGCAAAACTTCATATTTATTCAAAACATAAACCTGAAAAATATTAATCGTTCACACTAGTTGCATCTAAAAAAAATCCGATTGTAAAATGGAAAAAAACCTTCATTAATTTATACTGTTATACAAACCAGGGCAATTGATTTCTAGATCTGATTTTCCATGCTTGAGAAAAGTCTCAAAATTTGTCATTATATTTTCCACTGTGGAGTCGTTATTTGGAGCGTATGCCACTGTCCATACTCCATCTTTTGGAACAACATTGGTCTTAAAATTTGGTAGATTGTTGACAGAAAACTCTCTGAAATAATTAAAGCATAAAAAATGATTATTTGTTATTTGAGCAAAACTCATGTAAATAACTTCTACTAAATTACTAAAGACGAGTATCTTTTAATATAGTAATATATGCACGATACACACAATAGAACAGGGTTTCCCAAACTAGGCCCTCGATCCACCTAAATAGTCATGGAGCGGTTCACTGGGGGCCACAAACGAAGGTGTTCGCTAGGTACCATTTGCCATAACCACGTTAATCAAGAAATAACTGGAGGGAAAGCGTTAAAATAACGCCAGATATTTTTAAATAAAGAGCAGTGCATAGAGGGTCTCGTGTAGTTTAGTACCTAACCCTAGTGGGCGTAGCAATACAATTATTTGATATGTCAAATGAGAGAAATAGCTGATCAATTTCGGGTGCTCGCCTTGGATGGCAGTTCGTGTAGTTTGAAGCGCTTTATTACCTCACTGTGACGTCGTAGTGACATAATTTTCGGATGGCATAGTCAGGTGGGGGTTAGGACTGACAGATGAAAAAATTGTCATGCTAGGTCCTCTAGAAGTATGCACCGATAACGACTCGCTAATGCCGGCGATCTCTCTTCTATCATGATCATTGTGACGAGAAAACGAGAGAATTAACGTGCTTGATTTCGGGTGATTGTCTGTTGTTGAGCCAGTCCAACTAAAAGTGCATGTGGTACTAAACTATAACAGACCCCATAAAAGTTTGAAAACCATCGCGTTAAACTAAACCAGTATAACGTTAATGCTAAAAGTTCAGAAGTTAGAATCTGGTGAAAAAAAAACGAAAAAGGTACATTCTTACCTCCATGTTGTGATGTTTGGATGAGTTGTTGTGTCCACAGTTGTACGAATTATAACCAACAATGCAGCAAAAAGCAAAGGCAGAGCAAGCTCAACAAAAGTGGCAATTGGTCGTCGTTTTTGCAAAATAAAATTCTTCCATAACAAGAGGATAAATTGTCGCCACTTTGCTGCACCAGAACCCATGCTGGCAAAATATAGCCACTTCAATAACCTTCACTCTTGTTCAATATACTGATGTATGAGCAAATTCAATAAAACTACATAATTTGAAATAACATCTGTGTAAAGTGGTACAGAGACAGTGATCTTTTTATCATTAGAATTATCTACAAGTATTTACAAACACAGTTTAAAATGAGGTGATTGTTATGTCACAATACTTTTTCTGGGGAAAGTTGAAACTACAGTTCTAAATTGGGTGATTGTTATGTCACAATATTTTTTTTCTGGGGTAAAGTTGAAATAACATTTTACTTTTGACCCCCAAAAATTGCAATTAGAAAATGTTTTTTTCAGTAATCAGTAGTTTATTTTTTCACCACACTGCCAACATGACCGCTACGGGTATATCTGTATTTTCTGACATAAAAACACTTCTACACATTACCGCATGCAGACATGTCACGCCTCGTACTAAAATTGAATAATCAATTCAGAAATGTTACATAATCATGTGATTTTTACGCTAGCATTACCTCTAGTTTTCTCTCTCGATAACATGAATGTTACACAACAATGTATTGTCTCTGGTTATAGAATAGCAATATAGACTCGCTAGCTGGCAGTAGAGCATAGGAATGGCGAACAGTTAAATTTTTATCATAAAAAATGCAGGTCAAAGATTTAAGCAATACCGGTATCCAGTGGTGGGATTCAAATTTTTGTCAGCCGGTTCCTTCACAAAAGCCATTTTTTTCAGCCGGTTCTGTTGCAAACAGAACATTGACAGTAACCAGTAATGCTAACCGGTTCGCTGATTTTATAAAATTCAGTGAGACGGTTCTATCGTAAATATATGCTACTACAGGTGTGGCGGTGTGGCTCAACGGGCTAAGCGTTAGGAATACGCTCGCCACCGCACCTCTAATTACTCTGCGTGGGTTCGCAGGTTCGAATCCCATGCAGGGATGGTTATGTGCGAGAGGATTGCTGGACTCCTCGCCGTCGTTGGGTGGTTCGCGTAACCGCTGGTCGGTTACGGCTTCCTCCACCACCAAGTCCATGCTTCCGAAAACAAACAATACAGTAAAAACTAATCCCATACCCGACTTGGAATGGTAACCGGACGAGAGGCCGTGGTTCGCCATATGGATAAGCCGTCTTATCGGCTTTCCTCTCCCCCGGGATAAATATGTAAATCCTATCCTATCCTACGTTCTATAGAACCGATGCAAACCGGCTGAATCCCACCACTGTCGGTATCTGCACCAATGAGGAGCGTACTGTTGAATCTTCTCTCCTCAAGTCTTGTAATTCTGTCAAATTCGGCCAATACCACACTTGATCAAGTGTGTAATTTGCCTGGCATTTTACTTAGTTTTTAACGCATATATATTACTTGCCAATTGCGTATATGTAACGCATTTTTTTTGTTTTTCTTTCCATTGAAATTTAATATTGCTTTGAATACACCTGGAATATGTTAAACCATATCTGAAGCGTTTTTGATTCATGTTTATTGATATTAATATTGGGCGGTAACCGACCCCGATGACCGCATGGTCGTATCGTTGCCACCCAGTCTTTAACGAGAACTATTTTGCTCTCTATTAACGAGAGAGCTATGCTCAAATATATGGACACATCACAAAGTGTCACTATATTTTTTTATTATGACACATAAAAACGAATCTCTTGAAGTCCACAGAAATTTTTGAAATAAGTAAAAGTAATAGCCTTTTGACGAAAAAATCAATCATTAACCACTGAAAATTTCTAAGCAATTGTTCCATTATTCGAAGAGAAAGGTGATTTTATCATGACGAAGGAGAAGAAAACAAGACATAATATTGAAACGATCGTTATGTCCACCGACGTGTCAAATTATGTTTTGTTGCGTATATATTTTGTGGTGAACAAAACAAATAAACTCTTTCTCTCTGGTGGGTGGTGTGCAGTTTTAACGCGTTACATGTCGTTAGTTCAGGTCATATTTGGGATAGGAAAGAGTAATCTGTTTCAAAAATGAACAATAAATATTTATCCTCCTAGCTGGAAAACAGTGTAACTTTGACATGAACCGGCGTACGCGCATCCGTAGTCGTATACATAAAAATGAAGGCTAGTTCGGTCTCGTTAGTAAGCAAATAATATATAATGCATATATAAGAAACGTAGTTGTTCATGCCTATTTCTGAATATCTATCAATTATAACGAGTGCATTCAGTTTTTTGCTCATTAGTATATTTTGAAATCACAAGTATAAAAGATAGAATAGTTAAACATAACGTAGGCCTAAAACGACAGCAAATATGTATCTACAATCGCCTCTTATTCAACAGTTTGGGATGGAAAAATCATGTATCCGTATAAGATTTATATATATATTAGAGCAGATATACTGTTTTTTCGTATATGTATAACGAGGCATGGGCATGCTGTTTTGACAAAAGTACAGTGTAAAAAATCAAAAGTTCATACACCAGTGGGCCAGTTCATATAACAAATGCTTGTCACAATTTCTTTGACAAATATGCTGTTTAACATTTTTCCAAATGCAATAAAACAGTTCTGTAATACCATTCTAGAATAAAGCAAAAAAGGAATGTTTTGCACAAAGCACTGGCCAATAAACACCCCCCAACGCTCAAAATAAAAAAATATTCAGTTGGGGTTGAATGCAGATTGCACTGATAATTTCGAATTTTCGAATCATTCCTAACCTTAACGGGATAATTTTTCATTTTAATTTTAAAACGTGACGCGGGTGTTTTGTCTTAAATCTTACATTTTTGCATTAGTGGTGAGGACTATGTACAAAAGATTCCAAAAAAATAGCCTTTTGTTGAGCGAAAGTCTACTAAACAAATGTTAAAAGTCATTTTAGTTCGGAATACCTTAAAAATATATTCGTAGTATTGCATTTCAGTAACTTTTTAAAATCAGTCGAAATCTGGATTCACAAGACTTTTTTAACTAATGCATATAAAATATATTTTAATTAATATTCACAAATAATTTTAATTTAAATGCGGGTATCAAAGTGGTAGGTTAACTACAGGAAAATTCCGTTCCTATTTCTTCAATTATATTCTGAATATATATGAATTTAACGATCGGTTAGGTACTGCGCTGTTTTGAATGCCACTCATTTTTAGTACAACTTCAAAATATATTTACGACTTTTTATAAAGACAAAGAAAACAGAATGAGGCATCAAGATTCATCGCCACGAAATGTAGTCTTTGACAGTGGTGGGAGGTATTTGTTGTAACCGCAACGGCGAGGCAAACGAGGTTTTCTCGTTGGTATATCGACTAAATCAAATTTTGAATCTGGTGAACATAGTGAGGTAGGATCATATCTTCCATTTAAATTGTTCGTTACTTGTAACCCCGAGTCTCCGTGTTTGGGAGATATACGTAGAATGTTTCGTCTACTCATACGTTTCGGAGGAGTCAGTATTCCGTCGCATCCATCTTTCCAAAAAGGAGACAGAGATTGTTGCTCCTCATTTGTGTTTTCAAGATTTGCATCACTTTCTTTTACAATTAGACGTTTAGTTTCTGGAGTGAGAGACGTATGTATATTTTCACTAGAAGTAAACATGTCTGATTGCTGGTGTTTTCTACGACTTTTGAAAATATCCCTTGAGTCATTTCGCGAAACTCGCGCTCTGGTGAACATAGGTGACATTGCGGTAACCGCAATAGAACACTGTTTCAAATCTTTCATAATGTCGGCACTTGTCCTCGGCGAATTATTTATGACTTCTTGTTTTTCGAGATGCTGGAAAGTAGGAACGTATTTCTCCTCTAGAAGTTCTGTTTCGTCCTTACCTCGCGACCGACGGACTTGATTTCTAGATGTCATTCTGATTTTGGTTAGGTTAACATTAGGTGAGTTACAAAATTTGACATCTGTCGGTTGTTCTAATACATTTTCATTCTTTTCTGTTGGCGATCCAAATGAACTGGAAAGAATTTCATCTAACTCAGCATATTTGGCTAGTCCTGATGTAGATGAATCGGTAAAAGCAAGTTTCTCTAATTGGATGGTGTTACTTGTCGCATCAGAATCGTCCGTATCTATTTTGCTGCCAATAGCTGGTAACGGTTTAAACCGAGTCTCTCGCTTTAGTGGGACATCTCGTACAGCGGATAGAAAATCTTGGACGGACTTGTTTATGTCTTCATCGCATCCAGCAACTTTTACTCTCCGCCGTTTTAGTGTTTTCTTAGTAGATGACTGTCTTCGAAGAGTTGGACTGCCAACATTCTTAGAGCCTACGGGTGATAATGCCCGTTCCTTCATGATAGGTCCATGAACTAACTAGATGGAGAATTATTTAAAAGCACATTCCAGTAAACACTTGCGTTAAAAGCCAAAAGTTTAGTGAAATAGGACGTAATACTGCAAGACATCTCAAACTTTACACATTGACAACCGTATACTTTGCCGAAATTTATTTGGAATGGATAACTACTGAAGCGAGCGTCAATAAGCACTCTCGACGGAAGCAAAATTATTGGTTGGCACCCAAAGGTTTTTAAATTGATTTAAAAGATAATTCGACAATATTCGATGTTTCGAGTAGGCCAACTGACGAAAAGTGTACAGTAAGTGGGTAAAGGGCACTTGTGAAACTTTTTCTTGACCCGGAGAGGATGTCGCGGAAATCGCAACGATGAAAGCACTCGCGAGTCCTTCTGTTGATCTACAAAACCACAAAACATACATTTGACATGAGTATTGTGTCAATTAGGAAGATGGGTATTACTTCATTTGTTCAATTTAGACGTAGCTTTGTAAGGCGGATGCGTGCAATTTTGCGCGTTTGACTTTTCGACGATGACACGCATACAGTAGATCCATGTGTCACGAATTTATCGTATCACACTCAACCTGCTGCTGAGTATGCCTTTAAAAATAGTGAAATTACACGTTCTTCGAGATATGCACCCAGTGTCATCTTACTTCGATGTGGACGAGTCGCATTATACAATGCTACAACTACTCGTTTGGGTTTAGTCGCTCAGGCTTTTCTTCAAAATTGCCTTCCATTCAAAATTCATTTAACCCGGGTACGATCAGATTTTTACCAAGGCTGGTTTGGTATTAAAATCACAAATTGTATAAATACAGCACAGGCTGTGGCGTGTTGGAGCATGACGGGTGCAAAGCTACTACGATTCATCATGTTTGCAATGGTAAAAATCGCAAATTTTCTTCAATGCAACTTCGTCGCGAGCTGGCTCCAAAAGCTATCCGCTATATATTACTATTCTAAACGCTTACCTTCTATTTTACGTTATAACCAGATGTGCTCATGTAAATATCAGTACATAATGAACACAACGTGGTGCCGAATGACGATTGTATTCTCAATCCAAGACGAAAGACAATTTGTGTAACGCAGTTTTGACTGGGACAGCATAAACCAATTTTCATGAATTCATATAATTTGCTTCTCATGAGGCCATGGAAGTTGTAAGTTAAATAAAACACTCGTATTCTACAACTTACATCAACGTTCCAAAAAGTTCATTCTTGTGCGAAACCCCTCTGTGTGTGTTGTCCAGTTTATTGACAAGGCGTGGAGCGCAAATACCAGAGCGATGGCCTCTGACAACAGGATACTCCATACTCCACAATATGGATCTGCGAGTAGATGATTGCCCAACTTGCTGTTAGATAAGGGTTTTCAAACCTGGTGAGAATTATCAAGCGTCTCCACCACATACCATTTGCGAGGGCTACATTAAAATTAAAACTAGGTATTTTTATAAAATAGCAAAAGGCCACAAATGTTAAGTCTTTCACCGCTTGCCTGGACGGTCATTGGCCATGCAACCGAACAATGCAATATATTGCTATCAAATCTAGTGTCTTACATTTAATGAAGTTTTTATGCAAAATCCCATGAAAACTAATAATTTACACATTTATTTTCAATGGATTATGTTATATTTAAAATAAGAGTGCAAATTATAGTAATGGACAATTTGATGAATAGAAAGATTAATATTATCACAATGATATACTAAATCTTGAAAATATTCCATCGCAAGCTGGTGGAAATGCCAAAAGATTCTATCTAAGGCAACCTGGAAACAAGTGAAAACTAGATCATGGGTCGACACTTGAAAAACCTTGTAATAAAGTGTTTAACAAAGCAATCCACTGACTACTTGTTTGAAAAGCTATAATAAAAGAACAAATTGTTAAGACAAAGCCTGGAGTTTGTGTGTAAAGATACAAATATATGCCACACCAACAAATCCCAATAACAAAATACCCCACAGTAATTTTCGACATTACGTACATAGTAATGACACAATAAATCATCTATCATTTGAGGCTGTCAGCAGCATCCATAATATTGATAATTTACACTTAGGACGCAATGGAAAACAAAATTTGTCGTAAAAATTGTTCTCAAAAAGTTACCCACAAAACAGATAGCTGAGTGGTCATTGTTTGTTTATTATTAAACCATGATAAATATTAGGATTTCCGTACATTAACAATATGACAAATTACAATCCTATTATCCACCGTATTAAGACACAAAATTTGCATTATGACGAAAAAGAGGAAAATAGAAATACTCAAACTTGCATCAAGCTTCAAAAAAGAATCACTTCATTGCCTGTCCAAAGAAGTTGCTCATAAAAATAAAAAGTGTAAATAATGACACAGCAAATTTGGTTATGACTTGGAACTTTTGCATAACACAAGTTGAAGACTGAAGCAGTTTTATAACAATTTATTTGCATTTCAATTACTAACCCAAAAATAAAAGGTATTTTTGTTGAACGTTTTTAATAAAATAAACACATTTCCAATATTATTAAGACAACATTAATGGAATGCATTATGATATACTTTCAAAATAAAAATCACTTTTCTACAAAGCATTTTTGTAATTTTTACAGCATTAACCTATTTGCATTGTTTCGCTTTGGGAATGTTAGTCAATAACATGATACAACACTTAAGTGAAATTAAAAGCTCATCAAATCTGTGTAAGCTATTCTCCAAATGTGAAACTTAATGTCTAAAAAAAATAAATGTTTGAATATACATAGGATGCTACCAAGTTGCATTCTAGAAATCTATTCTGAGTTTCTGATGTCGTTAGTAGTTCTAGCAGATCACTTGAATGTTGCTGGAAGATGAAGCATTTTAAGTCTAGCAAGCAAGACTCTTTCGGACAATGACAGATTGAAATAATTATTGAGGTATTCAATGCTAAGTTAGTGTTACATTACTAGATGGCAAACTGTCAATATGTACGCAGGTTCTAGATTCAGAGCAATGGAATGAAAAATCTTTTTCTATTATTGTTTTGGTGAAATACATGATTGAATGTTAGTTATGTACTTAATAGTTTAGAAGAAACAAGCCCATTACGATTGTGGTCATCATTACATTTATCCACTAAATAAGAAATTAAAAAGATATCTAGACGACAAAATATATCGTCAGTGGAAACAAATAACCAAAGCAAAGTTGCTTTACCATAATTTTCACCACGAAATGTAACTATTGTTTTGTGCAATGTGAACAAAAAAACACGAAACTGAATGTGTAAATGTAGAATTGAAAAAGGGGTGGCGTGATAACTAATGGTATTATTCGCACTATTAAAGGTGAAACCCAAACAATACCAAAGACAAATTGGTATGAATTTTGGTCAAAGATGTCAAAATGATTTGTTTTAGTTTTTTAATCTCTTAATTAATATTTAAATATTATGCAGAAGAATCTTGATATGTGCTTCTACAAATTAACTAGTAATTTTCCACAAACAAATAGATTCTATTAATGAACAAGAAACCGGATTTTGTTTTCACTGAATCTTTTGATTCCTATTGTATAATATTTGAAAAAAAACACACATAATAACTAACCGATTTTAATAATACGACAACAGTTTCAGTACTATATTGATTCACCATGTTTAGGAAAAACTGTCACAAATACGCACACCTCCTATTTTTCATAAATTTGACATTATGACAATAACAAGATTTTTTTTATTGTATTTGACACCAAGATATTTTTTCCTGACTTCCCAAACATTGCTACAACATAAATTATGTAGATATTAGATATACAGCTAATTAATGAGACAAAAAAACTTAGAAGAAAGGGCATATTACTAAATTGAGTGGTGAGCAGTAACAAGGACAAATAACAATATACAAAAGACAAATAAAATAGAGAAAACATTATTTCAGATCTTTGGGGAAAATTATGTATAATGCCACCTAATTCCTCCAATTTTATTTAATCAAAATCGATGGACTGTGATATATATCAGTGAAAATATTTAAATTTGGAACTATATTTCCTGACATTTATATAAACATAAGGTGACAAATTACCATTTTGAAAGAACAAGCTCTTTGGTGTGTGAATGTACCGCAATGATCCGTAATATTGCCCATGAAAAAAAGGAATACAGTAGTACATAACTTTTAAATAAAATTGATTTTATGTTGAAGAGTTGAAGAGCCGCCAAAAATATAATTGATGGAAACAAGGTCGTCAGCATTAAGGACAGATTAATAGCAGATATTTTGGTACTCTCGTAGTGTGTGTACCAGGTTAGGGTTAGGCCATAATTTTATTCTGATTTTTCCTTATTTTCGTTCCATTACGAGTTCGGGGACTGTTTGTGTTAGCCAATTGAATATCCCCCTGCCCATAGGTTTCAGTCCCTTTACACAACTTGATGTAAATTAGGTGAACAAAATTAGTTACTTCAATATTGATAAACACACTTCTGGAGCAACGAAATTTGCCATAGAGCGGCCAAAACAGCTCAATTCAGAATTTTTGAAATTTTAATTAATTGCAATACAGAATTTTGACAATTACCATGACATCGACATTGATGTGTAATTATAATGCATAATTGAAAAAAATTTAGAACTGAGAATACACCCCAGGTCTCTATTATTTTTTAAATAAAATGAGTAAAATAAAAGTGAGATCATTGATGCCACTCACATGACATGATTATCTTCAGCTTCATATTTTGTGCTATAAAAATCTAGCATAGTTTGAAAACTTCATATCAGAAAAGATTATATTATTAATGGTTGTTAAAAAAACCAAAGTATAATGATAAAAACAATAAAAAAAAAGGATTTATTTCACAATTTCACTAATATCTTTCCTTTCCTCATCAGTAATTTCTTCATCTTCTTCTGTGTTTTCAGTTTTTTCCTGTTTTGAATGAAAGCAGAAAAATGGATATTTAGCTGTTAAGGCTATAAAATGAAAAATATTTTAGTACACCTCCCCCGACACCTGGAAGTTACTTATCCACCTTAAACAGAAACAGCGAGACATTACTTCACAGTCTCAGTAAAGATTTCAGAATGAAAACGAAAGCAGTTCAAAAGCAATTTTGTATGATTTCGTGCCCTTGATGTCGTCATGGTGATTACGACTGTCTACTCAACTTTGTTAAAGTCGGAGCGTGAGTTAAAGATCTGTTTCATTGATTTGCGTGACCTGACCCATACTTAAAAAAAATTTGGTATGCAAATCCAAACCAAAAAGATTTTGATTCATTTAAAGTAACAGTTCACTTCATACCAGTAAAAGATACCAGTAAACACTAGTCTATAACCTTGCCTAAGAGTGAAAAGTGAGATACACTTTATACATAAATTTTAAAATAGCATTGTGTGTTCCTGTCGGTTCAACTTTTAACAATCTTTTGAAAATAAAATATAATTTGAATTTTATATTATTGTCCAGACCAAGTTAAAAAAACAGTGACAATACTTAAATGGTGATAATTACTAGAGATTAGACGTTAACTTCAATAGAAATTTATACCTCTTTACATTTCTCTTCTATTACTGTAAGATTGGCAATAGCAAACGCTCCTTTAGATACCATCCTTCCTGTTATTTTAATATTATATTGTGCTTCACCACTCTTCTTAAAATGAAATGTATCCTTTCTCCAATTTTTCTCAGCATCACCTAAAAAGTTTAATAAATAGAAATAAGCATTACAACTAAAGTTGTAAGATGGATTTAAACATATTAATTTACAATTATTACAACTTTCGACAATGGCTTCTACAATCAGGTTTTAAAACAATAATTCAATATTGAACTATTTTTCTAATATGACAATATGAAAGTTTCAAAATAGCATTTTAAATAATAGAGCACATTTATTATAAGGTGGCATAAAAAAAAATTGTCAACACACTGACAATTTTGTGACAAAATCGTGGAGAAAATTTTTATACATTTATATTTTAATGTCCATTACAATAATAGCAGATATAAAGATTTTTCAGCATTTTAATTTAAACAAAATGATGAATTCCATATAAAAGATGATTTAAAGAACATTTTAAGAGGAAGTAAAGGCGTATTGTAAATTTGTAAGCATAAAAATATTGTATATAATGACTCAATTGGGTCACAGGAATGACTTTTTTAACATGCAAGTAAGGTATTCTATATATATTCATATAGATCAACAGTATAACTCTCATGAAATGTATTTATTCATAATTTAATATGAAAAGTCTTAGAATCTATTTTCACCAATATTAATGATAGTTTTCATTCTTTTAAAACTTCTACTGATAAAATTCAGAATAATTTTGAATGGGTACGTTGCTAATAACAATGCTTTTGTAACACATAACATGACTGGGATTTAAAGCTGTACAGATGGGATAATGATACGATTTTCCATGAGATTGCTATGACAGCATTAAGCTTTCTATTCAGAAAGTTCTTTGAAGCATGTTCAAGGCTTCAGAAATTGAGCTAAATTACAGGTGTGGTTAAGAACTAAAACTTCGTCAGAAATAGCTAGAATCTATGCAAACTTCTGACGAAATTCAAAAGTATGCCAGGGACATTGAAATGTAGTTGATAAGGGCCTTCATGTGTAAGACATCCCACATACTGATTAATCATCAAAAACGAGAATTTGAAAAAACTTTGGTACAGATGGCTAGTGTAGTGGTTCCCAAACTTTTCTTCAACCAACCCAAAATAAAAACAAAAAAATTTGTAAAATCTTGCAACTCAATGATATACTAAACGTGTAGTACTTTTATGACCAAAATTAAATGAATATTAATATAAAACAATCAATTTTATATAACATTTATTTCGGCAGAAATTACTTCAAAGAGAGGAAACTGAACATATTATAACATTAGACTTGACTATCATGACATCGTATTCGTAGGTTAAAATCCCAAGCCCAGCGCCTCGCCCAGAGTGTAATAAATAAGTAGGCAATTCTGAATGAAAAAGATTCTGCCCTTTCAAACTGTGGTAGCACCCTACCTAGCAACGGCTGCTTGTGCAGAACCTTATTCAGAGCAAAAGTTGTATAAATATGTTGTATTACATAAATACACTGAGTCATCATTAATAACAGGATAACGATAACATAATATGAGCAACAAGGCGGCAAACAATACAAACGATGTTGTTTCCTATTAATTTCCATAAAATGTAATTACATTCTATTAAAACTGAAAAACAATGTGTTTGGCCAGAATCACTTTTTCAAACATTTAAAAAAACTTTTCAGTGCATTTCGTCACATATACTTATTTTAATGACTCATTTATACTGGCTAGAAGTGACAATACTAAAATTGCTTAACAAATTAGAAATAATAGAAAATAGGAACAATAACCTTGACATTCGTCAATTTTATAAACTAATGATAAACATATATATACATACCTTCAAGTAGTCCAGGTAATTCAAAAATTTCACCGTTATTTTCAATTTTAATGCCACCTGTATGAAAACAATTACATAGTGATTTTTAAATACAAACCATGTGTATACAAATCTCTTTGGCATACAGTATGTCCTCACATATAGGCCGACCCCCTAAAAACGACCCAAAAACGATGCATTTATAAAAATTTGCATATTGGACATTTGCATATATAGCTGTTGGAATTAAGTAAGCATAATGTCATTTCGTTTGAGGAGGTAATGCCGAGCCGGAAAGATATTACAAAATCTTACAAAATAAGTAGCTGCATACATATCAGTGGTCGCTTGTAAAGGGCCTTGCTCAGAGCGAAAGACATAAATATAAATAAATTTTAATACAAAAAATATATATAGAAAACTCCTAAAAATAACGTGAAAACCTATTACCTGATTCCACAGAAAATGTTGTCAATGTCAATTTCGCACATTGGTTTGATTGAAATGAATCCAATATTATTCCAGCAGGAATATTTGATGCCAGTGTAGTATCATCAATAAACAGATAAGAAGCTGAACAAAAGGAATCAAAATTATAAAAAATAGGTATCAGAAATAATGAAAAAAAGCTGTTTTTGTTAAAATTTGATTTCTATTCTAGTTTGAACTTAAAACAAACTGTAACTAGTTGAAAATAGTCATAAAATGCTTGTCTGAAGAAGTCTGACTGAACTTCCACGAAGGCATAGAGCAAGGAAAGATAGTTAGTCTTGCGTAATCCCAACTGATAGTTACTTTCAGATTAGCTATGAAACTTATCTGGTAATCTGATTAGCTATGTAATGCTAACAGCCTAACAGGTACTGAAATGATTGACATGAGTCTTGGATAGAGGCTTGTTTTAACTATCTTATTAGAAATGAACATTTCATTTGAAACTAATATAAGGTGACTCTCAATTAATGGCGCTCCAGAAGTGTGTGTACCAATATGAAGGTAACTAATTTGGTTTGCCTACTTTACATCAAGTTGTGTAAAGGGACTGAAACCTACTGGTACAGATACTTCAGTACCAATTAATACAGATAACCATAAGTTGGACATAATCTCTCTTGAATTTATATACTAACAACCTTTTGCTTTAATGAAAATTTTGAGGAAAATAGTTATGGAGATGAGGATTTGTACACAAACATACCATTGAAAAAAAAATTTCCCATTCCACATTCAACACAGAATTCTTATTGAAAGAACTTTTATGACGAGTAGTGTGGTGTGTTTTATAATACAAATAGCCATTAGACAGAGTGAAAAACAGTTTTATGATTCAATCTCAATGGACATTTTGTCGAAATTGTTGAGGCAGGTCCAACAGAGTAAATTAACTTATTATGAATATTTGATGACGCACGTTTCCTTCCTATCATAATTCTTTCCTTCCGCTTCCAAACCAATAATCAATATTATTTTAATTTTATATGTTCTATCAAGTACGCCAACCATTTTGCTAGTATTAACATATCATTCAAAATACACATTACCTTCAGCTTTACTGTTGTCTCCTAAATGAGAGTTTATGATGTCAGAATTTCCGATTTTCCATTTTCCTGTGCTACTCAAATCATCGTGATATTTACAGAGCGGACTTTCTGCTTCTGGATTTTCTTCAAATCCGCATTGCACCAAGGCGACTGAACCTGAAACAAATATATTTTTGCGTAATATTTGCTTTTTAAATGTCAAATATGATGCACATGCATCAGAAAGACTCCAACAGAAAGACGGATGTTACATATACTACAATAATGTATATTAATTACAAATGAGCAATGCCCAAAAATATTAACACATGAAGGTCCAGTGACTCAATGTAGTACCAATAGCCTATGTGACCTGTACTAAAATCTGTTACTTAAGCTTCAAATTTGCAAATCAAGTTTCCCACTACAGCAATCCACATTGATACCGGTAAGAGCGCAGTTGAGCAATGGGCACTGGATTTGTCACGAAGGTAGCAGACTGATATGACAATATAATGACATAATATTTATATAAAATGGAAAAATTTTGATTTATTAAAATATCGAGGCAATTTAAAAATAAGAACAGTAAGTAATAGCCTGCTAACAACTTCAACTATTCAAGTACTAAAAATTCAAAACATATTATTGCTCCAGTACAAATGCACCACTTTTTCTGGGTGTAACGAATTATGTTGTCCATGCACAACTTTATATAATAGGCTATTACATAATATTTACCAATCTTTGTTCTTATACAGAGTTTTGATATATTTTATGATACACGAGTGGAAAAAGGAAAGAGCTAACTAATCCTTTCAATATTGCTAACCTGGTGCATCCGCATCATGGATTTCTTCACTGTCATCTGCGGGTGGCTGATCCTGAATATCAATAAAAGTACAGGTTAAAATTTAGGGTTCAAATCCCGGACCCACCTCCTCACCCATGGGTGTATTAACAACAACTTGTTCGCCGAATATTCCAAACTATAATAACTCCGTACCTGGCAATGGCTGCTTGTGCATAGCCTTGTTCAGAGCGAAGGACACTTTTCTTTCTCAAGAATCAACGACCAAACTCTTTGAATTTGTGTCTTATTATCAAAGTATATATTGAAAATAAATGTTTTGTGTGTCAAACAGATCTGATGATACATAGTTTATACATTAACTGTGATTCTTTAATAGTGAATTTCGGGGGAGCTGACTTCTATAACCTTATGGTCGTATCGCTCCCTCCAGTCTATACCGAATTGACTTGCATATTTTGTTGATATTTTATTATACCATTGCTTGTTTTCTGGTTGACAAAATAATGAATTTCTCTCTCTTTCTCATATAAAAATATCAGAAAAAAAAAACTCAAATAAAGATAATTGATTTCTAATTTTTGCTTTTCGTTTTTTATTTTTTTTACATTAAAACTTTTAATCTAATATTTAGGTAAATAAAATGACTTGCGAGCCAAATATTGAGAAACATACCGAACATGCTTGTCCAGAGCTTTGTTTTGAGAAAGACATGGATTACACCATTGAAACGAATTTAGAAAGATACTCTGCTTGTCCAGAGCTTTGTTTTGAGAAAGACATGGATTACACCATTGAAACGAATTTAGAAAGATACTCTGGTAGAGTTCACCGATTTAAAAAGGAAGTTTGAAACAAAATTTGTTGCAACTGTATCTTTAGATATGGAAAATGCGATTTATTCCATATTAGAAATTAGAAGTTACGGTAAGTATTGTAAAATTCTACTACGCAATTCTTTTCATGTTCATAATTTGGAAAATTCATTTATCCTCTGAATTTTTTCATTCATTCGATATATAAAGTTTTGTCGGGATAAATATATCATGGAAATAAAAAATTATTCCAGTGCAAAATTTACACAAAAAGAGTGTTTTTGAATACTGAATTTTTAAAATAAATGTTATGTAATTATTATAGCATCTATATAAATTTTATTGGACACAATCTTCATATCGCCGGATGAGAACAGAACAGGCCTAAGTCACAATTTTGAGTTTTGAGAAAAACGCAAACAACTTCTGAATTTTTTTGTATGGGATGCAAGGTAAAACAAGGTGACTTAGGCCTAATTTGCACTTAAGAAATTTTTAGGAATGTAAGTTTCGGACATTTTATTTCTGATGTTCATGCCCATCATATTGGAACTTGGGACTACTATCTTTTTTCAGTATTTTGGGGTTTTGAGCCATGCTCTACAAGGTGGTGGTCCTGAAATTCTGAATTTCATAATATTAAAAATTTTAGCTGGACTTAGGCCCATTCTGTTCTTAACTTCTACAGTCCTAAGTCCAGCTAAAATTTTTATTATTGAGAAATTCAGGATTTCAAGACCACCACCTTGTAGAGCATGGCTCAAAACCCTAAAATATTAAAAAAAGTGAATTTTGCAAAAATGTGACTTAGGCCCCTTCTGTTCTCATCCGGCGATATATTAAATCTATCTTTGTATTGCTCAAATCATTTAAAATAGTATAGGGAAAAATACAAGAATTACCATACATGGTATTATTTCAGCATAACATAAACCTGCGATAAATAGGCTATACAGGTTTGTGTCATAAAATAGATTGAAGCAGTTTTACCTTATTTTCAGATTCATTTTCCGTACCTATATCTTTGACAACTGGCTTGTTTTCATCATTCGGAGTTGTTTGACTGCAAAAATAAATATATAAACTGAAAAATTTGGGCTCTTGTCAAACAAGGAAAAGATAGGAAATTTCCCTGATATATTTCACAGAATCGAATCAAAACATTTTATTCCTAAGCTATGCTTATGAGTTATGATAGTATCAAAAAAACTATAATAGGCATGCTTTTTTGCTTTAATGAATCGTGGTTGAATTAGAAAACAGAACATTGCAATAAAGAACAAGACACATGAAGCATACTACAGTTATGAATTTCACATATTTGGGAGAAGCGAACCTACCTATTGATCCTTTTGAAAGCTACTGTGGCTGCTCTTGACACAAAAATCAATTTTTTATATGCTAATTAAATCACTCCCGAATTGGATGGATATGTCTCCTATTTTTTGTGTATTTTTTTTGGCTGTTAGGGAAGTTGGTACATGCTGTGATACCATGATTTATGAGATTGCGCCGCCATGTAGATCATTTGGTGATCAATTTTGATAAACAGCAGGTCACTTATATCAGTGTATTGCTCTTTAATTTCGATTTAATAAATTCATGCTCCAATCAACACTCATTTCAACATTAAAAATATTGAACATAAAAAGTTGAACGACCTCACCAATTTTTTTTGGTTTTTGCTAATTTAAATTCTTGTTCAAAAGGAAATGCACAATAATGTATTAACAATAATATAATCACCCAATAGGACTTTGCTCTAACTTTTGTATCTTGGCTTGCAATTGCTCAACAATTTCTTTAGTACTCTCAAGTTCAGCAAGGCAACGTTCATGTTCTGAGTCCACAGTTTCCTTCAGATAAAAAGTTCACTATAGTACAATAACTGTGTAGATACTCAACAATTCTAGCCTTTGGTCCATTATTAACACTTGTGAGCCAGTATTTTCAACTTTCATACAGAAAAAACAGCTGGAAATATGATTACCAGAAATCTTGAAACAGAAATTTTTTTAAAATCTGGAATTTGGTTCCTAGTACCAGTGAGTTTTTGTAGATATTCCTATTTACAAAATTAAATTTCCTAAGTTTCACCAGCATCACACCATGAAGTTGAGAAAACAACATGAAAATTTCCACAAACCTTCTCTTTTTTAAGTCGCTCATAACTTGCAGTTAATTCTTTTAAATCCGATCGCGATGAATCAAGAACCCTTTCCTGTGATTCCTTCTCATTCTTATATTTGGCTGATAAACCTGAAATATTTTAATATCTATTCAGCTGCCAGGTTCGGTTCAATTTCTAATGCCGTACATATGCTAATTAAACTTCATTGGTTGATTAACAATATATAACTATTGGCTCAAAACCAGGGGTCTGGAAACTATGAGATAGTCTGGTGATGGTTAGGAATATTATATGCGAAAATCATTATACTATACCTACTAGAAGTACTTGCAGGTGCGTACTTCGGGAAACCCCCAGACTCAAGCTTAAAATTTAGATTCTGTGTTGATAACAATTTTTAGGACAAAAATTTAGACTCCGAATACGAATAATTCGAAATTTCGGCTCAAGATATCAATCTAATATCAATAAAGATGACTACACAGATCTGTTCGCAATAAAGAGGCTAGCTCTGTGGCCTTTAAAAAGAGAAATGCATGAAATTGTATAAAATGAGAGAAAACCAATGTGTTACAGTCATATCAGTGTTGACCTATTATTTCAAGCCTGCAATGATGTCTAAGAATCAGATCATGCCTAAAACTCTGCTTAGAATGCAATAAAAATCAATTTTCTACCTTTTTCTTCTGCCAATTTCGTATCACATTCATTTTTTTCCATTTGAATTTCCGTGGTTATCTTTTCCGCTTTTAATTTTTTTCTATTGGTATCTTCAATATGTTCATGCATTTCACTATTTTTTGTCTAAAACAAAAGTTTAGTTTAAAACTACGTTTTTACTTCGTTTAAACGCTATTTTGCATTACATGTTCCACAAAAATAATTGAATGACTTATCTTAATTAACGTCAGGTTAGTGATATTTAATAAAGCAAAAAATATTTACCTCAATTGCAGATATTTCAACATTCTGGGTCCATAATTTATAAAGAAGAAATATGTTAAAAACAACAAGTGCTAGCAAAACCCATCTTATTCGACTCATATTGTGTCGAGATCCTCTTCCACGCTGTAAGCCTGAAATATGATGAATATTTTGTTTAGGCAGATAATATTTCATAAGTTTTCCAGACATACACTTAAATGAGAATATTGCAAGTCAGGTGGTGAACAGTTAGAATTAAATAAAGTCTGCATCACATTATCGACAACTCTCCACATGCTGACATAAGGTGCAGTTTGAATGAGGTAAATAGCAATATTATTGTAACTGAGACAGATGACAGAATTGTTAGATTGAATCATACTACAGTACTATGTCAAATCAGGTCAAACAGCTAGAGACTTCCAGAGTCATACCAAATTCCCAGCTTGAAATTCATATTATAGAATGACGGCAATTAGCAGAAGATTATTATTTTTTATCTAGACTACATAATAACGTTATTTGATAATGCACATGGCAAAGTATCCTAAGATATTGGTACGGATGTGTATTAATATTTTAGGTTGAATGTTACTTAAATCTCTTTTATTTTCGAATGAGTGTGCACGCGCCCTGGTTTGACATGTTTGAGAAAATTCCCTTAAAAATGAGGCCTTATTTTGTGTTGTTAGTGGGCTATGACCCAATTAGCCTATATAGACTAGGCCTATGTATAATAAATGTTCTTTTCCCAGTTTGTTCAGTAATAGAAAGTAAGTTAGGTAGGCTTGCAGGTAGACTATTAACATAAAAGCTTCGAAGCTGATATTTTGCAACCAAATCAGAAATCATATCAATGCTACCTGTTTCGTAATCATTCTTCATCATCAATGTGTTTTTTGACTACCGGTCTTCTACCGTACGGTATTCCGTTAAAAATATATTCGAATGTAACTGCTGAACTGCAGAACTATATGAGCAATTCAAATAGTTGCCTCCGAGTTTCGTTGCAGTGATGAAAGGGGAAAAGTCAAGATGAACGATAATACTCTTTATTGACATCTACCGGTAGCAGTTATTTAGTCATTTACAATCCACATGGATTCACATGTTGCCGTTTGCAAAGTTGACCCTTGCCCAACGACTAACATACCGCCCTTGCCTGATTGCCCTGAAAGTTTAAGCTGCCCGAGAATCTCGTGTTCAAACGAATAATACGGAAGGTTGCAATGATAAAAGGATGCGTAAAATTGCGATCATGCAGGTCTATCCTGTTGTTTCGTCTGGCACATTGTAAATATGGAGGCCAAAGATCTAATGCGTTTTCAAGTGAGTTCACTTTTTTTAAGGTCAAAAGGTTAGAATGTTTAATAGAGAGAGAGATTTATTATTTTTTCAATCAAAAAATACAGTCATCAATGATTCATAATAGGCCTGTAGTGATTAATTCGATTGATTGATGAATTGAAATGCTGTTTTGTTCTCATAGCTTGTTTTTATTTTCTGTGGATGACCCAACCTGCCTCACATCAAGACATTGACATTTTCTATTTTACTTCACATGCAAAGCTTATAAAATAATGAGTGAGGTACCCTGCAAATGCTCTCGTTATAATGTTAGACTTCAAAATCATTATATCAGTATATTATATGAGAATATTATTATTTACATATCTAAATGTTTGTGTATGTTGAATGTTTCATGTGTTTGAATGTTTTTCATCTGTTTTATTGTATGCGAAACTGATTTTACAGATTCTGCACAAGAATCCAGTGAATTATGTATTGCTCAATCAAGCCGTGATCAAATCGTCAAAGAGCAAAATGATTTATTTTCAAGTTTAAAATCCAAAATCATGTCGGCTAAAATTCCAAGAATTGAAAAAATTAAGGTTTGTGTTTCAGAAAATCAATTTTCAAATAGTTTTATTATATATAAAGTTGACTAACCAGTGCAAAATATTTCCTATAAAGCATTTTCCTGTTTTCATTGTACTATTTGGCTTGGTGAGATTTTATTGGAGATCAAATATGTATGCTAGTGTTTATTTATCTCTTTCTGATTTACTTTTCTGTAACATCTGGGTCAAAAGTTTTTATATACAAAAGTGGCAATGACGGCAATTAGCCTTAGCCAATGTTTTTTCTAATTGATATTGTTTCCAGGTTGAATACAGAGGACGCAACATAGCAGATGATGCGACAATGTTAATGAATAAAATGTTATCAACACCATATCAGTGTGCAATGCGTTAGTGCATTTTTGTTATTTTATCTTGAATATCAATCTATTTGCATAATGTTAGTTCAGCTTTTGATAGTAGATATGAAATAAGTTAGTTTTTTTCGAATTAATATATCCTATTCTAGTTGTTAGCAGAAAATTTTGTGGTTCCTTCTTATTTTCAATATTTTCAACATTTTGTTTCTTCACTAATGTCACTAAATTGACTCGTGTCAAACTAGCCGAAACTACTAGCGGAGTTGAATAGTGTGCTTTGGTAGTCCAAATTGTTCACTGGCCTTCTATCTTTGCTGGGAATATATTCCAACAGGTATAATAACTGAATATTAATGTTATAGCCTGACAATATAATTCCTTCCGGTGACTTTAGGGAACCAGCCTAAACAGTATTACAAAAATGTCTCTACTATATGTCAGAAAAATTAGTAATTACTCTCCTGTACCTTACATTCGGTAAAATTTCATGATAAATCAATCTGCAGTTATGGCAAATATAATCTAAAACGGCATTTTGCTATCATGGGAGCAATGAGCATTTCCAAATTTTGAGGGATTTTGCTTTGAGAACCCCATCGATGTTTGAGAGCACTTACATTGTGGGAGCTCTTTCTCCGCTGTGAAGAGTCTGAAATCTTACATTAAGCGTAGATATAGAAAAACATAGCATGTTTCAGTGATTTTCTGGTGTATTTTGCATGTTTTTTTAGTTTGGTTAATGACAAATAAAGATCAATTGATTGCACAATAAAAGTTTTGTTTTGTATTTCCCTTTTCACCTATTTCTGACACCATAGTGGCCCGCGAACAATGCAAAAATAATTTTGTGGCCCGCGAAGACGACAACCTTGGACCACCCTGGTATAGATAATAAAGAGTTTAATATTTAAAACTAGGTTGATGTTGTAAATTTTTTTCTATTTTGTCATTCCAACAACTGAATCTTGAATTTTGTCAATGAACCAAATAATGATTTATCAATGTTCGATATATTTGTTCAGAAAAGTCACAATTCTCCCCTAAAAGGTAAAATATTAACGCAGATATTTATTGTTTGTAATTTTCTGTATAATTGTCTAATAAAATCATGACATTCCTTATTTTCAGACATTTCAAAAAATCTTGCCGATGATTCAGTACTTGCACTAGTAAAGAAAAACGATAAATCTAATCAGCAAGACGGGGTCATTGTTGCAGTCAAAACTGAAAATGAAACCGAAAATGCAAGGACAGATGTCGATGATAGTAATCCTAGCACAGAGGTCAGAACTTTATATCAGTTCATATTAGAAAATCATGTTTATGTGATCTTGATTTGTAGACATAGTTCAACATTTGCGTGTGCATGATAAATTTGCTGAATGGCTGTATTTGACAAAATGGTTTTTATTATGAAGAAAAACAATTTTACCATGTGGATATTCCATATAAATATCCACCCACTTCATTTTCTATCATCACTACCTCTTTATAGATTGGTTTCACACCTTCTCTCCAAACAGGGCTCTGTACATTGTACAAGCAGTTTTGATAGCTAAGAAGCCACTATTATCTTGGAAGGGCTGGAATCTTTTTGGTTCAGCATTGCCTACAATAACATACATTTATTACACATAAATGGTGGTTGGCTCGATGATTAAACTCGAGATCTGTACCTGCGAGGCCCACATAGCCCAAAGGTTTAGCGCAGGGGTGTACAACAGGCGGCCCTCGGGCCACAACCTAAGTTCGCCAAGCCATTTAGTGTGGCCCTTGTCAACACTGAGATTTTTCCCCATCACGCATATATTCTTTACCTCACAGTTTGTGTTTAGAAAGGCTTACATGGGTAAAAATACATGTTTTTTTGCTATTGTTGATGCGTAAAATATTTCGAAGATTTTCCCGGTTGCTGTAATGCTAAGCGATGACCACATTTCGCATATTTGTGTGACCCAGCCAGATGTGTGATGTTGGTTATATGGCCTAACCGAAAAAAAAGTTGAACAATTTTGCTCTGAGGTTTAGTTCATCACGCTTATCTTGCTTATCACGCTTCATCTTGCCAACATCAGGCTCAGACGGGTTATCTTGGATCCAAACCATACCGGTAGTCTATACCGGTGGGTCACTTCACCCATGATCCATAATTTTGGTCTCAGATTGTGTACAAATACTTAGCTATCCTTTATGTCTTTGTCAAGTGCCAGTATACTCACCAATTTCAAAATTTTAATGATATTGCAACTTACTAAATTTATGTCTTTTCCATATACTGTTTGCTTGGGTACGGTACCGATACCGTAAAGTGTTTACTGCATTCATGTTTTCAATGATGGACTAAAATTTTCTAATATACTAGTTTCTTTATGTAGGCCTACATATTTTGTCTAACTAGCAATACTATTTACTTCCACATTTATTTATTTTGTCGATTATTTTCAATCGCCAATTAAATTTTATTATTTTTTACCTTTAACCGTCAGGTTGGGTCCTTAGGCTCTTCCCTCTTCACACGACGTCTCCGTCACCAAAGCACCTTACCACTATACTTCCACTTGTTTACACACTCTCGTATCCCTAACTGCGACAAACAAAACTATTTTATAATAATATAAGTATGCCAAGTTATCGGCTTCCCCTCGCGGGATAAATATGAATTCAAGCTCAACTCAGGCAGCGTCTGTATTCCGCAGTATAAGATTTCGCTGACGTTGCCATGGTTACTAACAAGACGGTGCTCGGAGTCGTTATCCGTTTCTCCTTGGATCGGGTGTCTTTTGGGTATGCAGGTCGCCTCGACTTACTTTAACGTAAACCTGTTCTAATATTTATTGTTTGTTTGATTTATATATTACTGTTATTTATCTATTACTGTTAGACTTGTCATGGGTGTCGCTGCTCGATCACCAGTCTTGGTGTCTCGCGCCTCCCTTCGCCCTAAAGTACCATATTTCCTATTTCTTGTATTGTGTATTCACATTGTGTGCTTTAGAATGGTGAAAAAATAAATTACTGATTACTGATTATGCTTTCTATCATGGATCTGCAAATTTTAATTCCAATGATCTACTTAAATCTATTACATAGCAATATGAAACAGATATGTGTAGGTAGAGAAAGTCTCACCACACCCAATATGATTACCCAGTCTACATGTTAAAATCATCTCCGTAATTTCACAGGTTATTACATTAGCTGAGATTTCACAGCCTGAATGGATACCATGGGATATGCACAGACCCCTCGATTTTGATTGCGAAATTAAACTCTTGAAATATAATATGTATCAACCTAAAAAGGAAGAAATGATGATGATCAACAGGGTTGGTGCAATTTATTCATGCTTGATTTTTTATCGGCCATTCTGGATTTATCTCAGAATATGTTCATAAAAATTTCTCACCTAGGTGTTTATATTTTATATATTCAAATGGTTTAAAAAGGCTTTTTTTTATTTCAATAACATTTTAGATATTACTGTAATTTATTGAGAAACATGCACGAGATGTACGGAACTTAGCTTTCTCATTTGTTATTCATTGTGTTTCTTTATGTGATGCTGGGGTCTCATACCATATTTCCCTTTTTTTTCTCTAAGGCATACTGGAAATCATGTTCCCTAATATTAGGTGCTGTTGCTCAAGAAGCTTTCCAAGAAGACGTCGATATTAAACTTGCCTATCTGCCAAATATATCAGGTATTTCTTCAGGCAAGCTAGAACTATCTTTTATCAAATTTCTGGTTACTTATTCGAATGCCAATCTATACTTGATTTATATTTTATAGTTTAGCATCTATACACCTGGATTTCAGTTCAACTAACAAAACAGATATTATCCTACTTTTCTTTTTGAACATTTTCTTCTTTAATTTAAATACTTTAATGTTTTGGTTGTATAGTCATGATGAGCATTCATAATGAGGTATTCCACTTTTTGATTCCACATTTGAATATATATCCATTTTAATACAGAGAAAAATGGAGCCTTTTGTTATGATATAAATTTGAGTAAAGACTTGATTCATTCTGATGGATCCGCAAAGTGGATTGTTGATGAATCTGTTTTGATCGCTTTAACAAAAACAGCACGCAATATTTTGTCACAAAAATTACGTTTCGAATATTTGGAAATTCATAAAGATGATGCTAAAGAATTATTTAAACATAATGAGTAAGTATGAAATATGGAAACTTATTGCATTCAGTTTATTTGGTGTATTTTGAATAAATGCCATTATTGATTGCCCATATGTGACCAGAATTTGACCCATTTTGTTGAGCTGATATATTAAAAACTTCATAATTTATCATCCCATCATTATTTTGTTCATCCCTAGTCAAAATTGCAAAAAGAAATTGTTATGAAACAATTGTAGGTTGAATCACCATTTCTCAGCCAATATCAACCTAGTCGCATCTTCTAATTGTATCATTATTTGCAATTGAAAAAATTTGTCTCATTCGTGCAACAGGTATCAGTTGCAGCGCATTGAGAAAAATGTTTATCTTTCTCTTCCCAATTCATATATTCCTGTTTATAAATTTGGAAAATATATTGATATATGTGAAGGACCACTCATACCATCTACAGAATCGATATATCATTTTGTTGTCACTGCGGTAAGTATAGCAAAATTTTGGTACTTTGTGCCTTCGCTATAATTAACAAATCTTAATGTAGGACTAGTAAAGATTCTCAAACATGGGTAATGAGTTTCAACATTATCAAAATTATTCTTATATTGTTATTTTTTCATATTTTACTCTGTATTTTGCAGTAGTTTGTAAATAGTTTGAAAATAAATTTTAATTTATTGAATAATTTTAAAATAATGTGATATCAGATGTAGAGGGAATGCCCATTTGATGCTTACTGTTGGATAGTGTTTTTCACATTTCTATACTTCTGTAAAATATATATAGTATTGCATTTTATATATTTAATTCATAACATCAGGTTCATCAGTTGAAATGTTCTGACCCAGATAGGACAGGAACATGTTTGTGGAGATTTCAAGGTTTATCGTTGCCTAAGCAGCTTCAAGTTCATCATGCTATATGGGCAATGTTGGAACACAGAGCTAGAAATCTAGTGAGTTTTTTCAATTTCAGGTTCTAGAATGGCTGATCTAAAAGTAGCTAGGTGAATTGACAGCTGAATTGAAAAAATATTTGAAACAAATCATGCAGATTTCTGGTCACTTGTGACTTCACTTGGTCATTTTTTTCTAGCCTATGGGGAAAATTCGTAAAAAAAACATGGGCTCCAACTAACATAACACTCGTCCAGCTACCAGTCCATGTTGGGTATGGGATTAGTTAGCCAGTTACTTGTTCTCGGAAGCATGGACTGGATGGTGGAGGAAGCTGTTACCAACCAGTGGTTAAGTGAACCATCCTACGGCAGCGAGGAGTCCAGTAATCCTCTTGTACATAACTATCCTCATGGGATTCGAACCCATGCAGGGTCATCAGAGATGCTGTGGTGAGCGAGCGAATTTCTATTGATTAGCACGATGCGCCACACCACAATATGTACATATACAACATTTCATTACAGGTTAAACAAGACCTTCCTTTCAGTATAATGGAATCGGATGCTCATCATTTTAATGCTTCACTACATAAGTATCAGTCAATTGAAAATGAAACTAAGAAATACAGTCATGCTACTGGACAATGGTTGCAGGATAAATGGGATTTATCCAATGAGAAGTTGAAAATTCCAGAGAGATGATTTCCATGGATCTGAATGGCAAAATAGTATAATGACTAATGAGTATTATGATATATGTCATAGTAATCTATCATTATCAAATTAGCTGTGATTTTGGGCTATGCCGTCTTTTGATATATCGGTAAGATAGGTTAAGTCTGGACACTGATCAGCACATAGCATTGGAATCCTTTTATCCTTTGCCAAAAACTGCTGTTCAAAGTAAAGTTGTTTCTGTTGGTGGAGAAGGTCAAGATACAAAGACCTGATCAAAGAGGGGGCATGGATGAAAAGTTTTTGGAACACGTTACAGGTCACATGCTAATTGGAATTTGGAAGCCCCCAAGTTTTGTGGACTCAGTTGCTGAATTCATTCTAGTGTTCTCCAACATTGTCATGGTGATTGTGATTTTTTTTATCATCATCATTTAACCTGACAAATTGTTTTACTACAAACTGCAAATTGTTTCCTCTCTATTTAGTTTATTTCTACTATTAAAAATCAATGTTTTCACTTTCCAGTATCTTGTACCTTTTCAGGGTTGGCGAAATTTGGTGCAGTGAATAGAAATGTTTTACAAAGTCTGATGTTGATCTAGGATTATAAAAGAAATGCACTGAAATTATTTGAATACCTTGTGACTCTTCTTTTACAATGAATACAAGATCTAGTTGTAAAAACCGGATAGGATAGAATTCACATATTTATCCTGGGGGAAAGGATAGGATAGGATTCACATATTTATCCTGGGGTGAAGGAAAGTCGATAAGACGGCTTAACTATATGGCGAACCACGGCCTCTTGCCCGGTTACCATTCCATATCGGGGATGGGATTAGTTCGTTTTCGGAAGCATGGACTTGGTTCAGGTAAGAAATCCTGAGAGTCCTTTAAAATGATTGAGATAGTTTTATTTCATTCCGTCAAAACAATATATTCATACATATATAGATATCAAATAAGCAGATTATTTCGCTCGTGACTGGGAGGCAACGATACGACCTTAAAGGGCCATCAGAGTCCGTTGCCACCCAATTCAATTAAACAAGCATAAATATAACAGGTTCGGCGTCAATATATCAATATCACTTATGTTTGTTTACTACATATAATATTTACAGGTCTTCACTATTTTCTCTTATGAAACCTTTTTTTAAATACAGTAACGGAAATTTCCACATTGAAATTGTATTGGAGAAAAATAAATATGATGGGAACGTGATAGGTGAGAGCGCTGGACAAGATATCAATTGTTTAGGTGACTTGTATACTTCTGGATGAATGTAAGTTGAAACAGGGTTTCGAACATGCAAACGGGATGTGTTTTATTATACTATACACATACTAGTGCGATATCAATCAATCAATTTTATTTCGGTCGCTCTGGTATAAAACGAAACAAAAACAATAACAAACGAACAAACACAGAGGACCTGGAGGACGGGCATAACCTAAAGAAAAGTTAAAAACGTGAAAATACGCGCCCGTCCACCAAAAACAGTCAAATAACACAATAAAACAAAAATACAGAAAGATACAGAATCGGGCAATAACTTCAAATAAATAAATTTATGAATAACAGTGACAACAATAGTCAGAATAATCAGGAGCAAGGGTTGGGTCATCGAAACATGCTTGGTATGTAGGTTTGGAAAGGTATGATAAACTGATGGAGAACAGCGACAAGCAATACTTACAAAAGGCCGTTTTGAAAGTAAGCTATTCTGGCGAGCGTTGCTTGCTTTGGATTCAACGTTGACGTCCACCAATTCAGGCAAGACTGCCACGGACGTGAAATATCACGAAAACTATGGATTTGAAACTCTAATATTTCGCTGTACGGTTGGCGACAAGGTGGTGAATTATTGTGTGTTGAAAATGAGAAAAAAAGTGTTATACTAGACAGAAAAAACAAACAGAGCTAAAAGAATTATACAAGACCAAAAATATGAAATGTCAAAGCCGAAATATTTTAAAATAAAATGAAAAAGATGGCGCTCTTAAGTTTCCGTTCATCAAATTGAAAATTGCTAACCGTGAGTAGTGACGTGTAAATGAATTGCCAAAACCACGTTTGGATTTATTCGCAACTCGTCCGTATGGCAGGCATTTCCCACAGCGTTTGTTTAATTTCGAAAGGGATGTGAGGGTTTTTGATGGTTCCCAGAAATCATTTTACGCAGATAAGTTGCCGTGTCGCATTGGAAGGGTAACGACAAGCAGTCAAGTCAGTAAGTGCGCACATCATTCTGGCATTGAATGAATACCTACCGGTACCCGGTACCGGTATTTCAGAGAAAACAAATTATTTGGTTGTTGCTTGAAGTTTTGTAAAAATCGCATTAGTGAGAATTTAGTCTACTAATATCTGAATTTATATCAATTTGCTATTTATTGCTACCATGCAGTGCAGCTGTTAAATAAAAACTGAAAGAATACAGAAATCTGGAAATTATTGAATCATACAGCAGTACCGGTACCATATTACAAGAACTGACTAGAAATCAACAACATTTGTTCTTACACAATTCTGTCAGCTCAAATTTCTCGGTTTTCTACTAGCTTCACAGACACAGAGGTCTCAATTTAAATTACAGAATTCTGGAATTCATGGAACTAGCCTAGGCCCATATTTTATGATTGTTCATTTCTGCTACAATGTGCAATTTGGTGGTATCAGAAATAAAGCATTACTGCATTATAGTCTATATGGTAGGATAGTGCTTTATTTCGATATTAACATATATCATTGAAAATCATTATGTATTGTGCTTATTTATATTTCCTTCTGTTTTGAGATGCATTTTTCTGTTTCAAACTGTGTTTTGTGTTTCACACCGTCTTCAGTAAGTAGTTAGACTTGGTAAAATTTGTTAACTGTAGCTGTAATGAATTTAAATGGCACAGGTAACAAAAATATATATGCCTATGTACAGATGTATGTATCCCAACCTTGTAAGTTTTATATAGTCCTGTTTATGTGAACATCAATATTATTGATTATTATTACAATCCACACTGATTTTTGATAACTATATTTTAGTTTTTTACATATATATTTATCATAACATTTTTGGCTCACCAAATTTGTGGAACCCCACCAAATTCGTTGGGGAGTTCTTTGTCAAAAATGAGTATTTTACATCATTTTTTAAAAACTATTATAGTTCGTAAATTTGGCATTTAATTAATGGAATCATTCTACATTCTCAACCTTGTCATAGAATTAAAATCATTATGAAAAACATGTTTAGCAGAACAGAATTTGTGTCATTTGATCAGAAACACTTTCTGCTGTTTCATAGTATAGTGTACTCAGAATGGACTCCTAGTTTCCTATTTTCTGGATTAACTAATTAGGTGACCTCCTTATTCATTGTTCATAAAAAAGACTAGTTGAGTATTAGGTTCATATTCATAAGTCATGTAACCAGGATATCCACATCCATGAATGATGGGGTCTATCATTGCTGTAGCGTCAATATGTTCTGTTGAGCATGTATATCATTTGTGGGTGTGGTGAACTAGTGAGTAAAGTGTTAGAGTTGATAACTCAAATTTTGGTCTCAAATCTCATGCCCCCCACCTCATTGTGTAATAAATTAGCTGGATTAGGCCGAACCGAAAAAAAATTCATGTACTTCTAATGCAGTAGCTTCTTACCTAGCAGTGGTTTCTTTTGCAGAGTCTTGTTTGGAGAGAAAATACTTATGAATATGTAATACAAAAATAGTATGTTTCTACCCCCCGCACATTTTTCATACTAATATTATATCATGTTGTACTTACAGTTTATATCAGTCCTACATTATATTATATAATATATTTTACTCGGATCAACATGAGACTCCTGACTTGTATATTATTTTTCACATCGGCAATTTGTTGCAATGCACTGTACTTTAAACTACCTGTTAACACTGAAAAATGCTTGAAAGAAGAAGTTCATAAAGATGTCCTTGTAAAAGGAGAATATGAAGTTCATCCAGTATCTGGAGTGAAAGTCCATCTCCTGGTAAATAATTTGAATATATTCAATATAACTTGAATTGACTTTAATTGTTTTTGTACAATGTACGTCTATGTTAAGAATTCTTTCACGCCCATTAAGAGGGATTGCTTCCATAAACCTAGCAAAAAGGTTGAAAATATCACATGAATTTATAGTCATTTATGAGCTTTTGATTGAAAAAATGATCCTCAAAATGAGGATTACTCGATTAATGAAGTGCACAATCATACAATAACCACTTGTGAAGACAGAAATATTGTTATTTTAGGATAGTTACATAAAATAATGTTAATATATAATGGCAAAAGTAAGGAAATTATAATAGAAAAAAAATCTGGGTTGGATATAGGGATGGGCAACATAGAATACCGAATCCGGAGGATTCGAATCCCAAAGTATTCGAATCCAACGGGATCCGCTAACAGGATTCGGTTTGTGCCTTTCCGGCGCCATGCGTCAATTTTTGTATTTCGGGTTTCTAATTTATCAATTATAGACGAGCGTTTTTCTCACGTGGAAATCTCTCTCGTTTAATTAAACTTGCGTCTGCTCGCAAAGAACCCGTAAATCGGTAAACATCAAACACTGTAATTTCAATCGGCATATTCAGGACAAGAAGTCGGCAATATAATCTCACGGCGAAGACTCGTTATTGCACCATTTTTGCGTTTTCCTTCTTTGCTATCTAGCTGGCGTTATTTGTGCCGACTCACTGGTGATATTCCGATAGTCTGAATGCAACAATCTTTAATTGTTTACAGACGTGCCGTGCTTCATTTTAAATTAAATGAATTTTCGCGACCTACGAGTTTTTCAAAAAAATGATGCACGTAAACCAAAAGCCAGGCGTTAAATGTTATAACATTACTTGCGATCAAATATTATTTACTAATAATTTTATTATACCATTTTCCGAAATACAAAGTTATATCGCAAAACGCGAACATCTGTCACATTTAAATTTCACTCTCAAAAGATTACATATTTTTAAGTCTGGGTAGATAATGATTAATGATAACATTTCTATCGTTCAAGATAGACGCACGTTTGATCGAAAGTCTGTAGCATTTTAAACGGCGATGAATTTTGAAAAAAGTTGCCGCATCTGGCGAAGATAGTGACGTATTGAATTTTAGTAGGGCCAAGTCTGGGTAGGTAATGATATGTAACGATAATCATAGAAAATGAGTTCGTCTTTAGATGTTATTACCTAATAACTAAGTACGAAATCGCGTTTACGGGAACTTGGTTTAACGTGTCTTGCTCGCACAGAATAAAAAGTTGATTTTAATTGATAGTGGCTAAATTTAATATTTTACAAGGGCGCCTAGGTTGCGGTGGCCACACGCTGGTTCTGCATCTAATTAGTTCTCAGCGGGTATGTTTTAGTACACTCGACAGACTTACATTAATAATGATTTAACGCCGTTTTATGTCTATTTTGTATTTAACCGCTTACTATTAAAGTGTGTAAAGCGTGTCTTAGTTTAGCATATCAGTATTTATTAGTATTTAGGGATTACATACATTTGGAACAATTGAGGGCAAAAAATATTGTAATATTCCTAAATTTTATTGTCCTGGGAACTGCCTGTTTAGTATCAAATGAAATCCAACGTTCAGGACATTTCCAAATAAATAATACAATACTTACTATAAATATTTATAGTAAGTAATACATTGCAATTTTTTTACATTTAAATCCAGCAAGGTGGAAATTCCCACTATTTGTATAACTATGAAAATAGAATAGGATTCGGTATTCTGGATTCGATTTAACTATTCTAGAATATTCTAGAATAGTAAATTATTCTACATTGCCCATCCCTAGACTTGGATATGTAGCAGAATGCAAGTTTTGTAACAATAACATCACTTTGTAGTGACCCATTGGTGCAAAATATTTTTATCATGAAGTTCATATTCAACGTATTATTCTCTGATCCACATCAGCACGTCAATTTACTTGCATAAAATATCGAGTTTTATATAAGAGAACAAACTTCTTTATGATTGGACCTCAAATCTTGTACTATCTTTCATATTGAATTATATTCTTATACTAGGTGACTGATTCTAATGGACATATATTGTATCAAAAAGAAGACGCCGCCGATGGCAAATTTGCGTTCACAACAGATGATTATGACATGTTCCAGATCTGCTACAAGAGTAGCTCAGAAGTCCAGGGTAAGTTCAATGTATCCATTTCGTTGTATACAATTTATCAATGGGATATTTCCAAACTTATATGCAACCATCCAACAGTGGTATGAGCACTAGTGTCATTATTTTGTTGATTCTGAAACTTTTTTTGATTTGAAAATGGTATTGCAAGTATGAAGTTTTAATAGTAGTTTGTGAATAATGTTTTAATCATAAAAGATCTTTAGTTGATAACAATGGAATATTTTTTGATTTAGGTCGATTACCGGATCAGGATATCAGAATAATTGTAAAGAGAGGTGTTGAAGCAAAGAATTATGAAGACGTGAGATTTTCTCTTAAAATAAAATGTTCAATATTTTAAATTACAGATGATGATCGCAGAGACTGTATTTTTCAACCTGGACATTAGAGATATTCTCTCAATTGTGAAATAATCAAACTCAATTATAAAGCTATGCATTTCTTTATTTTGTGACTCAAAAAAAACTTTGGAAGCAATCATACAGTATTGAGATGATTCAAATTAATTATATTCGGAACTACGGTAGACTCTTTCTAGAGGAATTCCTAAAACTTCCAAATTTTATCATGCATGCCTAACTTTCCTATTAACAAATACCGTACTATCTTTTATACCAGATTGCAAAGACAGAGAAACTGAAACCATTGGAAGTTGAACTCAGGAGACTTGAAGATCTTTCAGAATCTATCGTCAATGCTTTTGCTTACATGAAGAAACGTGAAGAAGAAATGAGAGACACAAATGGTAAATGAGATGTACCAGAATAATTCTAATATCTGTATCTTGACTATAAAGGCAATTCAGCCTAAGCTGAAAAATGACATAAATAAAATGCCATATTCAAGTTATCATCTTGTATCCAAAATAGTCGTTGTTTCTATATAAATAAAAACTACCGTATTTATTGTCACTTGCATCACTGACTACTTCAACAATTCTATAGAAAATAAAAAACATTGGTATAAAAGTGTAGTCTCAAACTTTTTAAGCCAGGCTGCGCCCTTATTTTAGAATTTGTCAAGTCTAGCGCCCCACTTCAAAAATAAATAGCTAAAAATAGGCTACAAAAAACAGACAGTAACGCGAAAGTATGTTTCATTCAAAAATCCCTTTAGTAATACATAGATGAAACGTAAAAATTGAAATAAATGAAAACTTCTGAAATAAATATCCAAAAGAAGACGGGCAAGATCAAATTTAACGAATATTTTAATTTAAATTAGCTTCACACCCCGTCAAAAAATTGTCTACTCGCCCCACCGTTCGAGAACCACTGGTGTAGATGTTTTCACAAAACCAGAAACAAATATTCCACATACTTCTATTCTTTATGATTTTTTTCAGAATCAACAAACTCGAGGGTACTTTACTTCAGCATCTTCTCAATGCTCTGTTTGGTTGGACTTGCAACATGGCAGGTTCTTTACCTCAGAAAATTCTTCAAGTCAAAGAAACTTATTGAGTAGTCTGTCATATCCTTCACAGATCTAATGATATTACTGGATCATGCAGTGGCAATGGATAGGTCTGAAGCAACTACCATCCTCGTGCCATGCATGATTCAGCAATATTATCAGTGTGAGCTGTGTAACTTAAACACAAAAGACTTAACAAAATTAGAATATTTTTAAAAGAATATTAGAATGTTTTTTAAACTATTATTTGGTGAAAGACTGCTAAGTTTAATATTAATGGATGTATGCTGATACTCCCTTTTGAGATTCACATGGAGGCATGTACTGCAAGTGTGTTTTCACTTCATGACATTGTTTGTGCAATTATGAAATGCATTAACACCTTCGCTAGTTCATATCTTCATTTATTTGGGGTTGCTTTTCTTTCTTTAGTCTTTCTGAAAATGTATAATGGGTATGTTTTTTCTTGAGCATATAGGAATGCTCATTTCACCATTCTGATAATTAGCATAATATTATTGTATGATTTTACAAATGGCACTTCTGGAAAACTAGCAGTCAGATGGTACTCCTAAGCTATGCTTTGTGTTTCGAGAGATTTTTTAGTTATTTTCCTTTGCATACATCGTTGGTGAAGCTTTTTGAAATGCATATGCCTTGAAAATTTTCAGCAGAGTATTTGAACTGATTAAGATTTCATTCAACTAATTTCTGGTGACAAATCAAACAGTTTTATTAATTTATAAAGCAATCAAAGTGTTGGTGTTTTGTTAGGAATGTTTCAATATTTGCATTGTTTATTCTACAGAAATATTGTGTCACATTTTGACTTAGTGCAGAACTTTTTTCCAGAATTCTTTATTGTTCCCAAAGTAATCAGATGGGCTACATACACTGCTAGTGCTAATACTTTGAGAATTTTATATGTGCTGGTTGCCAAAATTGAATTTGTGGACATGGATTGATGTAATTATTGAATCTGATTCATTTATAAACTTAGCATATACGAGTATTTTCTAGTGGAAGAATGGAATATCATTTGTAAATTCTACAGTCTGCTATCAGTTTCTAGTTTCAAGGTTTTGTGCATGTAATATTTCTTTTTTCGTAAGCACTTTAAGCAGAGGAGGAAAACATTTTGATGAATTTGTTGCAATGTTGGTGGTAATTGAAGTGTTGTGTAGGCTAGGGGCCTGGGGATTAGAAAATATTGCGCTGTAGCCTGTATATCCCAATCAATGCATTGTGATAAATTATTTCTTCACAATTTTTCTGCAATAGTTACAGTAAAAATTTTATTATAACTCTTTTGGAACATGAATTTGAGACTTATGATGGTGGTAATTAAATTCAAAATTTTCAACCACGCTAAAAAATACTTTTAAATTAATTGACAAACAAAGGCTGGTTGCAACTTACTCCAAAATTTTTTAGTAAAAATTCGGCTGCATTTCGTATTTTCTTCTACCTCGAGTTGACCTTTTGACCACAAGTCTTCTGTTTTTTTGAAGTAAATGATTGTGATGCTGGAACAGATTAGTGCTGCTGTTTGATGTAGGGATGAGTAACATAGCCTTGGTGTGGACTGCTAGAATCGGGGTCAGATTATCGGCTGTCAGGCGTATTCTTGTAGGCCTGCAGATATATAACCTTAATTGAATGTCTAGGCGTCTATGTCCAAAGTCCTTGTTATTAACGTAGTGAGCCTTCTGATAAATGTGCCGAAGCGGAGATAGTGATGAGTAACCACATTGATTAATTGCTACCACGAAGATAGACAAGCCGGCGTCGCAAATTCGACAAAGTAGAGATATAGACGCGATAGATGAAAGGCTGCAAATTGCAGAGTAAATCTGTCCAAATGAGTTACAGTTCTCGGCGAATTGATGCCAAACATTACGCTCGCGTCATGGATCCTGGAAAATGCACACGTTTGGCGGACCGTGTGTATTTTGGTTTTGCTAAAGACAAGTTTTCCACGTATGAGGAGCTTTTAAAGCGCAAATTAGTTCAGCACCTCAAAGGGTACTCGGCAGAGAGTTTTGAGTCATGATTACCATTTCCGCATAAGACCCTTCCCGCGAAACAGCTTTCTTCGACACTCGCTTATCTAGGTATTAGTATTTATTTACGAATAAAACATACTAATATATCCCACGCTTTGTGGGTTGTTTGTGTTTTTTATTTCTGTATTATGATTCTAATTTACTCAAACAAGGTATTGTTGTGATTATGTACTCATATAACCCGATCAATTTTTCAGATCTACTTTAAAAAGCCTGATGGAAAAATGTCGAAGGCGTCGATATCAAGATTTAGTTTTATTCAAGTTTCTTGATCCAAAAAATGGCAGGGTTGCTGCCTCAAAAGCATTGCGTGGTTTGTGCAACAGGGCAATTCCTGGTTACTTACAACTGATTTGTGATGGCGTGGGTTCGTCTCATTATACCCAGTATTCGAAAGAAAAAGACGCAGAATACTGGCGTAGATTGCAGAATCTACTTTCCAGAGATAAGAATGTTGTTTCCAGAACATATGAACAAATACTGTGAGACAGAGGAAGTTGATTGAAGACATGATGTGCGACTCGCACCCCAACAATAACTGCAGTTTAGGACTGCTGCGTTTGGGGGAGTTGACTTTGATGATCGTCTCTCTCTCTCTTCTATAGCAGGACAACAGACATGACATATACAAAGTACAATACACAGAACAAAAAGGTACGGCACGACAACGACGATATGTACAATAGCCAGTTTGTGGCACGTTCATGTCCCAGGTTATGGTGTGAAAGGATGGGAATAGGGTATAAATCGCATTTTTGTGTGTTTTTACAATATATATTACGAAACAAGTAAAAATTTGTTCGAGACTTGGAACTTGCCAAAAAACATATTATTCTCTTTGAGTTGTCTATTGATACCTTCAGCAAACGCGGTGGAGGCTTTTTAGTAAGGGTAATAATGCGCAACATTTGTGTCGTTATATTTAGGGACTGCTTGCTTGGTTTTTATAGCGTCTATCTACATAGTTTACCCATGAATATGTATACTTAACAAATACCATACAAGTCGTACGAAAGTACATTCCTCATATTTGGTTATTATGTGTTTTCTCATTTTAAATTGCGTTCAAAGTATTGGCCCGATTCTGGACTGGCAACGAGACGAGAGGCCGTGGTTCACCCGTTAGTCGTTGGGTTCACCCAATGGTTTGTCATTGATTCACCATATGATTAAGTCGTCTCGTTCCTCTCCTCCATGATAAATATGGTAAACCTATCACATCCCATGTCGAACGCGGTTTAAAAAATTTACGTATATTTGCAATCTGCCGTCAAAAATCTGACGATTTGTGAACATATTGGTCCGCATGGGATACAGTGAGCAAATCGTTACAAGTTTCGGTCGGCGTTGTGTTGCCGTTGGGTACAGGTGCTAGACTTAGAGAGTCAACGTCGACGGTTTGCTAATGAGTGGACACAAGTGGATTGACCGCCAGGAAGGGGAAGAAGACGAAGATGAAACTGACCCTGTCGACTCAATGATAGAAAAAACTGGCTGCTCAGAAGAACACCACAATGTTCAAGTATGTTCTTCATTAGAATATAGCTTTTTCATATTGTAAGTTACCGTACCGTACCGGTACCCATTAACAGTTGAAAACTTGATTGCTCCGTCATTGATGTTACGGTGCCTCAACAATTAAGAAAAAAGATACAATATAACCTAACGTCCTAGGTCAGGTTTGAAAGCCTATTTTTGTATATAGATATTTGTGAATTACTTTCTTACAAAAAAATCCAGCAATAGGAAAAAGATCCAAAATAAAAAATTATTGCTGTATTAAGCTTACCAATATCTTACCAGTTTAGTACAATTTTATACGAAAACATGTGAATATCTGTTAAAATCATGTAACTTGTTTGGTAGAAAATCGAGCAATGTAATGCTTATGGGATTAGTTGAATAATTTAATAGATATAGAATATCAGAATATAGACAAACAGACAAAGCTATCTTAATGTTGGCTTATCAAAAGTTACATGGTATAATTGTCCATAAAAATTTTAATCGAGGAACTGCACAAAAAGTCTTGGTAAAACAAACCAATTATTGAATCAATATATGAAACGTTCTTGCTTTTAGAAGTGTTCGGCCTTTGCTATTATTTCAAGCGATTCTCTATTCTGTTATCTCATTTTCCAAATAGATACATCCATTTTTGATATGCCAGGAAATATTTTTTCTTCCCTAATATGTATTCAAATCTTTATTTTTTTTCTTATTTATATTCCCATGAATGTAAGTGTGTCCCAGACTTCATTTATATCATTTCAGAGCATGTTGCTTGTGAGTGTTTATATGTCATCTTTTCTTATGCAGTATGAATATGAAAGAATATTATTTCAGTTTCTGGTATGGTAAAGTGTTATTGTAATGATGTGGTTAGCCATATAATCAGCAATATGGTTATTTTCAGTTTAGGTTATAAAGAATTTATTATAAACTATTTTGTAACTGACATTTTACCACATCCAAACTTTTTGTCCATGAGAGGTAAGACAAGGCGACTCAACCACAGGCTCCAATCCAATTAACCAATCATCTATTTCATATGCAGAGACTTGTATAATAGGGAATCTAAAGCCTACCAGCAGTCACATGTACCACCCTGAGAAACTGAAAAGTTTCATAAAAAATATCAGTAAATTATATTTGCACGGTTTAAGCACCTTGATTGTCTTTCCTCTTGTCTATTACAGAAATAGATTCAATGCTACCACTGCACAGTTAAATTCTCAGTAGACTAGAGAATAAAAAAAATGTAACGGACATTTTTTTATTTATAAATCTTGGCTTTTGTCAAAATCAAAAAAATGTCCAATTTCCTTTTTTTGCAGCTCTTCTGCAACATAACGTACAACCTAGTACTCATATTTACATTCAAATCTTATTGAATGCCATCTTAATCTTTTGTTGTAATCCAACACCACTTGAATTGCATAGGCCATAGACGAATGAAGACATTCAATTGTTTTGCTTTTATAATGATAATAAACTGGGTGATAGGTTTACAATCATGTTAGATATCCTCTTGATTACCGCATATTTTCTTTCTATGGTGTTTGTGTATGTAAAGGCTGTAAGAATGTGTGTCGAACTATGTTGTGCTTCTAATAAATAATTATTGTTACATAATTAGCTAATATTTTTAGTGCTATTGTGTCGGAAATATGGAAGAAAAACTTAGTCATTATAATTTCATGATATCAAGTGTTATAGCTTTTACGGCTGTCATAGTTCTTTTGTTTGGTTTTCAATTTCTATTGTCGATTACTGAACCATGTTGCCTCACAATTTCTCTGACATACTCCGCGAGACTTTTCAGATTGAAAATTTGAAAAAGAAAATAGGCTATTTCAACTCATTGAGCTTTGTTGATGCTTGTTTGTATATCGGGTTTGTCCTCTGAATGTATGGACTTTGGCTTAAGCTAATCTTGTTAGGTTGGTTGCTAGGTGGAATACTTAACCTTTTGTGAGATGGAAGAGAATTCAAGTTCAAATATTATTCTATATCCTCCTCACAGTGACATAGTTCCTAGAATGCTGCAGGCATTAATTGCTTTCTTTTTCACATAACTTGTCGTAGCCTAGTGAGGAAGTTGGTTTAAAAGTAAGGTAATAATTCAGGAGAATATTTTTGGATTAACTTGTGTATATTTTCCGATTAATTTGTGTATATTTTATTATTTCGGTGAAAATGTGTATTAATAATGGATATGAAAAAATGCTTTCATTTAGTTTCAAATCTTTATAGTTTCATTGTGTCATAAAATGAGTATGAAATAGTTTATAAAAAATCTTGTGTCGAATTATAGTCATATTACATTTTTTTCAAATTCTAAGCACTCAGTCAGCAGACCTTTATATTTGCTTGTTTTAAAGATTGTTTCATCATTATCGGTCGAAATAAATTACTTTACACTACATTATGTATATTATATTCTTTTTATTTTTTTTTTTACAGTATTGCATGTTTGAACATCGGGACTGGAGAAAGTGTCAAAACGAAGTAAAAATATTCAAAGATTGTATAGAAAAATCGAAGAAGTGAATAATTGTATTTATAATAAACTATCGAAATGTCTCCAAAAAAGATTAACGAACAAGAAAAATATCCTGAGATGTTGGATACTTTGCTGAAAAACTTTGTTGCTATGACAATTAATGATAATTTGAGTAGTAGCACTCCATCTACTCCACCAATTAATTGGCAAGCATTATCAGATTCATTGCCGGATACAAGTCCTGAAATGTGCAAAAGACGATTTGTGGAACTTCGTAATTTACATCTTGTGGAAAGAGAGCAGGTAATTAATATAGATTTTAGATTCTTGGATTCCACAAAACTTTGTTTTATGGTATGCAACAGTCAATTAAGAGGTACATAAGAAGCTCATGAAGTTCGTCAGAACTCAGAAGTGTAGAAATGTTGATGGGATTTTCAAGAAATTTTAAGTTATGCAGTGTATAATTGTTTCATACTCGCTTTTATAACGCAACAATCTTCCAATTAAAGCTATTTTCAAATTCCGGCCTGATATTCACGATATTTGATTTGTTGAACTCTTTTGCTATGTTATCACTTTCTACCGTTTTTGTTATATAAAAATGGTGTTCTATAGTGTACCAATAAGAAACTACTAACTAAAATTTGGGTCTAGCTCCATTTCAAGAAATTGGATTATTTTGGGCTCACATGCTCTTAGGGAATGTGAATGAATTTTGATTTCTAGAACTAGCATTTGTTAGTACAGGTCACAAGCTCAAACGAATGATATACTATCACAACCTAAATTGAAATATGATACTGATTTATTGTCAACCGTATAAAATGCTATATTAATTATTGTATTTTTTTTACTATTGTTTTATTGAATATACAGGTGCACCATACGAATTACCTTTATGTTTTTGGGAGCCAAATGTGTACTACGGTTAGGGCTGTCCAATCGAACCGAATATTCGATATCGAATCGGAATCGCAAATTATTCGAAACGTTTTTCGGCCAATTTACGAATCGCTGAAATTTGGTACATAATGCGCCTCACGACCACCTTTGCGCCGCGTTTTTCACTGGGCAAGGCAAAACATTTTTCTATCGCTCTCTTTGCTGTGAAAATGTCTCTCCAATTGCCGGGTGACATGTAATTATCCATTTCATGCATGTTCATAAATGAAAAGGTTTCAGTAACAATGATTTTTTGAGAGAACACAAGGAGAAAAGGGCAAATTTTGCGTCAGCAAAAACGCCAGTTTTATAAATAGAATCGATTTGTAGCTGTTGAGTCAGTAATCACAGGACATGGTACAGGACTGAAACATGTTTTGGAGGTCCAATACCTTTTTCCAATAGAATTTGTAATTTTTTCTAAGGACAATAATTTGTTTCATTCATTTATTACTATGACAAATAATTGCAGTCTTGTGAGTTGATGGCTGTTGTACAGCAACAATATGATCATCAAATAATAATGTCATCAAACTAGCTCTGAATTTGTGAGTTCCCGAAATGGAATTTGGAATTTTTTGGGCTAAAGTTATATCTATATTAATAGTTGTTAATCATTTTACTGAAAATTACACAAAAATATTGAGTTAATAATACTAATGATAATGTGATTAAAATAGCAACTACATGCATTAAAAGAGTCTGTGCAATTTCCAACTCTTAAAACTTGATAGTTTTCGAAACCCTAATTAAGGAGGCTTGTGATCTCCTTTTATAACTCTGGAAACATAGTTGTGCAAAATATTTGCAATAATTTATATAAAACTGCACATACGTTATCACAATATTGAAGAGGAAGTTTTTATTGTACGTTAGAGACAAATTTAGGATTGCGCGATGATATTCGATTATTCGGTTTGATTCAAGAAAAATATTTGGTTCGCTTCGAATCAAAAAAATATTCGATTTTGGACAGCCCTAACTACAGTACTTACCAAACAAAAGTTCAACCCTAATAATTAACCTGGCATGTCAGTATAATAGGATATCATTGTCAACCCTGACCATTAGGCAATTATACTAGCCTGTCCCATCAACAAATTGAAGAAATTGATAACAGACTTTTTAGTGATTACCTTCTTAGTGAAGTGATAATTTTCTGAGGGTTATAATCCCATCTCTGTTTCAGGGTGAATATGTTTCTAACAAGGATCCCGATGGTCTATATGATTATGTTCAAATGTTATTTAAAAAAGACGAAAAAGAAAGGAAAAGAATCAATAAAGCAAAAAAAAGAGCAGAACAAAAAAAACAGAAGCAAGAGTATGATGATCCAATAAATACAGATTGTGATACCAGATCCACTACTCCATCCACATATCCACCTTATAGCAATAGCAATTATACCAGCAAAATGCAAGGCGGTCCAAGCATGGTTATTCATGTATGTGATGAAGCCAAAAACCTACGACAAGACTTTACTTGCCCAAGAGATCTTCTTATTCAAGTAAGAATAATTTTTGGGTGAGATCTATTGTTTGATTGTGATAATTATTGCCAATTAATTACTATTTATATTTAGGAAATGCGATACTTCGCCGAGTATTTGTCTGTTGATTCTCAGAGACTGGAAGAAGTTGACATTTCTGTTCACTGTGATATCCATATATTTGATTGGTTAATGAGGTGGGTGTCGGGAAAAGGGGATTTTGAAAAAAATAAATGGTCCTTAGTTGATGTTGTACTATTTATATGATTAAAATAAAATTGATAATTGAATAAAAATTTCATGCTATGATGATCTGTAACAATCTGCTTTAATAAAGGCCACAAAATTGAATTATTAATACAAAAACAAAAATTGTTTTTACATAACTTTTATATTCGTATTTATATTTCATTATTTTAATAATATTATTTATTTTCCATCAGCGATTTTCTCAAATTGTGTTGTGGCTTTTGTTAAGAAAATGGAGCAAATCCAAGTTTTCATGTTGTGATACTCTTCACATGGACACTTACTGTTGAGCAAATACATAACCAAACCAAATACTACCTACCTTAATAAACAATAAAATTCACTGAATAATAAATTCGATAACTTTTAGGTTTTTGTTGAAAAAACAAGCGACCCAAAATAATGTTTGTGAGCCCTAGCTCTGGGTCAGGTTAGAATTTATTCATATTAAGAAGTATGTTTCTGCAATTTATCCAAGGTTGGTTTATGTCATTCCTGCCTGCTCTACCGAATGAATATTATGGTTTAATAATATGGTTAGGCAAATCTATAGGTACTCCCGTAGTGTGTGTCCTTATTTTAGTTCTATTACGAGTTCAGGGGCTGTCCATGTTAGCCAAGTGAATATACTCCTTGCTCATAGTGATCAGTCCATTTACACAACTTGATGTAAAATAGGTGAACAAAATTAGTATCCTCCATATAGATACACAACACTTCTGGAGTGCCAATCTTTTATCATATCCAGGTATGTAAAACGCAATTCTGGGCTGGTTGATGCTGCCGATAAACCGAAGCTAGAACCCAGCAATGTTGTGTCCATTCTTATTTCTTCGGATTTCCTGAAAATGGACTCTTTAGTGGAAGAATGCATTGGTTATTGTCATGATAACCTCTCACAAATCGTTTCAACCCCCTGCAACATGAACTGTGTTAATGAAAAATTAACGGAAAGAATTGCATCAAGATTTAGTCACGTTGAGTTAGAAGAAGTGAAAGGTAATAATAAATACTAAAATAATACTCTAGTTAATGATACAGAGATCATTATAAAATCCCATATAATAAAATCCCTTCCAAGCGTTGTATACATAAAAAATATGGTATCTGGCCTAAATTATTTTAGTGTCTGTAGGGGAAATTTGCATTGTACACTTTGGATCTTGGGATGTCCAGTATGTCTTAAAATTCCTGTTATTCTGAGCTTGCATTTAGATCGCTATTATAAATTATTTTGAATCTTGTAATGTGCAGTCTGAATATAGTTTGAGCCTAGTATGTCCACCCCCATTTCTGGGATAAACTTGTATATGGTAAACACTAGGTTTTTAGTTTCTAATTTGAGAATGATTTCATTTATAGGATGTCGTAGATGTGCTGTTTGTTGTTGAAAAAGTTTGTATTTCGAGAAAAATCTTGAATAAAAAATTACCGTATGTAGTAATTGCTATTACACCATGGCTTTTTTGTTTTTTAGATCGGAAAGATAAATTTAAAAGCAAACTATTTTGTCGAAAAATAGAAGAACTTTTCAGTCCAAGCGTGAGTTCTGATTCACCAGGAAGTGCTTCCACACTTTTCAGGTATGACGAAGTTATCTGCAAAAAACTTTTCATGACTTCATCAAATATCAGATATTCTTTTCTTCAAGAATTTGTTAAAAGGAAAATTAAACAATTTTTTTGCTTGGGAAATTTTTTTTTTTCTAAACTCCTTGTTTTTTAGCTCAGTGTTTACATAGAGTTTTAAATATTGAGGCTTGCTTTTATCTGATATGTTTTATTTGTCATTTTGGTTTGAGCATTCTTTATCTCGTTTCAACTAGTATTTGCAGGTGACCATGTTGCCATCCAAACTTGATAGTTTTTCAGTAGCTCATAGAATCTTACTCATTTCTCTTAGTGGGTGTTTGTGATGTTGCTTGGAGCATTGTCATGATAATATATATTTCAGGTGCAACTTCTGTCGCAGAGTTATCACATTAGAACAAAAAGATGCAATTCCTTGCACGAATACAAGAATGTGCATCAATAGCAGGTACAACTTTTTAGTAAACAATGAACACAAATTATTTGCCATATATAACAGTCGATTTTTGAGTAAGGTAAAATATATTTTGACACATCCCGAGTCCTGAAATTAATCATATGGTGAACCACGACCTCTTGTCTGGTTACCAGTTCATGTCGGGTATAAAAAAGGCAAGCCAGTTATTTGTTTCAGATGCATGGACCTAATAGTGAAGGAAGTTGTAACCGAACATCGTTTACGTGAACTGCCCTTTGGCGGTGAGGAGTCCGGCAATTCTCTCACATGCAATTACTACACAGGATTCTAACCTGCGAACCCACACAGGGTAATTGGAGATTTTTTGACAAGCGTATTCCTTCAAATCTGTGATGTCAATGTGACAAAAACTTTTGCACTTTTTTGTTTCTTACCGAATCTGCTATTACCCAAACCTGGCTTGTGAGGTGCAGTAACTTGATTTGTCAAGCAACTCAAATTTTGAGAATTTGCTTGAGGGAGATGCCCCAGTAAAGTGTTGTATGTTACCAACAATCTCTGTTAGCGTAGTTGAAAGGAAAGCAAAATAAACTATTGTTATACATAATTTTTGTTTCACAGGGGAATGCTTTCTTATGAACATGAACCAGATACATCATGGGATGTTTCAAATTATGTTCTTAATTTACATGAAGAATTAAAAAAATGGGGACTTGTGTACTGGAGACTTTGGGGTGTAGTCAACCACTTAACATGTTCCAGGTTTGTATACTTCTTAATACATATGATTTGAATTAACAATACACCCTTATAATGTTCTATAAAATAACTATCTTCATGTTAACAGATGTGAGCAGACGTTCCAGCTGTGTGATTTTGGTCAATGCCATTATCATGCGGAACGTCCACAGTTCCGGCAGTTGCTCGATATGCAAGTATCTGATCACGCAGTTGGTTTATATCCATGTTGTAACCAAAGAATACTGAGATTTGATCCAACAGGTGTTATTAAGGGTTAGTCAATTTTTATATATTTTGTAAGTTTTGTAATATTTTGTAAGTGGTTTTTATAAGAGGGGCTGGGCATTTTGTATCGAATAGTAAATTATTCGAATAGGTTCAAACGAAAATTTTGAATTGCCACCATCTTGTTTTTTATTGTCCGTTGAAGGTTGAGATGAATCCTTTAATTTTTCTTATAGAAGCTTTTTTTTTACAATGCACTTCTGACATATGACTCTTTTCTTTCCTAATTTGCCTGGAGGACCCATTAGGCCATTACAATAAAAAGAAGGCACATACAATTAAATATTGAACCGAATATCCAAGTATTCACGATTCGAAAAATATATGTGGTTTAATACTAACATTATCAGGTATTCAAAATGCTCAGTCGCAGTTATAAGGTTGAGATAGTTAAAAAAGTGATACATTTTATTACAAATTTTTTGCATTGTAACTGTGCCATTCCACTATCATTTTATTCATTTAGGATTTGAACACAAGACTTGCCTATCAGCGTTTGAAATTTTTATATTTTTCAATTTTTTAAATTCTTCAGGATGCAGACTAAGAGACCATGTTGTTACACCAACAAATAAAAAAGAAGATAAGCTTCTTGAGGAATTACAGAACTATAAAAATCTTATCAAAGTTACAGATCAACTGTAAGTTATTAAGAATGTAATCTAATCTAAAGGGAAAGACATATTGTATAAAATAATTCTTATTTACATATGTGTTTTCAACTACCTTAAGATTACTTGCTGTTGGAAGAAAAGTTTTTGTAATTTTGAAAGTCAAGAACTGAGTCGAAGTTTTCAACTAAAACTGAGTATTTGTAAATGCAAAAGTTTAACTTTTTGTAGTCATGATTTTGTTATCTTGTAGTTACCTCATATGGATATGTTTATTTACTACACAACCCTTGGTATGATAACATTGATACATATCCTTTTTTTACATGTTTAAATCTCTTATTTTTGTGATACGAATTCGTATTTTTCAGTATTCCAGTATCGAGCGACTTGAATATATTCAGTGCAGAAGAATCAATCTGTGGCGTCGACGAACCAACTTCTACTCCTGCTGAGATAATGTCTCCACCACCTCTTCTGCCTCCACAACCTAAATTATCTCCTGTTACTATAAAAGTACAAAGAACTGTGAGTATATACACATCTCGGCTTGGCGGTGAACACATAAGTGTTGGGAATACACCCGCCACCGCACCTCTGATTACCTGGTGTGGTTTCGCAGGTTTGAAACGTTCGGGGATAAATATGTGTGAGATGATTGCTGGACCTTTCCCCGCCTTAGGGTGATTCAATTTGCAATATATTCGATGTATAATATTCAATATATTCATATTCGAAAATATTATTTCTAAATGTATTTGGATTAGTAGCTGATTTGGTTTTGGCCATTGCTTGGATTTGTAAAACCAAAATATATGTTTGATAAATCCCAAACGAGTTTTGAACATTGATTTAAAAGTTTCAAATTGAATTTGCATATTTAGATGTTCAAAGTTTAAAATTCAAATTTTCGAGCTCTTTTTGTGCTGACGTTTCATGGTAGAGGTCACACTGAAAACCTCATTGGGTAAGGGTGTGTAGCTGGAGCACAGGTTGAGGTAAAAACAATGAATTCTGGAGCCATCGTTGATTTTAAAACAGCCCTGAATACTGCACTCCTAATATTTTTTTGTTTCAATACCAAGAACAATCTCTCAGTTTCAAATTTTGCAATCAGCAATTGTGAAGTTCGATTCGAACAACTTGTTTCATTCTATTGTTCAGGTGTCACCGAGTGATATGTATTACACTGGTCTAGCTGACAATAGTGAGGAAGACACAGGAGAAGAAGAAACAACACCTAAACATCATTATAAACCAACTCCTACTCCATCACATATGTCTTCCATTTCATCTCAAAATTCATCAACAGATATTAAACAAATCAATCAAAATCAATTATCAGTTGCAATTACACCGAGTGGGGCAGTGTCCAGAATATCAAACCAAAGTGTTAAAAAGTATTTAGTTGTTTTATATTTTCATTTGCAAGCAATAACGTATTTTCCAGCTGATAAGCCGATTTCATGGATACAATTTGCAGCCTGAGTTTCTGGGGTCTTGGCTTATTGGGCGGCTCGGCTTTTTTTTTGTTCAAGTCGTATTATTACTTTTGAAACAGAATTGAGCCTTGATTGTCAGTTTTCATGAAATAGCGTTCTTCGCTGTGTTTATTATACTTGACGTTGCTATTCAAGTTTGCAGTTGCCCTCGCCAGAATTTTTCTAATTTGGCATCATTTATCAAATCCTAATATTATAGAATTGGGTTGATTGCTGAACTAACCAGATCGTTGAATCATAACCTAGTCTGATTAATATGCTAAGTGCTAGTCTAATCCAGAGCCTTTTTAATGTTGTATGTTCGCTGCAGACATTCACTTGATATTGTTATGGAATTGTATATTTGCATGCATTTTATGATCTATGAATTTAAATCAATGCCAGTAATTCCTTACTAGCATTATGGTATTAGAGTGGTATAGACCTGGTCCATACTCTCATTTTAATGGCATTTTGTATTATTTGGAGTTTTGCGTATTTTTTTTATCGTGCGTATTCTGCTTTCAGAGGAAAAACTAAATCGGCACAACATACTGATGATACAGCTTATGGCAAATTTCCCAGCAAACAGAAGTGGGAAAACGCGAGATCAATTCGGTGGAATCAAGATGTACAAAGAGAAGAAGATATGAAGAGAATTGTAGAAATGACTTCCCAGTTATCTAAGAAGAGGCAAGTTTTTTTATTTATCAGTTCGCATTGCAATAATTTTATCTTGAATACTTTGCTTTTGTTTGAATTAGTAAACTGTTTGGTAACACTTCTAGTTAGACTATACAATGATGTTGTCAGGTTTTGGTCAATAGTGAAACAGTAGTTTTGCTCAGCTCGCAATGTTATATGATTTGAGTTTTCCAACCTTTTTGAATGTATTCTATTCTTCCTATTGCCTATGTTTAAACTCTCTATTTCCCTCAATATAAATAAAACTCTGTTTCCTTTCTTAATCAATCATTAATTGGATAATTAGCAAGTGATACGAGTAACTCACATTCTGACTTTTGTACATTTTCTTAATAGTTTATAATGTGGTCATTGATATGCATTTCAATAAGAATATTAGTAATATTGCACACAACTACAAAGTGAAATCTCCCCCTTTTAAACATTAGAATTCTTCTCTGGTGAGAAACGCCATTTTAATCTATATTCACTGGGCTAACACAGACAGTTCCCAGACTCGAATAGAACTAAAATATGGAAAATAGAAATTAAATTATGGCCAAACTCTAACCTAGTACACACACTACGGGAGTACCCTTTAACTTTTTATTTGATTTGACACAGGGTGGACAAAGGTGACAAAGCAAAAACAAAAGATTCTCGAGAGTATCCAGGTGGCATGTTCTCCAAACTCGAAGTTAATTTCTACTCTAATTTGAGATCAAACTCAATTACGGGAATGGGAAGCGGGAGACAACCCGGAGGAAGCAGCAATCGTGATAACAGAATAAGAGGAAGGCAAGGACAGGTCAGATACTGAAGAAGATTCTGCACAAAATTGTTTGCATTCTGTTATTTTTTTGGTGAATTCTTTTGCTTATTTCAGTTCTAATTTGCTTTTTTGTTCTTCCACAAAATTTTCGCCTTCTTTATTATTATTCAAGGTAATTTAATTTTATCAACCCAATATTGGTACATTGGCTTATAATACCATATATTGAATATTGTTCGTGGCAGTCAAATGTTAGTCACATCTGTCATGTCATGATGATTGCTGGCTATAGTCAATGATATCCACTTAGATTCAAATTATTACTTGTACAATGGCATCCCCCATAGTACCTTATTAGAATGATTTTTGCAAAATCTGAACTAGACAATTTGGATTGAGTCAACTTATTGGCTTTCACTGAAAGACTCAAATTGGATGAAGTGAGCGTGTCACCAACTGAAGTAAGTTTGTGTATGTCGCCGATTTCAGCAAAATAATTTGATGGCATTATGCATTGTATGTTCTTTGTTTCAAATTCAGTTTGTGCTGTAATACTTTCAACTCTCAGTTTTCGTTGTGTTAGCTTTTTTATTTGATATTGGGTTTGCAGAATATCAATTACAGTCTTCTGATATCCGGAAAAAAAATAAGGGGCTGTTCAAAAAAAAAAATGATGGATATGGTATTTTGTAATTTCTTGATTTTGCATTAAATGAAGTGACGGGAAGATTAAGATAGGCATTTTGAGGTTTTGTGCTTCAGTACAAGCCAACTTTCAGTTTACGCTATATATTTGATGTTTCTGAATATACTTTATAAAATTGACACAGATATTCAGTAAAAATTAAAACATTTAATTTTGCTTAAATCATTATGTCCTAATCACCCTGAAATTTTGCTTAGTTTTTGTTTGGCTTTTTTGCTCTTACTAATTTTGCTTGGTTTGAAAGCTCCATATTAGATAGGTCTGAAATTATTCAACACTAGTTCACGACCTTTATTCCAATTGGAAACATTTTGGTACTTTCTGATCCAGTATCTGTCTTAAGAGAAAAGGGTGAACTTCCTCATAGAAGGCAGAATTCACTGCAGAGCCCTAGTATCATCTTGACTAACAGATTACATTATATTCTTGTATTACATTACCGTAATACAAAAGTAACCTTTATTGAGACCAATTCTTCAGTACTCAATATTAGATAACTAGGTATTCGAGTTTCATCATATATCCCTTCATGATTTTTTGTAACAATTGGCAGGAATTGGACAACATACACTGAGATGTACATTTTCACTCTTGTTAATAATAATTCCATGCCTTGCTCGAACTTCTGTGTTTAAATACAACTCCACCCCTGTTCATTCGTGACTATTATACCTTGCTTGGTTTGTTCTGCCTGATAGTATTATAAACTTCGCATAAAAATGTTTTCTAGCTGCATAGAAAAGTTTGCTAGCAAATTCAGAATAATATGCTTTTTTTTATAAAATGAGATTACGTTCATTTAGTTACCTCTAATTGTATTGCTCTATTTCAATCAAGCTATGTTTCTCCTATATGTTCCCATCTTCATCTGCAAGTTGATTTGACACTCTTTCCTAATATGTTTAATTCAAGTAGCCAGAAAAGTTAAAATAAGTGCAAAATTTATTCAATATTTAGCTACAGTGGAGATAAGTTATAAAGCTACAGATTTACAGTTATCAGTATATAAAATGCAGTACACCGTAACATGAAGATTATAAGCCTGTGTTTTACCTTGAGCTAGAGGAGGAAAAAGTTCATTCGTGGTGGAACTGGGTTTGGGTAAACAATCCATTCAATCAAGGAAATATTGGGCATTCGATTAATTTAATTTCAATGGAATTAAAACCAATACTATTATTAAACTAATCTTAAGAGTAGAAAATTTTCAGAGACACAATTCATTTCAGTACAATTTACCATCAATAATTGCATTATTGCTACAATAATTATATATCTAGAATGTTTAAAATGTAAATAAATTGCAAGGAAATTTATCGATGCCAAACAGTTTGCATTTGGGCATTCCAAATGCATGAGATTTTGCATGAAGCAATACAATAATATCATAAACGAGTGCAGAAACCATGATTCAAACTAGTATTGTACTATCCATACTCCTTGGTACTTGTTGTATATATAAAATGAAAAGTTAAAGTATACAGTTATACAAAATAGCATGACAATAAAATGATCACAAAATTTTACAAATTCATTAGAGAAAATTGACAATAATATACTGCTAAGTTTTATTAATAATAGACACAAAATCGAATTTTAAACATGCATTGCTAGATTTAATAGGTAATTGTGAATGGTGAGAATTTTGTGCCATCAATATCCAGATAAATAAAATACCCTATGATATTTTGGTGTATCTGACTCTTTGTTCTTTTTAATTTCAATTATCGTAACCAAAAGTTAGTATCTCTTTGGTGAACATGAGCGTCTCGGTGAACAAGATCGCCTAGGAGATCTAGAGCTATGCCTGTGATAATCATGTCTATCAGGGCTGCGACTTCTGCCTCTATAAGGTGGATGGGGCTGACTGTAACCATTTGTTAAACCCAATTTTGTTGATCTAATTCCTTCGGCGTATCCGACGTGAAAGTTTGGGTCCATGGTGTGCATTGATCTCTCAAGAGCTGTTGAAGTTGCAACTCCAAGTTGATGATTCTTTATCAACTTCTCAAGCCTTGAAACAATTTCATAGTCTGGAATAGCCAGTGATGTAACATCCAATCCCAACATTCTTGCAACCACCTCTCGGAAATCAACGAGCTGAAACACAATAATATTTAGATTCATTAAATACAAATCTTTCAGAATTTGTCTGAGGTAAGTTGCACCAGACCTCTGTTACAGTATTAACAACCTTTTGCTACCAATAATTTTACCTTGGCAAAATCCCTTTAGGGTGAGTGAGAAATTTCAACTCCACTGCAAGTTAAAACTCTGACTCCATAGGGATAACAGATATTGAATTTCCACCCCTATCTAGAATATTCACAAAAAAACAACTGCCAGATTCACTATATTGTGAAGATTGGGACACTAGCTTTCTGCTTCGTAAGTTGGTAAAATGATAGAAATTTGATGAATAAATCGACTAAGTTAACCTCCTCTCTTGAGTATTGAATTTGCATTAGAAAATTCTCTTAAGGGATTTGGAAATGAATAATTACCTGTTTTTCTCTTCGAGTAATTTCTTCGAAGGCAATCTTCGTTGATTGTAAATCACCTGTGACGGCATCGAGCTGTGATTTTAAACGATCTTTTTCTGAGCTTGATTCATGGCTTGTGAAGCTAAGTTCTTGTTTTAATCCACTCAGCTTTTGTCTTTGCCTATCTTTGGTGTTCATCAATTTTCCAACTGTCTCCTGCAATTCTTCCATTCGACGGCGTTGCTCATGTGTTATTACCTACATGTAGAGTTAAATATTCTGACACAATATTTTATATCGCTTTCTGCATATGATATATGTTGGTTGCTACATTGGCAAACTTTTTGATAAAATATTTATCTCCACTATGATTCAGTTTAGCATGGTCACTCTTCAAATGGGAATACAGTGGATAGATTATGATTAATCTACTAAGCTATTACATTGACCAAAATGTCAAGTCAGAGAATTTAGACGTTTACATGAGCCTTTGTGATATCTATAAAAGAAGCCATGCCCTGTTTCAATACAAATATATAATGTTCCTAATTTTGGCCCAAAGATAAATATGTTAACCATATAAGCACATGAAGTTGTGAGTTAACTAACTTTGAGGTTGTTTGTTTCTGCTAATTCAGCTCTTAGTTCTAGTGTCTTTGCTCTCTCGTCACCAAGAAGTTTCTGCAGTCTTTCCACTTTTCTTGACAATTTTTGAACTGTGACAATTGCATCATCTCTGAATAACAGGGAACATCAAATAGTTAGAGAGTGGATGGTATCTTTGTCATTTAATAATATTTTTTGTTGACTCTTCTTACCTGTCTATTGCAAGGCCTGATCGAGTCCTATCTCTCTCCTCCATTTGGGCAACTTTCTTTCTTAAAAGTTCCATGTGAAGTTCTTTATTCTTCAATTGATCTTTGAAATGTTTAACCTGACAAATTATTAAAATGAGACAGTTTACATATTCATCAACCTATTTGGTATGTTGAATCTCTTTTTTTTTTGGCTAATAACAAAAAAAATTATCAAGTGGGGCGATATAAACTGAATCCTCAAAATTCGAAGTTCTTATTCTACACTATATTAACCTCTCAATAGTTTTTATAGCTTCATGCAGAACAGAATAGTATAACATTCACCAGTTTGCATGATGAAATTGAGCAGTTTCTCAGAAAAGCATACCTATATCACATGTATGCAACAGGAAATGCTGGTCAATTCATTGCTCAATTAAAACCGACCAATATACCCGACCAGTTTGCATGATGAAATTGAGCAGTTTGTCACACAAGTATACCCATATCACAATTATGCAATGCTGGTCAATTCATTGCTCAATTAAAGCTGACCACTATACGCAAATATTTGAGAAATAGGCTATACCCATGTGGAGGTATTTCAATCTTTCCAAATGCAGTATCTTCCTGAAGAGGGGGTACAGGCTGCTATTATTCAATACTGTTTGAAGTGAATGTGCAGAACGAAAAATGTTTTTTTCTCTTTGCCGTTAATAAACAGTTATTGAAATACATGTTTGATGAACACGACCTTAATTCCATCGACATTTTTTTCTGTGTGTGGGGTGGGAGCTCAAAACTGTTCACTCTGATAAATTTTTATTGTCATATTTGTTACCTTTCTATGTAAGTTGTAATTAGAAGATGTCTTTTCCGCCAGAGCCTCAGTTTCTAATTTGACAAGTTGTCTTGCTCTTGTCACAAGAATATCTGTGTTCAGATCATATCCAATATCTGCAGCAACTTCAGTCATGTTCATTGCTTCACACATGTCTTGCACGAATCCCATGTACTGTCAAACAGAATATTATTATTTAGAAAAATTTCAGACTGTGTTTTGTTTTATTGTCTATAACTGGTGTGCAACCTGCAGCCCACAAGGAAAAATCGTGCGATCGCGGAGAAATGTAAATTTTGAATGGTGTATTCTTTAGCTTGTGCGAACAACGCATGTCATAAGATCAATAACCAAACTTTTTGTTCTTGCAACTACTAGAAGGCTTATGCGTGCTGTTTCATCCAGTTATTTGTATTTTGCCCTTCATTACTAAAGGTTACACACCCCTGGTTTATAAAATTACATACCTTCTGTTTATCACTCCTTAGAGTATCTCGTAGAACATCTCCTGATGCAAGTTCTCCTTCAAGATTTCTCATTTGTACTTTACTTTCATAAATCTCAGATTCTGCAGCTTTAGCTCTTCGTATCGCATCTTGATGCAATTCACATTGTCTTTCCAGTTGGTTACTGAGATTTCTCACTTTATTTTCATATTCATCAACTCTCTGTTGGGGAAGAGATATATATATGTGAAGAAAGCTAACAAATATTTTCTGTCAGCTTTGTTACTGTAAGGAAGATCTTCCTGTGAACTGCTTGAAATTGATTGCAATTTTCTCATTCTGACCGTTTCAAGATGTTCGAAAATAGAAAATGCAACATGGCGCATTCCATATTGTATGTGGAATATGTTATCAGTTAGCTGCTTCAAGAACTGATATGTAACAATAAGTTCATCTAGATTTTGGCATTCGAAAGCCGCAACTTTACTTTTGAGTGATCTTCTTGCACTTCTGAGTAAGTTTTTATGATTTTGTAGTGCCATTTTAAAAACATATATATGTATGCATGGCAGGAAGCCTTGAATTAGGCTCAAATCATATGATATATAAATTCAAATTATAGCCTTGTCTTATGTATCTGATATCTTGCATTGCTTATTATGCTATCACTCACCGAACGATTTTCTCGCGTGTGTGAAGTAAGTTCTCTTATTCTTTCTTTAATTGAATCTTCTCTTGCTGGAATTTCTGTGTATGGGTCACTCAGTGCCTACAGGCAATAAAATATGTTTTTGTTTTATTGTTGCAAAAAGTGGGGGGACTTTCAACAAAGAAAATTGGGTACTCTTGTAGTGTGTGTACCAGGTTAGGGTTAGGCCATAATTTTATTCCGATTTTCCCTAATTTAGATCTATTACGAGTTCGGGGACTGTCTGTGTTAACCAAGTGGATATACCCCCTGCCTATAAGTTTCAGTCCCTTTGGACAACTTGATGGAAAGTAGGCGAACAAAATTAGTAAACTCTATATTGGTACACATACTCTTGGAGTGCCAAAAATTGTTCGTTCAACTCACCTGAGCTACAGTGGTTTTGAAGGTTTCCAACTCATTTTGAGCCAATCTCTTCTCATGTTCAACTGCTTTTAAATCGTTGCCTATTGTGACCTCCTGTGATTGAAGCTAGAGGTTAGATTCAACACAAAGTATGACCATGTACTTCTCATGAGAACAATAAGCTTTCGGGGCGAATTCAGAATCTTTGATTCATCAGCTTAACACATAAGTGATTACTTACTCTGTTCAATCGTTGTGACATTTCCTCTCTCGATGATGACCAGGCTTTCTCTCTAGCTTCCAGGCGTTCTTTGAGAAGTTCTATTTCTCTTTCAAGATTGTCTTTCTCAAATACTGCATCATCTCTTTCCTGGTAGTGTATATCAATAAAGAACATTGTCAAATATGAAAATTTGTATCTCATCATATTAATACTGATATTGCCACCCTTACACTAAACCAGGGCTTTCCAACTGGCGGACCACGGTCCCAATGCAAACCTTCTAAGTATTCGATTCAGACCGCAACTTTTTCTTTATTTTATATCATTGGCCGTATTCATTTTGAATAGGCAAGGATTTCTTTTGTTGAATGACTTTTATCCATAGTTTTTGAGGTTATTGTATCATTTGCTCATATTTACATCTAACTATACAGTGACGTGAATAGCGTTGTCTTTGATTCACAAATAATCACCAGCCGAAAAACCACAGCATGTGGTAATAAGGACAATTTTACGGCTACTCAGTTTTCCATTAATTTTTTTTCTGTTAACCAAAAAGTTAGAAGCACTGTATACTGAATATTAGTGGTATTTATAAATGGCATTTCCTGAATGTAATTTGTATATTTATTTGCTTGAGAGCTCGATTGGTGAGATGTTGAAACAGCTATTTAGCTCATATTGTTCAAGTGATAATTAGTACTGCTACTAACCTTAGTCAACCTGTCAAGCATATTACTTGACTCTGACACTGACTTTTGTTCTTTTCCTACTTCTGATACAAGTCGCATAATTGTTTCACGACTTGCTTTAGTTTCGAGGGTGTGTGCACTCAGTGCATCTTTCAAAGTTAGCAGTTCACTACTCTTCAAAAGATCTTCTTGAAACAACTCTTTTGCCTGTAAAATGTGGAATAGTTCTTTTTTTTCTTTGTGCATATAGTTTTTCAACCTGAATGCACGCTCTAAGATTCTAAGGGTATGTTCAATGTACCTTGGAGGGGGAGATTTACTTATTCATTCAAGGTTTTGTTTTTACTTTTGAAGTGAGTACTTTTATGTGATAAGCTGGTTGCAAAAATCTAATCTCAAGATGTCTAAAAGTTGTCAAATAGGGTTGCGCAACAAATATGTTGAGAAACATTTTCTTACAGCGTTTTTTTCTATACTTTTTATCCAAAACATTTTGCACACTATTATACATATCCAAAAATCTGAGGTCATAATAAAAAAAAACTATATCAAGTTTTACTTGTGTGAAGGTATGGGCGCTCCAGAAGTATGTATACCAATATGGTGGTAACTAATTTTGTTCGCCTACTTTACAACAAGTCGTGTCATGGGCAGGGGGTATATTCATTTGGCTAACACAGACAGAAGCCGAACTCGTAATATAACTAAACTAACCCTAACCTGGTACACACACTACGGGAGTACCAAAGTATGTTCATATATATTAACAAATATATAAAACATGAATGATGCTGAATTTAGTTGTAGAAGCAAATCAAGGCTATTGAGTGATCTTTTTGTATGGAATATCCAATAAGAGACTGGTCTCTGATATCATTAGTATTTTACCTTTTCTGCGATCTTCTCTGCTGCAGTTTCACTTTGTCCATTTTCTGTATCAATGTTCAAAGCATCACCAATAGTTCGAATAGTATCTTGCATTTTTCTCTTGTATGTCTCTGCATTTTGCTCTGCATCTTCTCTTTCTGCGAGGTGACTCCTATGTATTCGCATTTGAAATATTATGAAAAAGAGCAAAGGAAGTAATTCAATGGAGTTAAATTCAAGCACTGAACTGTACCATTTGCATTGATCAAAATTGCCTCATTTGGTATGGCAGTTCATGTATGTTGAAATATAATTTTTTCCATGCAATTGAAATTCTCACATGTTAACATGGAGTGTATAGAAATGTTAATTATTTTGCAACTTTGTGTTACAGAATTCAGTGACCATTTCGGTATTCAAATAATTCATCTAACAGTTACCAAATTTATTTTAACTGTATTATTTTTTTCTAAAACTCGTTTTAGCCACCAGACGCTACTTATTCACAATACTTAGTGCCTGTCTCAAGTATCATCGATAGCACAATGATGACGCCTCTTACTGTAAATTCCCATTGGGCACTCTGACAATCTAGGAATGTATATACCGGTAGTTAGACATTGTATAATACATGATCTGTGGTCCACTTTTAAAGACTTTTGACACTTAAGTGCCCCATTCCCTTAGTTTTGTCCCTTTTATATTGTTTTAAACAGTTATTTTATGTGCCACTTTCGATATAATAACTAACAAATGACAGCAATAAAACAAATGCATTCGGTCAAAGTATTGAACTAATCACATTCATTTTACTTTCAATGAATGTAGTTATGGCGAATGGTATCAATGGAAGGCATTTGCTCCTGGATCCTTGAGGAAGGGGGAGGGGGCAAGGGCCCAGTTCGAAAAACCTGATATAAATCATCATTTTACTTAGAACTAAATTTTTATACAAACTGATCCAGATGGCATTCATTTTGAATTGAATCGCACACACAAGTGCAATATATATATACGGGTAATCATCCTACCAAAGGTATGTTTGGTATCAGTCGAGAAAAAAATTTTCTGATAGTTTTGATTATTTGGACATAAGTTTGGATATGTACAATGTGGATATAGGTCATTCCTACCTCACTCTTGCTTCAAGTTCCAATATTCTTTCTTGAGATTCACGATTTTCTTTCTGCAAAGTTTGAATTGTGATATTTCCTCTTGTTGTTACTGTTTCTAGTGTTCCACTGCTGTCTTCTGCAAGTCGTGCTCTGTCTCGAAGAGACTAAATATAAAAGGGTAATTGCCATAAGCTATGAACTAATTTTTTCCTTGTAAAATTTCTTGAGGTAGTACAAACTCACTCAAAAATGAACAAAAACTCACTCACAGAGTCATGAGCAAACATTCTAATCATATGCACCAGATATGGTCAATATGGCTAAGTAAAATTCAGCGGGGAATCCCACATCCCTTTCCGGTAAAAGGCTTTTACAAGAAATTTTTGATATGAAAGAACAATTCTTGCAGTCAAGAAAGTACAAGGGAGGGAAACTTATCTCGCTTTGACAAGGTCTGTAGGTATCAAACAAAATATATTGTTAAATTATTAGTAAAATATAGAGTGAGTTCACATTTCATAAAGAAAATATAATTCGTAATTCAGAAGCCAAATTTTTTTTTGAATCATATCTGACACTCTTTATTATTAGACATGCACAGTTTTCTGAATATTACTGTGTAGTTTAATGACAGAATGTCATTTACTTTACCTGAATGAGAGCTGATTGCCTTGCTGAATTTTCTTTCGAAGATTCTAGTTCTGCTCTGAGTTCTCTCATCAAGTTGTCTTTGGATATTAATCGTGAATGAAGATCCCGATTCTAGTTAAAAAATGAAATCAACAATTACTATCACTTTTCTCGTATCCATACTTCTGCTTGAAAATTTGTTTTCCATTAACTTATTTAAACAGTACATGCGCGCCGATGTGGAGCGTTTGAAATAGTTATGTGCGAGAGAATTGCTGGACCTGTCGCTGTAGGGCTGTTCACGTAACCGCTGGCAATTACAGCTTTCCCCACCATCGAGTGTATGCTTTTGAAAACAAATAACTGGTAAAAGACGGGTAAATGGACGAAAGGCCGTGGTTCGCCATATAAATAAGTCGTCTCATCAGCATTTCTCTTCCCATGATAAATTCGATATGTACACATTTACACAATGGACTATACCTCTGCAGCCAGATTGTCAATCTTGACTTGCGCAGCAGCGAGTTCCGTGTTTGCAGATTCTGCTGAAATTCTATATCTTGTGACATCCTCTCTAAATGGTGCAGTTTCCCTCAGAATATTTGAATCTACTTGATACTAGAAAGAGCAAATTAATAGTTTGAATTTTATAACATTGAGCAACTGATCAAAACTATGTAGAATCCACTAAATGTAGCAAAATATATTGGTTGAACAAATAGGCAAGTAAAGTGAGAAACAATCCATGAAATTGAAAGTTCTATTAATTTAAATGTAATACAGGTAATGGAACCGTATACCCAATAATACCAGTCTCTTATTAAATCTGATCATCTACTTTTACCCATTCTAATCAATATCACTGCGATCATTTTCTTATAAAAAAGCATTATTCGTTCGGTTCACCCTTTTTTTTGTCCAAGATATTTTAATTCAGGACGAAATATACAATATAATATGAATTTTTCAAATGTTTTGTGGTGGTTGAAGCTTTTAGTATGAACTATGATGGCATTGCATGGTTAAAATCTTTGTCTCATCACCTCAATCGGGTGTAATAAATAGGGCAGTCAATACAGAAGCAGGAAGCTTTTAGTCCTTCCACACCATAGAAGCTTCTTACCTAGCAAGGATGATTGTGCAGAGCCTTGTTAAGAGTAAAATATGTATAAATATATTGTATAAGATATATGAATAATTATGCTTCTATTTGTAACTTTCATTTCTTTTGGATATCATAACCATGTATCTGTACTACGAGTTTCAAAATTTATTATTGTTATGTAACATATTTAAGGTTTCTATCTTACCCGGGCTGCATCCATTCTTGGACTCCTGTAATGAAATTTGAATATCAATTTATTTCAGTTTTTTTGTCTCTGTATTTTGTAACACTCAAAATTTAAATTGTCTTACCCAACTGACAATTCATTGATGAGTTCATCCTTCTTGGAAAGATCTCTCTTATATGATCTTATTTGTTCTTGCAGCTGGCAATTAAAAACATATCAATGAAATACGTGACAAGACCAAGATTGGAATCTAAATCATTCATCTGATCTTTGTAAAATAATAAAGGTTTCCTATTACAAGTATGTCCATTATTCCTTATTTTCTACTCGAAGTAAGGGCGAAATTAGTTACTACGACATTTTAGATATATCTTGAATGGCTATTTGTAATCTAGAACAGGGGTGTGCAACCTATATTAATACAGGGCCACATACTAATAACTGGATTAAACAGTGGGTCACACCTTCATTTAATATAGGCTTTCTAGTAGTTGCAGACACAAAAATTTTAGGTATTGATCCTTTGATACGCGTTGTTAGCTTCGCACAAGATTGCTTTCGGGGCCGTGTAGCGTCATAGACATAGATAATTATTGGACTAGGCCTTGCAATGCTTGAATTACTCGCACGTCCCAGATTAAACTAAATTAAAAACTCGCTTCGCGGCAGCACACCATTCAAAATTGGCACTTGACCGTGGGTCACACAATTTTTCCCTTGTGGACCACATTTGGCCCGCGGGCCGTAGTTTGCACACCCCTGATCTAGAATATACAGCCTTTTTATAATTAGGCCACCTTTTTTCAATTTTTCATTTGATTGATTTGGAAAGTTCTGAAGCATAGAGACGTATTTGGCGAGCTTTAGAAATTCATCATACATTGATTTAAGTTTGTGTATTTGCATTTTGTTTGATGTTTGTTTTGAATAGTCAAATCATCATTTTCAAATAATTACAAGTTTTCTTCAGGCCACCCACCCCAAATCCATATTAAATAAAAACATCTAAATTAAGAATAACAAAAAATGGGAGTACTTTATTATTTTTATATGAAACAACAATATGTTATTTACACATTCATTTCTTCATGATTATAATATAGTTCATGCAAACTGGTCAATTTTTTACTCACTTCAGATATCAGGCGGAGTTGTGTAGGTGAAGATGAATGATGACCATAAGATCCTGTTAATCCAGCGTTAGTATTAACATTGATCAGTCGATCTCCGCTAGAATATCCCAACCTGGGAAGCGGATCCATTATGGAAGATTTTACTCACTTGTTTTCAGTTATAGCTGTATAAAATAAATTTCTGTAAGTTACTGAAATTTGTTATTTCCAGGAATTATCCCAAATGTGAACAATTTCTAGTCTGTGAAGTAGCCGAATTGCCACTGTGTCCAAAATCAGAAGGCTATGATAATTTGAAATAATACCAAACTCAAATGAGATTATTTTAAATGTTTGAGTGGTAAATAATTTGATTGTGTTATGAATATTGAAATCTCTCTCAAGATACTCTGTGTTTTCAACCTCCTGACGTCCATGTCTACTATTCAAGGTATCTGATACTCCACTGGTATTAATCTATACCCAAAACATTGCACAATTTTTATGTTCTATTTATTTGTGAGACTAGTAAATACATTATTTTGAGTTATTTTTTGAATTAAATTGGTCATTTACTAAGCTGCAAGGGAACACAACTGCATTCCTAATTCCTCCTAGCTCTGATACCCTATCCTTAGCTTTAGTATGATTCAATCATTGTATGCTCCGCTCCCACGAAATGCAGGAATACATGCGCTAACCTCTATTCTTGCCTTTTGCCTACTGATTATCATAGTCCTAACACTTTCTTGCACTTGTAGCACATATCTATCTCCACATGTTAGCTTTAAAGTATACTAGTATTATTTTTCGGTGTTCACGCCGTTGCTTGGGTACCACATGATACAATTCCATCACTGCTAAGTCAACACCTTCAGCGAATGTGCGGTCGATTGTCATCGAATCGTATTATTGGGCATAAATAGCGTCGGATTGCTAGGCAACCATTGAGCGCGCGAGGCAGAAGAAAAGAAACGTAAGATAGACAATCACTCCAGCGGAACGTAGTGAGATAAGATTTACATTACAGCATCGGCGGATTTAGTTTCCTTATGCTATTGATGTGATATCTCTTTCAGTGTGGAGAAAAAACAAGCAATGAAGATTGGAAAAATTCCAGCAAGGAATCCCGAATTCGTATCCCATCCAAGCATGTTTGTTGTAGTTACACATTTTTAAAGAATATTATCAATATTTGAATTCTGCCTTGTTCAAGCTCATAAACGCTTTTGCGTGTTCAATTGAATTTATTATATTTGCCGCAGGGGGATTATCACGTATGACTTTGTTTGATTTGCACAAGTCTCCTCAATTTAATACTAGACCTGGTACTGATTGCGTGTATGAAAATGAGGACAAGATTAGTGGTGAATTTGTAAAATGCGCTTGTTCACTCAAATACGTTTTCTAAGTCCTGCGGACGCAAACGTTGTATGACCCTGTGATTATTTTAAAATTGGATGTCTTCCTATAAACTCTATTGGGGGTGTAAGTTTCAGAATCTCGAATCGAAGCGGTTTGAATCAACACCAAATCGAGTCGAAGCAATTTTAGCAAAAACGGCTTGATTCTATTTAAAAAAATAATAATTCAGATAACACGAGGTGATGTCACTGGCAGCGGCGTTCTCTCCACATCGACTCACATTTACTCAAGTCGTAACACCCCTGTTTTTTATATTTATATGAGTCACAGTATTAAAGTACCGAATGTAGCCTACTTGATCGCAGTTTTACAACAATGTCATATTAACGTTCTACAAAGTACCAATATATTAACTTTATAATAACAACACCTTCACATTACTTAAACGAAAATTTATGTAATAAAAAAATAAATATAAATGCATTGATTGAATGTGTTCTTTCTACTAGTAACTAGTTACTAGTAACTAGTTAAGAAAGGTTTGAGGCAAGGTTGTAGTCTCTCACCATATATGTTCTTATTAATAATTGAAATATTTGCATGTAGAATGCGACAAAACCATAATATACAAGGTATATGTCTCGGAAATACAGAAATTAAAATTTCCTTGTTTGCAGATGACGCAACAGTATATTGTGATGGGTCACAAAAAAGTATTAAAACAGTATTTTCTGAAACCGATAATTTCTTTACCATGTCTGGGTGCAAGATAAATACGAATAAATGCCAAGCATTATACCTGGGTGCAAATAATAATTGGCAAAATTTTCCTATGCAAGACCGAGGACTTCAGTGGAACCCTAGCTGTTTTAAAATTTTGGGCATTAAATTAATGTGTGTGGAAATGATACGGATCTTTTTACTGTGAACCTTTTGCCAAAACTTCAAAAACTGAAAATGGTTGCACAAATATGGTCCAAAAGAAATCTAGATTTCCTCGGAAAAATCACTGTGATTAAATCTTTGATGTTGAGCTTATTGGTTTATGTAGTTTCCATCTTACCAGTAATACTGCCCAATAGTTTTATAATGGAAGTAAATAAGATATGCCATGAATTTTTATGGGGTTCAAAATGGGAGAGAATAAAACGTAAGACATTAATTGCACCTGTGAAGGAAGGGGGGGTCAATATGCTTGATGTGGAATCATTTCTCATTGGTCAAAAATTAAGATGGGTTAAATGTTTAATAAATGACGAAATTGATGTCTCATGGAAATCCATAGAAATGTTTTTCTTGAATTTGTATGGAGGAAAGGCTTTATTTTATGGAAATGTATATCCGCATGGAGTGTATATCAACTATATGTATTCCAGATGTTTGAGAGATACTCTGTACTATTGGTTTATTTTCAAATCCAAGATTATTAGGGATGTAAGTCATTTACATGAACCTTTGTGGTTTAATAAAAATATAACTTGCAAAGGAAAACTTTTATATATGGATGATTGGAATAGTAAAAATATTTGTTTCGTTGAAGATATTTGTGATTCTAATCAGCAACTTGCAATGTTTCCGTATGTTTTTCATCATTATTGTTTTTCTAGTTTTTATGATGACATGCTAGCGTATTTAAAAATTATATCATGTATACCCCAGCAATGGAAAACTAATTTATCAAAAACCTCACCAGTCAATCCACATCTTAGTCTTATCGAAGATATTAAAAGCATTGATAAAACGTCTCGATATATTTATGATAAGCTTTGTAATGAAAAAATTTTGCCGCCAACTGAAAAAATAGAAAAATGGTCAAAAGAATTGTGCAGGAACTTAGATAATTGGTTTACATTGTATGAAAAAGTTTTTTATTGCTCTATTGAATCCAGACTTCGTTCATTCCATGTCAAATTTGCCTTGCGAGCAGTGCCCACTAATGACCTGCTATATAGAATAAATAAAACACAAAGTCCAAAATGTACATTTTGTAATATGCATGTTGAAACCGTGTTACATTTATTTTATCTCTGTGAATTTGTGCAGCAATTTTGGGAAATAGTTAACGCTTGGCTAACCGTTGAGTATGGATTAAACTTCAATTTGACACATGGAGAAATGTTATTGGGGGTAGGGCAAAATCAGGGTATAAACTGTGTTTTATTATGTGCCAGATATTTTATATACAAATGTAAACTGCGTAATGAAAGGCTTCAATTTTGCCAATTTTTATATATGATAAAAAATATTATAAACTGTAAAAAGATTATTGCAACTAAAAATGGTAAACTGTCAATCCATAATAAGAAGTGGAAAACTATTGTGTGCTCGTTTTTTTAAAATGCAATTGTATTTGTGCTATTGTGTCTATATAAATGTGTTGTGATAATGTGATGTTTTTATTAATAAAAAAAAAATGTATGTAAAAAAAAAAAAAAAAAAAAAAAAAATTAATATTATCTAATCACAATTTATCCTGTATGGCGTATGCATTCAAAATCAGAGAATGGCAACTATAATATGATCTAATACTACATAGAATCAGATTTGGAAAATTTCCGAATCGGAACATTCTGATTCGTTTTGAAAATAAAATATTTGAAACTTCCACTCTTCAGTCTACTTCAGGGGTGGGTAAGGTTTTTAGACCGTGGGCCAAATGTTTTGCCCACCTAGACTGGCGGGCCATGTGAATGTGACGTCGAAAGTTACATTTTATGAACAATAGTCTCACCCACAGTGCTACAAAAGCAAAAACGGAAAACACTAGGCCTCATGCTAAAACTAAATTTAATCGCAATCTCAACAAATTCCTTGAGCTATTTTTTATCTAAAATTTTGTTTTAGTTAGGTTGTGGCAGCATCGAGCGGGCCAGATTGAGTTTCCCAACGGGCCGGATTTGGCCCGCGGGCCTTACTTTGCCCACCCTTGATCTACTTCTACCAGATGCGGAAGCAGAATTCGGAATTGCTGGGTGCATGAGAGACAGAAAAATCCGCCTGTGGGGGACTAACTCCACTAATACTGACAAGCTCCGCGCCTCGGTGTTATTAATCTTCAAAAAAGTGTCGAGGATGTAGTTTTATAGACATTAAGCCCAATTTGTAGGCTGGAAACTGTTGACATGTATCACGATCACTTCAGATCTTTGATTCGCCAAAGTAATGAACATTTACGCTAGATGTCGCAAGTAAACAGACAATTGTGTAACGCCGAACCTAGGTTATGTTATCGAGACAGCCATGTATTAAATGTCGCACGCTGCTCATTCGAGTGATGAGTTTAGCGTGGTGCAGAAGTGATGGGTCAGATCAAGCTATCGCGATAATTATGTTTTTGCCAAGGACAGTTTACACATAAGAAGTTAGTCCTACTATGGTGAATTTCATTGTACCACTCAAATAGGGATTTTTAGTATTTCATAATGTGCAATCAGTTTGAGGTTTCTGTATGTATAGATTCGCGATTGCTATAAAATTACAGTTGTATGATTTAGGATTCAGGTGAGTATTACTGATCGCGGCTTTTCCCGCGAAACATATCATTTATTTTTACCCCAGAGTCGTATTTGGAACTAAATTTCGTTGGGAAGAATTAACAATAGGCTGCAACGGTTACAGCAAAGAGCGTATTTTAAGAAATATAAACTCGAGTATTATAGCATCATGTTGGTGATAATATCAAGAATTTGAGGTACCTTCTAAAATACCCTTAAAATAGGGGTGGGCAGTGTTTTCGAACCAGGGGCCAAAAGTTTTGCACATCTAGTGTGGCGGGCCATGTAAATGTGAGGTAAAAAGTTGCATTTTATAAACAGAATTTTATTTACAGTGTTACATAAGCAAAAGTGGGAAACGATCAGCCTCGTGCCCTACTTTATTTAATGGCACTCTCAACGAATTCCTTGAGCTATTTTTTAGCTAAAACATCAACATTTGGATTTGGTCCGCGGGCCTTAGTCTGCCATGTCAACCTTAAAATCTTCTTTCCCAATTTTGTGAGAGACTTTTGCGTGTGATCTGACTTACATTAACTATTCCCAGAGCAGAATACCCTTTGCAGGCAATATTCTACATGACATAAATATAACCATTTTCAAATTCGACTTTGATTGAACTGTGTACTGTTGGCCCTGGCTCATTTTCTATACGTGCTTCACTTCATTTCTACGCTCATTGCAAAACTGTCCAATGGAGAGAAATAAAAACGAAAGCCCGTCGTGTTCATG